GGTTATTTTTCTCGAAATTTGTTGTCTACGTTTGTGGCTCAAATAAAGCCGAATGAAGAGAACCGTTTGTTCCTCCGAGAACTGGTATAATTTCCCGAAATACGTTCGAAATAGATACAAAATGTTTTGAACAGAAACATTCATACTTGACGAGTTTGACTATAAAAGTAGAGCCGCTTTACACTGTTAATGATCCATAACTTACCACTTTTTTGAGACGCTCTAAACAATCTAAAATAATTTTAAATATGAAAACGCTTCTGTTTCGATTACATTTCTTGTTCCTCGTATCGGTGAGGGCGTTCAGAAACGACCGTCTGCTTTGTTTAAAACGTCTGGAGGTTTTCGTAATTTAAATGTAGCTTTTAAAACTCTTGTAACGAGTGTTTCCGTCTTCCTCAAGTATTCATTACTCAAGAGCGCATCACGAGATGCGCCGAAAGCTATGAAAACTGGTAAATAACAACCCGCAACGTTTCCAGTAGGAGCATTCGCTTCGATTTATATCGTTCACTCTAGTTGATATTATAGTAAATTTCTCCCTTTTTATGCAACAGTATGTTCACCTTGCACCAACTAAAAATCACATAACACAGTTACCCAAAAAATGTGAAATAAAAAGTGAAAAAAAAATGCTAACGGAACAAACCTAACGTGAACTATGGTGTATTGTGCTATGCCGGTATCGACAGTATACGATGGTTTCGCCACCATTCGCAGGCCCCGCGTGGGCCCGCCCAGGCATCCCCCGAGGCCCCCGTCGTTGGCCAGCGTGCCGGAGCACTCCACCGGAATAGGAAGCGGCCTGTTCAACGGAAGCGGCCTCAACGGGTTCCCGAACGGTCGATTGGGAAGCAACGGGAGCATCGCCAGCAACGGCAGCTGCGGGTGCGTGTCGCCCGTCGGGAACCCCAGCGTGCCTTGGTGGGAATTGGCCACCAGGAAGAGCCGCTACAGGTCCTGTCCCAGCTTGGAAATAAACGTTAGTAAACTGGTTGAAGCTGTGGTAGCCATTTGTAGCCGTTAATGTTGCGTTTAAAACCGCCATAGTAGATGTAAAGAATGCAATGTGCATTGCGTGTCAACGAGTTAATTACACAAGGGTAGTTACCCCTATATGGGTGCGCCTTACTCGTTATAGTATTACATCTATTTTTTTTGCTGCGTTCGCGGGAGTGTCGGGTTTTATAGAAAACCTGCAGGTTGTTTTGATGAGGGAGGGTGATAAAAAACATAAAAAATCAAACTATTATACTAATTACATAAAAATGAATCCGTTTTTTATTTACTATAATCCAATTACAAAAAAATTAAGCAAGGAAATGTTTTTTAAGAAACTAATTATACTTGTAAATATTTAATTAACCATGGCTGATTAATTAATATATGTAAACTTGGAATTATCAGGTGATTGATCATAATTCTGGTTTTTGAAATATCTTTATGAACAGGAGTGTCATTAGAACCGGAAAATGTGACATCACTTTTTCAATTATCACACAAAACGCCCACTAAAAGTCACTCCTTAGTAAAAACGTGTTTTTAAGATAATTCTATCAGTCCGTTAAAAATATTTTCGAAAATAACTTAAGCGGATTATTGAATATATCGAATTTTGTCACTAAAAATTTACTCTAATCCCAATTACCATTCATCCTGTTGTGTCAATGTGATTCATTCTATTTATCTTCCATCTTCACCTGTTTGTACTAATGATGTACCAGCATATACGGGGTAAATCGATTAAGAGCTTGTTACTTTGCTTGTTCGAGTAATCAGACTGTCAATGTAACAAAAAAAAATGGTGGCTTCTGTAATTAATAAAAGCGTAATTAACGCTATTATTGTATACGGGTATAGGTGTTTACTCTCAGAGGTGTTAAAACTTATGTAAATGCCTCTGTAAAACTAGTCTAATGGATGGTATTTGCATAACTTAGTAAGTGTTTGCATAATATTTTCATTCATTTTATTTGTCTGGGTACAAACCGATTCGCGTTTCTTATTCGATATCCTCAAGATCTTCTACTTGTGTATTATGTAGTATAAGTACTAAACTTTTTTTGAATACTACTTGTTGCGTTTTTCGAGTTCGGTTCGTTACAACACGGATTGATATCGATCTCGATTCTACGTCATTCATACTCGAAGTTTTTCTTTTAATCGTAAATACTGTTTACTGCATCCTGCCATTGATAAAAACAAGAATAGGCGGGTAATAATTCCGTGCTCATAAATAATTTATGAATTTCGAGCTCTTCGAATTCGCGATCCGTAATCGTAGCATAAAATTTTACGGCGTTTCGTAATTTTTTTTTTCGCAATTTTTATTTTATTTTCCCCGGCCTTTCTGTAGACGGAACGTGCCACTTCGAAACAGCTGCTGGGTCGCGTTAAACGCGACCGGATCGACTGCGCTCTGCGACAATTTATTAACATTATTTGCGGCCCTCTGGTGCAGTTCTATAAAAAGAAAAGGGGGAAAATCTAATTTGATTTTATGGCTTCGATCTAAAGCTATTCGAGTTACCTTAAGGGCTTTAGAACGATTTATAAGGTTGCTAAATCGGATGAAACGTGACATCAATCGAGGAATAATTGTCCGCGATTTTACGCCGATTGGACACTTCGACATCGATACATCAATACCTTTACGCTTATTGGGAACGGTTAATATATAATAAAGTATCTGTGATATTTGGAATAAAAAATGGTAGGTTTCGTTGACCCTGTTGCGCATAAACAATTCGAACGGGGTCTCTAATAAGTGGTAATGATGCAGTAACATCTTGATGCCTTGTGACAACTTGTGTCTCGTTGAAAGGCTAAATTGAGACGTATTATTAGTTCATTCTGGATACACAGGCGTTACGTTAGAATTTTCATTGTTTAGTAAACTAGAATCGTGTTTACAAAGGACCTTATGACCCAATTGCATGAGCAATATGGGAGATATCGAAGCATAAAGAAGTTTCGGGCGTTGTTTTCTTAGTCATAGAACGAAAATGTAAATTGAGGTCAATCTATTAGAAGACCACGAAAAGATCTCGGATTAACATTGGATTTAAACGCCTTATGTAAATGAGTACAAATGTTCTAAAGAACACGGGACAATAAATTGATACATGAAAGTGTACTGGAATTTTTGTTAATTTTTCATTCCTCTCGCGAGCTGAATTAAAATTACTTCGCAGTTTATCTGCAATCGGTTTTATTGAAATGAGATTGAGCAATTTTCAATACATTTGCATGTTTACTTACTCGCAAACCATAACGTTTTCATAACATCAACGCTTTACTAATTTTCTATTTTCCTATTATATTTTATGAGGTTTTTAAACTACGTCTATGAATTGTACTCATTGAACTACATTAAACAACTCATAAGTATTACTTAAAAAATTAACACTCGTTTATGCGTCGCAATTGGAAATCTAAACTGGATATAAACATTATTTTAATTCATTATTTTGTGGAATTTTTGATAAACATTTGTGCAAAATTTGAACGTACTATCAATTATCATATATTTTTACTTGTTTATTGTGTAATTGTATAGTAAACAAGACATTGAAAGTTTAGTATGTCAACCTATTCAATTTTTCATTAGATTAAATTAGCAAGAAAATAATAAACTCTATAAACAAGATCTGATAAACACAATGTAAATGTTGAATTAAGTATTCAGCTTCAACAAGTTTGAAGGAGCATTCAATTTTGTTTCTATTACGTCTTAAGTATATCCAACCAGTGTGCATATGTAATGAAATTTTTATTTATGTCTATACATGTTTTTCACAAATAATTATGACTCCGAAGTCATTAAGATGTAAATTTGTTCATAATTTTATAACCATAATTACGTGTAAGTGGTATGTGGTTTTTGATTGTTTTATATTAATTAAAGCCTCTGTAATTCTTAAAAATTGATGTAAATTGGTATTGAATTAACCTACAAGAAACGATTAATACAAAAATTAAATGGGTACTTTACGCTCTTACCCGCCTTGGTAAAAACCGTAACTATGTAAATATAAATTAAACGTTAAAATAGGAATTTCTATTAATTAATTATTTTTAAATTACATATTGGTTTAGGATAGGAAGTAAAACCGGCTTAGGTAAACGAAAAGTTAATAATTGAATCCTAAATTACAACTCAGTTTTCCGATAATTAATTTACAAAATAATTGACCTCGATACCCACGAAAAAACTTGTTCGAAAATATTTAATCTTCTAAACTGTCATAATAATGTTTTATAATCAATTTAGCACGAATTTAATTATGTTTAGACAAAAAAATGCCCATTTAATGTTTTTTCTACTAGAAAGTAGGATGTAAAAGTTACCTATAAAAAAGTAATAGGAACTTGATATAATGAAGGAACTTATTAAATGTTAATAGAATAAAATTAAATACCTATACAAAATTTAACCTTCATGTTACTCATTACTTCATGGTAATAATGGGAAGTATCTTTACAGGCTCACACAATGCACAATGAACGATATTAATAATTGTTTATTAAAAATACATTAGAAAATCTATTACAATCTAATAACATGCTAAAAGAGATACTCGGATATGAATATTAAGAGTCCCGTTTTAATTCGTCTTGCGGTTATTAAATTACTTAAAAATTAACAACGGCAATAAAAAAATACGAAGTTAAACGGACAAATTTAACATTTACAACGTATCTAAATGCCTTTCATCGCCGAACGCCCAATTAATATTTATCATTGTCCGGCCCACGCCCGTCTTTTACTCGCGTTTTTATATATCTCATTCTCTTGTTTATATTATGCAACAATTAATAACGATACGCCGTCGAAAACCTTTTGTGTGAATTCCCAATGCTCGATTTACATTCGAGATCCTCGCCTAATTATTACTCAAGCAAAATTTTGTCTAATGTTTAAGAGTTATAGTTTGTTTGCGAGAAATTTTTCACTTATTTCGACCTATACTTTGACGAATTTTTTTGGTTAATTTCAGGCTCACGTAGTATCAGCGTTCGAACAAAGCCTCACGTCGATGACCCAAAGGCTACAACACTTGACAGCCACGTCGGAAAAGAAGGTTCGTATATAGCGGATAAATAAACAAAAGTAATTAATGCGAGCGTTGCGAAACAGGAGGCCGAGCTGCAGGAGCTGCGCCAGGCCATGGAGTCGCTGCGCGCCCAATCGATCCAGGCCGGCATCGGCTCGACGCTGGCCCGCCAGCCGTCCTCCGACAGCGTGTCGAGCCTCTCGTCGGCCTGCAGCCTCGACAAGCACGACAAGAAGAAGAAGAAGGGCTGGCTGCGCAGCTCGTTCACCAAGGCGTTTTCGCGCAACGCCAAAGTCGCCAAGGTGCAATGCCAGAGCGACAACGCCGACGAGAGGGCGCACAGCCCGCCGCCGGCGCCGCCCACCGATCCCGGCCTGGAGGTGGCCGAATTGCAGAAGCAACTCAGGGAGAAGGATATGGTGTTGACGGACATCCGGTTGGAGGCGTTGAGTTCCGCGCATCAGTTGGAGAGTTTGAAGGATACCGTTATGAAGATGAGGGTAAGCGAATCTAATAAATACACGCGATAAAATGTAACTCTTCTAATGTTTGTGTAGAGCGAAATGTTGAGTCTGAAGCAAAACAACGAGCGTCTACAGAGAATGGTGAGCGGAACGCCGAATCTACCGACTGATCTCACCGATACCAGAAGTACCAGTAGCATAGATGCCTTAAGTGACCTCATTCCTACCGAAGAACCGGCGCCGGAAGTCGAAACCGACGGTAAACGCATCGTGATTTCCGTCTATTTGGGACAACCGCAAAGTTTCGACAAGTAAGTCGCCGGTCAATTCCACTCCGATAAATAAATAGTCCATATTTATAAAAATGAAGCATTTACTTTGAAGTAAAAAGTAGAGGCTAAAGATAAGAGAAAAAGGTTCTAAAACCTTATACAAAAATTTTAAAACCATAAAACCTTTTGCTTTAAAGCAAACAGCAGGATCTTCGAAGCAAAACCTCTCTTCCTTCACTTCTTTTTATGCATTTACCTTGAAGCAATTCCTTCATTTTTTAAAGCAAAAGGTTCCTTTCAGATATTACACGGAGCACTACGGAAACGACTGTTTAAATGACAACGCTAACATCGAAATATCAATAGCCCATACTAACGTAGGCGCCTCGACGTCCTGGCCCCAGCTCGACTCCGCCGTTAGGAGAGCCTTCAAGCAGTACGTCGCTAGATTAGACCCCGGAGGTGGATTAGGTTTAGGTACGTACTCTATTACATTCATTATACCATCGATATTATGTATAATTTCACCGCCAGGTAGCGACGCGATAGCCAGCTACAAGTTGGGCGAAGCGGAGAGGAAACCGGACTCGGGCCCGCCGGACCTCCTGCCCGTCGGCTACGCGGTGGGCAGAGTGATGACGTTACACGTAGTCTTGCAACCAGTAGCGGCCTTAGCCTTTGAAGCCTTAATACCGAAGGGGGTGGCCCAACGGTTGGTCTCGTTGTTGGCGGAGCACAGGCGGTTGGTGTTGTGCGGCGCGCCGGGCACCGGCAAGACGCATTTGGCGACGAGACTGGCGGAATTCCACGCGCAGAGCCTCGGACGGGATCCGGCCGAAGCCGTCGCTACGTTCAAGTAAGCCTCCCGGAGTATATTCTAAAAGCCGATAGTTATTGTAAATGAATTGCAGCGTCGACAATAAATCCGCGAAGGAACTTCGACAATACCTGACGCACCTGAGCGAGCAGGCGGCCGCCGGCGATAACGGCGAACTGCCGTGCGTCGTGGTGCTGGATAACCTCCACAAAGCCGGCACGCTGGCCGACGCGCTCGGCTCCTTGCCGAGGAACCTGCCCTGCCTGTTGGGTACCATGGCGCAGAGCGCTTGCTCGGCGACGAGTCTCCAGCTGCAGCACGGCTTCCGGTGGGTGCTCGTCGCGCCGCACATGGAACCGGCCAGAGGACTGTTGGGACGAGTCCTGCGAAGGAGATTGGCCACGCTCGAATTGGAGCAAGGACCTCAGCCGGAATTGGCCGCCATTTTGGGGTGGTTGCCGAGAGTGTGGCAGCATTTGAACGCGTTTTTGGAGACCCACAGCAGCGGCGATGTGGCTATCGGTCCTCGATTATTCCTGAGTAAGTTATAGTAACGAACCGGGAACCTCAGTATTGGCTATAGTCAAGTTAGAAACGTGCAATTTTTAAGCAACGATAGCCTAGTGTCTTCTCTTGATGGCTACCAAGTCACCTTTCAACTCGACTAAATCGAACCAACTCTTTGGGATTTTTTTAAATGGTAAATTTGAGTGGAGAATATGACACTTTGAAGACACCAAGACAATACATTAGGCTATCGTTGTTGATAAATTCCACGTCTCTAGCTAGTCTGTAACCAATTTAATGAGACCTCCAAAGGGAAGAGTATTAAAGAGAGTATTGCTCGTTTAGGTTGTCCGCTGGAGCTGGACGCGGCCAGGGCATGGTTCGCGGACGTTTGGAACTACTCGCTGGCTCCGTATCTGAGAGAAGCGGCGCGCGAGGGCCTGCAGCTGTACGGGCGTCGGGCGCCGTGGACCGATCCGGCGCAGTTCGTGCTGGATACGTACCCGTGGCCGGGCTCGCCGCCGCAGGGACTGACTATGATATCGGCGAAGGACGTGGGTTTGGAGGTGGGGCCGTCGGCGCAGTCTGAGAACGAGAGCGATCCGCTGTTGAATATGTTGATGAGGTTGCAGGAGGCGGCGAATTATTCGAGTCCGCATTCGAACGATTCGGATTGTAATAGTCTCGATGCGAATTTAACGCACGGGGGTAATTTGGGTACTGAGAGCGTTTCGTAGGGGTTTTGTTTTATTATCGGGAAGTTGTATTTTTGATATTGCAATGAAACTGGTCGGTTTTTTGTTTAGGTATCGTGGGATAAGCGTTTTGGAAGTGTTCCTTCCTTAGCGGACTTGTGAGTTTGGTAAATCCGAATAAAGAAATGAAGTTATGGGATTCTTGTCATTATATTATTTTTTCTGTCTTTTGTTAGACAATACCAAAATTGGTAAATTAATATTGTTTGTATCCCTATGAATATAGATTGTGAAATTCTTATCCTACGATAAAATCACTTCATTATTTTAATATCTAAATTAAATTAGATCTAATATTAAAATTGTAAGAATTAAGGATAACTCCTTAAACACGCTATAGAGAAATTTTTTAAATTAGTACAATTGTATTAAAATAATATTAAATTAATACTTAAATGAATTAAAAAACGAACAGTTTCTATGTTAATGAATTGCAATTTTTTAGCGCCCTAAATTGTAACATGACTATAACGAAAGTGCTTCAAAATGTACTTGTAAACATATTTAAAATCCTATTTATTTTGTGAAATGTACACGATTTTTATAACGCGCATAAAATCAAATATATAATATAACTAGGTGAGCTGATCTTTCGGAATTGCTCATTTTCGAAATTATTTAACGACATTCTTTAATTTGGACATTATCACCGGCGTTTCTGTTTTGCCTTCTTAGACCTTAGTTTATTTACGAGTTTTTCTGGTCATAGACTTTTTTATGTAAATATTTATATAATGTATTAATCACAGATTTGTATAATTTGTTTATTTATATAATATACATTTTTATTAAACACTATAAGAACTTTTATACCAAAATATGTATAATAAACAAAACTGCCATAAATTATTAAAAAATGAGTTTTCTTTCAATTCCTAAGGTCTTATTGAGAAATGACATACATATGTATGCTGCGTACGATAATTGCGCACTTTTGTCACTTTTGTAACTTTCTTGCGGTAAAGTCTTGCGGTTTTTTTGTCAATAAACTCGACAAAACTTAACATTTTACTTTCTTATCATTTCTGCTATAAAGTATTAATAATAATGCCCAAAATGATAAATTTCTCTTGAAAATGTGGTTTGAAAAACGACGATAGAACCTTTATTAATGCATCAGGATTCATCCAGGACTTTCCCCAGAAGTACCTCTCGATATAATAAATATCTCCCGATACTGGACTTCCTAGCTTATTCTCCTTGCCTAATATCCGAAATTTATCAACGGAGATCGACGAAAACTTGTTCTCAAATCTCGAAATAAAACGTGAATTTGAAATTTCGTATTAGGAGAGCAGAATGTGCGAGGAGGTTTACTTATGACGCTTATTAATCGCGCTCCTGCTCGAAACAATACATACAAAGGCAACCATTTAATCGAATTTCGGTAATTCTGGTTGCCTATCTATTGTATTAGTAAAGCGCGAGTAATAAGTATCAGGAGTAAACCTCTTCACACATTCTGCTCTCCTAATACGAATTCTTAAATTCACGTTTTATCGTGAGATTTTCATACGTTTGACACAAACTACTCGAACTCCTAATATTTGTTTCTCCCGATCTTTTTGCTTTAATAGCTCCAAATTTTTACAAATTGCGTTGAAAAAGTTTTGCGTTTTTTTTAATAAACGAACAATACTAAGAATTCTAAAATCAGGATTAAGGATGTCATAAAAAATTTTTAATATTCTATTTTCGTATCATTTTTGTAATAAAGAATCATTAATAATGCCCAAAATGTTAAATTATCTTTGAAAATGTGTTTTCAAGAACGACGAAACATTTAGAATTTTTATTAACGCATCAGGATTCATCCAGGACCTTCCCTAGACGTATCTCTCTCGATATACTAAATATCTCCCGATATTGAACTTCCTTGCATATTCTCTTTGCCTAATATCCGAAATTTATCAATGGAGATCGACGAAAACTTGTGCTCAAATCTCGAAATAAAACGTGAATTTGAAATTTCGTATTAGGAGAGCAGAATGTATGAAGAGGTTTACTCCTGATACTTATTACTCGCGCTTTACTAATACAATAGATAGGCAACCAGAATTACCGAAATTTGATTAAATGGTTGCCTTTGTACGTATTTGTAATCGAACAGGAGCGCGATTAATAAGCGTCATAAGTAAACCTCCTCGCACATTCTGCTCTCCTAATACGAAATTTCAAATTCACGTTTTATTTCGAGATTTGAGCACAAGTTTTCGTAGATCTCCATTGATTAATTTCGGATATTAGGCAAGGAGAATATGCAAGGAAGTCTAGTAACAGGAGATATTTATTATATGGAGAGAGGTACTTCTACGGAAAGTCCTGGATGAAATTTATCATTTTGGGCATTATTATTGATTTATAGTAGAAATGATGAGAAAGTCGAATGCTAAAAGTTTTGTCGAGTTTATTGAAAAAAAAAACGCAACCTTTCAACGCAATTTGTAAAAATCGGAAGAATAGTTTTGTACATCGTTCGAAAATTTCTCGTTAAAAATTTGCGAATTTGAAATTTCGTAATAGGAGAACAGAATGTGTGAAGAGGTTTACTCCTGATACTTATTACTCGCGCCTTACTAATACAATAGTTAGACAACCAGAATTACATTTATTGATCGAAAATCGATTTACGGATACTATTAGGTAGGCAACCTATTTATCTATTATATATCTCTAAGATACCAGAAATGCATTAGAAATGATAAAGTATGAACGATTTTTTATAAAAAATTCATTATACATTAAAATTTTTGAAAAATTAACAAAACCGCTGCATTTTTTAATTGCTAATTACATGAAAACTGGTTGGAATTGGCGATTTCAAAATATATAAAACAAAACACTTTCAACGATATTTTTATTTTCTTACAATAAACTCACTACCGTTAAATGCAACAAAATAGAGACGAAATATTAATATACAAAAACGTTACAGGAGTAAAATCATCGATGTGTCGATCTCAATTCTTACACTTATTTCGCACTTCTTCATGAAATTTTCCTTTTATAGTTTTGTATTCCTTCTCGGTTTGCCCGTTGAATTTCGTTAAGAGTCGATACAAATTCACCTACAAATCACAAATTACTACATACACTCCTATTATAACATAACGCTTTGAAATGCATACCTGAGGAATGATATATTTATTATTCTCTCAGAAATTCATCGATAAACAAAATGGCGAAGGCCGTAGATCGCAAGATAGATACAAAAAGGGGCGATTCCGTCTCAATTTCCGTAGATTATTGAACTGTCATTTTTCTTAATACCATCCAATGCTCAATCAAGGGCAATCAGGAACCAAAGACAAAAAATCTATCGGATCTCCTATAAACAATAACTCAATTGTAACAATAATTAAGCATCATAAAACTAGCTAACCCTGCTGAGTGAACTGAAACCTCTTTTAACTCCACGATACAACAGCTTGGAGAGAATTTCTTGATACTCGTACATGCTCTGTGAAGTTCCTGGGATTCCACAATTTCCTCATAAGCTCGCCAAACCTCTGCAGGAGCAGATGGAAGGTCTCTTTACATTACTGCAATTTTCTTCTCTCGAGAAGTTATTCCGAAGCTGGACAACTTCGTTCATTTAAAGAGGAATCTATAACAAACCGTTTGATTACTTAATAGTCCCACAATCATTATAACCCCTCTACCTATGATTTTATAATTGCCTGGTAAATAGTAGAATCCAAATATTGACACAAACGTACGTTACCTGCGGAAGATGGATTATGGATGTACTTTCCAGTTTTCCAGAATTCTCCTCCTTGTGGTGCATCCTAGGTAATGCTAAAGGGTCCGTCGGGCTTATAATCGTGTGCAAACCCCCTAAATTAATTGCCGAAAAATTGTTGACGTCTATTACCCTAGCATAACCATTTCATAAGCCGGCGTCCAAAACTACACAGTATTTTGTTGCTAATTTGTGCCGCAAGAATCGATTTTGTTGCTCAAATAGTTCTTGCAAAAAAGCGGTTATGCTAGCGTAATATTACAGCGATACGAGACAAACGGTATATTTTGTTGCTGAGGGATAGCGGTATTAGATTTATCAAAATATCATCCCTTCGCGGGGGAGTAACTACCCCGATCCCCGGAAAAACGTGATTTTACCTATCTCGAGAACCACGTGATCAAAGAAACTAGACTATTTTAACTGTAACCAGTTTTAATTATCGTACGTGGCTATAATATGTGATAATTTGGGAAAGGGGCGAACGCGAAAATTGTGTAACCGAAAAACCGCAAGATTAAGGTCCCAATACAAATTGACTTAATCACACCACGTAAAAGTCCAGTCTCTAACGTCATCTGTCTTGTATGTCATGTGTCACACATCTACACTCTCGGGAAATAAAAAAATTATGAGTAGGCGAATGATAAATTAAGAATACATTTTTAGGTTAGAAGTATTTGTTGTGATGACAATTTGCAATATTCAATTAACAAAATAATAAAATGGTATGTTCTATGAATTATTAATTATAATTTATTCACTTTTATTTTGTTTCAGTCTGCTATATTTAATTTTCAAAGTTTGTTGACTGTTATACTACTCATAATATGCACTTGCACTTACTTAAAAGGTCTCTTTCCAAGCATTTTAAACAAAAACAAACCGGGGTAGGTGTTAATTTAATTGCGTATTAAATTAATTTAATGATTAAATCAACTTTTTCAGTGCAATGAAAACTCTCTGGAAGTGTGCGAGAATAGGTGAAAGAAAATCTCCGTGGATAGGAGGATTTTGCATCATTATGGCAGTATCTACATTATTTTTTAGATAAGAAAATCGCGGCCGTAATAACCAAATTCTGCTCTTTTTTAACCCTTACATTCTATTAATTAATAAAATAAAGGTCTATGTAAATATTGCACATTAGTTCACTTACCTACATTGTTCATTGGCAGTTTCAGCACAAGGCGAACTTTTGTATAGACGAAACTCGTTTCAAACACCTGCAATTTTTAAAGATGACTATTATTAACAAAAAGAATGTATCATCAAAAAAATTGATATACCTTTTAATAACTCCGAATAAAAATTCCTATTTTATATTTTTCCAATCTGCATAATCCTCATTGGGTCTGTACGATTTAAATGGTTCGTTTATATAATAAAAATTTGAAGACCTGATAACTACATTGCTTTTCAAGACTAATGCATAATAAAGTGTATAAACATTTACTTTTAATACAAAAGTACATATTAAGGAATAATATAGTGATCTACAATAATTGAGATAATATTCAAAATAATGGTTAACAAATATACTTTGTCTAAAAAAAATATGCCACAATTTGTCATAACTATAATTAAGTAAATAAAGACAATAGTTTACCTGCCGCTAGATTGGGGATATAAAGCTCAATACTATTGTTATAAAAAATTGAGGCTTTCTAGGTTTAGAAGAAAAATTATTGGCACAATATTAAAGAGTTTTTAAAGTATCCATATTATAAAGAAATATAGTATAAATAGTATCTAACGAGATTATTAAATATTTCTCATTTGTCGGTGTTTCTCAATATAAAGTGTTTAAATAAGAAATAGTTACTTGAAACTGACTAAATTAAATCCTACTCTCTCTACATAAAAAAATCTAACACTGATATTACCCTAAGGTTTTACTTTTTTATATTAAAATTGGGACAATTTTAACAATTAGGCTTTTTAAAATCTAAAATATATCACATTAAAGTATGATGAAAATTAATTAGCACTGTTTCAACTCCAAAAACAATATGAAATTTAAAAGAAGTGATGTTTTATTTATTCTAAACTCGTTTTAACATGCAGTTTGAAGTTGGAGATTTGCTTTAAATGCTGAACTAAAAGACTTTTTTGTTTTGATTTTATCACAGTTAATTAAAATAACAAAAAATACTTACTGTTTTATATGATAAGTTCGTTTTGAAAAAATATCCATTCCTTTGATTTTAGTTAAGTTAATATAAAATGAGAAATTAAAGGAAAACATTTAGGTTCTTAAGAAGCTACGTAGAATATAAAAACACATACTAACCCAATAAACCTACTTGACTTAAGAGTACCAGTCTTATAAAAACAAAATACAAAAAGCAGTCTAATTTTTCATTTATGAAAATTCAATTTTAACGAAACTGAGTATTGAAACGGTTTCAAGATCACTAGGCAGTAAACCATGAAAAATAATTTTTGTCCTATTGAAAATGTCGGTTTAATGGCACTTTAGGAAGTCGTGTTCATTATGTATTCTTTTTTCTTGATTGTCAATCAAATACTGCCTTTACTCGAAACCAAAAATGAAAAGGGTCATAATTGTCCCACTCTAGCTATTGTACTTAATTTAGAAAAATAAAAATAAAACCCTGTAGAAACGGGAAACAATACCTAAAATTCAAACCAAAACCGTTACCGAACAGAGATGAAAACGTTCACCTCCAAACTACTATCTGATCATCTCCGAATATTTCTGTTTGTGTTTCGCCAACATTTCCGTCACCGTTACCAGTGTTTTGATGTTCGAATTTTGCTTCGCCACGGCTTGCAGTTCCGGAAGATAAGCGACGCAAATATGGTGCAAAGTGGCTAGTTCTTTGGCAGTGTCTGGTTTCGACAGTATCCGAGGCTCACCCGGATCACCAGCCATCGATAGCTGATCTAAAAACACCACCATCCTTTCCTTGTTTTTCAGTATAAAAGGATTCACGACTTCCATGTATTGTTCCTAAAAAACAAATAAACCCCGTTACTTCTAACAAGTATCGCACATTCGTTCAGTTAACACCTTTCCACCAAACTCCACCAAATTCGCCAAATTCTGCAGACATTTCGCGACCATCACCAAACTCCTGGTCGCCGACGGCGACGGTTGTTCGCTTACTAACCCAAACTGTCTCGGATTCAGCAACGCCGGACACAACAGTCGCAGGAATATGAAACCCGACACTACTCGCGTTCGAACGAACCGCTCGTCCGGCCATTTGGCCACCACAGCCTTCTGAAGACACCCGCAAATGTACCTCACAGATCGAGGGCACGCATCCGGCGACATGAATATACTGAGGGTTACCTAATAATTAAGCGAAAATTAAACAAAAATTAGAAGTTTTCTAGCTCGTTCGATACTTGCCTGATCTAATATTTGCAATAAAAATTCAGCGTTGTTGCAAGCATCGTCCAAAGACTCCATTTTAGCCGGATTCAATTCGGCGCTTTGTTTGCTTTCCAACAACCTCAGCACCGTTTCCAAAACGGCCGCTTGTAAGAACCCTCCGCACTCCGCTTTCATGTACAGATCCATCAACGTGGTCGCCAATGAAGCCGCCCTGAACAACGTCGGCGTCTCGGTTTCCCTTAATATCTAAAACAAAAACAAACAAAATTTTTACTGAAATTATACAATATTTATACAATTTGGCAACACCGCTCACAGTAACAGATTATAGAACACAAATTAATTAATAGTTCATATACACTTTGCTCCATTTCCGATTGCAGTACGGTTATTTCTATGAGTGAAACAAAGAAAGGTTATTAAAATGACAGTTGTCAGAGTGAAAAGTTGTAATGACACAATGTCACTCAGTCACTCTTTCCTTTTCCTTTGTAAGTGTCTAATGGAAGTCTTTATCTTTTTCTTTAATGGAGGTCTTTATCGCACCCATGGCCTATATAACCTATGTTGCAATCAAAAATGGAGCAACCTGTATATAAAGAGGAAGCTTTTACTATGAAGTAAAAGGTAGAGGCAAAAAATAAGAGAAAAAGGTTTTAAAACCATAAAACCTTTTGCTTTAAAGCAACAGAAGGTCCTCGAAGCAATTGAATTCTCCATACCTCTGCTGTATTTAATTCCCTGAGCAATTCGGTTTCTCTTCCCTCCGCTCTAAATACTCTCAACAGAGCTGTGGCCAATGGCGCTCTGTCGGAGTGACAAATTTCCGCTAAAATTTTCACCGAATTCAATCCTTGTTCTAACAGCAACTGCTGCAACGGGCTGTACTCCTCGGCCGGCATAACGAGGTCGTGTAAGTATCTAAAATAGCATAAAATCAGGCACGAAATATATCACGCAAGCGTACTTCTACCTCGTTTTCAACCGCAACGAACCCCATTCACCCATAGGAGTGATACCGGAGAGCGAATACCATTCTTCCATTTCTTTACCGTTACCCAAAGCGGACAGCTCGACGGTGAGCTCGGCGATTTCTTGGTCTTTTCCCTTCTTTCCCTTGTTATATACAGTCAACGTAAACGAGACGATATCGCACGGCACGTCGCTAGAAAACGAAATCGATTACAATCAAACCACTTTAATCGACATTGGGGCTTACTCGAAAGCGAATTCCTCGTCCCAAACGGGATCCGGTCCCGATTTGGTCCGCGTCCTGGCCACTCTGATTTGATTGAGCTGAACGGTAACGTACGGTTGAGGCAGTAATTTATATGGTAAACGATGGGCGTCTATAACGTGCAACGTCAAACACCTGAGCTCCCTTAATCGCGGCACTTTGGACGTCGCTTTGCTGAGCTGCGGCGTGCACAGCGGTTTCAAGGCGTTGATCCACTCTTGGCAGTCTTCGGTGGAGCGAGCTGCCAGGTGAGTTACGGTCGCCAGGCAAGGTAAGGCGCGTTCGACTAGTTGCAAACAGTGCGATCGTTCCCAAAGACTATCGTGAACCTGCAACATTCCACATAATACGTTGTTTTGGGTAAATATCTAAAACATACCTGGTACAAATAAGTACAGGATAAGTCGATTAAGCCTTTCGGTTTCGTCCGTTTCGGATTCTCGTATAAATAGAGGTGGGTGTCGGTGCCGTCGACCAACAAAACGAAATAGAGCAATTTCCATTTCTTGGCGGCCTTGTCAGACTTTTTGTGCAGGTAGCCTTGGTGTTTGATGCCTCTCATTTTCTTCAAGCCCGCTTGGTCTCTGCATTCTCTCAGAGTGGCGTAGATTTTTTCCGCTTCGGATTTGGCCTTTTGATTTTCCGGCACCCATTCTAATTCCTTCGAGCCGTCGACGACGAGCTGAAATACATTAATTAGTACAAATATATTTTCGTGGTGATAAATAATTTGCGCTTACAGGATGTTGAAGAGTATATCCTTCCACGATTTGTTCCTTTCTATACCTATTAATGACTGCGTCTAAACATTCAAATATTCTACCGCCCATAAGGTATCTAACGCCTTTCTTTTCGATTCTAAATCGTTGAATTTGATTGTTGATATGGAAGAATAAAGAATAATCCCCGGGAGAGTTATCACTTGGTCTTACTAAGAAACTACCAGGACCGGCTACAAAAGTCGTCAATTTATATTAAAAATCAGTCGCTTATATTTCTAATATACCTTTGACGAGGAGATCGACGGCTTCATTTTTGGTGCAATTCGGATGAAACCAAGGAAATACCGTGTTGGGATCGATACTATCATCCAAGTCTTCCACTAATTCTCTAAATATCATCCCTTGTTCTCCCGTTCTGTGAGCCGTTACCCACAACCACCCGTTACCCATATCGTTGTGGACAAAAAAAATATCGCCTTTTTTGAACGTCAATTCATCAGTATCGGGCATTTTTGTATACGGTAATATAGCAACGACTCTCTAGAACGTGAATTCAAAATTAGAATGAATCAAACCGAGCAAATGTTGAAATTTTTACTTTTTTATCGTTGACCGGCTCGGGCGGTGCAACGGGATGCACCAGCCTCTCCCTCTTCAACAAATCGCTGCATTCAGTGTAATATCCCACCAGATCGTTCAAAGAAACGAACTGACGTCCACCGATGTAAAAGTCACCGCAGACTGCAGTTATTCTAAAATGATTCATCCCCGTTCTACCCAAGTAAGACAGAACGTAACTGCCGGGTTTTCTGTCGCTTTCCCTGACCAAATAAGATCCCAGTTTGTTGCATTGCCACAGCCTTTCTTCGGCCTGAAATCTGAATTAAAAACACTCAATAGGATACGGTTTACGTATAAAATGATAGCTAAGTTACCTGTCTAACCGGCCATGGTACCAACGGGTTTCTGAAGGTGCGTAATGAGCGCTGTCTCCGAGATCGGGCTCTTCTTGTTCCGGTTTAATAGGTCCTTGGGTCTCTGGTTCGTTTCCATCATCACTTCCTGTGCTAGGTGAGCCGAGTTTATCTCTTTGTATACCAGTATTGTGATGTCCGCTATTCGTACGAATCAAATCAGCCATGACTCGGATTTTACTAATTGTGCATTACAATTAATGATATTTTATTCGTTAGTTATTCTAATTGACCGGGGGAGTATACGCGATTTTAACACATTATTTTACGTAAAAATCATTCTTCTAAATATTGACGTTTACGAAATGACAAGCACAAATTGACATTTAAGTGACTAATGATGTAAAAATCTTCTTCGTTTTTTACATTTAAATTTTTTATTTTTCAATCGAGTGTGTGGCCTGTTATATGTGTTGTAATTGGTTAAAAAATCCATGAAGCACCGCGAATAATTCAAATTAGAAATTATTTTCGTTATATCCGAAAAAGTGAGAAATAGTAAGCAGGTTTATTAAATAATTACCAACCGACTTGAAGTAAATTCAAATATGGCAGCTGGTGAAGACCCATTCGATGATCCATCACTCAAGGGATTATCCAGACATTTTAATGCAACAACCGTCAAAGGAAGAGCTAATGTAAATTTCGGAGTTCATATAATCATGTAATATCATCTAACAATTTTAGGTGGCTCTAGCTACGTATTTCTTTATGGGAGCTGCGTATGTGATTTATAAATATTCTAGAAAAACCGCGTCAAATGTGACAAAATCCGAAGAAGATCCTAGAAGCAATATATAAAAAAACCTTTTTACATGTCCTCTCAAAAATCCTCAAGGTTGTTAACAACGGTAAGTACAAAAGTGAAGCGGCGAAAAAAAAATTCCATTAATAATATCTTTGCAGGTGGCAGTTGCAGTAGGGACTCCCATAACTTGTTATTTGATATACACATTTATTTTAAAAAAATACTATGACTGTGGTCCCCCCAAAACTTGACGCCTGTTAAGAAAAATTTCTTTTAGAATATGTTTTTATAATTAATAAATTATTTGTAAAATAATTGTACCTAATTTTAAAACGAACCATCAAACTGAGACAAATAAGTTGGCAATATCTTAACCTGAACTTCAACTCGAAAAATGCTATATTTTAATGTCACTTATTGTAAATTTGAAGTTTTATAATAATTAATCATATTTAATTATTAATTAATCCAAATTATCTGTACGTTATGGGGAAATGCCGCTGCCGCAGGGGGCCATCCATTTTTGACGGCGTAAGTATAAAGTCTTAAATTAAATATCCCTCTTAAATTTATTGAAATGATGTGCAGTAAAAATGTAATTACAGATAATTATTGCGGCCTTGGCCTGTGGCGGAGGATATTACTTATATGAAAATTACATGAAGCACATATTTTATCCATGTCCCTCGGGCTGCATTTGTGCTTTTTGCCTAGCGAAAAAATCCAGCAGGTGTTAACTATGGTAGGATTACAGGCATTTTTGGAAATCGACAGAAAACAAAGTAAAAGAGGCGTTAAAGACATTTTTAAAATTTTTTGTTTTAGCTAAAATAAGTGCTCGAGTGAAGAATAAATATAGCTAGAATTTTGAGTACAGCTAGTTGGAATTAACGAACTTTATGTGATTTATTTTATTAAAAATATTATTTCTATTTATGCATTTTTATTTAATATATAGGTATAATACTTTTAATTAATAATACATGAAATGGGTCCCTAAGAATTAAGATCAAATAAGCAGATATTCTTTTTTTTTGATAAATATAGGTACCTACACCGGTATTTCTTCTTTTTCTTTTGAATTAGAATAAAACATATTTTTTTTACTGTAAAGTACAAAATGCTTCATTAATTTTTATAAATATATATGGACTAATGTCCCTCCTCCCCCTCAATTTAAATAAATAACATAAAAATTTAACCGCGCAACTGGTCATGTAATAAGCAATATTAAATTTACTACCTACCTACTTATTCTACAAATTGTTTCCTAAAATGTCATAATTAATTCTAAATTGTCAATGTTATTATGAAAATCATTACCATCAAATTTTTTTATATAAATCATGGTCATTAGGCTTGTAAGTATATAAAATAGCATTTCCCACTAACCTTTTCTAACATCAACGAATTTTTAGGTGAAAATTTCTTTGATAACACTGCTGGTTTGTTATTTATACGATCTATGATGATGTCCACATAGTCCAAACTTAGGCGTACACGAAGACATTTAAAATGCCCGAAAAAAAATCAAGAATAAAATCACATTAAAAATATGTTAAATATGAACGCGGAAAAATCTAAACGCACATGTTTATTGAGAATCTAAATGTAATATTATAGATATGTTGTACTCTATGGAGTGGGCCAGCCAAACCATCAAAGAATTTTTAATAAAATTAATTAGTCGGAAATAATAATTGAATTTTTATTCAAATTCAAATAAATTTTCATTTAAATACGGGACACCCCAAGGCACTACAATGATAAATATTAGTTTATTATATTCACCAAAAAAGTTGAGTATCTACCAACTTTAAAAAAAAAACTAACACTAAAGTCACTAAACACATTTTGATAGCACCATATCCATCAGAAATGACATACATAACCGCTACATTGTAATACCACCATTTGAAATGCCGAAAAATCCCTGTAAAGGTTGTAACATTTGCAAAAAAACACGACCCAAGAGCCCATGCCAGACGCAGAAGAAGCCCAAAAGCCCGCCTTGCCCAAAACCCAGCTCGCCCTCTTGCCCAAAGGCCAGCCCGTCCCCCTGCCAATGCCCCCCGCCGCCCCCCTGCAAATGCCCGCCGCCGCCCCCGTGCCCGGCGCCGCCAGCGAGCCCGGCGCCGCCTAAGCCTAAAGATAGCGGCTCGTCCTGTTGCGATTGCGATTGCGGCGTATCGGGCGGGGGCGGGGGCGGTATCATGTGGAAAATTTTTAATGTCTCCGTAAGTAGTTTTATCAATCGATTTGGGGGTGGCTTTCTTTTTATTTGTTCGTTTTTTAGAATATTGTGTACTTGGGATTGACTGGTGCTTGCATTTACGTTTACGACCAAAACCAAGAATTCTTTAGAGAAAATTTCAAGAAAATACAAGACAAAATAAACGAATACAAAAAGAAATAAAGCGTTGCCGGAACCGTTTCGTTTTATTGATTTTATTTTTATTGTATCTAGATACAAAACGTAGAAGAATTTTTGAGTGCATAATTGAGATAAATAAAATAATTAGGGTTATAGAATTTTGAAAACAATAGCACATAATAATAAAAAGCCCCTGTATTTATTTCTCTGGTCTGTCAAAAAACTAATTCATAACATCATTATCCAATTTGCACGTATTTTTTCCAAATTTTTTGTGTACCTATTGTTAAAATAATGGCTGAATGTAAAAAGAAATGTTCGTGTAAGAAGAAAGGAGGGAGCCTTTTCAGCATCGGCGTAAGTAAATTATCGAAAACTCGGCTAAATTCGTACTAAGGAAAAAATGGTTCAGAAACCCCGAAATTCTACGGTCGTATTGCATTCTAACGAGTCCTTCGAATATTGGATTTGCAAGAAGCATCGCAGTATTTCCACTATTAAAAGGCACATACAAGTGACGTGAGTCAAAAATGTTATATAATTACACAAATACACACCCATAAATTCCCTCAAACAACACCTTTTTCTGATTCTCCATCTTTAAGCTAGGTATACCAGATTTAGTTCGATATTTTCCAAAGTAATCGAGCGAGCAAAAAATAATTTGAGGTTTCTGAATCATAGTTATTGGAGACACGAAATAATTAAAAATTAATTTTAGAATATAATAGGTCTTGGATTGATCGCAGGTTGTGTGTATGTTTACAACAATTACTGCATAAGGCCGATCATCGACGATATGTTGCGCAAAATTGAACCGTTTTTCAATGATGTTAAAGGAACCATTTTCAAACCTAAAGAAACCAGCAACAGACCGTTAAACAAAACGCCTAAAAATCTTCCAAACCATAAGGAAATTGAGGATAATGTCGATAAAGACAAATGAGCTTGGCGAAAAAAACAAACTGTTATTTGTAATGTAGATCGAAGTGTACGAATTACAAATTGATCTTGAAATTGTGTCTTTTAATAATACGTGAGGAGGATTTCGCGGTTTCTGAATCAGTTACTTTTCGTTAAAAATTTATCAACGAATGTGTTTTTTTAGAACCTACTTACACTCGGATTTATAATGGGTTCTGTATATTACTACAACAATTACATGGCCTGTTCAAAAAGCAAAAGCGATAATAAAAATAAGAAAGGAAAGAGAAAATGTTGATGTTATGTCCACTAAATTGTAGTAATTTTACGTGAAGGATAATAACGTTAGAAATTACTTGATGAATTGAAAAAATCATACCCTCTAAGGCTTCCTTCCACCCTCCACCACCTTCCTTTTAGCTATACAATGCATCCTGTTCGAGAAATCCCAATTCCTCCCTTTTCTCAACTAAACGTATATTTTACAAAATTCATTACAAATACAATTTAATATGTAAGTACGAATGAACGTTCTTTTGAATTACATAAAACATTCAAAGTTGCGCCTATTACATATACGGTCTCTGAATCATTTTATTCCGTTTTAAGATTAATGTGTAATTATTGATAATTGCTATTTTTTAGAACATACTAACCCTTGGATTGATAGTGGGTGCTGTATATGCTTATAACAACTATTTAGCATGTTTAATCAAAGAAGGAGGAGGAGGAGGAGGAGGAGGAGGAGGCAAAGATGATGGCAAGAAGAAGAAAAGATGCTGATATATTGCAATAACTACTTATATTGGGACATGACTCGAAGAACAACAAAACTAAATTGTTTCCCCCCATGTCTCCCCGCATCCCCTGCTTTTGCTGCTCCAGTATATTGAATGTTAAATTGTAGGGTATGGTTTAGTAAATAAATTGTATTCACACTGAATTATACATCGAAATAGAAAAATAAAAAGACTAATAATCTTGCTTTGTTCAACTCATAGAATTCACCATATATTGCAAACAAATTTGGACATACCCGTATTAAGGATAAAGATTATAAATGGATATTTATAAAATTATATTTGAAAAATTGGCCCAATTTATAGCAAAAGCTATTTATTTAAAAATTTTGCGTTATTTTAAGAAGATTTCTTCATTATATAAAATTTAAGGCCTTTTACTAAGCAATTTGAAATTTACATAAAACCGGCTTGCTTGATTATGATCGTTATGTTGACAAATGTTTGTCAAAATTAACAATTTCTAAAACAATGTTCTAAAATTTATAGTAAAATTACAGAATAATGTCTAAATGTCGAACTGAATCGAAAAAGAGCCCAGTTTTACCATGTCTGGCATTGCTAATATCCGTAAGAAGGAATAATTTATTTTAAAATGTTTATTTCTAAATAATATGTATATTGGAACAAATTATTTTAGAGTGCTATTACTGTGGGTACGATTTTTGGAACGATATACGCCTATGATGTGTACCTTCGCGATTTAATTACCGCCGGTTTAGAACGTTTAAAGCCGAAAAAGAAAACATGCTGATTCCTGATCCCAGGTGAATAATTCAATTATTAATTTCTAACTATTATTTTGTTTAAAATTAGTTGCGTCTGCTTTAGAATTTACCGCAATCTTAGGTAAATACTAAATTATGTTTAAATTATGACTTAATAGTTATAATAATAAATAATAATAGTGACTTAACTGTACCTGTTCGGAAGCTGCTTAGGCCTTCTGTTGAAACGTCGTTGAGTTTATAACAAATTAATCACAATTTTTCCATTTTATATAAATCTGGCCTTCAGTATAGCTAGCATTAAGCCATAATAAAGCTCGGTTTACATTTAGTTATTCATCTGTCAAATTTTGACTTATGACGTATAAATGAAAAAAATAAAATCACCAGATTTTCACAGATCTTTTCTAACCTCAAACCTCGGAAGATCGAATCGAATTTCTTTCCATTAAATCCATTAATTAAATAAAATTTTCAACAATGGCTGGTGGCGAAGAATCAGCCGAAGCAGCAAATCTAAAAGGCCTTAGCAAAATTTTCAATGGGCAAACTATGAGAGGAAGGGCGAACGTAAGTCAAAGATATCGATTATGTAATGTAATTTTAGAGTAACTTTTTAAAATACTTTATATGCATAGTAGGCTCTTTTTTAAATGAATATTTTATTTACAGGTAGCCATAGCGACGTACGCAACTATTGGCACCCTTATAGCATACTTCACTTTGAAACCCAAGAAACCGAAGACGAAATAATTACATTTAGTTTAATTAGTTATGTCAACTAGCAATTAACAGAAAATATACCTTGAGATATTCAACGTTATAAATTACTTTATTTACCTGCTATATGTAAGAAGTTTTCGAGCTGGAAAAAGGAGTCGTGAGGGTATTATTTTGGAATAGATAAAAGGAATTTTGGTAGTCTCTTTTCATTAAAAGAAACTGCTTAACCTATTTCGAATTTTATTAGTCTTGACTAGTACATTACATTCAAAAAATTATAGAACACTTATGAAAATAACGCAAAAATGTGTAGCGAGTCGTAGCAAATGTGTAGTAGCAAAATATACATGAGATACATACAACAAGGGGGTGTCATCAATCTGATGAATACAATTATCGTAAAAAATATCAATTGACTATATAAATTCGAGGAATGTTAACAGAAATATAATAAAAAAATTATTAACTGAAATAAAAAACATTTGTTCAAATTGATGGCGATAAGACAAAAAATAAATTGTAGTGGTTTAATTCATCAATATTGGCACTGGATGAGGCAATCTCTTGATTAAATGTGCAGCAATAATAAATTGTTAGTCCCACTACTAAATAAACTCTTAAAAAATAGAAAAAATACTTTATTTTAAAACAAATAAAGCTTTATTTCGCAAAAAATTTCTACTTTTGTAGTATCGGGAGCACGAAATTTTCGTTAAAAAATTGATATTCATTTCTATTTATAGAAATACATATTCCATTTATAGCAATTTTGTTCGGGAGAACTAGCGCAGTTAAAAACAATCAAATCAAACCGCATTACCATTAAAGCTGGGTCACAATAATGTAATGCAAATTCGTGACATTTAAATGCATTTATTCCAAGCCGGTGCGCGTTTAGTGCACCCCATTTTCTCGCACCAGTTTTCCCAAAATAGAAACTGCCAATGACATCTTATTACTTTGGAGAAAAAGAATATATTTTATTGCGAAACAAGCAAACCTTTGAAAACCGGTAATAATCCGTTTAGGGGCAATAAACAAAATGGACGGGAGTTGAAATCACTTTTAGTGGCTGCTGTCCATCTCTGGATCGCTTTCTGCGTCCGAACTCGAACTGACCGCCAAATCGCCCGTCATGGCGACGCGGGCGTATTCATCCTTGTCGATCGACTTGCAGAAATGGATAGCGTACTTCAATTTTTGATGTAAAACGTGCTAAAATCATCAAGGTTTTAGTTTAAATGCGATAAGTCCGCCGACCATCTCACTAAATGTAAGATTCTGAACACGGTAAAGTTCAATTCAGTACTAGTAGAGCAATCGGTATTCTTACCTTACAGGAATATCTAGGCATCTTAAGCAAAAAGAAACAAGTGTAGCTCTCTGGCAAAAAGTTATCAGGCGGAGTATACTTGTCCAGTATTTGTATGACGAAATCTCTTCCTCTAAAATCGGCTATGGTTCTCGGTAAGCGCGTTCGACCCCAGACGAAGCGCAAAAACAACGACCTTTCCTGGTTAGTAAACTCTTCCATAACCTCCCAAAACCATTGGATTAACGGTGCACTACTGTCGATACCTATTCAATCATTTTATAGCATTGCGAAGTTTCAAACTCTAGTAAAAAAACTTACCTTTATACGTAGCTACAGACTTCAGTAACGTTAGAGGTATATCCGGAGAACCACAAACCATCGTTTCCAATTCGTAACCGCTAAAAAGGGACAACAACGGTACCGGCACAACTCTCGACATTCCATCCTTTACGGCTTTTATTTGCTCGTCAAATTCGTGCAACCTGAAGTTCAGAGCCAATCGGACGTATTCCAATCGATTTTCGTACGAAATTCTTTTGTATCTCGTACTCAAATGGATGTCTGTACCGCTAGACGAAGGCGTCGAGAACGGCATTTCTAAATTTTCGAACAAAGGCTCGTCGGGCGCCATTTCTCGTATACACAACAAACCCGGTACGTAATCTCTGTCGATTTCCGTCAAATCGGCCGGCGTTAATTCTATACCAGCCAGTTGTTTCCACACCGGTTCGGCGAGGTTTAGACTTAATGGTGAACCCGTACGAATCGCTATGCCCATTAGCACACCCAGAAACCTGAAACAAACGTCTCACTAACACCAATCAATTTACATTACAACCGAAACTTTACCTAAACATATTCAAATGTAAACAAGACGTAGCTTGTGGGTTCAAGATGAAGCAATCCCTATTAGCTCCGGCATCGTCTCTGCCATTCGGAGTCGGCAGAAGTAAAGGTAGAGAGCCGTTTTGGAGTTCATCGCACATCTCGGCTATGCTCTCGCTGTAACCGCCTCCGCAATCGTCCACGCTTTCGCCTACAATTCACCGTAGTAACCAAAAAGTATTCAACCGACAATCGCGACTACTTACCGACGAACTCCACCTTCCAAACGCGATGCGGCAGAGCCAACGTTTCGGACGATAACAGAGGAAGTTTGGCGACCATCTGACCGAACACCGACTTCATGCCGTCGACGCCGGCCAGACCGCCTCGCGATCGCGATCGCTTCACCTGGATCCTGTTCAATTCGATGACGGGCCCGTGATGTTTGTCTCTGACCATCGTGGCTTGCACGACTTTCCTGAACGTGGCCTCTTTGATGGAATATATCAGGATGTTGCGCAATTCGTGCAGGGAATCCGGTCCGGTGATCGGAAACATGGTGATGCACGGGCAAATCAGCTCGGCGAAATGATGCAAAAGTACCAAACGACAGTGCAACACCACCGGCGGTATGTCTTGCAGTAGATCGTATTCGAGCGGGGCGACCGACGGTAAGCGAGCGCACGCGCTGTTCGCGTTACTCGTAGACCAGGCCAAAGTGTGAGCAGATCCGCAAGCGACGTTCGTTATCTTCTTCACGTTCGACTAGAAACACGTTGCTCGTTAGTGCGATTTTAATCGTGTAAATAATTATAAAAATACCTGCAAATGCGTTACAAGTCTTGGTCGGTGTATGGCGTTGGTGGTACCATCTCCCAACTGGCCTTCATCGTTATCGCCCCAAGTGTACACTTCACCTTCGTCGGAACACGCTACGCAATGTAACGATCCGGTGGCGATACAAATGATCTTCTTACCCTGCAACGTAGCCACTTTCTTCGGCCTTCTAACGTGATCGCCCGTGCCGTGACCTAATCTGTGATAATCTCCTTTTCCCCTTAAAAATCAAACTCCCATCGTTAAATATTCTTCGAACCCAACGGATTAATACGTACCAAGTATAAACGCTTCCGGATCGAGTCAGCGCGACGGAAAATTGCGAACCGCATTCGACTTTCACGACGCCCAAACCGGCCAAACTCTCGATTTTCGTGGGCACTTTGCAACCGTCCGAACCGCCCCGTCCCAATTTCCCGTAATCCCCGTCGCCCCAAGACCACACGTTATCGTCGTCCGTTATGCATAACGTTTGCGCGTCGCCGGAACCGCAAGCCACGTCAATCACCTTATAACCCAGCAACGCGTCCACCTAGAGTAGAACAGAGTTTAGATAAATGCGAGTTTTATTTTTGTGATAATCTTACCAATTTGGGTTTAACTTGATCTTCGCTATCTCCGTGTCCTAACCTACCGTATCTACCTTTACCCCAAGTGTACAAATGGCCGGATGATGTGATGGCGGCTGAATGTGCCCCTCCGCAAGCGATGTCTACTATTTCGTAGCCTTGCAATACTTCGATTAATTTAGGCGTTTCGCAGGACCTGTACGATTACACACGTTAATCGTTTATATTAATTTTGTTTATCAGATGAAACTTACAATCTGTTTCCGTGTCCTAATTTCCCATCGTCGCCTTCGCCCCATGAATAAACATCGTTGTCGGCCGATAAAGCCAAACAATGTTTTCCGCCGGAATTAACAGCGATTTTTTTAATATAAACGTGTTGAATCGATTCCAATAAAGTCGGAACTAACACTGAATCTGTCCCTCCTATTCCCAACCTTCCACCAGCGCCGTAACCTAAAAATAAACCTCACAGTTTAGCAAATATACAAGAATTTTCAAAACGAACTCACCAGTAGCGTAAATCTTTCCATCGGCAGTAACCGCAAACAGCGTTTGTTCACCGCCGACGAGTTGTATAGGTCTCAAAGTCGACAAAGCTTCGCAAGCGGTCGGAGTTTTGACCTTGCAACCCTCCACGCCGCCCAATTGCCCTCTGTGATTGTGCCCCCAGCCGTAAATGGTGCCGGATCCGCCCCAGCTCAACGTCCAATCCTCCGGCCGCCTGTTCAGCCACAGCAACAGCTGCTCGTCCTGTTCTTTCTTGAATTCGGCGTGCCTCTCGTGCTCCCAATACTCCGAAGACGCCTCTCCGTTGGAGTCCGACAGCTTCTTCCGCACCTCCAAGCAGAAGCTCAGAGGCAACGGCGTTCGATGGATCAGCGCCTTCGATACTCTGGCCGCGTGACAGTACCGCCTGAACCACGACCATTTGTGATTGTCCGTTATATTCGACATTTTGTCCAGTTCCAAGTCGCAAGCCAGCGATACTAAGACTTTGAAGAAGTCCGAATGCATCAAATGCAAACCGGCTCGAACGGAACCGTCCTCGTATTCGTATTGCCGCAGCAAAGCCTGAGGTAGCTCTTCCAAGAGGGCGCCCAAAGCGCTATCGGGAGCTTTGAGTTCTTGGAGATGAAAGGGGACGATCTCGCCGCGTTCGTCTTCGCCCACGAGCAGCCGGTGCAGCCTCTGCAAGGACCACATCCTTTGTGCGGCCGCTGCGACATCGAAATTAAATAATTTTTTAAATCCTAATTTATTACAAATGTACTTACATAGGAAACTTAATTGAGAACAAGCGGCCAGAGCGGCGGCGAGTCGAGACATTAAAGCGGCATCGGCGGATGGGTACAATTTCGGGTCCATCAAACACATGACCATGTCCATTGAGGGCTGGCTCAATACGGCTCTATCCGAGCCCAACTCGCTCGAACCGTGACTGTACATTACCGGGTAAACGGTGAACCTCCATCCCCAGCCGTTGACCGAACTGTCCGTGGTGAAGGTCCATCGAAGTTCGTCGCCTATAAAATGGAGAGGAGTACGATGTGAGATATACGGTTTTTAACCAGATATATGAATTGAAATAAGTCATTAGAACTCAAATCAGTTTTCAGTTGCTGAAAGTATCAATATTTTAGGAAATATAGCCCTTTTAGATTTAAAATTTTGACTCGTGACGTGTAAAGTCACCAACCAATCACAAAACGAAATAGTTATATTGTGTCATTAGTGACATAAGAATTCGAATGACATGTTCGGAAGAGTAGAAGAAACGAACAAAAGTGAAATTTAACATTTTAACATCAAATGACAGATGACATATCTAGGGTTATTTTATTGTAATTTCTTTGTTTTAAGTTTATTGGGCCAAAAATAAATACTTTTTTAGAATACAATGAAGAATTTACAAAAAACGGTATGAAACAATTTTTAACTACCTTCGGATGCGACATTTTAAAATTGTATAAGTTGATTTAGTTGGAGGATAGGTTTTTAGCAAAAGTTAAAAATTAATTGGGCTTTAATAGGAAACGGAGAAAAATAAAAATTTCACCAATAACTTCATAAAATTACGTAGTACTATACAAAAAATTGTCGAACTTCTCTCCATTATACGTGAAGTATTCGACTAGTATTTTGAATTTTAAAAACGTACCGGCAATGCGTAGTTCCGAAGACCAATCGCTCCATTCTCTACCGGACATGGTAGCAACGACCCTTCCCGTTCCGTCCATTATTTGAAGCGGATCGTGGCGCCTTTCCGTCGAGCATCTTCTGTCGAATTCCACTCTTAAAGCATCGGCTCCCGGCAGTCTAACGTGACCTACATAGATCTTCAATGAAAAATCTGTAACTTAAGAACACCTACGCTTATTTACCTCTCAATGTAACGTCGTCTACATAAGGATGGCTCGATTCTTGTACCACGGGATGAGGAGTACTGGAAAGATTTTGCGAACTGTTCGTGGTATCCTCCAATTCAGTCACGCACAATTCCAACAGCATCGCGCCTATGGAACGATTCACGCCGCCCATTGCTACAAAAATCGCGATTAATTTAAAAAATAACCAAATGTCCAACAACCAGTACTTATTAACACTGAAGATAATATATCTTTAGCTTGTTCGTCTTCGATTCTATCCGCTACGGCTAATTTCAGAAGGTCCACTAGTAACCTAGCGTCGTTTTCCGTCAACAACGATGTGAACTCGTCTAAACCGTTGTATTCGTTATCGCCTGCAAAAACGAATCGATATTAATCGACACAATCGAGTACTAATCGACGAATCTCTTACCTATTACTTCCGCGTGCGATGTTAGAGTAGCTGCTATCACCGACATGGCGCTCGTGGACATTCTGGAATGCTTAGATGACATACTAGCCGAGCAACTGCTAGCAGTCATCGATTGTAGCAAAGCGGCTGTTGGATTTTCTTCGGTTTCCGGCGACGTTGGATTGGGGCTCTAATAATAGAATTAAATCAAACGATTGTAAAATATAATTGGAGATGATTAAATTACCGTGACGGACGTAATTTCCGTAATAGAAACCGGAGCTTCGCCTCCACCAAACACAATTTCCCCGTCTTTGTTCAGCGAATTAGCGTTAACAACAGACCGTTCTAAAGGCGTATCCGAAGCATTCGTTTGCTAAAAACAATACAATCTATAAATTACCTAATACTTGCAAGGTGCAAACGTACTTTCGAGTTATTTTTGATGTTAGTGTGGCTGCACAACGCCCTGACGATGCACTGCCTGAGCTGTTGTATGTGCATCGCGTTCAATATGTGATGCAAAGCCTGCTGTTTGGCGGTGTTGCTCTCCAACGACATCACGATGCCGCTCAGCGTCGGCGCGTTCTTGTCCTTGAACCGCACCTGGGGCTTCTCGCCGTTGTACAAGCCCAAAATGGTCGAGCCCAAGGGGTCCTTGGCGACCGGGAAAATCACCGGTTCGACCTTCGAGACGGTCTGCGAATCTTGCAAGGTCCAAGCGATCGAATGCGAACTACCGCACGCCACCCGGTTGACGTGGACGTCCTCCAAGCCGTGCACGAGCGCCGGCTTTCTGTTCACCACCGTCGTGCCGTTGCCCTGCTGGCCGTGATCGTTGTCGCCCCAAGCGTACACCTGGCCGTTCTCCGTCACGGCCAAGCAGTGCAAGGCTCCCACGGCGACGTGTATCACCCTCTTATCCTTCAGCGTGTCTATCACCGTCGGTTTTCTGACGTGTTGATCGGTGCCGTGGCCCAAGCGGAAATAATCGCCCTTGCCCCACGTCCAAATATCGCCTAAAATCCACACGTTTATGCAAGCTATATTAAATGTTAAGTAAATAGACTCACCGGACTTGGTTAGGGCTAGAGAGAATTGAGCGCCGCATTCGATTTGAACGACGGCGAGCGCGTTTAATCTCTCGATGTTGTGGGGAACGTTGCACCCTTCGGAACCGCCTCTGCCCAGCTTCCCGAAATCGCCGTCTCCCCAAGAGAACACCAATCCTTCGTCGGTGAGAGCTAAAGTTTGCGCGTCCCTACTACCGCACGCCACTTGTACGATCCTGTGTCCGACCAAACCTTTAACCAGCTTCGGTTTCAATTGGGTGGCGTTGTCGCCGTGCCCCAAGCGGCCGTACTCGCCCAGGCCCCACGTGTACAGCTCGCCGCTGCTGGTGATGGCGGCCGAATGCGAGCTGCCGCAGGCGATGTCGCGGGTCTTCTTGCTCTTCAGCGCCTCGATCATGCGCGGCTTGTCGAGATTCAGGCGATTGCCGTGGCCCAGCTTGCCGTCTTCGCCCTCGCCCCACGAGAACACCTTGCCGTCGAGCGTGAGCGCCATGGCGTGCTTGCCGCCCGAGTGGACGGCCACCTTTTTGACGACGTATTGGCTGAGGAACGGTATGGGTCGCGGCGTCGCGACGTTGTTGTTGTGGCCCAAGCCCAGGCGGCCGTTGGTGCCTTCGCCGCAGGCGTACAGTTTGCCCTCTTGGGATACGATGAACAAGGATTTCGATCCGCCCGCCACGTGGATCGGCTTCAGGTGGCTCAAGTAATCGGATAAAACGGGTAGCTTCACTTTGGAGCCCTTCATGCCGCCTAGTTGGTCTTTGTCGTTTAGGCCCCACACGTACACTTTGCAGCCGTTCACGTTTTGGGACATTTCGCTGTTGGATTCTTGGGCTAAATCAAATAAAATAAATTACATTGACTTACATACCGGCTATATAAATTGTCTAATATACTTACTGACTGTAGGCAATGACGGGCCGGGCGTAGATTCTTGGCTTAAATCCCAATCATTGGCTAAGAATGAAACTGAAGTTTTCAATTCGCCGTAAGATTGTTTTTTAACACCGACTATCGTAATGCCGTGAATTTTGCAATCTATTCCGTTGTTTCTGCATTTTATTACGTTAATTTCGATCAAAGGATAATGCTAAAAAGATAAAATTTGACGTTAAATAATGCGTTAACGTTAACACTAAATCATACTTTTTCCACATTCGATAGCAACAAAACGGACGTATCGTTGTTTTTCACGTTAATAACGTTCAATTCCGTCATGAAATTGATGGAATAACCGCCGTTGACGGCGATAACCGACGGCATGTAGCTGTTATCGTTGGGATCGACGCCGATTTTTAGAGATTTTATAGTAACGTCGGGGAATATGTCCAGTCTTATCCAATGTTTCCCTTGGGATCCGCAACTCTGCCACACCGTACCGGGTACTTCGAATCTCACCGCGCATTTCGAAGACACCGTCACGTTCTTGACGATCCTGTCCCATTCGGTGACGAGTTCACCGTCCAAATCAATCGTATCGTGTCTGTAATATCTGCCGGCTCTACCAGCGTAAACTTCGGGAGTACCTAACAAACAATATTTTAATAATCGAAATTTACTACAAACCGCAACAATTTACCCGGTTCGTCGATTCGTGAGAACGAATGCCTGTGGTTCTTCTTCGTATAGAAGCAATTATCGCAGAGATCGAAGCTTTCGCAAGTTTTACACTTGAACCTGGCCCCTCTTATGGGCATGACGCAACAACCGTTGCAACTGACGCCGTCGTGGCACGACGGCACTATTTCCATTTCGGCCAACAGCCCCGTCCAGTTCTGTTGCTTCGGAAAATCCACGGTCAAATCGTGCCCGTTCGGCGACACGGCCGTCACCACTCCCACGCTATCGTGTGTAACGTAACCCCATTTATACCTCGGCGTCGTGACGTTCGATTTCACGCGCACCTTATCGCCGATTTTGATCGAAGACGGCGACGGCGACGACGGCGGAAAACCCAACAATTCGATGTGGATGAAACGCACCCAATAGGTGCTCTTGTGCTGCCAATTCACCTGCAGGTTCAAATCGTGCAGGCCCTCCCTGTCGATCTTCACGATCTTACCGATGTCGCCGAGCTGCACCTCCTCGTAGCCCTTGCAGCATCTCACCAGCATGCCGACCTCGGCGTTGTCGCGCACGTACATCGCGTACTCGTCGTTCGAGAGGAACTGCGATCGCCTGGCGTACGTCTGGTGCTTCTCGTCGCTGTAGGGATTGAGCGATTGCGCGCCGGTAGCGTTGTCGTACGACACGGACTCGGTGTCGGAGTCGTACACCGAGCTCGACGAGTCGCTGTCTTCGGCCGCGACTTCGGGGTGCTCCAGTAGCCAACCGACAATCGATTCGGGCGTGAGGTAACTATCGGCTCCGACCGATAGGGATTTCACGGCCGCTTCGACGGCTCGCTTCGTGAAACCCATCTCGACTATTTGAGATACCAGAGGTGATAGCGGCGCGTCGTCTTCCAACTCCCTGCGTTTGTTCGTGCGTTCGCTGACTACGCTGTTGACGGAGCATTCGCTGTTCGGTGTCGCCAATTCGCTGTTGCAACGCGTGCCGTTCTTCGGGGTGGTTCGGTCGTTGTTGATGTTGCTCGGCGTTTCGAAGCAACCCTCGCTCGCCAGGAACTGGCTCAAATTCAAAGCGGCCAGTTGCATTTCTTGTATGGTGAAGCCGGGCTTCAGCGAACTCGGCTGTATGGCCTTCGAGAGCAACTTTTGCACCAGCAAAACGGGCTGTTGGTTCAGCTCCTCTTCGATCGATTGTTGCTCTTGCGATTGATCCATACCGTTGACGGGGTATTTCAATACTTTCCGGAGTTTGTATTGATTACTTAGTAGTACTCTCGTCGCGTTCAATGCGCATAGAATGTTTTGTTGCGTCCTCAAATACGACAAGTTTATTTGACCTAAAACAAAACCTATTCTACACACACTATCGTATTAACTATTTCTTAACTCACCGTGTTGCGTCTTCCTCTCGTGATTGTTAAGCGTCTGTCTGAACATCAACAAGCTAGCCCAAGTTTTGACGAAATTCTCGCCGAGAATCATCCGATCGAAGTTGAATTCCACATCTCCCACCAGCTTCAAGTTACTGATAGGAACCTTCTTGACGTCACCGTGATCGTGGACTTGGATCCACAGCTTCCCCTTCGGCGTGATCCTCACGATGGTGCCGGCCGAGCCGTCGACTTCGGCCAAAGCGCCGATTCGGGGCCGCGAGTCCCAAGCGCCGATGACGCTGAGACAGGCGACCACCATGTAGTGTTGCTGATCGCAGGACGACGCGTCCGACGCGACGGCGGGAAAGCAGGCGTCGCTCAGCAAGTACGCGGCCAAATTCAATTTTTGTATCAACATGGCGTTGAGTATCTGATTCCAACCGACCAGGCCGTGGAGCGTGCGCAGCAAGTTGACGATCTCTTGGGCGACGGTGCCGCTTCGAGACTGGGTCAACAGCACCGAGGATTTGACCAAGGACACCGGTTTGTTGTAGGCGTCGTACGAGCAAGTCAATATGATCCTGCCGAGGATGTTCAGCAGCTTCTCGAGCAACGGTGGAATTTCGGAATTGTCCAGGTCCCAAAAACGTAGGACTACGTGCAGCAATCGGATCGTGAATATCTGCTTGAGCAGGATCGATTCGTTTTCCAAAGCGTTGGCGGGCGGCGACAGGAAACCCAACAGCATCCTTATCCAAGGTTTCGTGCTGAAGGCCTTGCACAATTGCTGAGACTGGCAAATGCTTCTCACCAGAGTCAAATCCGCCCATTCCGAACTCGACGAATTCAACGAGTTGCAAAACAGGCTGCTCAAACCGTGCAATGTCGCTGGATGTAAGTTGTCTTTCGTCAGACCGGTGCTGATGGCTATGTTTCTCAAGAAATTTATGCTGGCATCGCGCAGCAATTTGATCAGTTGATTGTCTTTGACGAGTTGAGTACCTGCAAAACGATAGTAAGTTTGAACAAACTGCTTTCTCTGCTCTTCTACGATTTTTACCGTGATCACTGGACTCTTCGGTTTCGGATTCGGAAGACACAGGGGAAGGAGGCGATGCTAGAGTGAGATCGTATTTCCCTTCAATTCCCATTCTGTAGCTGTTGGTAGTACCGTTGCTCCATTCCACTCTCACCCATCCGTCATCTCCGAGCTCCCCTATTACCCTGCCTTCTCCCGGTGGATTCCCATCCTGAATAACAAACTCATTTTATTAAGAAATACTTACAATAAGCCAACGTACCTGATCGCCCCATTTCCAATCGGCTCCTCTCACCACTTTCGTGCCCAATTTCATCAAATTCGCTAGTTCCTGGCCCGATAAACAGCTGGTCTTCGGCTTGTTGCTGTCGATCAAATCGGCGTACAGCACGTAAAATTCGGAAACTTTTCTCACAATGCCTTGATCGCATCCGCATTGCTTCAATAATCCCAATACTGAACTTATCGCTCCGCTGTTAACGATAGGACTCAATTCTAATGCGTTGTACCTATTTGAGGATAGTACACCTAAAATGGCTAATAGCATTCTAGCTCTCGGGAGGTCTCTGAGTAACGTGTAGGTTCCTAAATTGAGGTTAATCTTAGCGTTGGTGCCCTTCGATTTGCTGTTTCTGCTGGGGATGTCTTTGAGGATGTAAGCTCTCAGTGTTTCTATGCACCATTCGGTAACGGCCAATTGGGATAATAGAATTTCCGTCTTCAAAAAGGGAGTTACAAGATCTATGTTATCGAGGCAATGACATGTCTTTTCTTTTTTATTCAAGCCCAGGTAGCCGTTTATTATCGAGTATTTGACCGAATTTAGCAGAGTGGATTCGTTCAAAAGGTGGCTGATCATTTGTAAACCGTCTTTGCGCGTTTTGCAACGTCTCACCTGAAAAGTAATTAGATTAGATTAGCTGTAAAGGGGTAAGAAAATTTGTTAATAAGCTCACCTGATTGTACATGACTTTTCTCAGTAGCTCAATGTCGCCCGAAGAGCGCAGAACAAACTCCAAAATCGAATGAACCATGTCCAAATTTTCGTTGCTGACTTTTCTCATTTGCTTCTCGTGCAATTTCGCCACGATGCCCGTCAGCATCAATTGATTCTCCATTTTCTTTTCTTTCTCCTGCTGCAGCGGTTCGTCTCTGGTCAACGTCGCGTTCTCGCTTTTCTCCACGTTCCATTTTTCCTCCAAGGTCAAATCGACGCAATTTTTGACGGGTTTCGGGGCGTTCGAGGCGAACGTTTCGCCGGTCGCGGCCACCTTCAGACAGGCGTCTTTCTGCGCGCTGTTTTTTATCTCGTTGTTGACGTCGTCGGTTTCGCTTTTCGATTCCGATATTTTCCCGTCCGAGCTGGCCTTTCTCATTTTGCTGACGTCCTCCGAGGACTTGTGCCGCTCGATGCTCTGAGATTGGATCGTCGCGTTGACGATGTCCTCGGGTTTTTGGATTTCCGATGTGTGCCGGCCGCATTTCAGGTCTTTTATGACTTTCTTTACCAGCGTGCGAACGCGCGGTTCCTTGTAGAGGACGTTCACTTTTTTGAAGGCCTCCATTTCCAAGCTGATGGCCGGTTTGACTTCGTAGAGCAGGAACCGGCATTTCTCTAAAAGCGGTATGCATATTTCCTTGTAGCCTTTGTTCACTTCTTGTCTGGTTTTGATTAAATTCCATTTGGTTTGGTGGACGCATTTGATCACTTCGGCTACAGATTTCGGTATTTTTATCGACGGTTGTGTCGCATCTGATTTCAAAAACGGTTAATTTACGTGCGAAAATCGAGTAGTTTTTTTAACACTTACATGCTTCTATGATCGGCAACAAAACGTAACCGAGTCCTAAATGTTTGATTAAAACGGCATACAGTACCCTACCGATTTCTTCTATCGGATGTTCAAAAGAAAAGTCCACTCTAGTTAAAAAATTATTCGCTTTAGAATGCTGCTCTACTATAGCCAAAAATGATATAACATAAGGATCCTACGGAAAAATACTATGTTAGATAATGGTTATTTGATGATATAGATTCTTTCCTAGAGATGACTCTACTGATAAAATCTACTGAACGTACTAATTAGCATATTTTTTAACTCATTAAGAAATACCAATTAAAACAGTTTAGTTGATTTATGCAGCATTTTTCTATCTAGAACCTAGATGATAAATTTATTTGTGATAAATCCACCATATGCAGAGACACTCACAGATAATCTACTTTCTGCCAAAGCGTTGATAAAAGTTTTAATCCTTTCTGTGGGCTGTTGGAAATGTTTCAATGTCTTTTGCACCATGTTAACTCTGGGCTCTGTAGGAGTATTTTCGGCTGTGGAATTTGTGCTGCGCGAGTCTCCTTTCTCATCTTCGTACGGATTTGGCGGTTGGTCAACCTAAAAGGCTCAGTTACATAATAAACCCGAAATAGTACAATTATAATGCGAAATATACCTGTAAACCGCCGCTTAAAAACGGAGATTTTAACCATTGCGACGACGAAACTTCTTCGGGTGCTAGAGATAAACTTTGCCTTAAATTGAAGGCGTGCAAACCGAGAAGGTACCCTAAATTCCTTTCGGCATCCAATAACATCAAGCATACGTTAAAATAGCAAAAATTCTTCCGGCGCACCTCCGTCTCCGGCTGACAATAAGTACCAACAAGGTAATTTTCCATCAAACTCATCAGCTGGCCACTCTGAGGCGAATTGTTTATTATATGACCCACTTCTTTCCCCGTGTATTTCTGCAACATCTACAACACAAACGTTTCAAATGACTCGTTACTTTGCGCATAATCGTAGTACCTCCGTCACCGAAGGATTGTCGCATCGAAAATCCTGCACATCGTACACTTTGTTGTTAACCACCACCCACCTGCCCCCGTCCAAATTGTGATTCTCCAAATCGGATTGCCTGATCAACGGCAGGTCCTCGTAGGATTTGTAATTGAACGCGTTCGATTTCGTCTGGGTGATGCCCGGCCAAGCGATGTCGTCCGCATCGTGCAGATCGATTTCGGGCATCAATCTGCACAGCTTATCGATCGATTTCAACACATCATTGAACACGCCCAGCCAATTCATCGAGCTCAGGAACATGCCGGCTTCCCTTTCGAGCATGATTAAGCTCACTATCAGTTCCGGCAGAAGGACTCCCGTGATGTCTTCTTTGAGTATTTGCAACGCGTGCAGGAAAGCTTTGTGGTTCGATACGCTGATTTCGTAGGCTGCGTTCAACGTCATTGTAGCGAAACATGTGAAGCAATCTAAATATTTCGTTAGCAAGGTTTCGGCCGAATCTTGGCAATCTGGAAGTTTGGAATAGATTTTTCCGATCAACAGTCTTTGGAATCTTTGCAGGAGCTTCAAGCTCGGCGACGGCGGCGATTTTTGAGCCGCGACTTTGCTGGTTCCGATTTCTTTGATCGATGTTTGCGTCGCTACGCTTAAATTTCTGAAAAAAATTCACATACAAACAGACTAAGTGTTATTAACTGTTAGTTTATTGTCTACGTTACCTCACTAATTGTCTAATTAGATACAACAGAGGAATGGTTATTGTTGAGGTGGTTTGTTCGAAATTTTCGTCGAGGTTCGATAGCTCGGAAACGTCCGCTCCCAAGGCCTCGTTTAGGGCGGATTCCAGACCTCCGTCGGCCATTAGGCTCCACACCAATAAGTCAGTCATGAACCTGTGGCCCGATTTGCACATCTTCGTGTCCGTATCTGCTGTACAAATAGATTAAAAATCACCACAAACATGCCGCACAATGATGAAGAGGTTGGCTCATCTCGAACATCTAATGACGTCACACCTCTTTCTGTTAACCTTTCGAATTACTTAGCAGAAAGAGGCAGTCGAGCCTCCTAATTGAGCAACGTTGATGAATGAAAACGTTCTCCCAAAAAAGGGCAATTGCACTCTGGTCCGTGGACCGTAACAAACTGAGCAAAGTAGGGCTTAACCAAATTTAACAACATCAACAACAACAACAGTACCTGTGTGCAAAAGTAGAGAAGACAACGTCCTCGCTCTTCCGTTGGCCGTGGGCAACAACACGGACCAACCGGTTTGCAAAGTGGCCTGGGCAGCGAGTTGTACCGTCGGTAATATCTTGACCGCGCTGGCTAAATAGACCACTTGCGACTTGAGGTTCGCCAAAAGTTTGCTGTCGGAACCCAAACCGATCGATTTCGTATCTAAATTGTTGGTTATTATACTGTGTAACTAAAAAGAAAGAAGTGAATTCGTCGTTTAACTCGAAATTATCGTTACAAACTTGTAGCTGCAACAACTTCAACGTCGAGATGGCTAAGCATTCCTTGTCTTGAGTGGATGGATTGTGTAAAACGATCAATTCCAATATGTGATAAAGCAATCTAAAACCAACAAATGTTTCACTTGGAATGTTATTCCCCTTGGTACTTACTTGAACGTTTGTTCGGAGAGATCTATAACGAAAGGAAGCGACGTTTTAGGTACAAAAGAATTAACGCTGGTCCAACAGAAACTTTGCGTCGGGCCGCACGAGATGCCGATGATTTTTTGTCCTTTTACGGACTCGACAAGCCTCGGCTGTTGAATGTATATGTCGGGAATGTCGAATAGCTGCTTGTTTTCGTTTTTACCCCAACCGTAAACCTCCCCGTTGTCGGTCAAAGCCAGTATATGAGCGGCGCCCAACGATACCGATACGATATTTTTATCTTGAAGTACCTCGACGGGTTCCGGGATACGGATGTGCTCTTCGTTGGGATGACCCAATCGCCAGCCTTCACCCTATTAAATATTATTAAATTATATTTTTCTCGATTCAAACGATTTCACGTTACCGACCTTTCCCCAAGTGAACAATTTTCCATCCTGCGATAAAGCGACGCTGAAATGTGCCCCGCAATATACATCGGTTATTACGATATCTTGTAATTTTTCGATTAATCTGGGAATCTTGGACCCTTCCGATCCTCCTCTTCCTAATTTGCCGTAATCACCGTCTCCCCAACTGTACACTTTACCTAAAAAAAATGCGTATACAAATATCCGGAAATCTCCGGACGAACAAATAAAATACCTTGACTTGTAACGCATAGTGTGTGAGCATCTCCGGATCCGCAGGAAACTTTAACGACATGTTGCCCGGATAAACCGCCAACTAGAGTTGGTACCAAGCAGTCTTCGCAAGTACCATGACCCAAACGTCCATAGTACCCCTTGCCCCATGTGTAAAGAGACCCATTGGCGGAAATAGCAGCGCTAAAATAAAATACATTATTCCACCATCCATACTTATAAAATTCTACTAAATTATTACCTGTAGGTAGCACCGCATTCAATGTCAACTATATCTTTTTCTAGTAATGTTTGAATCAAAGTTGGTTCTTCTTTAAAATTGGTGTCTCCGTGTCCTTAAAATTAAACAATCTTTATTAGGAGATTTGTAAGAATAATTCACAAATGTACCTAATCTCCCACCATCACCATTACCCCAGGAATATACTTCAGACTTCCTCGTAAGCGCCATAAAATGTTTACCTTCCGTGTGACAAGCGATTTTAATCACTTCTATTTCTTTCAAACCTAGAAAATTCAATCGAAATTAATTGCTATTAAATCTCATAAGTAAAACAGTTTACCTTCAATAACCTGTGGACATTGGGTTTCGGACGAGTAATACATGAAATAAACTTTTCCAGAAAACGATAGAATCAAAAGACCTCTGTCGGAGCAACACAATTGCTTTATGTTCAAATCTGCAATGGCCTCGCACGTTTGTGGCCCCGAGCCCACAGTCCACGACAGCCAACCCCAACCCCAAGCTCTTTGTCCGTTAAAATAGCAAGACTGAAACAAAATAATTCATCGATGACTTTCGAAACGGCCAGGTAGATTGAAAACTACCTTATTAAATGATGATGGAGGAATGTGTGGAGAAGCCAATCTATCTAAATGGGCCATGATAAACACCGCGGCTTGTTTCAAGTCTATATCGCAATCATCGTCATCAGGTAATTCGAATAAATCCAGGTAGATTTTGGGACTGTTTTCGACTTGTACTGCTTCGTCTTTGTTAATGAATATAGTCTGAGAAGGCTCAATATCAGATAGTCTTCGAATAAACGGCAAGAGAGGGGCACTGGTTTCTTCCTCAACAGATCTACCATTCAAAAATTATTAATTTAATTAAGACCAAAAAAAACCCAATATAACTGTTTACCTATTATCGGTTACTTGAGTCTTTTTATTCCACAAAGTTAAAAGTAATAATACTACGTCCAAAATACTGCTTAAAGTCGCTTTTTGCAAGGCAAATTCGAGCAGTAAATTCAAGGAAATATTTTGATCTTCAACGGGAATGATGCAATGTTGTCGGTCGCTAGATAAGTCCCTAAAAAAATAATTTCTACATTACATAACTACACTTTAATGTATATATTTCAAACACTTACCCTGTAACTACTTGTTTTAAAAATTTAATGGATCTTTCTACAACTTCTAACCAAATCGGAGATACATTGGACTGTTCGAAAAGCGTAGCGACAGGCAAAAGTCTAAGAGCGTCTAAAGATTCAGTTAAAAGTTCATTGCACAAATCCGTGTCTTCTCCCAATCTCCAAGCCCTTTTCAAGAAAGCGAAAGAAAAATTCAACGCCGCTTTAGAACCCACCTAAATAAAATTCAAATTAACTAGAAAGAAATAACAATCATTAGAATCCTTACTCGAGCCAGGCTGGTAGCCGGATCTATGCTGGCAATTTTGTTTTTAACTTTCGCCACAGCCTTGCCATCGTGACGTTCTATGCTAGTTTTCCTGATGTATATTCCCGGTTCTATTTCCACCGGATGAGGCGCCCTGTTTAAAGCAATGAAGTATCGTTTGAAGATTAACAATCGATAATGTAGTCTTATGGATGAGAGTGAAGAATCTGCTGCCTCGGCACATAACGATTCCTGCTGTTGGTTCAAACTATACAAACTTTCGGAAAGCTGCTCCAATGCTACAAAACATCGTTAGTTAGATAAATTCATCGTGGAATAAAGTAATTAACGTACTCGGTTGAGGACCCCAATCCCACCTGTACAAGAGAGATTCAATTGATGGTAGTTTTTCATTGGTAGCGACGACTTGAGCGGATTCCTCTGCATCGAGTTTTTGACAAGGCTGGCAATTGCAGCCGCTGTGAGGACCGCAAATTCCATCGCAGCAAGTGCACGTCAACACCTACGAATTATTATATATTTAAGTTTAATGAAATAAGCGTTTTAAAGGAGGAAGCGACGTACCCTTTGTCCGCAATAGTATTTTCCGTATTCTCCCTGTTTGGCTGTAACTCCAGCGCTGTTGAGCCTACCGACAGAAAAGGGCCCCGTGAGTTCTCCGTCGTTGATCAAGCCATTCCAACAATTTACTAGATTATCTTGTGAGAAAAATAAATTTTCCAGGTTCGTTTTAAGCCATTTTATGTCAAGACGGGGCTGAGGCCTTAAAATAGTCTCAGTGTGAGACATGTTCAGGCGAGTATCTACAAAATACAACAAATCCTAATTGAAGCACCAACATTAACCTACATTAGTCGAAAATTCTTTAATCGTTTATTCATTGAAAGAGCGCAATGATGCTATTTACATTAATCATATCCATTTAAATAAATTAATTCAATATAATGTACCTTGTGAAATGTAAACATTTTTGTCAAAGTAATATTTGACATGGAACTGCAAGTTCCAAACTTTCGCCAATCACAGAATATTAAATAATAAGTTTGTCATTGTTGCCAATATATGTCAAATGTGTCAATTGTCATGTAAACAATTTTTAAATTTTGAAATATTTATAATAAATAAAAATATAAAACGTTTTTAAGTAAGTGAAGAATTGAGAAATAAAGATTAGATGTATGTAAAATGTGCAGTGAAGAAAATAAACAACACCTTTCAGTGTGTGAAATGTGAAATGTCAAAAGTGACGGGAGGACAAAGCGGCAATAAAAATAAAAATAAAAGCGAGCGGCAACACTGTGTATAGTAAATTAATTTTTTTATCTTATCATTGAATTGTTTAGTATTCTGTATTTGAGAGGAGCACGGTTTGAAAATTGATTTATTAGTATGTTGTGAATTATCGAGTAGTGTTCGGCATGACAGCAACATACACCGAAATAATTTTAGCCAGTTGCATATTAATACTCCCTTTTTTATACGAATCCAGCCATGCATTCCGGTATCACTTAAAGTTCTTTCTCTACTATGCCATCGTTATGATAAATTCCGTTATACTCATCCCCGTTTACCTGTTCAAGCCTGGAAATGTGAAAAATCTGCTGTACGTATATCGGTGTATTATCCGCGATTTAATTCAGAAATAATCAATGTGGCGTTTTAGAATAGCGAGTGATTTTTGCCGAGGCATCACCAACCTCGTCGGCTTGAGATGGACCCTAAGGGGAAAGGAGCATTTAGAGAAAGAACAGGCCTGCATCGTCATTGCGAACCATCAAAGCTCTTTGGACGTTCTCGGTAAGCTGTTAGATTAAAAACAACCCGTGAAAAGTCCATTAGAAAATCAAAATTTCAACGCGTTATCGACTCTCAAACATTGATCTTTCAATTAGCCGTGTAAATACAAATAAATGCCCAATTGATTTAATCGGTTCCTGTAATTATTAATTCAATAGGCTTTCGTGCTTCGCACTTCGATGGGTACTTATCTAGTTAAGTGCTAGCTGCTGGCATCACGATTAAAAATAAAAAAAAATAATTGCATAATTCGCATTTGAATATACCTTGGAACCGTCTTATCGCTTGTAATTCTATTGATGGCACTTTTTATGTACATGAATAATATATTTTTTATTTCATAAAATTGTTCCTTTTAGGCATGTTCAACTTTTGGAGGGTGATGGACAAATGCACGGTGATAGCTAAGAAGGAGCTGCTCTACGCGGGCCCCTTCGGCCTGGCTGCTTATCTGTGCGGACTGATTTTCATCCCCAGAGTGCAAGCGGAGAGGGCGAAAGCCATTATGAACGAGGCAGCTAACAAAATTAAAATCGATAAGGTAATAACACCCCACGACTTATTTCGATTATTTTTTTATCATACTCGAATTAAGCGATTAGTTGATAACATGAAAATTTGACCTGACAATGAGTTGGGTCACAGGAAATTATTAATTGGTCAATTAAGGAGGCTCGTTCGTATTTTGTAAACAGTACCTATTCTATGCAAATTGGAGCATTGTAGGTAATAGATATGCTTGCAATGACATAATGCGATAAATGTGTAAAGGGAATAGGAATTAATTTATTTTATTTTTATACTTTTGAATGATTCGTTTGGTGTTATATCATGCACTTTGTATGAAGTATCTAGTAGATTAATTTGGAGATAAAAAGGTATTCATTCAATTGCATACTATATTTCAATAAAATGGTACATCTTTTGTTATCTATTCATTAAAGAAATAATAAAATCGGTAAATAAAAATATATTGATAAATTTTATAAATAGTAGCATTTATTTCCTTCTTTAACTTTGTTTATTGTAATATCTTATTTGCATACGCTCCATTTGATAAAATATGTCCAAGGATTCCATGTTTCGTTTTATTTTTGTAATTTTATCAATATTTACTGCTATTGTTGCAAAGCTTGTAGGGAAAAAATTCGTTTCGAATACAAATTTCGTTTTGGTAATTTTTGTGGTACGTATGTATATCAAAAATATGCTAAATAGGATGGTTTGTATGAAAATTTATTCGAAAATTTCGTGAATGAATATTGTATTGATTGAGCACCTCAATTATCATCATCCTTAAATCTATTTATTTTGACAAGCAATTTTTTTGAAAATAATTTAGTCGTTAAAAATGTAATAGTTAATTAAATTTGTTGCCAACATTTTGTTCAAATTTTTTTTGTATGCCAGCTAAATATTATCTATTATCCCATTAAGTTGTCATCATCCTGTTTATTTATTTTTATTATCTAATATTTTTTCCAACGAATTGATATTACTAGTTACTTTTTACTGGTAAAATTGGATCTATTATTTCTTAATAAATTAGGTGTTATTAAATAAATTAATACCAAGTATTTTTTGTCATTTTAACTTTGTTGATTATTTGTGAGTATTTAAAATAAGTACCTACCATATCAAACAAATATCATTAAAAAAATCTCAAAAAAGTATTTTTAATCTTAGTTTGTTTTATGTTCTCAAAGTACATACAAACAATGCGCCATGCAACAATTTAAATATGTAATTATAATGCAAGTCAATTATTTCTGAAAGTATTTAGGACTTTAAATGTATTTATGAATGTATTCATTATCACATATTTTAATTGCTTGTAGCATGTAGCCATTATACGAATTAATAATAACGACTTTATGGCTTAATTTATACTATAATTTCTACAGTATAACTGTCGTTACCTAATTAAAATCCATTTTATTCATTTATGTAGAATACTAATTCATTCTCATAGTTTTTTTTTATCAATATAGTAAAAAATGCTGCATTAAAATAGTAATTTGTAGAAGATTTTGTCTTAAAGTTTATTTGAATATTTCCCACAGGTTAAATTATGGGTATTTCCCGAGGGAACGAGAAGAAACGATGGCAAAATCCACCCTTTCAAGAAGGGTGCTTTCCACATGGCTATCTCAAATAATTTACCAATAGTACCAGTAGTATTTTCCAGATATTATTTTCTCGATAAAAGCGTCAAACGATTCGATCACGGTAAGATCCTTAAGTAAATAAATGATAGTATAAGCGTATTAGGAACACATTTATTACAGCGATAGATAAACTATATAATCTAATTGTTTGTTTATTGGATATTTTTTGAAGGCAAAGTGACAGTGACGGCTCTGCCACAAATCGAAACAAAGGACCTGACAATGGACAATTTAGAGGAATTAATGGAGCGAGTTCGAAGCGTTATGCAGGAAACGTTCAATGAAACGAGTAGAGAAATCATCGAAGACTTTGCGCCGGTTTCTAGTCACAAGTTAACTTGAAGTCACAATTTTTTTGTACCTATTTTATAAGGTTTAGGTAGGTAGATTTTTACTTTTTTCAACTGAAAAGACGGTAATTTGTTATTCGGAATTGAACGAAACGAGAAGCAAATGGTGGTGTTCATTTTTTGATGTATAATTTAAGTGGAATGATACAAATCAATAAGTTAACATTAATGTGACTCTAAATTTTTTATGAGCTCCATTGTATCTGCTAAAAAATATAATGGTTAACGCGATAACCCTATTTTATTATCGACTTGTCTAGGTTTAATGCCAAAGAGGGAGTTGCCACCTGTGAAAATTATTTTTAGGAAAAATTTATTAGGTTTATTCTTGATTTAACCATTAAAAATTCACTCTATACGTAATAATTAATATACTTTGATTTAGATTTTCTGCACAAATATTCTTTCGATATATAGCAGAACAAAAGGTCTAATAGAGTAGAGTTTTTTAATACACATTTAATGTTTGTTACCTTTATACGTAAGTATACATGTTATACTATGTATAATTAATGCATCACAGCGTGCCATTTTAAATTAATCTAGTCAATTTATGAGTGTATTTTTTTATATGAAATTGAGAAATTATTTTTTGTGAATACTTGCATCATTCCGATTTTAATTACTGTTAGAATTCGAAAAGACCTATAATTTAACGAATCATGCTCATATTAATTTTAGTTATTTGTAATGATTTTATGTAAATATTTGACTGGTTCGATTCACGGTATTATATTTTGTTCTATGACGATTGAAAATACAATTTTCTATGTCCAAATTGTTACTTTTTTTTTTCAAATCCAATAGAAACCCTACAGTAAAATTAGTAAATCTTAAACGATTATGAACTTTCAATTTCAATTTTTCAAATTTTTGAATTTGAATTACTTCTCCGCTTTCACACTGGTCCATGATGAAGTAAGAAAGTAGCAACTTTCTTTACGTGGCCTCTACCTTCGTTTTACCTCCACCACTCGCATATTCTAGTTACTTCCTAAATATCCCTAACTCCAGATTATTCTAGAAACGTCACTTTTGACAGAAAAGTGACACATTAACCTAACCTAGCATTCCGGTTCATGTTTCATTGTTTACTGTTGAACGAAACAAACTACGATTTACTCAACCGAAAATCATGGAAAAGATAGACGAGGTATGTTTTACTAATCAGCATCATAAATAAATTTAAACGTCGCTTCAATTTCCAGCTCAAGAAAGATATCGCAGAACTGGAAACCCTCGCAAAAGCCGCTACTCGGCAAAAATGCAAGGACATCCTAAGCATTGAAATACGAAAACTAGTTACTGAAGTCGTTAATATGGAAGAGGCCCGGAAGAACACAAACGGCACTGCTCAAACTAACAATACCCCATCAAACGCACCTTCCAGCTCCAGCAGCGCACTTCCGAAAAAAAGATACCAGGAGAAAATTAGCAATTACGGTGAGTTACAATTCCAATTTACAACTAACTTCGTTAATTTGTAATCCGTTTACAGCTTGGGATCAGTCCGATAACTTTGTGAAATTCTACATAACTCTAAAAAACGTACAAAACATTCCAACAGAAAACGTAACTTGCAGTTTCGATGTTAAAAGTGCCAATTTAGTAGTCAAAGATCTGGATAACAAGGATTACTCTTGGCAAATCAAGCAATTACTAAAGGAAATCGATCCGGCAAAAAGTTCTTGGAAAGTAAAGACCGGTAAGTAATTGAGCATATTAAAAATGCTTGTGGGTTAGTATGCAGTCTACCCTAATATATATTTAAATGGTGAGTTTATAAGTAGACCGCTTAGTGAACCCTAGAAATTAAATGGGTAGATCGCATACTAAAATGGCAACAAAAAGTATTCGTTATAAACATAAGATTTGTTTCAGATACTGTATTGATAAATGCAGCTAAAAAGTCGTCGGGAAATTGGTCTCACCTAACCGAATGGGAAAAGAAGGCCAGCGAAAGTAAAGCCCCCAAGCTCGATTCATCGGATAAAATGGACCCAACGGAAGGGCTAATGTCTCTTATGAAAAACATGTTAGTATAAATCTACTAGAAGCGATAAGTAATATTTACATATTTCGTTAATTATAGGTACGATTCTGGTGATGATGAAATGAAAAGAACTATTGCCAAGGCCTGGACAGAAAGCCAACAAAAAAAGGGACAAGATTTCTTATAAATGTAAAAAATTATGTTTAAGGTATAAGTTTTTTTTTTCAATAAAATACACAACATGATGAATCAATTAACATAACTTTATTTCGAAATAAAAAAACAATGATTCTCGTACCCTTGTTAAAAAATAGCTGTTTACGTTTAATTGGTAAAAAAAATCCAAGTTACTATTAATTTTCACTTCTTCTTAGTAGAAATAAATTAACATAAATAAAATTCTTAAATACTTAACCTCAAAATACTTACGATATGACTGAAAATAAACTCTAATATCGAGGTAAAAGTAACTAACAATCCAATAAGATAAAAAATAAATATTAAATCCTACAAATATTCCAGTGCTTCGTCGTGGTAAATAAGCAACCGAAACAAAGGAACGGGTTTCTTTGGCTGAAAAATAAACACATCGCTTACAAGGAAAAGGCCGCTTCGATTAACATTCGGCCAAAATAACGTTAAATCTCAATATCAATCTCAAATGGCCAGTCGAGCGATTTCTCAAAAGGAACAAAGAAAATCTTACAGTTTCAGTTCGGGGGAAATTCGACACGAAGGCACTTGCAATTTCTGTATGACGTCGTGCATTTGGGGATGATTGTGCGCCGTGTAGGACAGCAAAATCGGCCCGTTCAGTGTCGTCAAACAGCCAGGACAACTCAGAGTTTTCTTTTTGACGCACACCCAAAGGGTGCATATGTCTTTTTTATCACAGAGCGTGTATATATGACCGTTATGAATAAGGACTAGCTGACCTCGGCCGCTTTTCAGCAACATCAGACCTGCAAACAACAAAATAACTGTAAAATAAATAAACTGAAAAGATATTTGCGACATATTAATATGGCTGATCCAACAAATGACTAGATCTGTTATTAAAAATCAAGTTTATTAAAAACATATACAGTTGATAAGATAATTCTTAACTCCTCTTACAGTTAACCAGTCTCACTTTTATAACGTGTTTTTCCATATTTTAGTTTAGAGTCGTCAAACCCTGTAAACTTATTTAGAAATTCCTAAAAACTTAATAAAGAAATACATAAATAATGACTATTAAGTGTAAATAATTCGAGTTACAACGGATTCGTATAAGTATCAGCTAAATAGTTTAAATATACAGTAAAAATTTTGATAATATTGATCGTTTACGTGTATATTTAAACCGTTAAAAGCAATTAAATGTAAAATACTTTATCATAACTCTTAAAATTAATATAAAAATACAGGTGTTATCACTTTGATCAACAAAATTTACTTGTTTTTACTCATACATTTATTTGTATAGGTTTTTTATAGATGGTTGTAATAAATTTAACAAAAAAATGTTAAATATCCAATCGATTTTGACATATAAATTGAATAAAATAAAAAATTGTTATAGAACATTTCTTGGTACAAAGATCAACTTCATGCCTTGTAATTTACTGCATTTAACAATTTGCAAACTTACTGTAAATTGGATAAATTATAATGAGTCTTAATAAACAAATATTCGCAATTTTTAAGTCTACGGCAACATTCTTAAAGGGAAATCGACCACCATTCGAGTCATCTATACACCATGGTAGATAATAAAAAATATATAATTCACGTTTACCAACTCTTCGCATTTTCTGTTTGTCGTTTTAACAATTAATTTCAATATCTACGATTCAAAACGGTTCATATAAATAACCAAAATAAAACGGGCCATTCCCCCCATTCAAAAACAACAGTTAAAAATCTCAATTGATCGACGTCTGCCACAAAACCTCCTGCAAATTTTCAATAGGAACTTCGGTATCTTCTTCGGGATTAAACGTATCAGGTATAGGCGGATGGCAGTGCATGTACGGCCACTTGACTATATTCCCGTTCATCGTCCAACAGACGGCCTGGCACTTTTCGGGCGTGCGGCTATTTTTGCAGTACCAAAAGGCCTTACCTTTGTACACGCTTTTTTTGTAAAACACGTACCCGTCAACGATCAACCGCGGACATCCGCGCTTGCCCAAGATGCACTGGATCGTACCTGCATTAAAATAATACGCAACGTTAAGTACTTCGACAAAAACCACATGCTTCTAATGTGTTTATCTAATATCTCGCATATCTCGTCTTATCCCTAGTGAATTTTACTACATAATCGATTTAATAGAATAAATTACTCGTATAAGAAATATACACGCTAGCAGCTCGTTCTACCAAAACATTAAATCAAAGTGTTAAGTACCTTTAAGGCGCTTAATACGTTTAAAATTGAACGAATAATGAATAATACAAAATATTTGATATCATGCAAAGATTTCCTCGATTGGTGAAATTATAACAAGCTTATGGTTTTTGTGCCCAAACTAAAAATACCACCAATGCTTTTCTATATGGCATCTACACATGCACTACTTATCTTATTATACTTTACTTCTATGCGTTAATTAGTGTGATTAAGTGAACCTAAATATTTCCAATAAAATATCAAAAACAATTTACAACGATTTCGAATTCATCATAAATAAATATTATGCCATATAATATGATAAAGAGGTATTTTAAGTTGAATTGCTGTATTATTTTAATGCATAATTATTTATTTATTTCAAGAGGAGCTAAATATATCTCATGCCGAAATTCTACTCAATAAACCCAATTACATCCGTTTGATTTAAATAATTTTTACTCGATTGTTAGATACAATTTGGTGCGTAAAATATTGAACGTACCTGGAGACGATGAGTCTTGCGAAGGGGGCGGTTGGACATCGAAAGGTGGCCAGGAAGGAAACGGATGAGAAGGGGACGGCTCCTCTTGGGAATTTTCCAACATATTTCGTAATTCTACGTTCGTATCACCTCCTGAAACATCCACAAATTCAAACTAGCCTATTGTCCAATAAGCCGGTTGTCTTAAAGCTTACCCGAGTGAGAGGTGTTGTCCTCATCGTGTTGTTCTAAAGGCTCCACTTTGGGTTTCAAAAGAGGCATTTGGAGATTAATCTGATTAGCCTGTGCAGAGGAAACGGAAGACTGGATCGGTTGCTGATCGTTTTCAACCAAAGGCTTTTTGTTAGGAGGCGGTTGAGAGAGTGCCGATGGCGACGGAGACTGAAATAATAAAAACAATCAGATAAGAAACGACAGGAAGTTTTTATTAACTGTACTTGCTGGTGATGAGGTTGCGGAGATTTGTCCGGCTTCGGACTCTCTATTGGTCTCAAAGGCTGCGTGGGCCTAATAATTTTTTTAACCGGCCTTGGCCTTTTCATTATATTTTGCCTCTGATCGGGGCACCCGAAGGGTCCTCGGCTGCTATTCGTGTACCCGTTGGTTTCCTAAATACACACAAACCGTTACGTTCATTTACCGAGTTGATTTGTTATTAGTAACTTACGGATGGTGTTGGAGAATTACTATTATCCGTCAAGCCTTTGACTTTAAGCATTTCAGCAACCCTCATAAAGGTCGGTATCTCTTCTTGACTAACACTAACTTCACCTTGATACATGAAATGCAGCAAACCGCATAAGGCATTGTAATTTACGTCTGGAAGTATTACTATGGGATGCTTGCAAGGGTTTACCCTAAAATACGTTACAATCAAATTAGTAAATGTTTTACAACTTTTCAAAATGTAACTGATTAGGTAGCTATAAACAAATAATTTGAAGATTTAAATACAAGTTTAGCTATAAAAATGGAAGCTAAAAATTATTATTAGCTTAAAAAGCGTATGTTTACCTAAACAAATCTTTAAAAAAGGGACTACAAACAGATAAGACAGTTTTATGGGCCTTGAGGAATTTTCCTTCAGCAGCCAATGTAACATCAACCAAATCCTCGTCTTTGAATAACGAATGAAAACCCGAGCTTAAATTCGTGTGGAAATTGTTCCAACATAGAGAAAATTGTTCACCTTCCATTTCAGTACTTCTCGCTTATACTGTAAAAAATAAAAAAAATAACAATAGAAGCCCAATAAAAACTAACTTGGTTATTAAACATGCCCGAACTTACGATGTTTGTTAGGTGATAGAGAACTTGTGAAATTAAATAACCATTTTTTTATTGCAAATCTCGGCACAAATTGTTAGTTTACTGGTAAGATTTTATATGGTTAATCAAAAGAAACAGAAATTTGCAATCTCGTACCGCACCATCCATACCCAAATGACATGTGAAATCTGTCAGTTTCTTATTTTTTTTATTACCCATAAGGCCTCTATTTGTTAAAGTTCTACAGGCACAATAATATATTTTGGAAAAGAAGAAAAAAGGTTATGATAAAAATGTTTATTTACATTTGTGCAGGTAAATATTTAAAAAAATCAAACTTGCATTCAAAATGACGACGATAATTTGCGAGGTAGAAGGCTGTGTTACTAACAACTCCAATTTCCCGAAAGAATTTTATAAATTTCCAAAAATTAAAACCACTCGTGACACCTGGGTTAAATTTTGTGAAAAACCCATTTCATTTTCAAGGAGCACCAAATGTAAGTTGTTATAACCTTTTGTAAACACTACTATTATTAACTACCATTTCAGATATTTGTTCATTGCATTTCGAAGAAACCGCCTATATCACTGAAATCGGGGAAGAAAATGGCAATACCGTTTTAATACGGAAATTAAACCCAACTGCAATACCTACTCTAAATAAACCTAAGTTCGCTAGCAAATCGTCTAACCCCACAAAATACGGACACATTAGAAATTATCAAGATCTCAAAGTTCTAAAAGACAGCAACAAATCTCTCGAGGAGAAAATCCAGAAACTAAACGATGAAATATCCAATCTACACGGGACCATAGCAAGTCAGTCACGACAGGTCCGTAACATTTCAACGTCTATAAAAAAATCCACTTATAGTCCTAATAAAGAGAAGGAAGGATTGTTATCAAGAGTATTCACTCCATGTCAAATTAGAGTGTTAGCTGGTAATAAAAAGGCACAGTGGAGCAACGACGATAAAGCCATAGCTGTTACGATAAGATATTTAACCAGTGCGAAATTTTACGATTATTTAATAAATCAATTGAACTACCCGTTACCGGCTCGGTCTTCTATTACAAGAGTGGCCAGTGGAACTAGACAAAAATGTCTACCGAAACTCTCTATTACAAAGGAATGTTGAACTTGTGACTGTAACAAATATTGTATTAAGATAAACTCAGTAATATTACAGAAGACTTTTACTAGAGTATTTTTTATGATGAAGCGATAGCCAACATTTTTTCTATATCCACTACTTTTTCCCTTGGTTTACCTAATTTGTTCCCTTCGAATTGTTCGTGTCGATTGATCTTCTCCCAACCCATCCAATTAACAGTTTGTACATTTTTTAATGCTAAAATCGGAGTAATATCTTCGATGCCGCCTTTCGCATCTTCAGCTAAATGCTCAGATTGAATATCTTCGATTATATTTTCAGCTACTTCGAATGCGTTACTCATTGTTGTGAGTATTACACCGGTCGGTCCGGTGCCTAACCAGCCAGACACGTACAGTCCTGTATTGACACGAAAATTGTTATTTTTCACCAGCCCTCGAGCACCATCGAAAGGTATATTCTCGTCCACCTGTATCGATTTATAGCCTATACTGGGTACGATTAGGCCTGCATTTAATTCTTCCATTCCGTCCGTCAATACAGCTTTTTGCTCCAAAATATTATCCCCTTCTAGTTTGTTAATTCCCATAACCACCTTTTCAACGGACTCGCTACCCGAGATACTCAATGGAGATCTGAAGAAAATCGGTCGAAATTCTTTATCTTTGGGAGTTTGTGGCTCGTTTAATGATTTTAGCATAAGTTCTGTTATGCGCTTCTTCGGTCTTGCAAGATGCGGGATGTGGTCAGCGACTCCTTTAAAATCTTCCGCCCTCCATATTGTAGAGCAGGTTTTCAATTTTAACATTTCCCTTAGTTCTTTGATTGTATAAGCAGCTTGCAAAGGTCCTCTGCGACCCACGAGGAATACTCTCTTTACTTTGGACATTGAAAGGGCTTCCAAGGCGTACTGTGTAATATCAGTTTTCTGAAATTCGGAATGTTTAGTAAAGGAATTAATTAGGGAAATTATTCTTACTTTTAATTCATCTACAGGGGACAACAGTATTCGAGCTACATCTATAGCAACGTTTCCTTGGCCAAAAATAGCCACTACTTCTTTCGAAAGGTCTATTTTCAAGTTTTTGTCCCATGGTAATCCATTGTACCATCCTACAATCCTCCTGGCTTCGACGCAATTGGCTAAATGTTCTCCGGGAATCCCCAGTGTTTTACTTTTTTCCGCTCCGTACGTCTACAATAATACCATTAATATCCAAATAACCATTAGGACTATTATCTTACAAGTAAGACAACATGATAAGCGTTCTGAAGATCTCTCAAAGAAACATCTCTACCGAGTGTAACATTTCCTAAGAATCTAACGAAAGGATTTTCTCCCACTTTATTAAAAGTGTTAATGACATTCTTGACCTCTGGATGATCGGGGGCCACGCCAAATCTACGAAAACGCGCATAAAATCGTATTTAAATAATTCTAACGGTATTTACCTTACCAGGCCAAAGGGAACGGGCAATTTTTCGATTATGTCCACCTCGCATGATTTGAGTTTCTTAATCAGATGCTGAGCGGCGTAAAATCCTGCCGGTCCTGCTCCCACAATACAAATTTTTGGATTATTCGGCTTCGAACCAAAGTACCTCTTTAAAAGTAAACAAGGCCTTATAAACGTCATTATTTTAGGTTAAATTAAGACTGTCAAAACTTGTAGCTAACTTAACGTTGTTAATTCAACATACGTAATGGCCTCTTCCACAGTAAGTTTTCACGAAATAAAATAAGTAAGATTATAAAAATATATTTTAAAGAAATCAAACGTTTATAGTTGTTTTAGTATCTTGCCTTCCTCGGAACCGCAGGAATAAAGCTTGCTCTTGCGTTTTAGACAACTTTTTTCGCGCCTCCTGTACTTTTTCTTGTTCGTTAATTAAGTAATCTTTCAGAATCTGCGGTACATCGCGAATTACGAAAGACAGGAGCGAATTTAGTATTAATATTACGTGCTAAAAACAAAATCAAAAACATTAATAAATAATTTAATCATTGCGCCTGATGGGTAGGCAACTCACCATACTGTTTTTAATCTGGTCAGTTGTGGAGAAGATAAAAATATTAGGAAAATAATTTGATACTCTCACCTCAAAGCAAACAACAAAAACCATCTTCCATGTGAAATCCTCCCAAAATTCGGATGTAAGTCTATATTTATTCGGATTATTTGGAGGTTCTCGCATACCCAAGTAGTAACAATATTCCGGTTTACCTTCTATAGTTTCGTATATCTTACTATCCTTCGTTAGAAATGCTAGAACACAATTTACTACAATAATTTTACAATAAAAAAATACATTTAAATACCCGACAGTGTGTAATTATAAACGAATCCCTCCAAGCTATTACTATTCTTATGCGAATAAACTTCTCTGCTTACAAACATAGTAGAAAATGCTATAACTAACGCCTGAAATGGCAATGCAAATATTTTCAAACTGTGCGAGAATTTACTAAAATAATACTCATACATTCACTGCCGTGTTAAAATAAATAAGGCCCATTAAAATCTTCTGCCATTGCGTCATGCCAGGTATTTCCTTCGGGACCGGTCTCCTTGTATTCTTTACCAAAGCCGAAGCGCTCAAACGCAATTCTATTAGATTATCCAATAGAACAAACACCGGAGCCAAAGGAAAGGCAGCTCCGAAAAACGTCACCAAACCATATTGAATGACTGCAAAAATGCATCAAATCTATTCGACAACTCACCTATCATCTACATTTTCTTACCTAGTTCATTATATTTCATATTTAGTCCGCCTTTAGAGGATTGATTCAACCAGTACTCGTCCTCGTACTGTCCTACAACCTCGGCGACGGTTTGAAAACGGTTCTTAAATAAACGGAATATAATACTAAAAAATAAATACGAAATGTTGCTCGTGATACGCGATGGTTTGCGTGGAGAACTCACGATAGTAGCACCATTAAAATGTTCAATAACAGCCTTCGAAAAATTAGTACGAAAAATATTTTACTGGCCAGATCGAGAATGCAAGGGAGAGGTTGGCAGGAATCTCGCATTATGGTGGTCGATACTGTAGATTTGGGACTAGTGTTAAATGATCCCTAAAATATTATCTCAAAGAGTCAAATTAAGATACCAGTATATAATTCGCACCTTAACAAATGCTGTGTAAAAAAGCACCGCGTAATTATTACTAAACGATAGCAGATAAATTGTATATAACAAAGCTCTTTCATAGCACTGCTGTGTCTTGTGCATTGAAAAATCGGTTAACCATCTCGATATATTCGGAATCATCTGAAATTAAGCGTTTTACAAGTTAAAATACGCGACAAATTCCAACATACCTTAGATTTTATTTTAATAGCGACGATAAGAAGCAGACTAGACGTCAGTATTATGACGCCCCTTTTTTCGTTTTTCGAAAAGTGTATCGGACTCAATACGATAAAAATCTTCAACGTCAATTCGAAATAGAACAATCCGTATACCACAGCTAAATCAGTTAGGCACTAAAATCATGCAAAAGATCGAAACACTAGATCAATATGATACACCGACCAAATAGCCCAAGACAAAATAGATTAAAACAAAATAGCTCAAAGACAAAATGGCATAAAAACAACATCTGGGCTCTTTTGTTGGGGCAGTTTTCTCTTGGGCGATTTTATCTCCGGGCTGCTTTGTCTTGGGTAAATTTGACGGGTCACGAAGAGAAATAGTTTTACTACAAAAAACCCAATTATGGTAACAACTAGGTATCGTAAAGCCGTTTCTATCGGGTGCATGCAAGGCTCCAATTCACCAGTAACATCATCCTCTCGATACCTTTTCACATTCTCTGCGTATTCTCGCCTAAAAAATCAATACTATAATAACGCGTTTTTATACATTTAAACTTTTTACCTGATATTTAAATCGTAGCCCTCCTCTTGAATATCCCATCTTATTTTTAACTCATTCGTCCTTCTTATCCAGATGTTGGTAAAAAATGTACCTAATACAGAATATATGAGATACTACTACTTGAAAATTCTCTAAAACTCACCCCAAAACGATATCAACACTGCAAAGATGACAGTTAAGTAATTATCGAAAATGTACGTCCACATGAATAAGCTGCAGTACTCTTTTAACGGCTTGAAGTAGCATAATATTTTCAACAAGCATTTCGGACACAAATCCACTGTACTGGTACAAACTTCCTCGCTAAAAATTATATTCCCGATTGTTTTAGCACTACCACCAGTAAAGTATACACACTTACATATTGTGAACGTCCTTAGTTCGAACCAGGATGATGCTAATTAGAAATACAACTGTTCCTAACACGGCCATAGGGCATAACATTAGTATCAAATACTCGAGCCAGTGAAAGTAAAAAGCCATCTCGGGACCGTAATATTTCTTTATCAAATCCAAAGGAACCTCGTATTTCCATACTCGAAACGACGCCCAATAGCGATAAAGAAGCTAAAACGATATTCATTCAATCGATTAATCTTTAAAAGAGAAGCAGCGCGATTTCTTACTTCCCTATCGTTGTACGAAGATATCGACATTCTATCGAACTCGTCGAAATGGTAATTCAAAGGGCCGTCGTGCAGAGGATACGAATCTGTTATGATATCTTTTTCGGCGAGTTTCGTTAAACTGTAATCGAACGCACCGTCGCCGAATTCCGTCGATTCCAGAATTTGATACAGAATCGTAATGCATTGGGAATTCGTTAACGCTCCACTAAAAGAAATCGCCCAATGACAAAACAGTCCAACGAGAAAATCGCCCGAAAACGAACCTCGGAGCGGGATTAAGAAGAGGCGGTAGTTTCTTAAAGTGGTAACTTTTCAGTATGTGGAGATCTTCGAATTTGGTTCGAACCACTTCTCGCTGAACATCGTACATCTCGGCATAGGATTTGTGCACTTTTTCCGGCAGATGCAGCAGTATAAATAGCAAGTAATAAAGGTTCTGAAATAAACAATTATTAGATCGAATGGAATTGGTAGTAAAACAGATTACCCTCCCGAGAGTGATTTCGATATCGATATCTTTCCGTCGAAGGTTGTTGAGAAACTGCTTTAATTTCGGAAGGTTCTCCTCGTGAGTTACCAGCACGTAGTGGATTTTTCTCCGGCCGTCCGGAAAATACCCCTTATCTTTTTGCGGATTCATTTGTGACAATGACAAATGTATTTTAATTTCACATAAACGTCTTCTTTTTACTAACAAACTTTTATAATAAATTTATATTTCGTTTATTAGATAAAATCACACTTATTTAATCGAACAAAACAATTATAAGATCTAGAGTTGAGTCAAGGCTTCTCCTTACTATCTTTGTGAAGTTTGAATATAGCGGATGTAGGCAATGCTGGTATAATGTACGATACGATGCCTTTCAGCAACATTATCACATGCTAGAAAATAAATATTTGGAGAAATTGATATAAAATTTATTAAAATATACCTCGAATATCACTACAATCATAAATCTAATACCCAGCAAGTGCCAATACTCGGTGGTTAACTGATATTTTCTGGGATGATCAGGAGGATATCTTCTACCAGGATAATAACACCAACTGTATCCCGTTAGTTTCGGAGTATCTATGGGAAAATCCTCTATAGCAAAAGCTAAAAAAATACTTAAATTAATTCAACCTAAGGCGCCTAGTTCCACAACAATCTACCCGACAACGTGGTGTTAATAAAATGCGAATCACGATAATACGCCTTGAAAAAATGAAGATCTACCATGTTCGTCGTGAAGGCAATCACAAAAGCCTGGAAAATTCGAAATTATGGGTATTCAAATCGCCAACATCGCACTATAGAATGTCTCACGTTAGTGGCCACTCCTAAGAACGTGACCAAATGCAAAATGCGAAACCACGCACCGAGCCCGGTGACTTTCTGCGGAATCGGCCGCCTGTAATTCTTAATCAACTTCGAAGAGTCCGTTCGCAATTCGCAGGTGCACGTTATGAAAGCCAGAAAGGGCCCGATGGGAAATGCGGCGATAAAGAACACCATAAATCCAAACAAGATGACTGAAATTATCGATTCGTTAATATAAACTCCTTGCTCTGTGTCGTTTTGGTGCGGGACACCCTGTATAATACATGTAAATAAAACATACCTTGCTCGACGTATTCATCAACGAGGAAAAAATGCCGAGTCCTCGCCAAAAGAAACTCTTCTTGATAATACGGCAATTCCTGTTGAACGTTTTTAAAAAAATATTTCAATCGTCTCAATACAATCCTAGAAAATGTCGTTTAATAAACTAATAAATAATAGAATAAGTTCGTCACCTACGGTACTAGATATTGCGTTACGTTACTAACAACAGTCTTAGCGACCATGATCATAATTAATTGGATGCATAAATCTAATGTACACCCGACTGTGTCGCATATATCCGATCCGAGTTCTTTGTACGGATCCGCATCTTGTAATTCGCCTGGATGCGTAAAAAATCTACCCTACAAACGATTTTTATTATACAGAGTGTCCCGTATAAGGACCCACACAGAGCAGAAGCGTGCAGGGGAGTTGGTTCTTTTGCGGGACGCTCTGTATAATTACAAGCGAATTTTACCTTAAAGAAAGCAATGTAAATAGGAGCGGCGTAATTGTTGATAAATTCGAAACCGTAAATCTTGTAAATGAAGGCGTTATCGAACTCGAATTGTGTCCGGTGGTTTTCCAATTCCGTCAATTTCAGTGCTAGCCTTTTGAAAATCTGAAAACCACTGCTACCAATAAATTATATTAAACAATTATACCGTAGAGAATAAATTGAAATTGATCTCTTGGAACTTCCAATGTGTTTCTAATGTTCAAATTGTTACCTGCTTGAAGCTGATTATAAACGTAGCAGACATTGCAGCTCCGCTAGCAGATGCTATCATCTGTCTATTTTCCATGAGGATTTTTTGCGTCGATGTACTTTTTATTAGGACTGAATTTACCGTTATGCGATATATCATCACTCCTATTACGCACAGGATTATAAGGATAAACTGTTTGAAAAATAATAAATACGTAAATTTCTGTAGATTATTAACACGATTAATACTTACTGAAAATATAACAGTAGCCACTGTTATAAAATAGGAAGTAAACACTTTAGTTGAAGGTATAAATGGCTCGTCGTGACCGGTTACATTCGAATATTTGAAATACTTGGCTTTTCTTACAAAAGCCGATCTAAAACAACGCAAAATTATGAGTAATTCTTAGTAAAAATAATAATTTATTTACCTTGCAGTAGTATCATGATCTACGTATTTCAAGTTCCATCTGAGCCTTAAAACAGCTTCTCGCCTTTGCCATAATTCCATGAAAACCGTAGCTGGTGAAACAACTCCAATTAAAATCAAAAGCACTATTATTTCTACTTCAAGCATTGCATATTACTTACACCATATACTTATAAAGCCAGCAAATAGGTAAGTAGCAACATTGTCAAACGCGTAAGAGAAATTCGACATTCGACAATTGGACTTCAGAAATTCGTATTTGCATCTTAAACATCTCGGACACAACAGCAATTCGCTTTGGCAAATTTCTTTACTTAAATAACAAAATTTAATTTAAAAAAAAAGCTAAAAATTTCAAGTTATGCAACCACGTATACTCAACTGTTGACCCGCGTCGGGGGTGGAGGAGATGAAGATACTTTACCTCGTGATTTTTGCCGATATTTAATACTTTTTTATTACCTTCTAATGTTTTCGTCTGTGTGTAAAGTAGCCAAACCGTACATCAATACAAAAATGCTCAATATCGCCGGAAGTACAAGCATTTTGGAATAGAGATCCACCCAGGCGAAGTAGAACGAATATTCAGGACCGTAATATTTCTCCACCAAATTCAGGGGCTGCTCTTTGCACCACATTTTATAGCTGCCCCAATATTTTTTCAGCAACTGAAACGCTCAATTTACCTATTCGTACACTCGTCAGCGGGGAAAAGTAGATGGGTACCTGTCGGTCGCTGAGAAGGCCCGTTTCTGTCCAGTGATACGGCCCCTCGTGTATCGGATAATAATCGCAAATCAATTTTTCGTGCATCAATTGATCCAAACCGAATTGGTCCCTCTCCGAGCCGAAGTACACCTTCACCAATAGCTCGTAGACCGTCAGAATTCTCTCAGCCGACGTAATTTTCTTGGATTCCAAGCCGTAAATCGAATCACTTGAATGCAACATGTTAGTTGGTTTTGTATTAGAATGCACGAGAAACACTCACGAATAGCGCAAGTAAATTGGATGCCGGTCGTTGCGTTGGGTCAACGGTGTTTCCAAGCATCGTCCTATTCTTCGAGTACTTATAACATTCGGTACAGTTTTTTTACCTAAGGTAGTACTGCATAGGTCGCTGTATAAGTACACGCTGTCGTCGTTGATGTGGATTTTTACGAAGAACACGTCGTCGTTTGCCTGAAATATGAATGTAGCGTGAAAAATTGTGATTTTTTTATATTAAAAGTGTCGTACCAGGAAAAATTCCTTTTCTACAGTCAAGCCGAGAGCCCTTAAATTGTTCAAATAGGTTTCGAGCATCCGGTGTTTCTCGGGGTCGTTTTTAAATTGGCTCAATTTACACACTAAAACGAAATCGATCGTTTTTTTACCGTCTGACATCAACATTCTGTAAATATGTTTCGTTTCAAAAGTCAGAATGATAGCGACAGTGTAAGTTTCCTATCAATCATTGCGATTGTTTCGATTTTTCTTCTTCTGCACACTTTAATTGATGCACTAGGATTTTAAAGAAATTGAATATCAAATAAGGATTTAACCCAGTTGACTCCGGTCTGAGAAGCCAAGGTCATTTAATCATCATTTATATTAATACGAGATAACTCGTAGTCGGCGTCCTGGGCAAGAACGCAATCTACGAGTAACCTCGTAGTAGTCAGTCAACGGGCAGTTAATATGGAAATTCTCGAATACATTTTCGACGTAAAATTTATTTTTCTTCATACATAAACTCAACAACACAAATAAAAATTATTGCGCAAAAATATCACATAAAATAGTGGCTTCCCGATAAAAAAATTAAAAGCAGTTACGTAATAAATTAAAGTAAACGTGTATAACTAACAAATATGCGCTTATGTTTGGCTTATTATAAATAAAAATAGCCGAGAGGCCACTAGATTGTATACAACAGAAAAATTAAGTTTTAAAATTATTGCGAACATTGATATAAAAATCGCAGTGTCAATTCGCACCGTCAGATCTGCGTAACATCAATTGACACTAAAACGTGTTCGGTTAAATAATAATTTTCCATCAAATTACCCAAATTTGATACTACACCAACGCTTGTTCTATAATTTAGCACAACGAATCGAATTTACGTATACATTGCATCAGCGAAGTGGTACCGGGTGAAGTCTACTTAATTTACTAATTTATTGTCGATTCTCGATGACGGTACGACTCTTACAAGCCTTTGTTGAAATAAACCCGCTCTGGCAATTTATCTCCGCAATTTTTCTTCATCTTTTCGTATTCTTCCGGTTCCAACCATGCTATCGTTGAGGTTTTTATAGAACTAAAATAATAGGTGGTTTTTTAATAATAGAAAATTGAGAAAATTACTGTTAATAATGGCATATCCAGTGTGGAAAAACCAAATGGAATAAATTCATTATTTCGGTTACTGTACTAGAAAAGGAACAAGAATTTAGGGTGAGCCGACCATCATACAGTAACCTAAATTAGAATTTATTCCATTTGGCTCTATATACTAAAAAACTCACCATTTTTGTGGAAACAGGGCGCACGCCGTAGGCACCATAAACGTCAAGCTAAAACCACACAACGTTTAATAAACCTAACAAAGTCTACGACCAACCAAATCACTTACAAACAACCGACAGCCATCACTTGTATGGGCCCGTGCAAGAACGTGATCCTCTGCATGAATCTGAATTTCTCCGCTCTCTCCATGATGACCGGCAAAATTAACATGCCGGGCGCGCACATCACTATTCTAGAGACGATCACCTGCGAAATGCCTTTGGCAGCGGCCACTCTCGACTGGCCGATGATCCGCCCGTTATCGTCGCTGCAATCGATGCCGTGCAAAATCTCATTTTGCCGCATCAACGGGATGTTCACGCAATTCGCCGCCGCCACCGCCGCGAACGGGACGTATCTCTGAAAACATCACGATTCGCATGTATCGAACAAACCAAGTGTCGATGTACGGTTGGTTATATCAAATTTAACCAACCGGTAATATGTTATTAGCTGAACACGGGGATTACCTGTACGAAGGGACTGGCTCTTTTGCTCCAGTAGTATTTACAACCCAGGGCTGTAATCATGGCTGAAGAGGTGGCCGAAACGTAGGCCACTGCTAGTTGGGTAGTGGTGGTGGGAGATTTTGCGTTACGATTCGTGTAGTTGACTAGGGCGTTGAACGATTGATTCACCCATTGCCAGAAAACGACCGCAAATGGAGTTCTGTAAATTCAGATATGTAATTAATTAGTCTTGCGAAATCGACAATAGTGTAATGGGAAGTAAATTCGTATTACATTTTTATAATTAGCTGTTTTTTTATTTAATTACTGATAGTAATCGGTAGAAATTAAACAAAATTGTTCCTTAGAATCGAAGAGATACATAAAACAATAATAAATATTTACATATCCGCTGATATGATAAAGAGGAAATATGCAAAAATTAGTCACATATAATTACATAATAATTCGTTATTTTTATACTTATCTCAAACATATTAATTAAAAATTTAATGCAACTGAAATCAGTGATATTATTATACTGTTAACACCTTTAAATAAATACATCTGCTCACTGACTGATATTAGTATATGTTTATTTTTAATCGCAGAAGCGTATAAAAAATCTTACTGATCTCATGAACCCATATTTTGAACTATGGACCAGAATTATGAAGAGCAATTAGATTACCACAGGAACATACTTAAAGAAATTGATTAATTAAATCCTCCATCGATTAATCTATCCTCAATCGATCATACTATCGGTGAAGAACGCTTAAAAGTATACAATTTAACACTTTACAAAGCTTTACAAGCTTTTGAGTACATGTATGAATGAAAATTGGCCTTGTAGTACAAGTACCACATCCACACAAAAAGTGTCAAGTATTAAACAAAAGTAACATACCTATACCATTGTAACATGGCTCCCGTAATAGCCATACCGCCGGGCACTTGAAACGACATCCTGCCGAAGACATTTTGCAATTCGCCGCTGTCGGGATGGAAGGCGCTTTCGTACAGTTTCTTGGCGTATATCACCTGTTCGACGGTGGTGCCCTTCGGCTCCTGACCCTTCCTGTACTTCTCGACCAGCAATTTGGCGTTGTTCAGCGTCTCTTCGTTTTCCATGCACGTCCTGGGATCGGTCATCCACAGGAAATGCTTGAATCGTCCGACGAACGTGTTTTGATCCCATAGCGGCTCGTCGATTTTGATTCTCTCGCTCATCGCTTTTACTGAAACTGTGAGACTAACGTTGAGCTTAGCGTGTAACAAATCATTCTATCGCTCGGTGCAATTTCAGATGTTTCGATTCGAATGTTCGCGGAGAAAAACAACAACAAATCAAAGTCTAAACATTTGCGTAATTCGTGCAATTAACAAAATATTTATTCCCACGACCCGCGGTCACGTTGCTAGTACGTAATAGGTAATATACTCAGTTTCCTAATGCGATATAATACTTATAAATTAGTTAATTCGTTAACAATAATTATAAATTACATTATTAATATAGAATCTAGTCATACTAACCTGATTTATAATAGTAAAATCAAAACCAAAACAGTTGATTTTTAGAAGAGCTGCTGAAAATCAAAGCGGCTGTGGCTACTAGTCCTACACACGGCTGTGTAATGTAAAATACCGTAATACGCCCGGGAATATTAGATATTAGTAAAAGAAAAAAATAGGATGATTTTTAGTTAAGTAACTTGTTGGAAAAATTTTAATAGTACCACCTACATGAGACACCTGCGTAGCATTGAACTAATTTTAATACAGTAAAAATACCGGACAAATCGCATGATATACTTCAGTAATTTTTATTGTTCATTTATTTTTAAATTACCTGTGATAATATTCGGCTCGGAAAGTGCCTAGAATTTTAACCCGTCTACGAAATATTAGCATAAAAGGCATATTCATTAATCAAATTAGAATAGTTTTTACCTTATCAGGTAAAAATAACAAATTAAAAATATATGCAAAAAAATTAATTTACATACTTACTTTGCACATGACTTCCCATAGATTACTTTCAAATAACGAATTTATTCAAATCATATTTTTCGACCACAATAAATTTAAAATAAATAAAATAATATTGACAAATTCAAAAATATAAGCCACTACCCATTCTATTGCCAACATTAAACAATTAAACTAAAACAACACTGAACAACCTGACTAAAGTTACCAATCAGAGGCGACTTAAAAAAATCACATAAAAGTAATGCTTTTTCATCTAAAATCGAAATTACTTTTAAATTTGATGTCGTAATTGTTGTATTATTATTTATTACTCTATAAAAAAACGTATTTCATTAATCATCTGAGTCATATAGCTGTAGTGGTGAAGGCCTTCGGATTGCGTAGAAAGAAGAAGAAATAAAACAATTTAGATTTTTCCAAAATTTTCCAAAATATCTAGATTTCGAAAATTCGTTTGGCATATTTTAAGAGATACAATTACATCCCACTTCCGCACAGTATTTTTTTACCTTTTTCCTAGATATTTAGCAAATTGTCTCGTCCGATCTGCATAGCTTTTATTTTAACAAACATGGCGGTTTCGGATAGTACAAAAGAATTAAAACTATTAAAAAAGACAAATATATCCGTATTTGTGGACGAAGTGTTGCCGGATATTTTAGTAGTGACTTACGAATTCGGTTTGCAAATTTTCAAAGGGGTCCTGCTCGATTCAACGAAAAGGTAAGCCAACATAACTTATCAAATTACAGCAAAATTTCCTTTGTCTTCTAACGATAAAAACATCCTCGAGAATTGTACAAAACACGCAGCACGCACTATTTATTTATTTACGAGCGTTAAGTGTACATTTTAAACCGAGAAATCGTTTAAAGTGGGGCCCCAATCGTCTAAACAGTGGGACTAATTACATGAATTTTTTGGCTTGCGTTGAGTTCAGGATTGTAGCTTAGGAGAATGTAAACTGTTTCAGAAATCTTCCAATAGGCGTACAAACCGTAAATCCCGCATTTAGCGTGAAATCCAAAAATCCCGATGACGATCCCTTATACACAGTCAACCAAAGATTCGCATACATGGATCCTAATGCACCAAAAAAGAAAAACGTCCAAATGGGTAGCAAATACAAAAACAACAAAATGACCGTTAGATTAAGACCTCGACAAGTATTGTGTTCAAAATGCAAAGGTATTTATACCAACATTCTTACTCATCAATTATCTGGAACTTACGCTGTAGTGTAAGGATCTTATCCGTTTGTTTCGATTAATTCTGGCTCTCTACTACTCTAGTCTTCGATTAATTTGAATCTATTAGTATGGATTACTACAGCACAGAAATGTTATTAGGTATTTGCAACGAAAACTCAGAGAATGTCTCACGGAAAAGAAAAAACGAAGATCTACCAGCGCCCGCGCCTCCTCCCGTTAGAAGAGGTTTACACGCTCCCATTACTAGATCGGTGAATATATTAAACGATAAGAAAAATAGAAGAGGAAAGGAAGCTACACTAGTACCGAGACTGACTAGATTAACTTTTCAAGAGGAAACGTTAGGTGAGTTGAGAAATCCGTTTGTTTCCTTGTCATCGAAGTCGTGGTAATTTCATGGTGGATTTTATAGGGCAAAAATCGGAATCGAAAAAGCTTCAAGAACGAATGGAGCCGGACAATTCGCAAGAAGTAGTTAGGAAAAATTCGTCGGGTCATTCTTCGGGCGAGGAAAACGAGCCGATTCAATCGAAAACCAGAAGGGTGATGAGGAAAAAACGGAGCGCTAGTAATTTCGAAGACTGGGACGATGCCAGTCAACAAGAAAACACAAATAGGTAAATTAGTCCATTGAGAATACCACTGGGTGTTTTTTTTTATTCCAAGCTGTTTGTGTACTTCCCGGTTTAAGCTTAAATAATGGTAGAAATATAAACTTATCTGTATTAAAAAACAAATTGGTCAAATGCTCTCGAAACGCTGTATTTTCTCTTACCTTAGGCCTGCCATCAACATGGAAAAGATCGCGGATAGGGAAGAGAGCCGAGAAAGTGATCAAGAAAAACATCCACCTTAACAAGGAATTTATAACGCCCCGGAAAATCCTGCATTTGTGTTCATTACATTTGTTATTGATATATTTATTTACTATTTGTATTATTATATTAATACTCTTTTTTACAATTGTCCTTTGAAATTTTATTTTTTGTAAGAAATAAAACTTGTGGCATACTACCTATTTAATTTGTAAAAAGCAAATTTCTCATTCACAAGAATAAATTTCAATATCTAATCGATCTTAAATCATCTCATTATAATCGACGCTCATTTTTAAACTCATATAATTTCATCTGCCTCTTTCGATCCAAAATGTAGATTTGATCAAATATTTGTCTTCCGACGATCGGTATAAGTATAATTTTTAATTTTCAGAAGCAGCAATATTTCCCAATCAAACGTAAATAGTGACTCACAGAACAGTTACAATATATCGACAAAAACTATTAAAATCTCGTACGGGCCTCAAGGTGAAGGGACAGTCCTGAAAATTCCGGCTCAAATCGATAGCGTCAACGAATATTCGGAAGAGAACGTGAATTGCGAAGAACAAAACAATAAACCAAAATCCGACGACCACAAGGCAGCTAGAAGGTATGTTTGCCTAAAAGCAATCGAGTATAGTTAATAATTAATAAACATTTTAGGGCATTAAGAAAAGCGAAAAAAGAAGCAAGAAAGAAAGTCCTCCTCGGCGGATCTCCTTTATACCTAGGAGGAGTCTCGCCCCGATATACAATAGGCAGTGCTTCGCCTAGACAAGGCCTAGGCGGCAACTCGCCTAGATACATGTGCCCAGCGCTCGACCTGAACGCCCCCAGAAGGCGAAAACACAAAGTGAAGCACAAAAAGAAACATAAAGAAGACAAGGACCGCAAGCACAAGGAAGGAGAAGTGCGTATTATTCAATTCGAAGCGAACCGAGTACTCAAGAAATTCATTTTAGGTGAGCTCCACGCAAGACGACTCTAAAGAGCAATGCATCACCCAGAAGCTGTCGATAAATCTGAGAAGGCTCAACGAAACTTACACTTCTTCGCCGATCACGATTACCGAGGTGCCCGAAGACACTTCCAGTTCGGACGAACACAACGAAACCGTGCCTAATTTCCCTCCGCCTGACCCAACGCTGTTATTGAAAATAAACACCCATAGCGTTTCGAGCGCGATCGGAGCCGATGGTAAATTTCTACCACTTTTTACTACAATTTTAATACTCGCTGAACGCTCGGAAGGGAAGCCTCGCCTCCTCTTTCAACCGTATTGGACACTGACCTAGTAAAAGGCCTCAAGAGGTTTTGTCAAAAATGACAAAACAGTACGTCAACTTGGATAAGTTCCAAAATGGCGGACGATTAGCATTTTTTAAATCGCGATTGCGAGCTGAAACGAATTTAGCTGCGAAAATGATAGTCATATTCGTAATCAACGGATCCGTTTCCATCTTCCTTATACACCTCTCTGGCCCCCAAATAATTCAAAAAGAATAAAACTGCAATCAATAGGATGACGCTTCGAGCTTTAGTATCTTACTACATACTACAAGTTTAATAAGCGTAAATTGTTGTTTCAGGCGTGCGATTACTCGCAGGAGACGTAGTGTGGGGCAAAACGCAGGGGTGCGCTTGGTGGCCGGGAAAGATTTTAGCAATAACCAGTTCGGGTGCTCAAGGTGCGCAGGCGCACGTGACTTGGTACGGATCATCGGCCTCGTCGGTGATGCAATGCGACCAGCTCAGCCACTATTTAGATAACTTTAAGGTAAGAAAGCGTGGCGTTAAACGTACACCGTCGGTTACATGAAACATTTTCGTTTTGGAACAGACTCGATACAATAAGAAGATGAAGTGCGGTTTGTACAAGGAGGCCGTCAAGCAGGCTACGAACGATGCTAGAGAGAACGCCGAGAATAGGATTAGACATCCGTTGGGTAACTCGCCCTCTCACAATATCATTCAAGTGATACCGCCCGCTTTGGCGTCTCCGAGAGAAATAGACGTGGTGTCGTAATAACCAAAAGGAAGATGCATTTGAAGCGTTTTTCCTATTCGACTGAATTTTTGTTAGTACTTCTACGGAAGTTTGTTACTACATTGCAGCCATACATTTTTGTACTTTTGAAATACTTTTAGTTCATATTAAGAATTTTACAAGCAATTTTTTTGTACGAATACTTCTTTTTCTAGTGTTTCCTAACTTGTGTCTTGTAACAGTTCTTTACTACATACATGTTTCTCACGCGAATCGATTACTTATTCTTTTCGAAAATGGTTTATTTATGATTTGTTTTATGTCGCTTCATTTGTGTGAGAAATTAACTGTTTGTAATACTTATTTTGGGTTTAGTGTTAGGCTTGAGATTTTATAGCATATCTTATCCTTACGGCAATACAAATTGCTAGTAACAATAATTTTATTTGTTGTGTATATATGATCATGCATATGCACAAGCTTTGTGATTGTACAGTTTAGAGGTTTATTTAATTTATATATACCACATACAGGGTTTTACAAAATTCCGTGATATGATTTAATAATTATTGTACATAAGTTATTGAATTTTCAGCGAGATCGTGCAAAAATTTTCTAAAAGATTGTTCCTGCTAAATTTTATTAAAATGTGCTTGAAACGAATTACAATTTATCGTTAATTCATAAATTTCCTACGTGTATTCATTAATGAAGATTTCTTGTGAGATTAAAATTATAAGATATATTTTTCAAAAATGAAATGGGCTGTAGTTTTCTTGATATTCGTTTCTTAATTATCTCACAACTTGGTTATCATAAATTGAAGTCATAATTAATCATTTTAATAAAAACGCATGTTTGTAATACATTTTTGAAATATTTCTTTGCATATCTTAAGGTAAAAAAACTTGTGATAATTTTCATATGTTAGTATTTTGTCTAATATATCTTATTTGTATGCTTATCTACTGATTTTATATTTAAGTATTCGTTAAACAATATTTCTGTGATTTTATTCATTATTTAGATATTAATCGTAATATTAGGGAAATAAACATTTCTTCATACCATTATTGTTTTTTTTAATTACCATGTAAATAAATAACTTAAAACAGCCAAATTGAAATATAAAAAATACGTTAGGAAATGTGTTTAAAAACTCCTTGCCTGATCAATTCTTCGCATTCGCTCCTTGGCAAGTAATGTCTACTATTTTTTTTCAGTAACAACATTGTTCCATCGCTTAATTCAAACCTTCCATAATCTACTAAACATTGAACTTCTATGTAAAGAGCTTTCGGTGGTTTTAAATCGACAGCTAAATTTATCCCATCTTCTCCTATAAACAAAAATTGATATACCCCTTAAGTCCATACAGAGCCTTAACAATAAATACCTATAGATTTCATGTAATTGACTAATGTCTTTGAGTAATTAGAAAACCATTCTAACTCATCGGAACTTAAATTGGCTTTGATATCAGGTGGTAAAATACTGCCAAACTCCCAACGCATGGTTCTCAAACATTTAAGTCTGTTGTAATGATACGCCATTAAGCACCTAATGTTTCTTTTCGAAGCTCCATTGCGGATTCTTATAGTATTCAAAAGCAACGACTCCGAACCATCTATTGTTGAATTTTGCCTGAAATGTCGGTAAATTAATAAATTATTTAGAAGGTATATTAAACTTACGCATCGTCGCGATTTTCTTCAAACTGCTTCGTAATTTCATGAGAAATTTCATTCACTAAATCGGACTAAAAATATTTTTTACTAAATATTTGGATATTGTAATGAATTTTACTCACATTATATGGAGGTAAATTGTCTTCGCTTCGAGCTAATTCCTTGATCAAGTTATACCCTTTCTCTCCAAACATTTTGTTAAAATTTTACAGACAAAAACAAAACTTAACCTATTTAATTTGATTGTATTACCCGCGTTTTTTATTACCACAAAATTTCACTGCTTAAATAAGAGTACCTCATTATTAAAAATTAATTTTTAGACTAAACATGATTCATTTAATGATTTCATTGGTATAAAAGCATTATTTTTAAATGGATTATACGAAGATAAATAAATAAATTTGATTTATTTTATAAACGTTTGTACAATTGACCTATATTCCAAAATTTAAAAATCCCATGCAATCAAATAGTTAATATTCAAACGTCACTGTCATTAGTCATTTGTGTCAATAATTTGAAATGTGTCAGCTCTCTCCGGGTGTTGGCCATTATCTTGATAAATAATTTTTTTTATATTTACTGAAAATTTTAACTAAATGCTGTTAGGTTTTAACAATCAATTTTACGAAGTGTTTCTGTTCTAAATATTTATTTGTGTATTACTTCATAATCCCTAACCTAAAATGTGGAAAGCGGCCGCGGGACATCAAGTGAACATAACTAACGTAAATAACGAAGATGATGAATGGGAAACGGATCCTGACTTCGTTAACGACGTAGACGAGCAACAACAAAGATGGGGCTCTGCTACAGTAGAAGGTTCAGGACGAACCGCTGGATCTATAGAGTAAATAAACTTCTTCAACCACCTGTTTAAATCAGTAATTTTTTTCATTCGAAAAGGTCCTTTTTGTATTATTTTTGCTAAATTCTATTTCGATTATTAATATTTTGGATAAATTACTAATTAAGCTACTATTCATACAATGTTTTGCATTATTTGGATTCGAGAATGTTATTCAAATTTCTTATTGATGACCTGTACGAATATCACATTACATAAGTGTTTTTAAAATATTCTCAGTTAAACTTCCGGTCGTCGATTTACCAGTTTTTTTTTCAATACATTTCAGCATGGCGCAATTAAGAAAGGAAACTGAAGAGGCGGACGCCAAAAAGAAGAAGAAAGAACTGGAGGAAGGCGAGCACAATCCATCGTACGGTTACGGCGGTAAATTCGGCATCGAAAAAGACAGGATGGATAAATCGGCTTTGGGGCACGAACACGTCGAAAAGCTCCAAAAGCACGCTTCGCAGAAGGATTACAGCACGGGTTTCGGCGGAAAATACGGCATTCAAACCGATAGAATCGATAAAGTGAGTAAAAAAAGCTATACAAACCGCGCTTGATTTATCGCGAATTTATTTTAATAGAGCGCTGTAAGCTGGGATCATAAGGAGAAAGTCGTGAAGCACGCCTCGCAGAAGGACTACGTCGACGGTTTCGGCGGGAAATTCGGTTTGCAAACCGATCGACAAGATAAATCTGCAGTCGGTTGGGATCACATCGAGAAAGTTGAGAAGCACGAATCACAAAAAGGTAAATTTATCGGTACCCAGTATTGCTGGTTTAATAGTTTTCAACTCGGGCTATTTCGTGTTTGCGCTATAATCGTCAGAATTGTTACAGAACGATTATTATTTTTTAGATTACAAAACCGGATTTGGTGGTAAATTCGGTATCCAATCGGACCGACAAGATAAATCCGCTGTAGGTTGGGACCACCACGAAAAGCCGCAGAAACACGAAAGCCAGGTGGACCATAAAAAAGGCTTCGGCGGCAAATTCGGCGTACAAACGGACAGGGTCGATAAATCCGCTGCGAATTTCGAACCTCCCACTGCGGTCGGTACTAATTACACTAAAGTTAAACCAGACATCGGGGGAGTTAAGCCATCGGATCTACGGGCCAAGTTCGAAACAATGGTATACTTGAGCGTTTTGTATTAATAGCCCTTTATTAACGAACGCTTGCTTTTTAGGCTCAACAAAACAAATCGAACGTACCGATGCCATCGGCCGCGCCAAGGAAAAACGTCCACGCCAAAGCCGCCATGTTTTCCAACGCTAGCAAAGAACCCGTTTCTCCCGCTCCCGAGAAGGTTCCCGCACCTAAACAGTTCGATCAATCGAAGACCGCGTTTTTAACGCAGATCCACAACCACCGAGAAGACGACAGCGCCGCTCCCGAAGAAAGACCCGTTACGAAACTCGAACAATCCAAAACTGCCTTTTTGAACCAGGAATCACAAGAACCCGTAAAACCCGTCGTCAGCCAAGAGGCTGTCACTCAACCGGCGCCATCGCCGCCTAAGGAACCAGTTCAAATTGCTCAAGACGAAGATGAAGACGTCGAAAACAAGAAGCAACAAATGGTACGTGAAAAGCCCGCTCTAAAACACATTGGCCCGAATCCCTCTTCCTATTCAGCTCTTCTTTCTAACGCTAATCTACAGTTACTCCTTGAACAATGTCCACAGTTGTCGAGGAGACTCTTTAAACGATGGATTAGCGTTAACAAGGGGCACCGTTAAAATTATTCGTGTTGCAGATGCAAGAAGAATTGGAGTTGCTCAGGCAATTGCAACAGCAAAAGCCCGACGACGAGGACGATTCGGACGAGCAGTTATACGAAAACTTCGATACGTCCACCATTAAAAGGGCCAGCGGCCATCAAACCGACAAAGCTCCGAGCGACGTCCAGGCGCAACAGAGCAACGCGCCCGAAGAAACCGACGAGTACGTCCAGGAGGAAATTGTCGACACCGGCGTAACGGCCGTCGCTTTGTACGATTACCAAGCGGCCGCTGATGATGAAATATCTTTCGATCCCGACGACGTTATCACACATATCGATAAGGTAATTTTCAACTGCGATGCAACATTGCAGCTATTTATTGTTGCGGTATATTGCAGCGTTTGAAATAGCTCTCGGGTCGTAAGTGCTGGCCTCTAACGGGCCTGTATTCGGCGCTACTTTTATAAATTAAACGATTCTTAGAGCGTTGTTACAAGCTGCAATATATTGCAATAATTGGGACCAATAATGCCGTATCTTTGTAAAAACCTGCAATAAATTTGCATGGGTGAAAAACGCTCTAACGAGCTACTATTAACTATTATAATTAAACGATTCTTATCCGTAATAATGAATGACTGAATGACTTTGATGAAGACTGAAAAATGTGTGATTAATTTCAGATTGATGAGGGATGGTGGAGAGGTTTGTGCAAAGGAAAGTACGGGTTGTTTCCGGCGAATTACGTGCAATGCGACGACTAATCAGGTACGTTCGAGCGGCCAGCGGTACTTATTTGCTTCCAAATGAATATATATACATATATTTTTAATGATGATTGTATTATTAGTTTTGTACATGTGCTCTCCGTTTTGTGTACGTATTATTTTATTTCTATTAACTTTATATTCGATTAGGTATTGTAAGATTATACATACATATATAAAGAAAGATGATATTTTAAGTAATGGAATAGTTCTTTTTTAAATGAAATGATATAGGCGAAGTAAAGCAATGTTATTTAAAGTGATTCGAGTCTAATTATTCCTGAAAATACCTAAAACTCGATATATTTTTTTAATTAATTGGATCGACGTTTTCGCAATGCGATAATCTAATGTTTAATTGGAGGAATCGATTTTGTTTCATTTGCTCTTTTTTTTTAAATTAAAATTCAATAAATTTTTCCATAAACATATTTACTTCTGATTGACAATCAATCGGTGTTAAAAGGTTATTTTCACTGATTTTAAGAAAAAGTTGCATTACATTCAACTAATACACTTTTTAACACTGTAAATTATACCGCATTGTTCCTCAACATCATTCAAGCAACAAGAATCTTACATTGTAAATAAGACTTAAATAATTAAACATTTTCTTTTATTTTTCTTAATGTTTTCTTAATAATATTCGTTGCAGACTTTTGACTTTGCACTTATGTACACTATAAGAAGAGTATTATAGAGCACTTTAACGCAAACAAAATGATGTAAGAATTCGCTTATTAGTAATCTTCCAAAATTACAGTAGTCAACAATTTTAAACTATTTTCTAGTAACATTAACGAAAATACTGATATTTATATCATTTTAAATTGGATAATGATACTGAAGAATTCTAGATACAATTGATTAGTAAAGTCAAACAAATTTTCTAAAGGTAGATAATTGGTCATTTTTTTTCTATAAAAATCCATGATAAAACAGGAAATTATGCAGTAATAAAAGAAACCGATTAATTGCGTTCATAAAACATCTTCGAAATTATGATAAATATGCAACAATCACGCTTCAAAAGGGTGTTAGATTAACACACTTACGGGCGCCAATATTATTCTGTTTATCAGAAAGATATAAAATTTGTTTGTGTTATACCTAAAAGTATTTAAAATTACTAGAACAGCACAATTTGGTCTACAATTTGCAACAACAATTTGTTTGGTAAACATTTTGAATTAAAAAAAAATAAATCGCTAGTCTAATTAGCGTGTTTTTTTCAAGATTAAATAATTGCGAAACTTTCGGAAACATAAAATATTTTGTCATCATTTGCGTTTCCAACCAAACTGTAATTAAATGTCCCAAATCTTTTATAAATTAACAGTGGATAGTGTGAGTAAGTTGCAATCAGACAATATCATCCTTTCTTTTTCCTTTACAAGTCTCTAATGCAAAAGTTATCTCTGTTGCACCCTCAGCTTATATTGCAAACTAAAATGCTTCAACCAGTATATCCACTTTCATCATAATTCATCAGAAATACAAATAATAAAGGTAAAAAGTAATAATAGATATAATTACACTAAGCAACAATATAAATTTGGAATGTACGACTCTCGCTTGCAATCTATTCATTGTCGAATTGATAAAACCCAAATACTTATCGACCCTAGTATAAACGGCGGGATAGACCGAAGCGCATTCCAGGCCCCAGGAAGTGATGCCCATTTGGGTGCCGTCGCACATCAAAGGCCCCCCCGAGTCCCCATGACACGTGTCCTGCTGCATATTCACCGCCGTACAAATCACGTTTCTCGGCAGAAAGGCCGGCATTAACGCGACGCATTCTTCTCTAGAACACGTTACCATCTACCACAAAAAGTAACGAGTTATTTTTTTTCTTCGATCGAAAACGAGCGCCCCTTACCTGCAAGCATTGCAAGTTTATCGAGGACACCCAGATGTTCCGTTGCGTTATGCCCCATCCCATTACGGTGATGATGGGGCATAAGTAAGGAGGATTGGCTTCATTTTCGAAGGGAGGAAGCTTGACGAATGAGACGTGTATACTTTCATGTATGGGTCTTTTCAGCCGCATTAAAGCTATATCCGCGTATACAGTTTTCGGGCTGTATCGCGGATGCACGACCGACTTGATTATCCGAATAGACGGTACCGAACTCAATAACTCGCCGTTTGCTTTAACGTATCTGTCTAAATAAAGATTTTTTTAAATGTATGTGGAAATATCCTGTTTTCTTATTTATGGACCAATCGAGATGGCTTCTAATAAGGCTTCTAATACTTTCGATTTTCCAGTAAATAAATCAACCAAAACAGTTAAATTAAATTACAAAAAAAGGCGTTTAACTTCCCGGCCTGTTCCATGACTTTTTCCCGATCTACATATCTCTTTTTAACAGGTGAACGCTATACGAGATAGAAAGAAAGAGAGTACGTAGATGGCGCCACTTGCCTATTTTTAAAAATTTAAATCGAAACGTCACTTGTCATTCGGCAAAAAAACTTATTCAAATTGTTTCTGTAATAATGAACGGCATCGTTATATCGTTCCATAAATAAATAAATAGAATATTCCGAATATTAAGCAAAAAAAGTATTTCTACCTCTAGTAAAAGCATCGCAAGCATACTGACGGCCGGAACTTGTGCAATGGGCCGCAGTGAGAACCCAAAGGGGGCTGAGCAAACTGCCGCCGCAAATGTGCCGGCCCCAATAGGTCACGATGGCTATCATAAAACTGGATTCGTCCGATGAGCATCTATATCCTCCTATTACCCGCGGCTTGCCGAACACTGTGCGTGTAATAAACGGGGCGTTTTCTATTTCTCCGTAGGGGACTAACGCATACAGAAGCATAATTCGCACAATATTCATTTTTTCAACGAATACTTCATTAATATTAAGTTTATTACTCTTTTTAACGATTCATTCGAGATAAGAGCATGTCAGGTCAGTTTGTACGATGACGTTTTCTGGCGGCATCGTGGAATTTGAATAGGGAAAATTCGGGTTTTCCCAAGGTACAGTTGGTAGTATTGTTACTTGACGTATTAGGAGCAAGATGAAGCGGAAATCAAAAAGTTAGGAGGTTTTACAAAGAGGTCTAGTAACTAGGATTGAAGTGGTGTCTGATATTATTTGAAACGAAAGTGAGTAGTTTAAAATAACTTTAGAGATCTAATAATTGCTTAGAGAGCTTATTATTTAATTTTTTTACTTGTCTAGATGTTATAAATTCATACACCTTGCTCCATTTCCGATTACAATATGGTCATTTCTATGAGTGGGAAGTGGGACAAAGAAAGATTATTAAAATGACAGTTGTCAGAGTGAAAAGTGGCAATGACACAAATGTCACTCTTTCCTTTTCCTTTGTGTCGAATGGAAGCTGTCTTTATCGCACCCATGGCCTATATAACCTATGTTACGATCAAAAATGGACAACCTGTATAAGTTTGTACTCGTATGAAACAAAAATCCCATATAACGCATCTCAAGGATGGAGTTATGTCGACAAGAAAAATATTTTTCTCCTATAATATAAAACAAACACTTCACATTAATGTCGCAATCGGTGTTAATTCGTTATCAAATTGACATGTAGGCGCGATAAAAAAATCTATTAAACGCTTCTTATCCCGAGCATTTATCTCGGAACAAATTTTATGTAGTCGATAACTTTATTTTTACAAGAGGTTATCGAACTTCCACGAGTTACTAAACGCGTCAAAGGAATAAAAATTTTATTATGCGAACATGTCGTTCGATTAATTATGTTTTTTACGGGAAAAATTAATGAAAGTGGCCCGTTGTTCAAGTACACATTTTTTATTCAATATGAACAGTCGCTTTTTGTAAAAAAATAATACTAGAATAAAATTATAAATGAAACTTAAATGTACTTAAATTTACCTACACAATAAACATGTTTGTGGTTTATAAACTAAATTTAAGCATTCATTAACATTACCTCGTTGCTTTGTAGGTATACATGAGAAGATAAACTTTTAGACACACCTTGTAAACGTACAAAAATTATTACATTTTGACTAATTGAAAATAAATAATTACTTTCTATACTTAACAAAAGTAAAAGACCTTTTAATTTTTTTATTTACAAACATATCCTCGTATTTTTGTTCTCAAAATTAATCTCCTAATAGTAATGAATGACTAGCATCAACGTTAGGTATATTGAAAACATCGTAAGTGTAATTATTATAAAAATTTTTTGATAATTAAAATATAAGTACTCGATTTATCAGTTGCAAAATGTGATATCTAGAAATTCCCAATTTCTCGCAAAAGAAACTGCAAAGTTTTGCTCCTAACGAAATCAACGAAATCAACAATCCTCGATTCCCGCGCCACTTCATCCATCCCGAAACCGCCTCAGAACTTCCCAATCATCCTCTCTCAATGCACGATCTCGTGCACCCTGTTGTAAACCATCGCCTTCACCTCTCTCATCGCCCTCTGCAGCTCCTCCTCCTTGCTGTTATCCACCCTCGACAGGATTTCCGTGTACAAATTGCTCATGTCGGTTTTGGTGGTGATGAACGGAAAGCCGAACTTGTCCTTGTAGCGAACGTTCAGCTCCTGCACCCTGCGCTTCTCCTCCAAGTCGATCCTGCCGTAACCATTCTGATGCTCCTTTTCCATTATGAACGGCGAGTTGCACACCCCGCACTCCAGCAGGTCCGGGTACAGCTGGAAGATCTTCTCTTTTTCTGGAACAAAACGGGGGAATTGTTAAGATAATACATCCAGTGGAGTCATAGAGAAGGATTCTAGTCACAGCTAGAGTGTGTTGAAATGTATAGTAGATAAAGGGGGAATCGCAGTTAATGGAATAAGGTAAAAATGAGTAGAAAAATAGGGGAATCACATGGGACTTTTAAATGGCATTAGGCGATTAATAAATAAATTATCGATGATAATCGGCACGTAATATTATTTTTGTAACAGATCCTGTCCAATTATCAACGCGTATACATTGTATTATTTTTTTATGTAATTTATCTAACGGGTATAATTTTCATTTCGTTTCGTTTCGATAACAATAATCCGGTACCTACCGCAACGCGATTTTTATAGACGGTTTCGATTTCGAGTGTAATTCGTTGAACGAAATTCATATATTTAGAATTTGCGTCACCCGCATTTTGAGCTTCGTGGTGATTATTTGCTAATGCAGATTAACCTGTATTAACTGCGACGATTCCGTTATCGAGTTTAATGCAGGCGACAGATCAAGGTGAAATATCGAAGGCCAGAATTGGATAAATTTGGTTGAAAATTCAGTCTTGTTGAGACTTGGTATAAATTGCGAAACAATTCAAGAAGGAATTGGACCAGGAAACTACGGTAACAGCTAGGATGTGCTCTGGCAATAAATTCTGAGCAATTTTCATTTTTTTCAATACATAATAGAGATGTAAAAACGACAGTATTTTAATATTTTGAATGAAAAAGGCAAGATTAAAGAGTGATTTATCCCTATTAAGAGTGAATTTTACCCTAGCATTCTTAGAAACAATATTAATGTTTGTCAATCACTAGACCAATACACTTCAAAATTTTCTTAGGAATTATTATCACCTCATCTTGAAATTCTCCCGAAATTTTTGTCAAAATCAAGCATTCTTAGTCAATAAATTTGACACTTTTTGAATAAGTTATTAAAAACTTCTCTTTGTAAGTATTACTTTGAACTTGAGCCTAATTTTTGAGACATGAGAACCTTTTGAATCCAACTTTGGTAAAGCCAGTGCAACAAAACACTGAATTAAAAACTTACCGTGGGGTTTTAGGCAATCCAAAAAATCGTAGATGGCTTGCACGATGTGATTGATATCCTCGAAGGGCCGGCATTTCAAAATCCCGATGGCGGCGGCGGGAAAATGCTCGACGACATTGCCGAAAATCCTAACGAAACTCTCACTGATCAAATTGTTCACTTCGTCTACGGAAAAATGGTGCGTCACAAACATATTTTCCGAAACGGGATGTTTTCCTATCGAATGTGTGCGCGTGTGCTTTAACGTGTGGCCGCGTTTCGAGACTAACCCGATCGCAAATGATACTCAAGTATTTATTCACGATATCAACGACCTTTTTTCAGAATTGAACTTACAAAACGATAGCTTTCTAACCTTTCTGCGATTTATTCTCCAATCGAAAACAATAAGCGAAGCTCAGGTTCGCCTTCGTGCCCTCGAAAAAAAAACCGAAACATTGTCGCGCATATTAATTATAAAAAAATATTGTTTTAATTTATCCACTGTTTTAAACTATGTAATTGAGATCGAATGAACTTTTAGTAGTGTTATTATGGATATGCAAAATGTAATGTATAGGAGATATAGGGGGAATCACAGAGTGTGCTGAAGTGTATAGGATATATAGGGTGTTAATTAATTGAGTGCCGATATTTCAGGATGTAAATATTTGGATGATTTTAAGAAGAAAAGTTTATATCAATGTATGTCCTAAACCTCTTAGTTTTCGAGCTACAGGGTGTTAAAATTTTAGAAAAAAATAATTTTTCTATCATAATTTTCTTATTACTCCAGATATTTTGATGAATATCTTGTATATTTTTGACAAAAATAATGGCAAATATGGAACGAATAATAAGCCGATTATAATAGATACATACTATTTTTATCATACATAATTCAGATTATTGTTTGCTTTAATTGAGATAATAATAAAAGTGAGACAATAACACTTTTACGAACAATCGAGACTGTATACAATTAACGAGTTGAATTCATTTTACTTGTAAAAAATCGGCGAATTGGCGTGAAATTAAACAAACGTGGCGTGATTTGGTTACAATCGTCGCGATCTAAATTTAACCAACTTTAGTTGACCCCCTGTGCTCGAATCGCGATTCACGAAGAAAATAAATGATCGTACCAAAAAAAATGCTCCTTCCTGCATTAGTTTTTATTAGTAATACGCCATTTAAATCGAGAAAATACGGGCAAAAGATTAAATTTCGACACCAAGATAAATCGTAATAATATAGTAACTTTCGTTTATTTAGTTTTATTATTTTTTTATTAAATTATTAGACAACAATATTTATATATGTAAAGGAGGGAGATACTTCTCTCAAAAATAGCGGTTATTAATACTAGCGATAAACAAGGACATAATACAAACAAGTCGATTCTATTGGATGTTTTATAATTGTTTTTTTTTTAATTATCAGAGTATTTATGTGTTATAAAATCTCATTATATAAAACACAATTTTAATAATCTTATTGTATACAGCTATGCCTATGTTATTTATCTACATGAACTTTAAATTTAATAAATTAATATAAAATAATAATTAGATCTGATTTGTGTTATATATATTTTTCCGGCGAAGCTGTATATCCTATTTATAATTTTTACCTCATTAGCAATGCTCGATTCCACATCGTTAAAGAAATTATCGATGACCTGAACTTCGTACTGCTGCGTTCCTTTTTAACGAAGACCTTCGCGCTTAATCCTTAGTTAGAAACAGATTGGGATAGAATCTCAAACCTTGTATAGAATCGTCCCTGCAGCATTTACCCAATTTTTCGGCCGTTAGCAACCTTTCTTTGGCCAATGTAAGCGATATTCCCAGAGCTTGCGATAACTCCTCGGCTGCCAAAGACTCTTTTTCCTCGACCTTAAAATTTAAATATCACAGTCAACTCCGTTTACTAATAAATGATTTTTAAACGTACCATTTCAGCAGTTGCTTCGGCAATACTCGAGCTATCCAAACTACTGAGCTGCAATACCATCACGCCCGATGAAAATTCGTAGAGTTTTATAGGCAGATTGAGACCTTCCATAAGCTTGCAAGCATTCAAAATGTCTTCGGGAGACAGGAGTTCTAAGCTCCTCGCTCTGTTTACCCAGCAAAATACATCGGTGAGGGCCATCATGCCCCCCATTTCTTGCACATGCTTGTGAATAAAATCGCAAATCTGCCTGGCGAGGCTCTCGTAGTATTGATTATCCGATTTATATGACTCCCTAGTGACCGGGTCATCGATACCCAAGCTGAGTAGGTAAGATTTAAATCTGTAAAGCATAAGTGAAATTAAATAAGTATTATAATTTTCGATAAACTTTACTCACCTTACTGTTTCATCTTCTGTAATACTCCCTTGTTTCTCTTTGATTTTGTTGGATATATTCCTAGATATGTTGACCATTTCTTTAGCCATTACCATTAATTTGCTTAAATCTTGGAATGCGTGGCTGATACTTTCATCGGTTTCTTTATGTTTTTGTTGTATACTTCGTTCGATGCCCACGATTCCTAATCTCGGCTTAATGGCGGGAATGTGGGGTTTATTTTGAGCGACTTGGGATTGAGTATGCTCAATCACCTTGGGTTCCCACGGTTTGGTTTGCAGTAAATTGCCGAGGATGCTGACTACATTATTTGTGTAACCTTCGCGAAACGATAGCTTTATGAAATTGTAAATGCTGGTTAATTGAGGACCATTAGAATGATCTAAAAGAGACTTATTGTTAATGAAAAAAGGGGGGTTTAATTCGATTATATACCGTTTGTTTCCGTTAAATGTAGTACTATTTTTCTAGATCGGCTGAAACTAAACGCGCTTGGCGATTCTTCCTCGAAAAACACCACTAAACTTAAATTTAAGGCGAGACACGTTTGGCCTCTTGCTATTTGTCCCGGTCGGGCCCATAGGATGCGGTGACTCGTTATTATCAATTCACCACCCTCGAATGATGTCTAAAAACGATATTATCGATACAAAATCAAATCAGAATGACGATATGTTTTACCTTTTGATCGCCATCGTACAGCCTCACATTATTTTCAACAGCTTGAGTCGATTCGCCGTCTAATAAAAGGGGACTCGCATATTTTATTCTATTCATTTTGAAACTGAAAATAAATAATTGATGAAAAAATACCAATTACATACATAGTAGTTCAAATGTACTTTTAACTTTTTTAACGTCACTAAACTGTCAAGTCAACTGTTCTTGACATTTTAGATTCTTACTAAAGAAAATGGGGAATTTAAATTCAATTCTTTATAAATTTAATGTTGCAATAATTCTTCAATCCATTGTGAGTTGTTTAATTCCTTCATATAAAATTATTAGTTCGTTCGAGTTAACTGACGAGAGAAGAAATAAAAGGCATTGTCGATGACATTGACATGTCTCTGTCATAAATGTCAAATGTGTATCACAGATCACAGGTGTGTCGTATGTAAATGAAATGAACTTACGTGTATTTATACAATTTTAATAAGTTATTAATCAATATAACAAAATAGTTCATTAAAACGAACATGTAATTAAGTGTGTAACATAATGACTACTGATTTAATTCTTACTAATGATAAATATGTTTTGTAGGTTCCGCTTGCCTGTGGTTCCAACTGCAATCCGGTTTGAGAGCTAATATTTGAGTTAGATTTTACGTTAGCTTCTTAATTGATCCGAAACATTAATCAAAAATGTCCTGTTCAGCTATATACATTTTAGACGTGAAGGGGAAAGTTTTAATATCAAGAAACTACAGAGGCGATATCGACCTCGGGGTTATTGAGAAGTTCATGCCTCTTTTAATGGAAAAAGAGGAAGAGGGCCTTCTAACACCGATTTTGCAAATTCCCGAATGTACTTTCTCTTACATTAAAACCAACAATCTCTATATAGTCAGTACAACCAAGAAAAATGGAAACATCGCTCTCGTATTCGTATTTCTACATAAAATCGTTCAAGTTATGACAGAGTACTTCAAGGAGCTCGAAGAAGAAAGTATAAGAGATAATTTTGTAGTAATTTACGAACTTCTCGACGAGTTACTGGATTTCGGTTATCCCCAAACAACGGATACAAAGATACTTCAAGAGTACATAACGCAGGAAGGCCATAAATTGGAAATACAACCGAGAATTCCAGTTGCTGTAACGAACGCCGTATCTTGGCGATCGGAAGGCATAAAATATAGAAAAAACGAAGTATTTTTAGACGTAATAGAATCCGTTAACCTATTAGCGAACGCCAACGGTAACGTTTTAAGAAGCGAAATAGTAGGAGCAATAAAAATGAGAGTGTATCTATCGGGAATGCCGGAATTGAGACTAGGTCTTAACGATAAAGTTCTCTTCGAGAGCACCGGTCGAGGCAAATCAAAATCCGTAGAACTCGAAGACGTTAAATTCCACCAATGCGTTAGGTTTGTACGAACATTACACATCTACAAATTTGATTTTATCATTTCTTTTCGCTTTCAGATTATCCAGGTTCGAAATAGACAGGACTATTTCGTTCATACCGCCTGATGGCGAGTTCGAATTGATGTCGTATCGACTAAACACCCACGTGAAGCCTTTAATTTGGATCGAATCCGTTATAGAAAGACACGCGCATAGTCGAGTAGAGTACATGATCAAGGCCAAATCGCAATTCAAGAGACGTTCTACGGCGAACAACGTGGAAATATTCATTCCGGTGCCGCACGATGCGGATTCCCCCAAATTCAAAACGACCATCGGCTCGGTTAAATACGCTCCGGAACAGAACGCCATTACGTGGAGCATAAAATCGTTCCCCGGAGGCAAAGAATATCTGATGAGAGCCCACTTTGGGCTGCCGAGCGTCGTGTGCGAAGACACCGAGGGAAAGCCGCCCATTCAAGTGAAGTTCGAAATTCCCTATTTCACTACTTCGGGCATTCAAGTGAGGTACTTGAAAATCATAGAGAAGAGCGGTTATCAAGCCTTGCCTTGGGTCAGGTACATTACCCAAAATGGAGACTACCAGCTGCGTACTAATTAAAAGTTGTTACTACTTTTATGCTATTTTAAATTAGATTTGTATTGTTAAACTTCATATTCATTACAGCATTATTAAATAAGTATTTTAATAAACTGGGTATATTAGATATTTTTAAGAATCTTGGTCCAAATGTGATTAAAGTAATAGTTCATATGTTACTCTATCTAAATACATAGTCAAATTATAAGTCGACAACTTTCTTTCTCCCGTGAACCCGAATTTTAAAAAAATCAATGACGAAATAACAGATAAGTTACAGTCCATTTTAACATAACAATATTTGAAAAAGAAGAAATGCCAAAATTTGAGGTTAGATTTTAAAAGTGTCATCCTGTCAATTCGCCGATCGGCGATAAAAATAATAATAAAATTTGAAAACAAATACCATAATATTAATTAAAAATGGTTGTAAGACAATACCAACAAGAACTCGAATACTTAGAGAGATTGTCGCCGTATTGTTGGAAAATAAAAAAAGGCTTCCAACCGAACATGAACGTCGAAGGAATTTTCTACGTGAACCAAACGTTAGAAAAACTAATGTTTGAGGAATTAAAGAACGCCTGCAGGCCCGGAATGGCGGGCGGCTTCCTACCGGGCGTGAAGCAAATAGCCAATGTGGCTGCATTGCCCGGAATAGTCGGACGGTCCATCGGTTTGCCGGACGTACATTCCGGCTACGGTTTCGCCATCGGAAACATGGCAGCCTTTGACATGAACAACCCCGAATCCATAGTATCCCCCGGCGGCGTAGGCTTCGATATAAACTGTGGAGTACGCCTGTTGAGAACAAGCCTAATGGAGAGTGACGTTCTACCTATTAAAGAACAACTCGCTCAAAGCCTATTCGACCACATACCGGTCGGTGTCGGTTCCAAAGGCATAATCCCCATGAACGCCAAAGATCTGGAAGAAGCGCTAGAGATGGGCATGGATTGGTCGCTGAGGGAGGGCTACATCTGGGCCGAAGACAAGGAACATTGCGAAGAGTACGGCAGGATGCTCAACGCGGATCCCTCCAAAGTCAGCACGCGGGCGAAAAAACGCGGCTTGCCCCAGCTGGGGACCCTCGGCGCTGGAAACCACTACGCCGAAATCCAAGTAGTCGAAGAGATCTTCGACAAGTGGGCTGCCGGCAAAATGGGCATAGAAGAAAAAGGCCAAGTGTGCGTGATGATCCACTCGGGCAGCCGAGGCTTCGGCCACCAAGTAGCCACCGACGCTCTGGTACAAATGGAAAAGGCCATGAAGAGGGACGACATCGAAACCAACGACAGGCAATTGGCTTGCGCCAGAATCAACAGCCAGGAGGGACAGGACTATTTGAAGGCCATGGCGGCGGCGGCGAATTTCGCTTGGGTCAACAGAAGCTCGATGACGTTCCTATGCAGGCAGGCCTTTGCGAAACAATTCGGCTTGGCCCCGGACGATTTAGACATGCACGTAATATACGACGTGTCCCATAACATAGCCAAAGTGGAAGAACACATAGTCGACGGTGTACCAAAGACGCTTTTGGTGCATCGCAAAGGCTCCACGAGGGCTTTCCCGCCCCATCACCCTCTCATACCGGTCGATTACCAGCTCACCGGCCAGCCGGTGCTCATCGGAGGTACCATGGGCACGTGCAGTTACGTGTTAACCGGCACCGAGCAAGGGATGATGGAGACGTTCGGATCGACTTGTCACGGGGCAGGTCGGGCTCTGTCCAGGGCCAAGTCGAGGAGGAATCTGGATTATACCGACGTTTTACGCAAATTAGAAAGCACCGGCATCACCATTCGAGTGGCTTCGCCCAAATTGGTGATGGAAGAAGCGCCCGAATCGTACAAAAACGTTACCGATGTTGTAGATACTTGTCATGCCGCGGGGATATCAAAAAAATGCATCAAACTCAGACCCATCGCTGTCATAAAAGGATAATGTTATTTTGTAAGCGTTTATTTAATAAAAAAAAAAGTTTGTAAAATATCAGTTTGCTGTGACTTTCCAAAAGCATAATTTGCTGTCGTCCCCGATGCAAACTAAAGGGTACCGGTAATGCCAGCAAATATTCGAAGGCAGCGTAACGCTGGCCGATAGTTTGATACTTTCGCTTTTAACATGAAATACCTTCAACATCTGATCTAAGTTATTAATACCTGCTACTAGCTCGCCTAGTGGAGAGAACTTGATTTGGCCTCCGTTCTTCGAGAAAAGCGTACTTACTTGTAACGGTAAACTAAAATAAATATAAATAAATTACGGTTCCTGTGGATAACTTATGAAATCTTACCACACGTTGGTTAAGTCCCATATTTGCAATTCTCCGAAGAGCAGCGAAGCAACGATGAAGATATCGGACGGAGACCAATGGAAACTAGATAGAGGTTTGCAGAAGTTGATTGATTGGAAACATATTTCCTTTTCTACGTTACAGAGTCGAATTATACCCATTTTTTCGGCTACAAGAAGCTTACCGCTATCAGCTCTGTGCCAGTAGACGTTCATACCTAAATTGCGACAATTAAAACACGGACGTATTTTTCGCTAGAGCAATCTAACCTGGGGACATCAAAGGCATCGTGCATTTCAATTCAAAAGTCTCCTTATACCAAATTCTAAGTGTGTTGTCGTCGCCCGTTGATGCTAAATACTGGTTTTCGGTGTCGAACGAGCAGTCGTTTATGTAACTGTTGTGACCGCTTAAGACCTGTATAAATAAAAAAAATTATAATTCTGTTATTGCTTTAAAATTAGTGCTTACTTTGCACAAATTAGTTTCTCCTAAATCGCTTTTGAATATCCTCAGCTTAAAATCTGCTCCACCGGCACAAAATAAGACTTCCCTCGGTGAAAGTGCTAAGGAAGTATCCGGAGAAATACTTAACGTAGTGCATCTAACCGGATGTGCGAATTCTGTTATAATTTTAACATCAAACGGATCCTAAAAACAACGCATAGACTTAATAAAAAACTTTAATTCGTGATTAATCAAACCTTACTATTTCAAGATGAGCCAGCACGATTTTACTCTTAAAACCTATTAGAATTACATCTTGAGACCACTCGAACTGGGAGAATTCTATGCAAAGTATTTGCTCGTTTTCCGATATTACTTTGGAGTAAAACGGTTCGCTCAAATGACTTCGAGAGCCTTCTGTTTTCGTTAAAATCATTTTGCTTCCTTAATAATCGTTTTTAAAACAATTCATATCGGCCTTTCTAACGAACTCTAACCTATAAAAATCAAATTTGACAGTTGACAATTACAACAAAAAATAATTCTGATTATTCTTATTGACACATATTATAAAAGACCAAAAAAAACAGAAGAAATATTTAACCTGTAAACATTGTAAATATAAAGTTTATTTATTATAAAAAGAAAATAAATAATTATGGACCAACAAACAGCCAAGAATCTTTTGGCCGAAGGCGCTTTTTTCATCCTGTTAAACGTCCCTGAAGGCACGGAGTTCGGCATCGATTTAAAATCGTGGAATACAGGCGATAAATTCAGAGGGGTGAAAATGATACCACCGGGGACACATTATATATTCTTCAGCGGCGTGTCGAGCACTGGCGATACGGCCCCGAGGACGGGCTTTTTCAAAACGTTCAGAAAATCGGAGGTTTTAGTCAAAAAATGGGACAGAAAGAACGAATGCATCAGCAACGAGGAAGTATCGGAGACTGAGGTAGTGAATTTGAAAGAGAACATCCTTCTTATGGACGCTTTCTTGGGACCCTATCCGTACGATATCCTCGACAAATGGAAAAGCTTATGCTCGTGCATTACGAATGGGTTAATCGAGCGTATAACTCCTACGACTGGATATATTCAATCAGCATTAGAACTGCAACCTTGTAGTGATGCTGATAGACCGAGAGGTAAAAGGAAGGCTGCAAATAACGGGGAACAACCGGAACAATCTGCCTCTAAGAGCCCGAAATTATCCCAAGAAACCGAACACAGTTTTTTGCCTACTTTGAAAGCTAAAGAAGGCACCGAGTTGAACTTTACGCCATTCCCGGAAAGAAACTATCCAGAAAATGCGACTGTATCGGACATTACAAAATATTCCTTGGATTCCTCGTACGTTCTGGACCAAATGATCAACAAATACAGCATAACAACAGAAATTTTAGGAGAGATGCAACTGTGTTACATTTGCTTTCTAGTTGGGCACAGTTTAGAAGCCTTCGAACAGTGGAAGAAACTATTCAGCCTATTCTGCTCTTGCGAAATAGGTATTACTAAACGAAAACATTTATACGATATATTTATAACGATAATAGAGCTGCAAATTCAGGAAATACCAGAGGAATTTTTAGCGGACATCGTGACGAATAGCAACTTCGTTTACGTTAAATTAAAGCAATTATTTAGGTCGATAAAAGACTCTGAAGTGGATGGTTTCTTAAAAACGAAATCTCAACGATTCATGAAGAAATTAACCAACCTCTATCAGTGGGATTTCAGCCATTTGGATTCCGAAGACGAAGACGATGCTCCCGTAGTCGTAGAAGTTTCTTAAATATACCTGTTAGTTCTCTAAGAATAAGCTTTTTTATTTTAAATCATAACAAAAAAAAAACTTAAATAAAAATAAAACTAACAAATTCTGTACAAAATGTGGCAATTATTATAAAGTATGAAAATAGGTACCAGTCTAAAACTGAACAACAGCAACAAGAGTGGAGGAACACAAAATAAATGCATCAATCAATCTGCTATTTTTCGATTTTTAAAAAATTGTATTGTGGATACAAAACAAGTAACATATTTTTTTTTTTTCGTCAATAAAATTCAATGTTCACATCACAAATTCTTCATGTTGATCCGCTCTTGTTCAGGAATGTTGCACAATTCACCAATCAATAAATAAGTAAAACGAGTACGCTTCACTAACTGAACGCATTCCTCAAATTCGGGATTACTTCATCGCTATCCGGTTTTTTCGGTACTACTATTCGCGGCAAGTCGTGTATTTTCACCTCCTTCTTAAACAACTGTCCCATACTTCTTCCTATTAACTAAAAAAAACACACAAATTACATTAATGAATCGTCCGCGATCGAGAATCTTACGCTTCCGGTAATCTTCTTAAAGAGATCCTTCTTAACTTTCTCCACTTTGTTGCCTTTGCTGGTATTCCCGGATATTCTCTCGTCTAATTTCTGCAAATCGACCGGATTCACACCGGGGATTTGCTGCATAACCGCCAGAACTTCGAGGAACGTAGGCCTCAGCAGCTCGTAAATCTGAGCCCCTAACGTCAACAAGGACCCTTGGTTAGCCTCATGCTGACCGTGAAGGGTCAAAGCGTTCAATACAGCAGCCATAATGTGAGCCGCCACGTCTCCGTTCAACGATTTATCCGATACAAGTTGCCGAACAATAGGTCCTGCAAATAAAATACCATTAGAGTTCGCTTAAATTCGTTGCAATAAAATCGTACCGATCAACGAAGTGGCCTTTAACGATGCGTTACTGTCGATCCACGACAGCGCTCCCAGCACAGCCAGCACGATCGAATGGCAGGTTTTTTCGTTACGCAACAATATCAAACCTAAATCGGAGATGACTTCGTTCGTTATGTTAGATCTGGTGTGAGGCGGTGTGGGCGAATCGGTGCTGTATTCCTCCGTTTCCATGGAATCAGCGGTGGATTCCGGCATAACGGATCCGCCGACTAAAGCCACTTTCAGCAAATCCAAATATTCCCTGGTCAATGCGCGCGTCAGGATGTCTTCGAGCACCTCCTGCGTGTCTTGGTTGTCTTCGTGCGCCTCGCGATTGCGGAATTCGATAACTTGCTGCCATTTCGTGTGCAATCTCGAAAGAACTGTAAAAATTTTTCCAATTGAACAAAACGTTATTTAGTCGAAATGATAACTCACTAATAGGCGCAAGATGAACCATGATTGGTAGAATGACCACTTCGTAAAATGGAGCCGGACACGAAAAGATAAATTGCCTTAGATACACTCTTATGATTGGTCGAATCCTATAATCCGGTATAAACTGAAAACAATATAATCGTTAAGTTTAATAGTTACTTAATTAATCAAACATATCACTCACTTGTATAAACGACAACACACTATTAACGATAGCCAAACCGAGCTCTGGTATATTGTACAAATCTCTACCTAAAGACGGGCCCAACGATCCCATCATATGATAACAAGTCTCGTGTAAACCGCTCAAAAACCTTTGCATCCTCTCCAGAGGACTCTGCACCGCTTGCGCGTCGCCGGCGTCGCCTACGATGTGCCCGATCAACCCCAACAAATTCATCCTCTCGGTCTCCAGCATGCCCAAGCAATCCTTGTAACTCTCGTGTATCATGTTCTGCGCCTCGGGCGAGAACAGCTCGTTGAAAATCTTCATCAGATTGAGTATGTGCGGCAAGAGGGGCACGACGTGCGGCGCCGCCGGATTCCTGCACACCGGATTCCCGGACTCCGTCAGCGAGACGACGAAGCCGCCGCGCGTCGCTCGCTCCGGATCGTCGGGCCAGGCGCACCGCTTGATGGCCCCCAGGAGGAGGTTCAGGCAGAACATGATGTTGCCGCGGTTCTGGCCGCACACGTCTTCCGTGTTACTGGGCACCGGGGGCTTATCGAGGCCGATGAAACTGATGAAATTAGTCGCGTTTCTAAATGCACCTAGATATAATATAATTTTTAGTCTGTTAAATACGATGCGAATCGCATAATTATAATCACCTGCGTTGATAATATCTAAAAATTGAACATTGGCATCCCTCAATACTTCTCCTACGAACGTACTCTGCCTATCGTAATCTCCGAAATGATTGGATATTAATAAAAGAGCTTCTTGCAAAGTTATCTACAAGCAAAAAAATCATATTAATAACAATTCTGAATATCGATTGATAAACTCGTACCTTCTCTAAGATGCTCAAATTCGCTGGCCCGTCCGGTCTGGATAAATTGTCGACCGTAGCTCTGATTTGATCGAACACGGGCAGCAACAAAAGGGGATATTTGTTACCTATTTTCACCATTAGAGACGCCGCGTGACGTCTGACGTTCTTAACAGCTCGAGATCTGTTGTTGACCGAAACGCCTTCGGGCGTATAGACTAGCGTCGAAAAGATTTTTTCTAACACTTGGGGCAAAAGCGCGGCGCCCGAAGCTGCTACTGAATTAGCTGGAACATAGCACACTTGTGATACATTTGTTAATAGAATAATTAAGTGGGATTTACCAGTAGGCGCCATTTGTCCCGTTGACATGCTCAGAAACACAAACAAAGCCGAAATGCACGTGAGTAAAGTTGACAGAATTAAAGGATCCGCAGGTTGATACGACAAGCACAGTTGAAGTAATCTATAAACCGAACAGGATTTCATTCAATCGAACGAGTTTTTGTGAATAATTATCTAATTACCTCAGCCCAGAAGCGATAGATGGTCGTTCCATAGCTTGCAGCACCCTACTAAGGATACTTTCTAAAAAATTCGACAACGCCTCCCATTCCTGATAGACAGGATCGGACATAGACAATCCCACAGTCGTATTCGGTACTTGTAGACATTTTATTAACCACTGTTCAACGTAATTGAAAGTAACTAAAGGCGCCACAACAGTCGCATGTCTACAAAAAAACGTGTTAACCATCAATGGAACTCTCCAAATAAAACAAACCCACCTAAACGAATCGAGCATATCTGATCGACATCTATAAAAGAACGCCGAAAATTCCTCTTCGCTGTCGAAATCCAGCTTCGCGTACAGGATTTTCTCGCCACCGTCGCCGTTCGTGGGGCTCTTGCCGACCGGAAAGCAGAACTTCACGATTTTAGGGGCCGTACATTGCACCCACTGCGGTATGTACGACAGGAAAATCGGGTCCCTGGCGACGTGCTCGTTCTTCAGCATGCTGTTCCATATGGGATTAGCTCCGTGAGCTAGACACAAGCTCGGGTGTACGCTGTACGCCAGTATGGCCTCGAGGAACATCGTGAAATTCGACGGACGCGCCAAGCCGTCCTTGCCCCATAAGCTACACACTTGCGTCGTCAAACCCAGCAATACTTGGATCAATTTCTTCTTGAACAAGTAGTGTTGTTCGTCTCCGATGGTCCCTGGATTTTTGGCGGCGGTCAACAAGCACTGTATCGGTTCGTTGTTGAATAATATCAGTATGGGTTTCCTTTCGTCGGCCTTGCCCTTGCGGTTGACAATCTACAAATACCAGCTTATTAAATCCAGCTGAAAATTAGTAGACGTGATCTTTTACCTGCGATAGACATTCGGCTGCGGAGTATTGAAATGCGGCATCGTTGAGTAGTAAACATAGGATTTGTAGCAGTCTTCCGTTCTGTGCCATGATGTGAGTCATAGAAACCCATTCGACGAAGCCGGTCAGTGTTAGTAGTACCACTTGCACCACTCGGCAGTGAGCGTTCGCTTTAGTCACGTTCGATTCGCTGTGTAGCCTGAATTGCCCGACGTGTAATTCGATTAATCGTAGAAAAAATTCGAAAATCACCGCCATGTTAGCGGTGAGAGCGTGGTAGATGTCCTTACGTCGTTGGTTCGATTCGAGCGTCTGGAATGTTCGTTAAAAAATTAAGATTTATAGCGCTTACGAGAAATAATAAGTACCTGTAATAAAGCTACGTCTTCAACCAGCCGCAAGAAAACTAGTAGAACTAGTTCGGTTTGGGTTTCTCCGCAAGCACAGGCATCGGACAATTCGTTCAACAAACCGGGCCATTGTTGGGGCCATTCCCGCTTAACCATCTCGACAACCACCCTGCTCAAAGCGTCCTTCATGTGGGTTTCATCGCTGATGCCTCCGGCGGATAGTAACTTCATAGCATTCTCCTGCACAAACAGCGCAATTAACACCACTACATGCTACATTTACCGCCATTCCTACCTTAATAAAGATCTTCTCCTGTTGGGAGATTTGAGTCCAGCGGTACTTGACGGTATGCTCCATGAGTTGGAGGCCAAAATGCCTGGATATCGACGAGTGGTGAGTACCGGCGGCCAGATAGAGCCCGGCCTCCGCGCAAAGCGGGGACGTTTCTTTGAAGCTCTCGCAAGCTTGGTAGGCCCTGAACCTGTCCTGCTGGGAGGCCCCCGTGCTCATGGTGAGCTCGACGGCGCGCGCTAAATCCGCCGCTAGGGCTGCCACGTCCGGCCCGGCCATCGCGATGCACTCGAATCGAATTTACTCACTGCGGGGGAAGAAAAAGGTGATATTATTTGCAGCACCTTGGCAAACGGCATGGACTTACACGATGTTTCCTAAAATGTAACCATCACACGCTACGCACATTTACGCGACGTTCGGCGGTATTCGATGGATGAAATCCACTAAAGGCCCACGGGAATTTTTATTATTATTTATAACATATGATTAAATATTTATTAAAAATGTGCAACAATTCCAACTTGACTTGACAACTTGATTATTGCCGGCTACGCTGGCGGACTCTGGTGGTTGACGTTTCGTTGACAATATTTTGACAAGTGGTTAAAAATCAAGATTACTAAAATGAAAAAGGATTTTTTTTTTAATTTTATTTCGGTTTTATTAAATTATAGATATACCAGATAGATCTGGTAATATTAAATTCAAATTGCTTTTGTATTTATTCACTTGCTTACTAAAAATATTAATTCAAAAACTAATCTACGCATTTGTACAGGCAACAATTGCAATATTTGGTAGTCTAAAGTGCATAAAATTATTGATTAATATAAAAAATAATCAGACGGACGATTAAATTGAATTAACTTGTAATCGAGTTTGGTTTATAATAGAGTTAATTCGAAAATCAATAATCGTGAACAATGATGGAGTATAAAAATTCTTAGGCAACATATTTAACATATTTGTAAAAATTGTTGCCTATATGTCATTGATTATTTTGTATTATTAATAATTAAAATTTATTCAGAATAATTAGATAATTGATTAAATTTGTTGGTATTAACATTTTTGTACATTATTAATTATTGTACTTATCAAATACTAATATACCTTAAATAATTCTATTTTTTACCAAGTGGATATAGTCGAAAACACCAAAAAAATGCGCGTTCCTAATAAACTAATGGCTTATTCAAGGACATACGTTAAAGTGTAATTAAAAAATAATGTTTTTTAGATATAATGGTCATTATCTTTTAGTGTATTAATAGATTTATGCGATTTTAGATGAGTTTCCCGCCATTCTAATGCGGTCGAGAAAACAAGCGCCTTCACAGAGGAAAGTAAGAATTTAATTGGTCATCGAAAAGAACCACCAATCACGGAACGTCGAATCGCTCCGATTGGCCGGTACGCGGCGCTAATTTCGAATCGGACCAATCGCGGCGGATTGTAAACAGTGCTCTCTGTTCACCTCACAAGTGGCGTGGGGTTTCAATACGAAATACGAAGCCGTGTATTAGTAGTGCAAAGCTTGAAAGGTAAGAATTATTTTTTATTTTCCAATGTAGAACTTGTCACAATTTGATATTTGAAATTCGCATAGTAATTTTAAAGCGTAATTGAGTGGCTATGGTCGCACAATGCCGAAATCTTTATTTTATTCCGAATCGTTACTGGTGAAACGTACGTAACTATACATGTTACTGGTATAGCAAATGGCTGCCATAAGCAAAGCATTGGTTCTTATGGAAGCGTCGTTTCGAATTAATTTCCGTCGCTCGCCTGCATCGCGGAGCTGGGAGATTTTTTCACGGCGTAGCTGAATTTATTTGCGATTTTTGAGGGAAATTTCGACCGGCCCCGACGACGGGAAGTAGTCGAAATTAAATTAAAAAGTGTCGGGCTCGGTCATATGGCAAAGCTATACAAAACGTATTGGACTCCATTTGCACCGTGTATTTCCCTATGCTGTGCTCGGCTTATGGCATATTATACGTGCAATGTATGAGGTATAGGGTAAAAATGAATGGTTTTTCTTCGTGAAATCGACGATTTGGTGTAAGTACGGCACGTTTTCGGGACACGAGGCGATTAATTAAGAATACTTTTATTGATGACGTAGCTCGTTGTGACGCCTTTGTTAAAAAATTTTCGGTTTATCTCGACTTTTTTGATTTTTGCCGCCAATCCGTTTGATTATCGTTAACGAAAAAAATTGCATATCTCGAATACACATTAGCCGAATGTACGGGATTTTTTCGTAAAATCGAAGAATCTGTGTAATATATTCGGTTATATGGTGACAAGGCCCACGCCTTGTTTTATTTTTTTTCGAGTTTACATTTGTACGCGTTTAATTATAATTTTCGTTTGGTGGGAGTATTTTTTCTCGTTCGCCGGGTTTTTTTTTTTTCGATTTTCGAAGTTGGTATCGATTTTTGTTTTCCGATTGCCGGCATTTCCTTTGTTGTAGCGATTCTTCGGGGCCGGCCTCCCCGGTTCGGTAAGTGCTCGAAAGCAGATGTATGTTTAACGGTTTTCCCGGCGTATTGTTTACACGTTTTTTGTTTCCTGGTTTCGAATGATGCGTTTTGCTGCACCGCCATCATTCCAATCGAAAATTGCGTAAATTTTTCCTTGCCATAAACAATTTAAATTAGCTAACTATACTGATGTATTTCGGGAATATTTCAATTTACAGGGTATCCATTATTGTTGTAATTCACAGTCAAGTTGTCGCATTTCGTTCAACTAAACTGAATCCCTGAATAAAAAATATAAATTATCTGAATTTTTTGATCTATTACTTAAAAAGAACCGAGCAAATTAAGATCTATTAAATCTAAAATAAAAGTATTACATTTTTAATTGAATTAATCCGTATCTTATCAATTTTTGTTTCTTCAGCTACAATACTGTTTGATTTGAAACAATTCATCTACAACACTCTTATTACATTATAAAAAGAGACTAAATTTAAAAACTATTGTGCAATATTAGTAAATTATATCATTTCAAACATTATTATCATCTATACGAGGCGTAAGAGCCAAATAACTGAAAAAATTGGGTAATTTGCTTCATATTCATCGACAACATCGCTTAATAATTCTGTTTGATTTCTCAATTTTCTCTCATTCTATGCCCTCCATTTCTATATTCTCTACATTTCAATATATCCATCTTCCATGTACTGTTTTACATCTCTAAATCCTGTAATATTTTAATGTTGAGAGGCTCGTTAGAAGGTACATAATTTAGAGAATCTAAATCGAGAATAATTAGTGTAGCATTCAACGTGTTAATTAGAGGTGTTTTGTCCAATTTGAGATAATTTTATATCAGCGAAAATTCAGGTTTTTAATTACGAAACGAAAGTAAAATACGAGCATAGATAAATTTTGACAATTATATACACGAGTATTGATTATGTGGACAAATGACGTTTGACAACGTCAAAAATTCGCCTTCTCACAGCCGGCTTGGATGGAAACCTATTAATATTCAACATTATTTTACATAATTATAGAGATTTTATTATATCGATGATGAGCACATAATATTTTTCCCATGTTACTCGGCGTGGAATTGGTTATTATTTTTTTGTAAATTGGATTCGTAGCGGCCTTATTAAAACGCATAAACATCGTCGAATTTTCCGGGCTAATCGAGAAAATCCGCCATTTACAAACGCAACATCGTCAACTCGGAATAATTAATGAAGTAAAATTTAATTAAAAAGAAAAAAGAGAGCGAGAGAGAACCGGCGAGAGGGCGAGAAACAATTTGTGTGCGAGCGCCGTCCTTTCTTCTTTCTCACTCGCTCTAGCTTTTACGCTCCCCCTTTCGTCCCTTCTCTTTCACAACTTCTATACGTGCCCCGAAGGACAGGGACGGATTTCATACGATTTCCATTCGGATTACCAAAATTTGTCTTATCTTACTTTTGAATTGCATATGAAAGAAAAGGTAAGTATGTTAATTTTGCTAATAGATCAAAGTAACCATTGTAATGAGTGAACTTGTTGTAATATGACTTATGACATTTGAAAGGTAACTTTTAATATGGCGATATGTTTGAAATAAAATGTATTTGTTTATTTCTTATTTAATAAAAGTGTGTTGTTATGCATTATTTATTAATAAAGGTAAGTTTAAGTAGCTTATTTTTGTATTGTCAAGTGCAATATCAAATTCATTGTTAAGTTGTGTGAAGTTAGGTATAATTTGACGTATTCGTTTTTGTCATATTATATTTGTAGGTTTCGAGAGTATTTTGTGATGTAAAATTTGATGATAAAATAGAATCGATAGTTTATAGGATAAGGGCCGGTTCCGTCCCTGTCGAAAATTTCCACCGTCCCCGCGATATATACAAGGCTCGGGGCCCGGGAGGTTTTCGATTCGCCTTCTTATTGACCGCGGAGCTGCGCAGCTTTCAGACCGAGAGGGCGAGGAGACACCCGTTCCGAAATTCTCCGAATCTCCGCTGCGTGTGAGGGCGTCTCGATCGTCTCTCTCCGCGTTATCGGCGTCCCCCTCGGGTTTTCAGACACTCTCTCTCGCCTCGACCGTGTTGCCACATCGCGTCCAACGGTTGCCGCGCGCGTACGTACCGGACGGTCTCTCGCCATACCCCCCGACGAACCCGAACCCCGAACCGGCTCTGTTCGTACAGTTCGTTATTTCTATCGTGTTGTTTTTTTGGTTGTTTTGGTTGCTCTTGCCGCTACCTCGGCTGCTGCGAGATTCGATTTCGAAAGCCGAATGTTCTGTTGAAGCGGGTTTTCGGTGCGCGTTTGTGTGTGTGTTTGTGCGATCGTCATGTTGCCGATCGCGAGATGAATTCGTAGTTTTATTTGGTTTTCGCGTCGAGGGGTTGTTTTCCCTCTGTGTATGCGTGCGTTAGAATTTGGAAGTGCTCGATCATCCCTCATGGGTATCGTCGGCGACTGGTAGTGCGCGGGCAACTTATCGCCCCACCTTGTATTTGTTTTTTTTTTGTTTTTTCGTTAATATTCGGTTGGATTTTCGACATTTCGACTCGACATAGTCATGTCTTGGAACGCTAATCGCGAGGAAGGAATGTGGTGGCCGCCGGGGAACGTCGTCGCCGATCAGCAGACGATACAACAACAACAACAGCAATTCTTCCAGCAGCAGATGGAGAACGAGGCGCAACAACAACAGCAGCAGCAGCAACAGCAGCAACAACAGCAATTTAGTTACAAAATGGGCAACAATTTTCAAAATCCCGCTACGACGCAATCGAGCGTGACGTCGTCGACGACGTCGGGCGTCCGTGGTGGCGGCGGCGGCGGCGGCTACGACTACGGCATGACAGGTGGTGGGAATTCGTCGGGCGGTGCACCTGCACAGGGCGCGCAGTGGTGGTACTCGCCGTCGGCCATGGAGAATATGCACAATTCGATGCAAAGTTTACAAAACAGTATGCACGGTATGCAGCATCAAATGCCACCTGTACAGAATCCCTCTTCCCCGGTAAGGCCCCTCGCCCCGTTAAACGGACCTTTACTCATCGCGCATTTACCGCTTAAAACCATTTTGTTTTTGCGCATACACGTTTTAAACGATTCCTCTTTTCGTTGGAAACGTTTAAAACTTATTGGGAATTATTAAATAGATGTTAATAAATCGTTTTAAATTTTACGAAATAAATAACGTGTCTTGGGTCTACCTGCTCTTCGGAAAGTTGCCCAGAGCTACGAAATGGCGCGGGAACTAATTATTAAAGCACACAAATGCAGCATCTACAAGAATTTAATCGATAATCATAATCACAATCGAATACTTATGCTTGTGATTGATTTCATGCAAATTGATTGGCTCTATAATTATTAATTGTCCAATCATTGTCAAAAGAACCGAATGAAATATAAAGCAGCATTTTTGATATTGCCATAAGTAAAAGATTGATGAAATTAATATAGAATTTGCAAGAAGGATTATTGACAAGCTATGGAGTAATTCGAAAGATTTTACTTCTACCAAATTACTAGAAAATAGAGTAACCTTAAAGAAGCGTATAAACGAGAAAGAAAACTTCATAAATTTAATTGAACTTGAATACCAATTTGCTGTTAAAATGGTATAATTGAAAAGGAATATCAAATAGAACAAAGTAATATTTACAATTCAAAAAAGAAAGTAAACAAATAACTATTATTTATCCAAGCGATTATTATTTTGTATTATTTAAGCGATTTGTTTTCTAATTACAAAAAATTATCACCCATTTATTTAACTATAAATTAAAACCAATGTATTAAGCAACAAAGGAATTTTTCCAATTTGCACATTCAAGGATAGAGATAAAAAAAAAATAAAATCGATACCTACCAAAAAAATTGTGTAATATTAGACGGTTTATCGACCTTGGAATTGTTCGGTTCGACTTTCGTCTGTGGAAATTCGAATTGGTCGAACAAAAAAAAAATCGGTTTTTGGGAGGCCATTTTCCTAGCCCCGTGTATAAGCACGAAACTAATTGTGTTTGATAAGAAAACGGGACGATATCTATTGCGCAATAAGGGGGTACCGAACTAAACAGGAAACACGAGATAAATCACGAAAAAAAGGAAGTAAACAATTAACCAATTTCGACTTATTAGGTTTTAATCAAATGGAATTCGTATACATTTTTGTATTATTATTATTCCCGAGTTCGGCGAGCGCCTCGCGTCGAGGGCGAAACGGTTCAGTTTCGGGAATTAATCGATACATTTTAAGATGCATTAAAAGGGGGAAAACGCAGCCCAGAACCGGACCTGCGGCTCGGGCGGTTTCTATTTTTTTTTTCAACTCGCTCGTTCTTCGGGTCATTACTCATTATAAGACCGAGAGAACTATCCGGAGGTCAGGACAGGTGGTCTCTCGAACTTGGGTGCGCCGGCATTTTCTACTTTATTTATTTTTTTTTTTTTGAATATCGACTCTTTACCAGGATGATTTACGCGTGGAAACGCGAACCCCATTCAAACCAACTGAAAAATCTACTCTCCTAACGGCCGGCGTTTCTCTCTTTTGCAGCATAGTGACATCCAAAGTCGACAAGAAGACATCCAAAGGCATCACCAAGAGGCCAACAGGCATCACCAGGCTCTTAGCGAGGCGCAAGCGCGATTACAGCTAGGCTTACAGAACAGCCAATTACACAACAACCACCATCAGGTGATTAATAAGATTTTCTCTAAAGGTTTACAGAAGGTATTAATGATTTTGTTTCGATTGCTAAAGATACTTTCGCACGGTCCGTTACCGCACAAAGGAAGAATGCCGCGTCCGAAGGCCGATGCCAGACCTAGGGGACGTATGACCGCTTACGCGTTCTTCGTGCAAACCTGCAGGGAGGAGCACAAGAAGAAACACCCCGAAGAGAACGTCGTGTTCGCGGAGTTTTCCAAAAAGTGCGCCGAAAGGTGGAAGGTAAGAACCGACCGATATAAATCCCGTTCTTTTAAAATTTTTCGATAAAAAAAATTATAACGTGAATGCCCCTGACCATTATGTGTACCGGTGAAAGAAGACCGACGGTCGGTCGGGTCCAAGCATCTCGATTCTTTCTCTCGCGCCGCTCGGACGTTCGGCGGAGAAAAACCGGTTTACCTTCGGGTAGATGTTTCTTGGAAGCGAACGAAGACGGGACGATACGCATCTGTTCGGGCCCGTCGACGTGGTAGACGGAGACCGAAAAACGCGCTCTTGTGAGCGCGAAAAAAAAAATTGGAAAAAAATCGTCGGGGATCCTTACGTAAAATGGGCGAATTGTCGATTTTTTTTTCTTCGGCTAATTATCGAAGTTTTTAATTGCATAAATCTTCCACTTTTTAACTATGCAAAAAAGTATTGAGAATTTATCGATATATTGCCAATTTAGCTGGTTGGATCATTGACTCTATTTTGAGGTACATAGCAACGTTTCGATCTGCCCAAAGCTTCTTCAGATCTCTAAATAGTTCTTTTCATTTCGAACTACCTTGAGTTATGAATTTTTTGATTAGCCAATCATAGTCTTGATTGCACCATCATTCTTAAATTGGACTTTAACATGAGTTAGCTGAGCTCTTAATGAATTGCCTCTAGAATGAATAAATTTTGCTCACAAATATGTACTGAATAGTTTTTTGTAATCACAGAACAATACTACAGGAGATTTATGCAAAAATTGGCAACGTTTCGATCTACTTCAACCTTCTTCAGATCTCTAATAGTTCTTCTCAATTCATATTACCGTGAATTAGATATATTTTGATTGCCCATTTACACTATTGATTGCACTTAATTGGAGTTTTCCACTCTTAACATTGTGTTTAGAATTGATGAATCTCGCTCAAATATGTACTCTTTTGTAATAACAATAATACTACAAGAGAGTAAAATTGGTGATACCTCGATGAAGGTGCACAATTGAACTGAAACGTTGCTTTTTTTGATTGTAAAATGGAGCCATTTTACGATCATAATTTCCCGTAAAATCGAATTAATTCCGGCATCAATTCGATCGTGGAAGAGATGTTTCGTCCGAGATTAAATAACTAATCTCGTATTAACTTCTTTGTCCTTCCGTAATCTTCGGGCATCATCGAGAACGCTATTTAAAAAAAAATATCGTTTCTCGCTCGCCGCTCCTCGACGGAACGTATCCCGAGGCCGAATTTTTTCTGCTCGAAATATTTTCGACCGTAATTATCGTGATGTTGACCTCTTTCGTACGACGTTGAATTATTATTAAATAAATTAAAAAAAAATACACGTAGCCTCGATATTATGTAAAATCTATTTGTCTATAATTTCGCGTTTAATTACCACCCGAGCACGATGGACGAAACGACGAAACGAGAGAGGGATCGTGTGTATAAATTTAGTTTTTTTTTTTCATTTTCACCCTTCTTTTCTCCCCCCCGTACATGCGTGCGGGGACAATTGATTTTCGGGGAGTCTGGAAAGCGACGGCGGGATCTAAGCGAGGCGCTTGCGTTTCGCTCCGTCCCCTTTCTCCCGTATTCCTCTACATACACTGAATACTAATGTAATTTTCCACGACACGGACCGACTCTAGTTTCCTCTTTTTTCTTCTGGCAATTTGGAAAATTTTACGATCGCGCTCCGGCGCGAGAGAGAAATCTTCAAACCGTGACCGGATTTTTATTATCCTACACATTATATAATTTTTTACACACCCAATTAATTCGCCGCGATTGCGAGTCTTTAGAGCGTTCTCACACGGGGTGCAATATATTGCAGCGTTATTGCATTGCAGTTAAATTGCAAGCGTTCAAACCTGCAGGTTTCACACGTATGCAAAACGATAATCATTATAAAAACTGCAATGCAATATTGCACTGAATGAAAACGCTCGTACGATCCACTCGTTGTAATTATCGAATGCGGATCGAACATACTACAACAAAAAAACTAATGTTTTTTTTTTGATATCATAGACCATGTTGGACAAGGAGAAGAAACGTTTCCACGAGATGGCCGAAACCGACAAGAAGCGCTACGACAAGGAGATGCAGAACTACACTCCTCCTAAGGGCGAGAAGCAGAGAGGCAAGAAGAGGAAGCAAATCAAGGATCCCAACGCTCCCAAGCGATCGCTGTAAGTGTTAATTTGTTTGCACTATTCGCACAGCTTGATCAATCGATGGGCTTCGTTTCGAATGGCCCTTCGATTATAAACCTGTGCTAAATTAACTTGTACGGAATAGTCGATTAAAAGATTCGATTTATTTCTGCTATCGTATTAGACAGCTATTCCGACAATTTTTTAGCCTTTAACATCGCGGTTATTCGGATAGTTTATTGTTTGTGTCGTAGGTCGGCTTTCTTCTGGTTCAGCAACGACGAGCGCGGCAAAGTCAAAGCCCAGAATCCCGAGTACGGTGTTGGGGACATCGCCAAAGAGTTGGGCAGAAGATGGGCCGATGCCGATCAAGAAATCAAGGGTAAATACGAAGCCCTGGCCGACAAGGACAAGGCCAGATACGAGAAGGTGAGATTCTTCACAAGTGTGCAAACGTTCCGTGTAATAAAGGCGTTTGATATTTTCGCAGGAAATGACTGCGTACAAGAAGAAGAACAATCCTGCATTGCAGCAAATGGGTCACGCGGTACCTGAGCCCGACGTCGAGGCCGAGGACGAAGAAGACGAGGGCGACTTAGATGACGACGAGTAATCGCGTTGGTTGTTCTCTATAAAAATTTTTTTTTGGTGTAACATACTTCTTCTGTCTCTCTCTCTCTCATTTTTTTTAAGTCGCCTTACTCATTCCTCTATTGTAAATATACATGTTAGCAAAAGTGTATTAATACTGGTTTTTCTCGTTTATGGTTTTCTGTTTGTCCGAACAACAATTCAATTGAAAACGTAATGTGTGTACTTACAAAAAAATTAATACTGACAGTGTGCGAGTGACGGAAGTTTATTTTAAAGGGACCTACAGATTGACAGGAGTAACATATTGTATTTGGTAGTAAAAATTAAATTGCATCTAGGATTTTTGGAGGATATCATTCTGTAGGTTTTTTAATTGCGTTCTGAAACCGTTTTATAATTGGTATTTTAATTGATTCTTTTTGGAAATACAAAATGTGTGTTAGTGTTTAACTTTTATGGATATCTTCCTCTGCACTGTCGTTGAAATGTGGATGGTGCAAAAAAAACGGGTTTGAAAATAAACGGCGCGACATTTAATTTCTTTTTTTTGTATAACTTAAGTTGATGTTAGTTCGTTTCGGAACCCCCATGTAGTTGTAAAATTACGATTTTTTTAATTTGAATTGTAAATGTTTTTTTAATTCTATACGGGGGTTTTTTTACTTGGATTTTTTATAAAAATTTCAAAAAAATATTAAATTCACACATACCCAAAAAATCCATCTGAAATGCTTTACGATTTTAACCAATTTTGATAAAAAAATATTTGCAATTCAATATTTTTATACTTTAGTCCTCTGTATCTGCCAGTTATTTATTGATAAAAAACTGTTCTTATAAGTTAATATTTAGTAGATTGTATTCTCCATTTAAAATATTCCCCTATTGTATAAACAGAGCAGAATTGTCTTGTTTTTTACGTGTAATTTAAAAACCAAAGTTTTGTGGACAATGCAGTACAAAAACTAATCGATTTATAGTTTCTTATTGCGTTTTGAATCTATTCCTTCGTTAGTTTTTATCTTAGTATGTTCAAAATGAACGATATTGAATTATGTACAGCATACTTCGTTGTTTCCATTCAAACTGAATTGTTTCATAAAATTTAGCTCATTTATATTTAGGAAAAACTCGATTAATGTTTTTCATTTTACTCGTTAAATTTAAGTTTTCCTTTCATCATATTTCCCAAGGAACTATATTTACCTTTGCAAGTACAATTTTAATCTGTGATTATTACGGTAAAAATAGTTCTTTTATATCGTGACCCCATTCGTTTGTAATGTTTAATTAGGAAATTTTTTTACATTAGTTCCATATACCGAGTGTCCATTAAATGGACGGTCTCTCACTGAAATCACCAACAAATCGCTCTGTGTTATGTTAGGGAGAAAAAAAATAGGAAGCAATGTTTGTTTTTTATATCTGATAGGAATAACAAAAAAAAATAATAAAATTTTCAGTAAAATGCTGTTTTATTCCAAGAAAATTCCCATTACATCACCAGCCTATTTTCTTGTTAAAAAATTCCGAATACAGTGAAGAAACAATTTAGGGACAACCTGTATAATACCGTAAAAAGTCGAGTGATCGAGAAAGAGAGGTATATAAAATTTGACGTTAAAAAGAGTAAGCAATATATAAAATTTATCTATCCTAACACAGTTGGCACTGACAATGTCAATAAAGTTTAAAAAATGAATTATTGTTTTCCGTAATTTTATTATACACATTTTGCAGCTTTTTGTATTGGTTTTTTCACAGTTTTTGTAGAGGTAAGTTATTTTATCCTACGATTATCGGTCGCTCGGCATTATCGAAGCGCCAATTTAAAAAAAATCGCATTATTTACGGGAAATCGCGAATCCATTTCTGACGTTTCCAAACGCACGTATTAAATCAATTTCTTGCTGAATAATCGATGCGCTCTGCGCATCCCGCCGTCCGTTACGCGGTTTCCCCCTTAAATATCGATTCTATAGAGTTGAAATTTGAATAAGCGAATTTTCCCGGGCTCTGCGGATATTTGACGTTTCCCCCCACCGCCGCGACTCAATAACCCATTGCCCTTGCGCTCAAACGCGAAACGCGCCATTTGCTAAACATTGGTTCGTGATGGCATTGGTAAGTTTTTACCGCAAATAAATCGCCGTGCGAGGCATTCGGCCCGATAATTATCCGTTTATTATGTCACTTCCTCGTTGCGGTTCAATAAAACGCTAAGCACGGCCCGTTAATCGCCGCAAAACGGCCCGAGGAAGATAAGGTTTTGGCTTCGAAGACGGGGGAACTGCGCCGATTCGGGTACATACATGTTGTTTTTTTTTGTTGTAGATAAACTTCACACGCGATTAAAATTTCGTGGACAATAGGCCTACTACGAACGAGACCGTTTTCGCGTATTGCGTCGAGTTCACAATACCAGTATCGCAACTATGGGTACGAACGCAAAGGACGACTTTATGGAATCCAAGGAGTACGTCGTAAAAACCGATGAATTCGACGATCTGTCGGATACGCTGTTGGAAGGCATCGGAGGCGACAAGAAGCAACTCGACGATGCTTTATTGGCCGATCCTGATAGTTGTGGCATGTGTGGGTGAGTAAATTGTCATTAAAATAACTCGATTCTTTATTGTAGAACAGTAGATTATAAGACTTTATCCACTACATAAAAAATAACGTTAGAATCGATAATACTAATTACTAAACTACCCTCTTTTTTTGATATAGTGGCGCTCTAGAGGTCCCTCGAATGCTGCATTGCCTGCATGTATTCTGCCAGGATTGTCTCGACAAAAAGATAGCATGCAATGGTGCTGGCGATGCCGGATCCAGAGACACTTCGATTATTTGTCCCACCTGCAATCACACCACAATGGTTAGTTCCATTTTTTTTGTAATATTTGTTCTGTTGAAAACGTTTTTTTGTAACTATTAGTCCAGTCTGCATTCCTATTGGAGCTCAAAAATATTTGACAGATGATTGACCAATAGGAATGCAGAATGCGTTTCGTTTTTTTTTCTATATGGTGCTCTATGCTTTTGGTATAAAGGCGCGTTTTTTTGGTTAATTCCGAATTGGCACTGCGTCATTAACGTCATTTGTCGATTGTTGGTTGTTGCCATTTTGATTTTTAAATATTTTTTGCAAGGAACTAAATTTTGGCCAAGTTTTGAGTATTTGATATAAGTAATATGAATGTAAGTAGGTTTTTAACAATTTTACCTTGCACTAACTAAAAGTTTTTATTAATTTTGATAATTTTGGATGATTTATTTCATAACATTTTTACAGGTTGTAATACGATTTTGCCTAATTTTTGAAAAGATTATATTTCATAAATTGTACATACAGATAAGTGCAAATTTGCACACAATACGATCTATGGGCCCAACTTTCATATTAGTATCATATAAGGAAAAAGAAATAGTGATATTGTAGGATTGGAACTTTCTTACTCCAACCAATGTTATTTTAATGATCTTTCTTTGTTTAACTCATAGAATTGACCATATTTCAGACAAATTCGCACTTACCTATACACATGTGCATAAAAGTTTCCAGAGATTATTAAAATAACAGTTACGAGTGACAATTTCAATCCCACAATATCACCCTTTCTTTTTCCTCTATAAGTATTCAATGGAAGAGTTGTCTTCGTTGCACCCAGAGCCTAAACTAAAATGCATCAATCTATACATTAGTATAGAATCGATAAGTTTATTGATATACATTATCGATGATATTGCAATGAATTCATGTATTTGCGAAACGTTTTCAGGTTGGGACGAAAAAGTTGGCTGCGCTGCCGCTGGACGTGACCAAAACCAACATCTCTGACGTATCCAACTCGTCGAGTTTGCATTGCACGTCTTGCACGGCCAAGGAGGTGGCGAAGTCGCGGTGCAGCACCTGCCACAACTTGTTGTGCAACAATTGCGATTCCGCTCATCATTTCATGCGTTGCTTCGAATCGCACAAGGTGGTCGCTTTGGACGACATGCGTAAGGACGGGTGCGAAGATAACCGTTCACAAGCCGTTGGAGTGCGACTACCATTCCGGAGAGAATATAATCTACAATTGTACCAATTGCAACGTGACGGCCTGCGCCGAATGCGTCAAGGGCGATCACAAGGGCCATCAGTGCGAAGGTATACTCGATTCGGAGACGCGGGTGCGCCAGGAAATGGACGCCTTGCTCGCGAGGAGCAGGGAGAAAATCGAACAGCTCGCCAAAGCATCGGCTAATTTGAATAACAATTTGGAGGAATTGGCCCATCAACGTTCTACCGCTAGAGATCTTATCAACGAATCATATCAGAGTTACAAGGCTGTTCTCGAAAAGTGCAAAGATGATATAATCGAAGAATTAAATAAATTGTACCACGAGCGTGAATTGAAGATCATGAAAGAAACCGATGAGCTGGGTAAAACAATTGATAACATGGAAGATGCTTGTAAATTCACTTCTCGTTTATTAGAAAATGGCACTGTACCAGAGATGATGTATTTGAGAAAAGTAGTCGCTTCTAGGCTAATTGAATTGAGCAGCAAATCGCCTAAATTGGAAAAGTGCTATACGATCGAATTCAAATCCGATTTGGATAAATTCGATAACGTCGTCAAAAATAATTTCGGCAGATTCGCCACGGAAAGCGACGTTGCCATAACGAAAAGTTTGCCCGATTTACCTCCGCTCAACATCAACGGAATCAACGGTATCAGCAACGCCAATCATAACGCATCAACGCCCGCCATAATCACCAACGGTTGCAACGGTCCCTCTGTATCCAACGGCAGTCCCATCTCCCTTCCGACGTCCATGCAATCGTCGTTCGACGGCGACATCGGCAACAATCTGCAAAATCTCATGGCCCAAAGTCCTCCTTTGCCTCACGTCAGCTCGACGGCCGCCCTGCAGGGATTCTCCAGCATCGCCGAATACAACATCGCCCGTTTGGCCACACTCGCCGAAACCACCAACAGCGCCGCCACGTCGCCCACGGCGGCCCCCTTCAACTTGGCCGACCTTCTAACCAACGATACTGCCTACAAAAATCTCGCTTCGCTGGCCAATCTCGGATTAACGGCAACCGGTAATGAGGAGCGCCTGCTTCCGATGAGCATTTGACCGGTTTACCGACTAGTAAACGTCGCGAATTTTACCGGACAAATGCTCGTCGGGAACAAACGCGCTTGAATCGTTTAACGATGTAATGCTAATGTAATATTATTTAAGCAGATACGGTTTCGAACGGTAACAACATGCTCGCCAGATCGACATCTGCGGCATCCTTAACCCTATCCAATAATATTATAAACGGTTTCGGTGGCGTGTCCACCTCGACGTCTCCGCTCTTATCCACTCCCGACGACATTATTCCAGATCCCCTGACCAATATTATCCCTCCTACAGGCAACACGACCGCCCCGTCCATTCCTCGCTCGAACAAAGTCAGTCCCATGCAGATTCGCAGCAAATTCGGCCAGTTGGGGCCCACCAAGGGCCAGTTCAATTCGCCGCACGGATTTTGCCTCGGCTTGGAGGAAGACATCATCGTCGCCGATACGAACAATCACAGAATTCAGGTGATTAGTTTGGATGTGAGGGAGTGCTTAAATATTAATCGAATGAATGTTGGCAGGCGTTCGATAAGAACGGTACGTTCAAATTCCAATTTGGCATACCCGGCAAGGACGAGGGTCAGCTTTGGTATCCGCGCAAAGTGGCCGTGATGCGGAGCAGCGGCAAGTACGTGGTGTGCGATCGCGGCAACGAGCGATCTCGCATGCAGATTTTCACGAAAAACGGGCATTTTCTCAAGAAAATCGCCATACGCTACATTGACATTGTAGCCGGCTTGGCGGTGACATCGCACGGTGAAATCGTGGCCGTCGACAGCGTCAGTCCCACCGTGTTCATTATCGGCGAAAGCGGCGAATTGCTCAGATGGTTCGATTGCAGCGATTACATGAGAGAACCGTCTGATATAGCCATTCACGGTAATAATAAAATGGACATTTATCTCGCGAATTGTTTATAATGATATATTTTGCGTTGTTAAATTAGGTAAAGAATTCTACGTGTGCGACTTCAAAGGCCACAACGTGGTCGTTTTCAGCGAGGACGGTCACTTTTTGCGGAGAATCGGCTGCGAGAATTTGACCAACTACCCCAACGGAATTGATATATCCGATGCTGGCGACGTATTGATCGGCGATTCGCACGGCAACAGGTTTCATGTGGCCGTGTTCTCGCGCGACGGCTCCTTGATTTCCGAATTTGAATGCCCCTACGTTAAGGTAAATTCGATGTTGTGTGAATTACTTGCTCCTCATTTGTGTAATTCGATTGCTCGTTACAATTACATTTATGAGTGCTGTTAATATTTTCGTTGAAGGCATTTATTGAAAATCTGTAGACAATCTTTTATTACTTTCTTGTTTACAGGAAAAGATTTATGATATTTATAGAAGTAAAATGTAAAAATCGCGAGATTGCTTATTCCCCACTTTCTCAAAACTTTCTACATATTAAATATACAACATCAGAGGCACTTTTCTGATAAAAACAGTCAGTTATAATAGATGGTGCTCCGCATAAGAACCGATGTATAGGGAAGCCCAAGATATGCTAGTTTAGCGGACATCCTGTATATATTAAAATATCAACTTTCTACCAGATCCTATCTAAAAGAAGTTGTACCTCATTGATTACTTGAGATTATTTTACACCAACTCGTGTAATTGAAATTATAATCGCAAATGTTGTAATTTCAATAGTAATTTATGCCCAAAGTAATTGCAATTAATAACATTATAAAGTACTGTTAACGTCACTGGGTAAATTACATTCTCGTGTTAATCGATGATATTGTATTAATAATGTTTTTTTTTGTATGTAGGTGTCGAGGTGCTGTGGCTTGAAGATAACTTCCGAAGGTTACGTAGTCACTTTGGCCAAGAACAATCATCACGTGCTAGTTCTGAATACGCTGTACATCCTCTAAAACCCCCCGAGCAAGTAGATTTTGATCTCGCACTGTACACAGTACTGAACTGATTTTTTTTTAACACTAAGTAACTTAAATATTTTTATTGGTTTTTTCCTTTTTTCGATGCGAAAAAAAGGGATATTTGAAAGTTTTATTATCCGGCGTTTAGGAAACTCCTTATTCAGGATTTATTTTTTATTATTTAGAAAAACCTTGTTTTTTACAATTTTTTTTTAATTTCACAGTTTTTATTTTGCAGAAAACAACAAATTTGTATAAGTTTGGTTTTTTAAACTATCCAAATTTGATTTTTTTAAGTTTTTAAGTGGCAGAAGAAACTTTGTTCCTAATTTTTTTTTTAATTTTAAGATGTCAATTAGGTACTATATTTGAATGATTGGATGTGCCAATGTAGTTTTTATTTTTATTTTTCAAATTCTTTTAGAAGGAAATTTGTTGTTGATTTTAATTTTTTTCTGTTTTTTTTTATTTTTGTATGAATGAGTAGAGAATGTTCGTGACTGTGTTGATTTTTTCGAACAGCTTTGAAGAATTTTGTTTTATCGCCGTTGCATTCATTACGATCGTTCTTTTCTACGAATTAAAAAACATGAAATACTTAACAGGGTAAAAAAGTATTAAAATCCGCGGTTCATTTTACAGTAGCAAACGTTCGCTTTCAGCTTTCTAGCACCCCGAGCGATTTAATGCAACTGCCCAAAAAAAATATATTTAATCGAGATTTTTCGAAGCTGTTTCGATGGTACTCAGGTTGGATAGCGTTTTCTTTGTCGCGCGTCTGCGCGGTGATCAGTGCCATGTAGGTTAGGACCTAAGGTTGCAGCCTAAAACAGTCCCTTGTGATTCTGTTAACAATCTGAAGGTTGCCACTAAAAAAAAAAAAATCCATTTGAGAAAGAGTGTGTGTTCTTTGATGTGGGAGCGAAATTGGTTATAACATTGCCGAGTTTAGATGTACGAGTAGTTTGTTGGCTTATTAGTAGATGGTGTGTGAGTAGCGATTTTTAGATGAGCGGAAGAATTTAGTCGATATGTTACGGGTAAAGTTAGAGATAAATATTTAAACCTAGGTTTATCCGGGTTAAGTGCGAAGTACACGGGTAGGTTTAACCTACCCGTATTGCGCATTATACTCGTGTAAACCTAGGTTTAGTCTACTTTATCCGTAGCAGATACAATAGGCCGTATTTATAAAAAGAAGCATAACCTTTTGCTTCAAAAAAATGAAGGAATTGCTTCAAGGTAAATGCATAAAAAGAAGTGAAGGAAGAGAGGTTTTGCTTCGAGGACCCTGCAGTTGCTTTAATGCAAACCTTATTTTTTTATCTTTTGCATCTACCTTTTACTTCAAAGTAAATGCTTCATTTTTATAAATACGGCCTATTGCCTAACGATTTGTCGCTTTTAAATTTCATCGCGTGCGAAAAATGCCTCGCTTCAAAAGTAATTCGAAGACCAAAGATGTTTAGATTAGATTAGATAAGTCGTTAAAACGAGTTGTCGATTCGAACGAAATTTTGATGGCGCTCCGGACTAAATTCTTTCGTTTTCTAGGCGGATCTTGGAATCGGTTTCCTCTCGGCAATGCAGTTGGAATTTCCGCTTCTCTGCGAATAAATTAGAATCGCGCGCGCGTTACGGCGGTTGAAATAAAAAAAAGAAAAAAAATCCGCGGCCCGTCGCGATAAAACATGCCTGTGATAATAGTATCTTCAGGATAAGTTGTGACCTTAGTCTCTTGTTGTTATTTTGTGCGCTGCGCGGTACTCGCCCGATTTTTGGGCGGTGACGCGTCGCCACAAGTGGTTTTTAAAATTATATGTATATAATTATATGAAAAAATACCAAAAAAAAGAATTACTCCAATTTTAAAATCAGATTTATTATATATTGAGAAAAATTAATCGTATATACACTATATCGATCCGGCGGCGGGGAGGAATTGCCTTTGAGGTTTTTATTTAGTTGTTTTCGAATTTTATGGATCTTATCGTTTTAGGTAAGAAGGAAGTTGTAATGAAAGGTTATAATAGTGGTCCTTCGTTTTATTTGGTGATTAAAATTAGGTATTCAATCTAATTTGAACACATATCAAACTCAATTATTATACAGGCTTTTGATGCATTTTTTTATTTTTATTGGGAATTTTGTTTTTGTTGTATTTTATGTAGTATATGGTTAAATTTGCGATCTGCGTTGGTGGATTGTATGTTGTAAATATTTGTTTTTAGGCTTATAATTTAAAAGCTTTTTTTTTGCTTTTGATGCCAGTTGTTATGTTTAATTCTATTTTAGAGTTATATTTTTATTTTTTTTTCTTATAACTTATAAGGCGTTTGCTCGTATGATATACATAAATACTTTATTTTTAATGTAATAACATTTGTTTGTTTCGAATAAGTCACTCATTAGAAGGAGCATTATTTTTAAAAAACGGGGGCAATTTCTCCTCTGGAAGGATTCTATTCTTCAAAATTGTATGTGATGTCAATAATAATCTCACAATTTAACAAATATTTGACATAGTTCTATATTTACTATGTATTTTTTTTATTTATTTACCAAATATTTAGTTTGTAGGTAAGCTATATTATATAATATATAAAAATATAAAATCACATCAACTTCATTAGGTAGTATGGCTATGCTAAAGTGATACTTCGTCTGTTGCATTTGCTCACGTTTATTGAGGTTTTTTTGTTTACTTTTTCCTTCAAAAATCGAATTTTAAGAGGAATCGGCAAAAAACGATTTTTGGGTTTGGAATTGTTTTCGGCCTAAAGAATTTTCATTACTAATCCTAATCAAAATTATTGATTTGATTCTCTTGCAATGAGCACTTTATACATTACTAATTTTTTATAACTATCTTGATGTTGAATGTGTCAATTACAGGTTTATAAAAATGCTACTTAGTACAAAAAAAAATAATTTTGCTTAAGAACTTGGTAAAAACGTTTCGTTTTTTCTGATTAACAAAGCGTCGTTGAAGGAAAACGTAAAAGTTAAAATAATCAAAAAAGTCGTTATTTTTCAATTAATAAAAAAAATGAATATATATTAATGTGATAGATTTTTCGATAATTTTTACAATCACAAGTCTTAGTATATTTACCAAGTGTTTTTAGATACTCGTATACCAGTAATTTTGCCATATTTATACATGACTAAAAGCGACTTCATTCGGTTTATTTTCCTTTGGAATATCATCGATAACGAGCTGAATCGGAAAGTACAACAAAATTTTTGATTCAACTCGAGTATACTTGTAAACATTTTACTATTCTCACCAATATTCATTAGCAATAAGTATTTTTCAGTCAGTATTGGAGTGAGGAATTTAGTCATTCCATTTTTACGGCGCGCCTTTTTTTGCGCCGTAAAAGAATATTGTTTTTATTTTTTTTGTATTATTTTTATCGTTTTTATTTTTGTCTTGTAGAAGTTAGTGTATAATTAGTTTGTTCGTGGGTGATTAAAGACGTTGGAAAATACTTTTCACTGATACATGTGTGTATATCGTTTTTGGCCGTTGGTAATTTCAAAATATTCCGCATTTTGATTTCTTTCAAGCTTTCCCTTTTTGTTTTTTAATGGAAATTTTACCAACGCGCCTCCTCTATGACCAAAAAGCAATAAATGTTTTCGATTTTCGGTTTTCGATTCGTGAAAAGTGCTTTCGAACGAGTTCCGAGCAAAATGCTCCGGTAATATTGGAGATTGTTACTTAATAAAAAAAAATTTAAAAACTCGAAAAAAAAAATGTATATCAATGTTCTGTAGCCCGTTAGGCTTTTAAAAATAATCACGATTTCTGACCAGCGAGGTTGAGAGAGATACGTTTCCTAATCTTCTCCCGTTTCGAATAAAATGAAATAATTGTTACAAAAACGAGATAATACGCGGTACCTTCTAAACGTGTCTAGATTTTACCATTTACAACCACTTAGTGCTTGGAAATGACACGCGATATTTAAAAATTAATAATAACGCTAAAGAGTACAATACTAATTATCTGATTTTTTTTCTTATTGTCGAATTTGTAATTAGTTATCAAACGATGCGACTTGAATTGATTGCCAATTTTACTCCAAATATTTACTTTATTACTTCATTTTGTGAGTAAAACGGCTATCGAGGCAAATCGAATTTGACAACAACGTGAAAATTAATAATTAAAATACGGATTTGGATTTTTGGCCGTTCCTTTATGAGTTTTGTTGCGTTGAATTGATGGGACGTTCATGGTAAAATAATAAATTGGACGTCCCCGTTAGACGTTTGGTGAGCTTACGTTCGATTCTAACGATATATGAAAAGCCTATGGTTTTAAATATTTTTTATGCGAGATATATTTAAGCAATAAGATATAAAAAAAGGTAGTAAGTGTACTTGCCATATATATTACGACATATATAAATATATTTTTTATTCCGATTTAATTTTTTTGAGACGTTTTAAAAAGCTATTGTGGGTTGATATATAAAACAAAAAGATGACGAGTACATGAAGAATCATTATATAATGTCCCATTTGTGGCTTCAATTAGACACTTTTTATAGTCATTTAAAAGTACAAATGTTGTTTCAATGTGTGTGGATGGATTACATATCATAATTTTAATCCCTAATAATATTTCCGCCGATTTTCGAAGCGCGCACAAGGACAATTTTATTTTTCTTTCGTTTTTTCGACACGCATCTCGATTGTCCTTGTGTCGACACACACTATATATATTCGTCCTTCTGGCGTATTTTTCGATTATGATCTATCTATTATTATAATAAAAATAAGGAAAAATACGGGCGGTCGGTGCGTATTTAGCGTAGCGTGTAAAAACGAATAAATTAACTGTGTCTTAGTCCTGTCATATTAAACGAATTAAATTAAACAAAAAAAAAAGAAAAGTGTATACATTTTTGAAAATATTAAATTGTTATCTCTTTCCAAAGATTTTTTTAGTGATAAGGTATTAACAATAATTATTCGCTAAGCTCTGTATTCAAGCTAGGCACATAGTTTATCGATATTAGCGCCGCGGCGCGATCGAAAGGCGCCTTTTATTTTTATTCGGTCATTCGATCACGCCGTCGCGCGTGAATTATTATAAATGGTGTGTTATAAATATACATAGAAAAGTGTTGGTTTTCTTCGTCAGTAAAATGAAACAAAAAAATATATAAATATAAATGGGAGCGCCCTAAGCGCTCCCCGTTGTAAATGCTTCGTAATAACCTTTCGATTTTTATTATAGATGTTGAGAACCTCAAGATCCTTACGTGCCCAAAAAAATAGTCCCTTTTCTCCATCCCGTTCAACCGTTTCAATGAATCTGCAGCGTTTCCTATTTCCCGCTTGTCGAGCTGTGGCATTTAACGAATTTTTTTCATATATGCGCAAAAACGGAAAATTCGATGTATCCTTTTTTCGCGTAGGTCGCACCCCCAGTGCAATTGGAATGCGTAAGAGTTATACGTGCTAACCAAAGATTAGGGTAGGGTACTAATATGTAAAAACCCTATGTGTATTCCTTCGTCTCAGCCCAATATATATTTTTTTCTCTCCTTTAAGCTACTCTATTTGATGTGTACTTTTCGAGTAGTTTAGTTCGGTGCGATTTACGTGAAAAATGAAAAAAAAAATAAACTTTTGTAACAATCACTTATACATTATCTCCGGTGATAATATCCGGAGTTTCTCGTGTACCTTAAAGTAGCACTCTTGTTCCTCTGCTTAACCTAAAACAAATTTCCAAACTGATTTTCATACCTAATAATCAGAAAGTACTATATTATTCGTATATACATACATAGTTTATCTCATATTGTATATGTCTTATATTTACATTTCTAACGAGTTTTTGATATTTCTATTTAAAAAAATTCGACTCAAAGACTTGGATTTTGGTTTTTTATTTACACACACACAAGCATGTAAAAGTTCTGATCGTTGTGTTATTGTGGCTAAGAACATGATTTAGTATATTTTATTTGCTTACGCATTTCGGGATATTTCAAATACGGGCAGGTTTTGATCTTTTCACTGTTTACTTTTAGTAGTTTTGCATTGTTAATTTTAAATATTCATTTAAAGTTTGTGTATCTACGAGTATTGTCGTTTTTTTTTTTTCGTCTATTCTCGCGAGTTTTTCTACTACCTTGAAAATTCATTTTCTTCGTCACAAAACGACCGTGTCAGATTTTGATGTTCGACAATGATTGTAAAGTACATAGAAAAAAAAAACTATTTACCTATCGCCTTAGGTTTACATCTATGGTTATTCAGGGTGGCAAGAGCATACAAGCTCGTATTTTTGGAACTGTTTTTTTTTATTTAAATGTACTGAAGGTTGTTTTTAATTTGTAAGTTATATTACTGGTTTTTGAATAAATATAATTGGAAAAATGTATTTTTTTAATCTTATCCTTATTTTAATATACTAAAAAAACATTAGTACACTCCAGAATCATTTAGACCTGTATAGAACCATTTAGAACGCTTTAGAATCATTTAGAACCAGTGCTGATTTTTTTGACGGCATATTTGGAAAAACCAAGCCGAAATATATGAAAAAACGTTGTAAACTAGTTTTATCTTCAAAGTGGGTTCATTCGCATTAGTATTGCTAATGGAGCTAATTTCAAGTGTTTTATAATCAATTTAGGACACGAATTTAAATATTTTAAATACGGCCCTGGCGATAACAACAATGAAACGTCAAAAGCATGTGATTTTTAAGCGGTGTTGTCATATCACTGTATTATCCCTAGATACCTGAAACATTTACAATTTCGATTACGATCAAATTCACCCAAATCGTCTACATTACTAAAAAGTAACTTTATTTAATAAATAAATAACATTAATAACCGGTTACTGTAAGTATTCTTGCAACCTACACACCAGCAATCATAAATTTCCAGAAAAAATAAATATTGAGAAATATGACAATCAGATAAGGCAACATCACATGGGGATTTCACTTCATAAAAACATGAATTCGTTTACGCACAAACACAAACAGTATTTTGTTGTAATCAGTATTAATAAGTAATTTGGTAAATTCTGTAAAATTTCCCGTGAAAATGTTGAACCAATTAGATAGTGCCCATCAACGTGAACGCGAAACATCGTTTTTCGCCAATCCAAGCCAAGAATTCCTGGCAGACATTCCTCATCAGGACATCATTACGAAATTTTGGAATTGCCGCATTTTGAAAAAGGGTCGGTTCCTGGAGGAGGATTTGTACGTACGAAACGGGAAGATTATCGATTCCGAGGAGTTATTTTACAATGAGAAGAAAGTGCCGCATTTCGATGTCGATTGCAAGGGAATGTACATCGCTCCTGGCTTGATAGATCTTCAAATAAACGGTTAGTTTGTAGAAAATTAGTAAAATTTTCCTCGTTGTTTCTATGAAAACATGAAGCATGTGCTAGAATATGAATTATTTCTTTAGGTCAAGGATTTTCGATTCAAAATAAGCTTGAAATTTAAGCGAAACAATGCTGTCAAACTGGACATTTAGTTCCTTCGAAATTTCCCTAGTTTAATAAAACAGTAAGTTAAGTTGGCAAACATGATTTTTCAAATTGAAATCGCCAATTTAATGCAAGTGCAACCATTTATTCTTTTATCTTAGTTGCAACACGCTGTTTGTACGATTATTGAACCATGTAATTAGCATCAATTTCGTTAATGCATCAACAACCACAAGAACTGATAAGATAATCTTATTAGTTTAAAAACGATATAAATTCGCAACATGCCGCTGCTTTATCGATCGAACGATATCAATATAAAACTAATAAAAGTAAAAAAGCGGCGCGCGTATTTCGATAAGACTTTTATACGCATCATTTTGTACTAATACTTCCTTTTACAATTAATTTATTATTTTTATCTGCTAAATTCTCGGATAAAAAACATGTTTATTACATCTAATAAAATAACAATTTATTGCGTTTTTCAATAGATAATAAATATATACAGGGTGTTTTGTTTAAGTTAAAGACCATTAAAATCGAGCTAATTCTGTAGGTGGTTTCGGCTTCGATTTTTCGTACTACAAAGACACGGAACTCGCCGTTAAAACGGTAGCGAAACGGCTACTGTCCCACGGTGTCACCGCCTTCTGTCCCACCATAGTCACCTCGCCCAACTACATCTACCACGACATCCTGCCCAAAATCAAGAAGACGAAGGGCAGCGGGCACGGCGCCGCCGTCCTGGGCGTCCACGCCGAGGGCCCCTTCATCAACAAAGAGAAAAAGGGCGCCCATCCGGAGAAGTTCATCACCGACCACAGGGGCGTATGTATACCTATATCTCCGCGTTTACCTCCGACCATGGCACTATATTTCTAAGGTCTGGAAACTGCCTATGCTTATATGCATTAGAGAATGTTCCGCATATGTTCCGCCATTTTGTAGCAGGTGCAGATATTGACTTTATATTTCAGGGTTGTAGAGTATTTGTCGGGAGCGTCAAAATGATGTATCACAAGACACCCCTTTCCATTTAAATTTATTTCCCAAGATGGCGCCCAGTCGCCATCTTGAAATTTTCATCTGTCAATTTTACTCCAAAATATAGTAATCATGCATTAGTTTCATTATCCCAAATTTCAATTTTCTAAGTTGATCCGTTCAAAAAATAAAAGGGGGGGGGGACATTAAAGAAATGCACTGTATAATTCGAACGCAAAAAACCGTGGTCCTTTACAACATCGCCTCCTAGCGGCCGTTTTAGGAACCCTGTTTTATCCTCAAATAACGGGACACTTTTTCGACCTATGCTTCCAGACCTTAGAAATATAGGGCCGTGTGTCCGACAAATCATCGAACTAACAAATTTATTTATTTTTTCAATCCAGACTATGCTGTCGATTAAAGAAGCGTACGGCTCGCACGGTTACGAGAACATAGCCATCATAACGCTGGCGCCCGAATTGAGGCACACCGATCAAATCATACGCAAGCTCAAGAAGGACGGCATCGTGGTGTCTTTGGGACACACCACTGCGAATTTAACGCAAAGCGAGAGCGCCGTCAAGCACGGCGCTACCTTCATAACGCATCTGTTTAATGCCATGCTACCTGTAAGCACTATACCATACAACTATCTAAAATCTATCTCAAAATCTCCTCCATTAGGCAGTTATAAAAGAAAAAGAAAGAGTGAGATTTGTGTCATTGCAACTTTTCACTCTGTCAACTGTCATTTTATTAATCTTTCTTTGTTCAACTCATAGGAACGACCATGTTGAAGCAATCGGTATACTTGTCTCAACTATATCTTATGCATTTCACAACTGCATGAAGAATGCATCAACTCCGTTAACTGCCCAATTGAACATTCAATAATCCTTGTACATTTCAACCTTCTTACGCATATAACAAAACTGTATTAACAATACTCTATGTTATGCCCAATTCTTTCAGTTCCACCACAGAGATCCAGGCATCGTGGGACTATTATCTTCCGATCAAATCGACTTGGAAAAATTATATTATGGCATCATCTCCGATGGAATACACACGCACGCTTGCGCACTGCGAATGGCGCACAAGGTTCATCCTAACGGTAAGATAAGCGTTATAAACTCCAAGTTTTTTAAATAGCCGGGTAATTGAAGGTATGGTGTTGATAACGGACGCGCTATCGGCGCTAGGCTTGTCCGATGGAAGGCACACGATAGGCCAAATGGACATCGAAATCAAGAACGGCGTGGCTTACATAGCGGGGACGAACACTTTGTGCGGCAGTACCTCCACAATGCTGGATTGCGTTAAATTCTTCCACAAATCCACAGGTGACGATCGAGCGGGGTTCGATTAACAGGGGGAGTTTTAATTGCGAATTTTTTTAAAGGGTGCTCGATGGCATTCGCTTTGCAATGCGCCAGTTGGCATCCGGCGAAAGTGCTGCACATCGAAAAGCAAAAAGGTACGCTCGAAGTCGGCGCCGATGCGGATTTTATCATCATAAACGAGTACTTCGATTTGTTTTCGACGTGGGTTGCCGGAGAGATGGTTCACAAAACGACGAATTTGTGATAATTTTACCCAAAAAAATTATGTTATTACGAAAAAATAACCGGTTTATTTATTTTTTAATGACAATTTTCGACTGATTTGTAGGCGCAACAGTTTTGTTATAAAACACGAGACGAGGAAAGCAAAGATAAAAAATAAAAATGTTATTCTTAAAATCATATGTAAAAATTAACGATGATTGCTTGTAAAAATGTTAGTTATTTCACACCTAATTGGCACAAAGTTATTGTTTGTAATTTTTCCGACGATATTCATAAGTACCTGAAACAAACAACAAGATTTAATCTAGACTTTCATCTAGTGTTTCAAGAGTAGAATAAAGTAGAAGAGTGAAATAGAGTAGGACAGAAAAGAGTAGTATAGACTAGATAGAAAAGTAGAGTAAAAAATGTTAGAATAGAGTAGGTAGAAGAGTAAAATAGAGGGGTAGAATTAATTCTCCGCACCCAGTTTACAAACAGGATTAAAATCTACAATCCCTTTTGCGCCCAATTTACATCCTTTCGAAAGAAATTACCAGTAAAATTGCCGGTCAACAATTCTTACAATAACCCCAACCTACCTGAGTATTCTCTATTGCTTCTGTGCGATTGTTGATTATTATAATTAGCCCTATTATTACTTAACGATTGGCAGTCGGATTTCAAAACCTCCTCGATGTTCCCGTAATCCCTGAACATTACAGCGAACGTTTTGTCCGTCACCGAAATAATCTTGGCTTGATAATACTGAAAACATACACCTATTAGAATTCACGCTACGGCCAAAAAATCTACCACTATCACCTTCTTATCTTCCCAGTATTTTGCCATTACTTCGTCTCCGATATTCATCCCTTTGCAGGGCGCCTCGTTGCTGGGGCTCTCCTGCTTCTTCTCGTCGGCTAGATTCAAATGCTGCCTCAACGTGCGGCTGGCAAACTGCCCGTTCAAAGTTGCTTTCTGCATATCCTTGGCGAGATTGTTTACGATTTCTTCCGTTTGGTTGTCCACTCTTCGAGCGGAATTGGAATTGGAATTGTTGTGATTTAGCGAGTTCGAGGAGCCCTGCGGGAAGTAACCGGCGTTCGATCGATGGTGGTTTTTGTATTGGGGATTCCCCGCGCTCGGCTGGTGATGAGCGTACGAGTTGTTCTGTTGAACTTGAACGGGATCGTTTTTGTATTTGGGATTCCCCGCGCTCGGCTGGTGATGAGCGTACGAGTTGTTCTGTTGAACTTGAACGGGATCGTTGCGTTTGTGGTTTTGCCTGTAATTTTCTTTCGGTTTGTTTTGTTCGTATCCCGCGTTATACTTGGGCTGTTCGTGCTTGAATTCCTTTTGGTATGGTCTTCTTTTGTAGTCGTTCTTCGCATCGGTATCGGAATATTCGGCGTCTTTAAAAACGATTTTGTTTGATTGGTTTTGATAGTGCAAATCTTGATTGTTGACGGGTAGTTTGTCTTCCAGGAAAGCGAACAGAGACAGCTTTTCCGAGGGTTTCTGCAGTCTTTCGTCGGTTTCGTTTTCTGTATCGAAAGTTCTCGTTCTAAATTTACCGTTTTCCCTCTTAGGTTTGGGCTTGGTCACGACTTGAGCTTGCTGCACGGGTTGCTTTACTCTCCCTGCAAAGATTTTCTTAACAGCCCCAGAAGAAGCTTCTGTAATGGCTTCTTGACGTTGTTGATCGAATTCTGTGGATTCCTTAGGATCCTTAGGTTTATCGTTAAGCGATTTGAATGAGTTTTCCTCTCTGTTCGCTTTGATTTTCGTGCCGAAATTCACCCACGGAGGCGGCCCGTCATCGCCTGGAACAATTCAAAATAAATATCCGGTATTAACTCAAGAACCTACTAATCTACCGTCGTTGTTTCTGCGATTAATCTGGGCGTGCTTCGAGAGCTGTTCCCATTTTTGATACAAATGACCTACTTTGCCTCCTAACGTTTTGCAATTTTGGGGCGTCAGGAGTATAAATCCCGAATGTATTTTGGCGTTATCAATAAGCAATTTAGTGCCCGGCGGGGTGTTTTTCAAGCTAACATTGCCTATCGGAGACAACTCGATAGCTTGTATGTAAGTTTCTCCGTCTGTTAAAGTTAGTTTAAGCATTCTCGGGGCTGCTTGAGATTCCTCGTTGGCTTTCGGGGCTGAGATGTTCCGGATTTTTTGTATTTGTAGAACAACATTTTGGATACTATTGTTAGGCAAACACTCGTGTAATACAGGTTTACATATCTCTTTCAAATCGGTCTAGAAAATATAATAGAGTAGTTTTATTGGATTTGTTCAATTCGTTAAGATTCTTACGTTTAAAGCTGCGTTGTAAATTTTCTGTTTGTCGTTAATTGTACCATTTTCTGTTAAAATATCGTTACCAATTGATGACATGTGCCTAAAAATAGACGTGAAAACAGTTTGAAACAATTCTTAAATTTGTACTTACCATTCGTTTCCTAATATTGAGGCCATTGATAAATTGCTAATTAATACAAAACAACACCGTAAAGAACGTAACAATTTATAAATCGTATTTTAAATAAAAGTTCACTCCAATTTAATGCACTTGACATTGGCAGTTTGATTTTAGGAACGTATCACTGGCTTTTTTGAGGTGAAAAATGCACGATATTGTGTAATGCAATGTTTTATACCCGTATTGAATTTTACAATATTGCTCGCTTGTGTAATATCACGTATTTTAACTATTTTTAGGTATAGTATATTCAATCATTTTTTTGTTAGCATTTTTCTCATTTATACGAGTCCAGGTTATTGACAAATGTCATGTCATTTGTCATTTTTAAAATTAAAAATGTAGCTAATTAGGTGAAATGTGCATTTTCAAAAATTAAAAGAAGAATGATGACATTTAAAAGTGTTTTGTGGTAAACGTCAAACTTGTCAAATGAAATGTCAAATATGTCAAAAATGTCAAACTACCACGCGATTCCTCTTTTTTTCTATGGTCCCTACATAGACAAAATAAAATAAAATCGACGAAAACTTGTGCTCAAATCTCGAAATAAAACGTGAATTTGAAATTTCGTATTAGGAGAGCAGAATGTGCGAGGAGGTTTACTTATGACGCTTATTAATCGCGCTCCTGTTCGATTACAAATACGTACAAAGGCAACCATTTAATCAAATTTCGGTAATTCTGGTTGCCTATCTATTGTATTAGTAAAGCGCGAGTAATAAGTATCAGGAGTAAACCTCTTCATACATTCTGCTCTCCTAATACGAATTCTTAAATTCACGTTTTATCGTGAGATTTTCATACGTTTGACACAAACTACTCGAACTCCTAATATTTGTTTCTCCCGATCTTTTTGCTTTAATAGCTCCATATTTTTACAAATTGCGTTGAAAAAGTTTTGCGTTTTTTTAATGAACGAAATATACTAAGAATTCTAAAATCAGGATTAAGGATGTCATAAAAATTTTTTAATATTCTATTTTCGTATCATTTTTGTAATAAAGAATTATTAATAATGCCCAAAATGTTAAATTATCTTTGAAAATGTGTTTTCAAGAACGACGAAACATTTAGAATATTTATTAACGCATCAGGACCTTCCTATACTAAATATCTCCGGATTTTGAACTTCCTTGCATATTCTCATTGCCTAATATCCGAAATTTATCAATGGAGATCGACGAAACCTTGTGCTCAAATCTCGAAATAAAACGTGAATTTGAAATTTCGTATTAGGAGAGCAGAATGTATGAAGAGGTTTACTCCTGATACTTATTACTCGCGCTTTACTAATACAATAGATAGGCAACCAGAATTACCGAAATTTGATTAAATGGTTGCCTTTGTACGTATTTGTAAACGAACAGGAGCGTGATTAATAAGCGTCATAAGTAAACCTCCTCGCACATTCTGCTCTCCTAATACGAAATTTCAAATTCACGTTTTATTTCGAGATTTGAGTACAAGTTTTCGTAGATCTCCATTGATTAATTTCGGATATTAGGCAAGGAGAATATGCAAGGAAGTCTAGTAACAGGAGATATTTATTATATGGAGAGAGGTACTTCTACGGAAAGTCCTGGATGAAATTTATCATTTTGGGCATTATTATTGTTTTATAGTAAAAATGATGAGAAAGTCGAATGCTAAAAGTTTTGTCGAGTTTATTGAAAAAAAAACGCAAAACTTTTGTCGAATTTATTGAAAAAAAAACGCAAAACTTTTGTCGAATTTATTGAAAAAAAAACGCAAAACTTTTCTCGAGTTTATTGAAAAAAAAACGCAAAAACTTTTGTCGAATTTATTGAAAAAAAAACGCAAAACTTTTGTCGAGTTTATTGAAAAAAAACGCAAAACTTTTTCAAGGCAATTTGTAAAAATCGGAAGAATAGTTTTGTACATCGTTCGAAAATTTCTCGTTAAAAATTTGCGTATTTGAAATTTCGTATTAGGAGAACAGAATGTGTGAAGAGGTTTACTCCTGATACTTATTACTCGCGCTTTACTAATAGATAGGCAACCAGAATTACATTTATTGATCGAAAATCGATTTACGGATACTATTAGGTAGGCAACCTATTAATCTATTATATACCTCTAAGATACCAGAAATGCATTAGAAATGATAAAGTATGAACGATTTTTTATAAAAAATGCATTATACATTAAAATTTTTGAAAAATTAACAAAACTGCTGCATTTTTAAATTGCTAATTACATGAAAACTGGTTGGAATTGGCGATTTCAAAATATATAAAACAAAACACTTTCAACGATATTTTTATTTTCTTACAATAAACTCACTACCGTTAAATGCAACAAAATAGAGACGAAATATTAATATACAAAAACGTTACAGGAGTAAAATCATTGTGTCGATCTCAATTCTTACACTTATTTCGCACTTCTTCATGAAATTTTCCTTTTATGGTTTTGTTTTCCTTCTCGGCTTGCCTGTTGAATTTCGTTAAGAGTCGATACAAATTCACCTACAAATCACACATTATTACATACACACCTGTTATAAGATAACGTTTTGAAATGCATACCTGAAGAATGATATATTTATTATTCTCTCAGAAATTCATCGATAAACAAAATGGCGAAGGCCGTAGATCGCAAGATAGATACAAAAAGGGGCGATTCCGTCTCAATTTCCGTAGATTATTGAACTGTCATTTTTCTAGACAAAAAAATCTATCGGATCTCCTATAAACAATAACTCAATTATAACAATAATTAAGCATTATAAAACTAGCTAACCCTGCTGAGTGAAATAAACCTCTTTTAACTCCACGATACAACAGCTTGGAGAGAATTTCTTGATACTCGTACACGCTCTGTGAAGTTCCTGGGATTCCACAATTTCCTCATAAGCTCGCCGAACCTCTGCAGGAGCAGATGGAAGGTCTCCTTACATTACTGCAATTTTCTTCTCTCGAGAAGTCATTCCGAAGCGGATTAACAAGAGTAAAAGCCTGCAATTTTGCGCATTTAAATTAAGAAATAACCAAATTCGTTCGGTTAACTCGAGTTACCTGCAGCACTGCGTTACAGTAATCGTTAGCTTTAATGTTATTTAGGCCTACTATACAGGGGATGTACAACAATCCATCGATAGGTCTGGACAACTTCGTGGGATTCAACACATACTTCGTATCATTTAAAGAGGAATCTATAACAAACCGTTTGATTACTTAATATTCCCACAATCATTATAACCCCTCTACCTATGATTTTATAATTGCCTGGTAAAGAGTAGAATCCAAATATTGACACAAACTTACGTTACCTGCGGAAGATGGATTATGGATGTACTTTCCAGTTTTCCAGAATTCTCCTCCTCGTGGTGCATCCTAGGTAATGCTAAAGGGTCCGTCGGGCTTATTATCGTGTGCAAACCCCCTAAATTAATTGCCAAAAAAATGTTGATTAATTTGACAAGAATCACTAACCTACAAACTTCTTCTTTTTTTTTTCGCTAATAAAAGAAGAAACTTAATGGATGTCAAATGTCAATTACGGCCTTACATAACCAAGGTCTGGAAACTTCTGTTAAAATCCAGACTTTTCGGTGTACAAATCTCAAAAAATATAAAGAATATCGTTTCCAAATTTTCACAATACGTTTCTATTACCCATCGCTAGGTCATAAAGAATTTTGGTTACCGTCCGATAGAAAAAAAAAACTGAAAAATGCCTACTTTCAAACGCTTGTAATTTCGTTATTTTTGCATAGATCGGTAAAAAAAACCTTTATGACCTACAGGAAGGTTTCCTCTATCAGATGCGATTCATATTATATCTCAAAATTAAGTAAAAATTGAGATTTGTACACCGAAAAATCGGGCTTATTTTCATTGCTGCCAACTGAAATTGGGTTACCAAATCTCAACGCCCCTCTTAATCCACTATTTTTATATTTTTATACCAAAACGTATTTTCATTAAATAAAATTATAACTTTTTTATTCTCACTCTCTCAATTCTTTGAAACTCGCTTTTTCAAAAATAAAATTGTATCTCTGCTTAAGCATTTTATGTTGAACCTAAAACACTCTGTAGAAAAAGTACTACACAATTTATCATCGTAATCATTTTAATTAGAAATAACATTCGATTAGCCAATAATTTGTTTTACAAACACCTGGTCGCAAAACTACCGATTAATTAAAACAAACTAACGAATAAGTTTAATTTTGGTTTAATTAACAGTATAGATATATTGCTGAGTGAACAAATTGATGACCCAATAAAATTCAAGAAAATATTCGCGCGATTCTTTCGTTATTCTAGTTCTTTTTAAACCATTAATTCGTTCGTATTAAAAAATTATGCAATTATAATTAATGTTCACAATGAAAGGTTCTTCGATTCTTGTGTTACTTTTTATAACAAATATTTTTTGTGAGGATGCACACGATGATGTTAGGTGAGCTATTTTGTTTAAAATTTGCTTACTGTTAATATTTATTCATTACAATTAATTTCAGATTAGGAAGTAAAGCAAACGCAGCAATTGAATCCACAAACAACCAACACAATTCACCATTATTATCAGAAATTAACGATTCTCTATCTCCAGAAAATCCATTGGCAGTCAAACAAAAAAGATGCCCCAAACTAAAGTAAGCAAATATGTATTTATCTCCTGCAATTCCCCTATCGAACAAAACTATTACATCCCAGCAACCCTTTGAAAATTGACAAGTACATTTCGAGTTTTTCATTCGTTTGAATATTCCTTCAGGTTATCTTCACCTCGACTGGGCGCTTCCATTTCGCCTAAAGCAGAAGCGGACGATAACAAAAATAAACTATACAGCGCTTTGTGCAGAACCTGTTTAGTAACAAACAAATGCGGCAGCGTAAACGAATGCCCCTTATGCCAGAAATGGTGCACATCCAAAATCTGCAAAGAAACCGACGCAGATGACGATAAAAATAAGGACGAAGATGTAACTGTTAATCTTAGAAGTCGAGGAAATTTCAACGTCGACGATGATAAATCCCAAGTGCGCAGTATCACGTTGACTCGAGGAAATTTAATGGAAATTATTCTGAGCTTATTCGGTATCTACGATGCCAAAGACGTGGAAAGCGTGACTGTTACTGTAAAAAGCTCGGGCGATAATCCAATCGAATTGAGCGAAAAGGGCATCTTGCAGCAAGGGGAAGAAGGAAAATTGGAAAGAAAATTAAAAGATTTGGGAGCAATCGGCAGGAAATCCGAGGGTACTGAAAATCCTCTCGATCGAGACAAGCTACACGAATTGGTCACTGAAATATTAGACAAAGTAAGCACACGATATTCCACAAGTGTGTATTTTCATTAATTATTCATCTATTTAGCTACGCTCACGCGAGGTTCCCCTCTTAAAAGGGAACGAACTCACCGACGATGAAGTCCCCCGGGTGGGGTCGAGGATGAGAGATATCGAATCAAGCGATAAAATTATCCACCAAAGCACATCGAATCCCGATATTATCGAGGATTCCCCGGACATGGCTCGCATTAGTTCAAATTCCGGTTTGTTAGCTAGCCCTTCCAAACACCAGGTAAACCTACATCTTTTTACAGTGTTAAAATTTAATTTTTATTCGACAATTACAGGAGAACCTCGGCTCCCCCATCAAAAACCCGCCCCAAGAAGATAAAACAGACACCAAATATCCAACTCCAGGTGCTTCCCCATCAAGTAATTTAGATCCAACTCCGGATATTCAACTCGGCAATCGAAACAACGATGAAGAACTTAGAAATCCTATTGTACCTCACCAAATCCACCATCCTCACCACATACACAAACCCCACCTTCCCCACAAACCACACCTTCCCCACAAACCCCACATTCCCCACAAACCCCACATTCCCCATCACCCTCACCATTTGCCTCACCACGTTCCTCATCACTTCCACAGATCCAACGAACCAACAAGCAACGCTCGGTACGTTCCAGAAAGCTACCAAAACTTCTATCCTAGATACGCTTCGGAAACCTCCGAGCCCTTCCAAAGGCCCGATATGCCCTTAGGGAGCCCCAGGTATGTCCCAGATAATTCCCAAACGTTCTACAGATCTAACGAACCGGCGGGTAATCTCAGATACGTTCCGCAATACTACGACAACACAGTCGGAGCTCCGTTTAATCCAAACCCAAATCAGGCATTCCGAGATGATTATCTAGGCTCTATGTACAATTATCCAGACAGTTTTGTCGGGCAACCGTTCTATCCCAGGCAACCTGCCGTGGATTCCAGACTTGGTTCGTATCACAACGAGAATCCTCTAGTTTCCAACAACCCCCCGCCAGCCATCAATTCTCTTCCCCCTAATCCATTTGCCAACGAAGAAGTCCTTCAGAAAGAGCTGGACCCGGTCAATCCGGATCAATTCGCAACCGTTTCTGAAGCTGCAAAAGCCGCGAAAATGGGCGCAGCCCGATCTTCAGAACCGGCGAAAGTGGAATTGCTGGATAAACAACCCGAACCGAAGAAAGCGATCGGCTTCAAAGCCAGCGAAATGATGAGGAAGCTGAGGGAAAAGCAGGACCAGACCAAGCAGAGATTGGAAGAGCAGAAGAACAGATTGAGGGAGAACGCTCAAAGAACCGATAAAGGTATAAGCAATCTTTTTAGCAATTTATTTACCTAGTTTTTAATTGTGTTATTGCAGTAGCGAAACCGAGCTTGAAAGACGACATTCCCAAGAGCATAGCGAGCAAAGCTCGATTAGCAGCGGGCAAAATCAAAGGAACTGGAGAAGATATAGTGGGAAGTCAACCTCTGGAAAATTTCTTCCAACGAATGCAACCAGACAACACCTTCCTCCATCGATCTTTGTCCAACAGGTTGGGCAATATGAGGTCCTCATCTCCAGCTGAAAACGCCCCAAACAGCATCAATCCAGACAGTAATGTCGGAGTGGAAAGAACATTAGGTTCACCTACTCCTAATTTATCGAGTAGATCTCATCTCGAAGACGATTCTAACGCTCTAGGAGGCGATATATCGTACAAGAATCCTTCGGAAATATTCTTCGTAGGCAACGGCGTTAAACTACCCCTGCAAATGGTGAAAAAAAGCGACGGTGCCGTCCATTTAGCCGTGGATATGGAGAAATTGTGCACTACCTGCCACAAGAACAGCACCGCCAAAGAGCTCGAACGCACCGTGGAGACCATCTTGGAAAAAGAAGCAGAATTGAAGGACCAGTTGCGGGATATCTCCAGGAAAGAACGCAACTCCGAAGGCAGCGGATTCGTACACATAAAAAATCAAATCGCCAACGCATACAAAGATGGTAACTCGTTAAAAAGATCGATTAAAGACGATCAAGTAGTGCCGAATTTTCTCAAAGAAATCACCAAGAAACTCCCAAAGCACAGCATCTTCCACGCGAAAACTCTGGAAGATACCAACGAGAATTTCATCCCCATCTCGCGCAATTACCAATTCGAAGGCTTGGAGGAGGATCTGGCGGAGAAGTTGCAAAACATCGAGAAAACCGTGGAGAACTATTCGAAAATCGACGACAGGATATTCGAGAACGAGTCGGAGATACTGAACAAGTTCAACGAGGATAATCCGCTGGTGCAGAAGGAGATCGAGCTGGTCAGCGATCTGCTGGGGTTCTTCAAGAAACTGGCCGTCGACGCTACCATGCAAAAGGACGAGCAGGGATTCTGAAACTAAGAATATTGTACTTAATAAATCCGATTTAAAGCTTTACCTTGATTTTAATTCTTACCATTCAACTCTGTTATTAATTAGTCTTTTATGCGGAGCTATTATGCGAATATAGCAAATATTTAAAGCCGGAGATTAATGAACGGATTTCCGGTTGTAAAGATTTCATTTAAATGCTCTTTGATTTCACGATTCGTCTAAGATTCGAGATAAATATTTACTTGCCTACTTTAGGTACACTGAAAAAAAATATAGTGAAAAATGTAATCACTTGTAATTTCCTGCTGTAAGGAACACGAGCTATTTATACTTGATGAAGTGAAATTAGTTTCCACATAACAAAACTCACATTTTACACAATCGACGCTTTACAATTCAAGTTAGAAGCATTTACACGTGCTAAGACACGTGTACTAACCTAGACCCTTCTTGGTGGGTTCTATTACCAGCCTCGTAACAACTCGTTGTATAACAGTTAGTATTGAATTTCACGGAAATTGTTTCCTTTTGTAACCCGCTTGCGTAAAGAACAGACAATGTCAATTGAAAACTCGACTAATTAGATTATGCGACAATTATTCTTCAAAACGCCGATTCGAATAAAACATAACTGTAAATTTGAAGAAAAACAGAATGATAGTTTCAATAGGAAAAAGAATAATTATTTCTAATAGTCATTTTCCAAACTCGTACCTGGAGGATTCTAAATGGTTTAGAAACGTTCTAAATCGTACTAGATAGTTCTCAATCATTCTGTAAATTTTGAATCATTCTAGACCTAGATTGTTCTAAATAGTTCTCGACAATTCGTCTTGAAGCGATTCTGGAGAGTTTCAAATGATTCTGGAGCGTTCTAAATGGCTTTAGACAGTTCTAAATGATTCTGCAGCATTCTGAATGATTAGGTATGGAAAGTTTTAAATGATTCTGGATCTTTCTAAACGATTCCGGAGCGTTCTAAATGTATCTAGACAGTTCCAAATGATTCTGGAACGTTTTAAATGACCACGAAGCTTTATAAATGATTCTGAAGAGTACTAAATTGTTCTAGACAGTTCTAAATAGTTTCGACAATTCTGATTCTCCCTGAAGCAATCTAAATGATTCTAGATAGTTTTAAATTGTTCTAGACTGTTCTAAATTCTTCTTGCCAATTCCGATTCGTCCTAAAGCAATCTAAATGATTCTAGATAGTTCTAAATTGTTCTCGCCAATTCTGATTCGTCCTGAAGCAATCTAAATGATTCTAGATAGTTCTAAATTATTCTAGACTGCGCTAAATTGTTCTCGCCAATTCTGATTCGTCCTGAAGCAATCTAAATGATTCTAGATAGTTCTAAATTGTTCTAGATATCAATGATTAGCAATGATTCAAGATAGTTCTAAATTGTTCTTGCCAATTCTGATTCATCCTGAAGCAATCTAAATGATTCTAGATAGTTCTAAATTGTTCTAGACTGTTCTAAATGATTCTCGCCAATTCCACCAGTGTTATTTAAAAATAATGTTTGTTCAACTCATATGGGATTGATTAAGCGTGGATCTGTAAGAAATTTGACGTGGTAGATACCCTTATCATTAGGCCGTTTTGTTTCTAATTGAATAAATAATTAAATATACGTAATTTATGAAAAATTGCACTATTGAGTCACGCGCCGCGGCGCACGCCGACGCTCGCGAGCAAACTCTAATAGACGAGCCAATTTTCCGGCGTGCCAACGCGTCGCCCCCGCACATGTTTGTTTGAAATCTCGCCGGAAAGCTGGCGAGCGCACGGCGGAAAACCTCTTTCTGTCTTAATGCCGTTTCGACGAGTCAGCAACGTAACTGACAAAAGTCGATGCGACTTTGAAGGGCCTCTAATGGCCTTTCGAAGTTCGAGAGCCTTGGCTGTGCACCAGATGCCTGTTAATAAGCACCTCCTGATTGATATTGAGGCCGGGTTTTTTAGGTTTGGTTTTCTCTTAATGGGTTCTTGTAAATAGTAGGAATTTGCTGGCGATTGGGGGTTTTGGTATGAGGCATTTTTTGGTTAAAATTAGTTGTAAATAGAATGTAAAATTTGTGGAATAATTTATAAATAGTGGAATAGCTAATTTATGGAATTCTAAACATATAGAAAAATGATTTATAATTCCTGTATATACATTTTACCGGATTTATATACACACAATTTCGTTCGATTGCATAAATTTAAGTAATTTCAATGAATAACGTTTTTAAACATGCGAAATAATTAGTTTCTATTTTTGAATTTTTGATGTTTATTTAAAAGTACAAATTAAATTCCCACTCGAATATCTACCCTTCTGTCTCATACACATCAAACAATTAAAGTTTTCCACCGAATGAAAGGCCATTACATCCAGTTTTCCGCGATGAAAATTCCTTCACAAAGAAATGATTTGTAAAAATTCAAGCGACTAGAGCGCGGAGAAGAGAGGAGAAAAAAAACGAGAGCAGATAAAAAACGTCACCCGTGCGGGAAATCCTCACAATGGCAAAGTATCCTCCACGAAGTTCGGCTCATAAAGGAGAAAGATTCTCCACATTCTCAGATCTTTGAATATTTAATTCTCGCGAAGTCGCTCAGAACGAACTTCCAATAATTTATTCACGTCTCACTCGCCGCCGGTCTCGGAACACTCGCGGAAAACGCGATAAATGGAAATATTACAGTATAATGAAAATGTAAAGGGAACAATGAGATGTGTGGATACGTTAGTAATATGACGATTGTTCCCTACGATTACTATTTATTAGCGATTAATAGAATATCTGCAATCGAGTATTATAAGGGTTATTCCAGCGGTCAAATATGTTCTAAACATTTACCTATTGTTAGAGTACTATATATGTTTGATTAGAAATATTAGAATAACCATATACACCTTGCTCCATTTCTGATTGCAACATGGTCATTTCTATGAGTGGAATATATAAAGAAAGATTATTAAAATGACAGTTGTCAGAGTGAAAAGTTGCAATGACACAAATGTCACTCTTTCCTTTTTCCTTTGTAAGTGTCTAATGGAAGTTGTCTTTATCGCACCCATGGCCTATATAACCTATGTTGCGATCAAAAATGGAGCAACCTGTATGTAGATAACTTAAGATGAGAATTATAATAACATAAGTAACATAATTTCGATTATTTCAAAAACGACTTGGATTTTACTAAATAAATCGATTTTCTAAAAGATTTTAATAGATTTTTCTATAGATTTTAGGTATAAATTATTCAAAGTCTCACAAACTCTTATGAATATCCTATACTTCTTACACAAATCGGTTCTTTGAATGTTACTAAAAAAAGCACTATACTATATTAAATTTTATACATATTGCTCCATTTTTCATTGCAACATTAGGCTATGGGTGCAACAAAGACAACTTCAATTAGACACTTATAAAGGAAAAAGAAATAGTGATATTATGTTATTGCAACTTTTCACTCTGTCATTTTAATAATCTTTCTTTGTCCCACTTCCCACTCATAGAAATGACCATATTGCAATCGGAAATGGAGCAAGGTGTATATTTAGAGTTCAATATATTAATTCCATACACTAATCAACAAATTTTCGAAATATTTCCATCAAGTTTATTAGCCCGTTTTTCCTGCAAAAAACCACCGTCTTGTAAAAATTCCCGTTCGTGCTTTTCCGGTACGTTCATTTCGAATAGGCATATTTCCAGTTCGAATAAGTGAAGTGTACCCGTCGAGTGGAGACTTGCATATTGCATGATACCGTTAAAATTCGAGATTACAAGTATAAGCACAAGTGCCGCCGACGGTCTGTTTGCTCTACGGATTTTACCGCGTCCTTTCGCGATTAAATTTGCAACGATTCCCGCAGATCGCAAGGCAAACTTACTTATTGAAATTTCGAATCGACCTAATGCACGTCGAGTACATACATTTACTCTACAGAGATGAAGCAGATTTGTTGCAAAAAATGGCGAAGGCGCCGTTACGCCTCCACCATTTCCCGAAGGAATAATTAACAACACCTGGAAAACTGAGGCGCTTTCACCTCGAGCACCATCCACTGCACATTTTTAATTCTCTCTCGAGTGTGTAGCGTGCAGTTGAATGGTAAAAGTGCTACGTTCGCCTCGAGAATTCGGTGAAAATCATTCTGTTATTTGCGCACTGTAAACGCCCCACCGATCGTTCAATTTAATCCAGTCACGACGTCACAACAGCGAAATATTAATTACCACTTTACCCTCGTATAATCCACAAACGGAATATATCACACTAAGATTCATTTAGGAGATTGTTACATACAGGGTGGAACTATAACGGTAGTAGTGGTAATTCAGAATACATATCTTTCTATACAGGGTGTTCTCAACGTTATGGCACTAAATTCTAGGGGTGGTAGTTCTTAGTATTCTTAGATTAGTTAATTCTTAGTCTTTTTCTTAGTTTAGTTAGTTCTTGTTAGTGATGTTCTGCAATAATTAAGCAGCTTTCAACAACAAAATAGGTGAGCTAATATTCCTTTTGAGTTTAAAGTTTATTTTCTCCTATTGTATAAAAAACCCGGTTTACTTTAATAATTTATCCATGATTCTAACAAATTAGAGGGGTCGAGGGGTTTCAACCGATGTACAGGACCGTATTTCTTTGAAATATTTTTAATATATCATATATATTTTGTTTATTATAATTTTTTTAGAAAAATGAAATCTGCGAATCGCTCTCAAATTATGCAAACTACCACCCCTAGAATTTAACCCCATAAGTTTGAAAACACCCTGAATATGAGGATGGGTTGTAATGATGAAGCTTAAGAATCGTAAATTATTGTGCAACATTTTTTTAATTAATAACAAACGGAATATACTCTCTGTACGAGTCTAGTATAACATTTAATAATCTACTAATATAATACGCCTCCCCTGTACAGTCAAAACGAGGTAAAATGTCGTTTGTCTCTTGTCACTTGTCAGCTGTCACTTGTCGCTTGTAATTCGTGGCTTGTCAGCGGGAGGGACGGCCTGCTGGGATTCAAGCGAGCGATATGGTAGAGCGCGCGCCTCTTAAATTTCCTCTGCCGTAGACGCGGATGCTGGATATTAAATAGCGGCAGATTTGGAGTGCGTGCGGAAGTTTATTCGTTGAAGCGACGTCGCGACGGTCGCTCGAAAGGTCCGCGCTTTTCCGAAATGCCCGGCGAACTTTCGCCGATTTGTCGAAGAGAATTTTTCCGGTTGAATTCTAAGAGCTTTTTGTGTCGGTCGCGAGGGGAAATGTAGTGAGGTTTTTTTGTTTTGAATTTTAAGTGGATTTTTAGAAACTGTTTTAAAACATTTCCTAGCGCGTATAAATTGAAGTTGAGTGCGAGAAAAGAATAATTTGTTGGGTAAGTGTTTTATATATTTCTCCATTAAATTTATTTTATAATAATTTTTCAAGGATGTGAATTGTTTTGGTAAAAATAAACTCGCATGCTCGTAGATTGGAGTGTATATTATACTCAAAGACGGATAAAACTTTGTGAAATAAAAAGAGCGACGGAGTTTCTGTCAAGTTCAGGCGGATGAGGATTTTCCTCTCTCTACATGCGACTTCTCGGCTTTATCGCAATTATTTCGTTTCCTTCTTCAATGCAAGATGAAATTCGATGTTAAATCGAATTTTCCGGCTTTACTTTTGTTGCCTAGGCCGTATACCCGTATTTTTACTCGTATTATTTCGCTAAATCTTTCCGCCAAACAAATAATAAAATACTAATTGGCGGAGTAAATGTGCTTTTATGAGTTATATGGCTTTGTACAAAAGTTTTCTCTTCATTATTTTCGAGCTAATTGCATTTTTTTATGATGGACTTATAAATTACTTTAAGAAAATGCGTTTTTTTAAAACAAGTATAACGAGTTCCTTTACGGTTGAATTATGATACTTTATTTTATTTTTGCCGGATAAATTTACACGAAGCGAATATGCCAACGTTTATTTGCTTTTCTTAGTTATTTAATTCGTCAATAAATCAGATATTTGTTTATTGCATGTTTATAATTATTTATATAACCAGTTCGGTCGTGAGATCTACGAGAGCATTAACACTTCAAAAGAAATTTTTTTATAAATCAAAATAATTTACAGTACAGACCGACAGAAATAGCTAAAGTCGCCAAGGTCACGTGCAAATGAAACTAAAAGGCGCAAAAAAACACTCATCAAAATAATATTTTTGTTATGCACAGAATGATTTATGAAGAAAATTTACAACCTCGAAATATATTCTTAGAAAAAATAATTAGTTGTGAGTATATATTTTGAAGACCAATAAATTTACTGTTAATCTTCTTCGCATAAACACGTGTATTTTTTACGATAGGTAAGTGTAGCCAAAATATACGGTTTAATCTGAAAACAAACACGAATACTCAAATAAATGGTACGAGAATTTACGTTTAAAGATCCTCTTATATTTACATTTTGATCTACACGAGTTGAACAAGGAAACATTATGAAAATATCAGTAGTTAGAGTGAGAAAATTGCAATTCAGCAATAACACTCTTTTCCTTTCCTTTACACGAGACTAATGTAAATTAATTGACTTGTTATTAACTGTCTTATTATTGACTTATTATTAATTGTTTGTTAATTGACTATTCCTAGTGCAATATCTAGACTACGCATATATTTATACAATAAAAAATAAATCCTAGCTAAGTAAAGTAAATGTAAATAAGTACCTTTATGGTATTTTTTTTCTGTGGATATCAATCGCAGCGAATTCAAACGAATATGTCTACACGTTTCGATGAAAAAAAAGGCATTAGAGCGATAGCCTCTGGTCGTAAGTTCGGTCCGATGGAAGTTTGAATGGATAGAAAAACCGGATTGCGCTCGGGATATTGGAAATCATTAAACCGAATGGACGAGAACTCTTCATGCACTCGTTTCATTGCGATGAAAAAAAAATTACTCTCTTAAATTCAAATTACCGGTAGTGGGTCGAATAATACAATTAAATCAAGTTGGCTAATGCCTAACGTCAAAAGTCTCAATTCTCGTTCTTCTTTTTCGAGGTCTTTACTATCGCGGCTAATCAACTTAATTTTTGCAAGTGACAAGTATTATAAACAATTTTATGGGTAACATTTTCGATTGGTGGGTGTAAAACAGAAATGTGTCAATTTACTCAGCCTATTTACTCGACAGTGCGTTGTAATCCGAGTCCAATTAAATTAAATTAAACGATACAGCAATGTTTATAATTAATTTGCGACTGAACGTTAATTTACTAAAAAAATACTATTTACCTACACTGACGTGTAATAAATACACCTGTAGTTCGATACTCGCTTTTACCGATTACTTTGTCAGCGAAAATAATTTCACCTCTAGTAAACGAGACGAAAATACTTCATGTATCTCAATTCATTTACCAATTGCCTTTTTTTAAGCATTTATAACTTAAACTATTACAGTTAGAACTGTTACGTATATTATAAACTTTATTACAAAGAAATAGGATTTTAAGGAAATTTAAACACATTTGTACATTCCCAATAGATTCATGTTATCGATTAATGAATTATAATAAAACTACCACCTGTTGAGCGCAAGCCCACATGCGAACGAATCGTCCAATTTAAAATCTAATTCCTAGTCGATCGAAAAAGTCGGCGAGATTTTGACCAGCCTGGTCTCCCATAAATTGAGTTACGAAATTGATTAGATTAATTATTATCTGTTTGAATCCCTCAATTATTGAATCTAAACCGAAGTTGCCGAACAAGCTGAAGGGATTCGGCGGGGCGGCGGGGCGAATTCCAGCATGAGTTCCTGCTTGGGTTCCAATGTGGAATCCTGGTTGAGTTCCCGTTTGGAATCCTGTTTGGGCTCCAATTTGAAATCCCGGCTGAGTTCCAATTTGAAATCCTGGTTGAGTTCCAATTTGAAATCCTGGTTGAGTTCCTGTTTGGAATCCTGTTTGGCCTCCAATTTGAAATCCTGGTTGAGTTCCTGTTTGGAATCCTGTTTGGCCTCCAATTTGAAATCCTGGTTGAGTTCCTGTTTGGGTTCCAATGTGAAATCCTGGTTGAGTTCCTGTTTGGAATCCTGTTTGGCCTCCAATTTGAAATCCTGGTTGAGTTCCTGTTTGGAATCCTGTTTGGCCTCCAATTTGAAATCCTGGTTGAGTTCCTGTTTGGGTTCCAATGTGAATTCCTGGTTGAGTTCCTGTTTGGGCTCCAATTTGAAATCCTGGTTGAGTTCCTGTTTGGGTTCCAATGTGAATTCCTGGTTGAGTTCCTGTTTGGGTTCCAATGTGAATTCCTGGTTGAGTTCCTGTTTGGAATCCTGTTTGGGCTCCAATTTGAAATCCTGGTTGAGTTCCTGTTTGGATTCCAATGTGAATTCCTGGTTTCGTTCCTGTTTGGAATCCTGTTTGGGTTCCAATTTGAATTCCTGGTTGGGTTCCTGTTTGGGTTCCTGTTTGGAATCCTGTTTGGGTGCCTGTTTGGGTTCCTGTTTGGGTTCCTGTTTGGGTTCCAGTGTGGATTCCCGTTTGAGTTCCTATTTGGACTCCCGTTTGGGTTCCTGTTTGAGGAGGTGCCTTGTTGGGTGCTATATTACTGGTTGCTGATGCATCTATGATGGCTAAATTAAAATTATATTGAGTATTGGAATCTATTAAACTTGAAAATTGAAGACTTACTAGAACCATCTGCACCAGGTAATTGTGCAAAAGGGCTGCCAATAGCTGAAACAAAAAATCTAAATTACTGCAAATTTAAGTTATCTACTATATATTAAAAAGTGTATGTGTAGAGTAAGTATTGGTGAAATTATTTTTTTAATACTACAGTTTGTGAATAAAATTAAATGAATTTTCTTACCAATGAAGAGGACACAAACGAAGATCAATTTCATTTCGTTCGTTGGTTAGTAATTAGATTGATGTCAGCGTCGTCTAAACGTTCCCTATTTATATAAAAAAAAGTATAAAAAAATTTGAATAAGGAAAATTAAATGGTAAAATTATATTTTCAAATAGGCCCAAATCTAATCTCGTTTGAATTATTCCACGTACTAATTGCGGGCGTTTAATGGCCAAATTAATTTCCAGTCATTTTTTTCTTTGACTAATTTTCGTAAAAGCGTATAGTTTTACGCGAAGTTGTAAATATTTTTATAGGTATATTTCCGCATCTGTGAGTTTATGTTATGACTAATTTTTAAAAAATACTAAATTTTAATAATTTACATATAATTATACGACTGTGTAAAATGTTAAAAGAAAATTGAATATTATCTGTTATTTGCCCTGGCACGTGAAGAATCACAAGAACATTTGATGCATTGAAAGGTAAGTTTAAATTTCAAATCATTTCAAAGTTTAATACAATTTTGAGATATTTTATTATTTTATTTATATCAAAATATCAAATAGTTTTAGTTAAATTGAAATTGAAAATTTTTGAGCGGGTTATTTTAGGTAAAATCATAATCTGGCGACGTCGTTTCCTTCGGAATACGTTCTTTACCGCATTCAAAAAAAACCTAAAGAATCTCGAGTGAATCAGTGTTTCAGTGAATGACCTCTGCAACTTTACTATACAGTGATTAATAGGAATTTGATTTGGAAAAAAGATACAAAATACTAAATGTACCTACATTTCTTATGTAAAACGCGTTATAATTAACGAGACTGTATCTTATCTATTGCGATGAGTAAATGTAAATTTCAAATATTTTATTAACACGGCCTTACGCAAAACAAATTCGGTAGGACTGCGAGAGTTAAAAATACAGAATTGTTGACTTTTTTGATAACTTTTCAGGTAAACGCCTCGCTTTTAATGTACATAAACCGAGAATATTTGTTTATAATTCCGTTAAACTATTGGTTATTTAACGTTGCGTTTATTATATACAATATTAGTCTTTTTTTTTTGATGAATAATTATAACATCAAAGTGGTTATAATGGGGTAGTGATAGTATTAATATGGTCATTATTTTTTATTGCATGGGCATTATAAATTTTGTATCAAATTTTTCAATTTTTGGTGGAGAAACTAAAATTTCTGGTGGTTAGTTTAAATTTACATATTTACATATTTACATATAAATATAAATTAAAATAAATAAATAAATAAATATAAATTTACACATATTTAAGTTTCGGTTTTGTCGTTACTCATACTAGAAAAGTCCCACGGATTTAAATCTGGCCAATATGGTGGCTATGAACTTCTAAATAAGCATTTTTAAGTTATTAAAAAATTGGTGATTTTGGTGAGTCTTTCAAAGCCTATTTCCAACTTCCAAATTATACTTAACTCAAAAGGTTTGTGCGCAAATAAATTACAGTATACGACTTAATGTGTTTATTTTAATTATCTCTAAAGGTAGAATATTGGAATAAAATGGTTTTGGAACCGCTCAGAAATAGATTTGGGGGGTTTCGACTGAGGGAAGGCAGATTCCGGGCACGCTGGTTTGGGGCACGTTGACGCTGACGGTACCGCCACCAAGGAGTGTCTGCACGGTGGTACCGATCTGTTGCAACACGTTCTGCAAGTCGCCGGTCAAGCCGTTTCCTAAATTGCTCAAGAGATTCTTCACCAAGTCCAGCACTTGGTTGATGACGGATCCCAAATTGAGGGGAAGGACGTTCAAGAGCGGAGCCAACGATTGTTGCAGTTGATTGACTAAGCCTGTGCAATCGGGTTAATTGTATTAATAAGGGTGTTTTTTTATGCTGTTAATAATATTACCAACGAGAGCGTCCAGAGAGTTAGGACAGGTGGGGCATGTTGCGTCAACGGCGAAAGTACCGACGATAGCTGTAAAAAGTGATTTATTTTAGTTATTTTGTCACTTGAAGCACTGTCCCATCTCTACATGTTTCTGAGTATGACAATGTTCTGTGTAGAACTAATGAATAATCGTTCCAAAAAATGTATTTACCAAAGCTTTTAGAAATATTCTCAGGTTGTTCCATTTCTCAAAGATTCTTAAAATTTTTATATATTTTCAGAAATTTCTTTCTTCAATTCTTAACCAGCTTTTCAATAAACAAGTCGAGCTTTCAATATATGATTTTTCTTCAATAAAATTTAAGAAAAGTTCAATTTTGAACCGATGAAAATTAACTAGCTAAAGTGTAACTTAACATTGTGTAATATAAGTGTCTTAATTGATAATTAATTTAGAGATCTTACCGGTGGTGAAAATTAGAGCGGTGGCTGCGAATTTCATTTTGATTGTTGCTTAGAACTGACTGGTTTTGGTTCTTCGATGAAATTCTTCGCGGTTTTCGGTATTTATAGGAAAATAAATTATTCACTTTTACTAATTATCCAAACATCGCATTTTCATATTGATAATCTAATTAACGAATTTTTGGAATCTACTAGTTCGTGGTTCCGAATGCCGCATAATTGGATATTCATTAATATTGTTTTTAATACAAATAATTATGGTAATTGTAAAAAAAATTAAATTCGGAGTGTATAGAGTAAACAAATTATTATTACCAAAATTATTCAAACGGGCAATTTTTACGAGAAATCGGTAAATGTTCTTCGTGATTTATTGGAATGTAAAGTGATTTTTTTACAGAAAAAACATCGCTTGATATCCAATTTAGCTTTTATAAACTTTTTCATTCATAATCAAAGAAAAGCATCCATTCAAGTTAGAAAGTGTGAATGTACCTACTTGTCTCTCAAACACGAATTCAAGATCTTTTTTTTCAGTAAAAATTCACGAGAAAAATCGCTAAAAAACACTTTTAATACTGGAAAATTTTCGCATTTATAATTAATTCACCAATTACAGTTAATTACATAATAACCTCATAAGGTTACGTTTAAATTTAATTATAACTTCTAGATATACCACCAGCGAATTTTCTATAAATTTTAATCATTCTCGCGCCGATAAAATCGTTCCGGTTAATTTGAGAAATGCTTCAATTGCATGCAAATTTTACTTTATCGACCTAATTAAAAAAAATATTAATATCTTGTGTCCTGGAAGTAGAGTATAAAAGCTCGACTTCTCGCTGAACAGGCATCAAAGTATCCAGTTACCTTAAGCCAAGCAAATCAATCAAAATGAAAGGAGCAGTTTTCGCCTTGTTCTTCGCAGTCGGTAAGTCAAATATTATTTAAATAAATTTTATTCCACGTAAAAAATGCCTGCTTTTCCAGCAATTTCCAGCAGCTACGCAGCTACCACCACCGTCGGATGCACTTGCCCCAATCTATTAACCGGAGTCGTCAGTAAGTCTATTTTAAACAACAAAGAATTCTTCAGAATAATATATTTTTCTTTTAGACTTAATCAGCCAGCTCCAGGACACCCTAGCTCCTCTATTGAACCCCTTGGGCGGCTTGGGAAACCTGGTATCCCAAATACTAGACGCCGTTAAGAACCTTGTTGAACAATTGGGAAATGCTTTGTCCAACGGAAATCTCTTGAGCGGTGTCAATGATCTGGTAGCCAACCTTCTCGGTCAACATTAATTCATTTTATTTTCGATTAGCAATAAAATTTAAATTCTAACGCAATTGGTTTGGTTTATTTTTCCAAATTTGGTTTCTTCTGAAGCGGATAGAAGGTTATGAAAACTTCTATAGTAGATATTCTACTAGTATAGGTACTGTTAGTAATTTTCTACTACAGCATTTCCAAGTGTATTTCAGAAAGCGTCAGGTTCATTTAAGAATGCGTCAATTGAATTTCAGAATAGTCACTTATATTTCGGAAATTATCAATTGTATTTCAGAAAAGTCATTTCGATTTCAGAAAGCATCAATTGTAGTTCAGAATAATAATTTTGATTTCAGAAACCATCAGTTGTATTTCAGAATAGTCAGTTCGATTTCGGAAACGATCATTTGAATTTAAATATAGTCAAATTCATTTCAGAAATCATCATTTGTATTTCGGAATTTTCCAATATCTATAGCTTTTCAATCTCAATTTCAGAAAAAAATATCAGTTCCAGAAGATTAATTTCGATTTCAGAAAAAAATATTTCAATTCCGGAGAGAAGTTGTTTATTCAAGTCCGAAAAAATAATATAAATTGTGGAGTGGACTGAGTTTTTCTTCTTCGTTAATAATTGCCATATGATTTCTGCATTCCAAATGGGACTCTGAAATCCTTTTGACGGTTTCCGAAACAGAAATGATAATTTCTTAAATACAAATTAAATTCAATTGATGATTTCTGAAATCAAATTGACTATTCTGAAATTCAATTGATGGTTTCTAAAATCAAATTGACTATTCTGAAATACAACAGATACTTTCCGACATATAAGTGACTATTCTTAAATTCAATTGATGCTTTCTAAAATACAACTGGAAAAGGTGTAGTAGGTTGGTACTGTTAATAATAAAATTTTCTACTAGAACATCTACTAGTATTAGCAGACTACTGGTAGTGCAAAAATTGTCTTAAATAATTATACAAAAGGTGGCAAAATTTAACGATTTCAACAATCCACCATTTTTTATGATCGAAAAGCTCGTCCAAATTAATTCGAGCATGTATTTCAATTAAAGTTGCGGCGTAACACAATAAATATAATTATGTTATGTGATATACCCGCAACATCGCTACATGTATACCTACACACAGTCGTTATTATTGAGCTGGAATTCACAAAATGTTTTTGATACAAAGTTAGTTTGCTTTCAAATGATTAAATTTCAATCAAAAAGGGATCCCCAAAGGGAACGTTTATTCGTGTATTCGTTTATTCGTGTTTATGATTGTATACCTATATGCTGATTTCACACTCAATGAAACCTGTTAATTATATTCCTTAACACGAAAATTGTTCCCCTAGTTGGTGTATTATTACATTTTTTTCTCATATTTAGAGAAGTTGTAAAAAGACTGAATTAGAAATTAGTGACATAATAAATTTATTTAAAAGTATACATTGATGATAGATGCATCATTGAAACTCATAAAAACCAAATATTTTGCTAATGATTTTTATTCTACGTTAGAATTATGCAAGTAAACGTTAACAAAGTCATAGAGAAATCGGCTTATACAGTGATTCCGGGAAGGGTGATTCCGGGGATGGTGATTCCGGGAAGGGTGGTTTGGGGCACGTTGACGCTGACGGTTCCGGTGGCGGCTCCGCTACCAAGAAGTGTCTGCAGGGCGGTACCGACCTGTTGCAACACGTTCTGCAAGTCGCCGGTCAGACCGTTTCCTAAATTGGTCAAGAGGTTCTTCACCAAGTCCAGCACTTGGTTAATGACGGGTCCCAAATTGAGGGGAAGGCTGCTCAAGAGCGGAGCCAACGATTGTTGCAGTTGGGTGACTAAGCCTGTGTAATCGGGTTGATTGTATTAATAAGGGTGTTTTTTTTGTGGTGTTAACAATATTACCAACGACAGCGTCCAGAGAGTCCGGGCAGGTGGGGCATGTTACGCCAAAAGCCGTGGTGCTGGCTACAGCTGGAAGAAATGTCTTTTATAAGCATTGAAACTTTCTTAGAAATCCACCAAAATTCATTCATAATGTAATTATAACCTGTAAATTATCAACCAACTGGCCAATTACTGGTATTTCCAAACCAATTTGGACACTTGGAGATCTAAGATTAGATTATATTAACCCTCTTTAAAACCTAGTCCTCAATAATATTACACGTAAATAATATACAAAAATTAATTATCTAATTCATTTATTCTATCATCCACAATTTCATCTACGTTTTCCTCTTCATATTTCCAATCTAACCCATTTTACTAATGGTTCGTGTACGAAAAATTCAAGTATTAGACTCCAGGAAACTTTCTTGAAATCCACTAAAATTCATTCATTATGTTACTATAACCCGTAAATTACCAACCAAATAGTCAATTATTTGTATTTCTCAACCAATTTGGGCACTTGGAGATCTAACATTAGATTATATCAACCATCTTTAAAACCTACTTCTCAATAATCCTACACTTTATTGTTTATATAAATAACTAATAACTAATACAAAAACTAATTATCTACTTCAAACTTTTTCCTCTTCATATTTCCAATCTAACCCATTTTACTAATGGTTCGTGTACGAAAAATTCAAGTACTAGACTCCAGGAAACTTTCACAATTTCAAACACCATACAAAAAAAAAGTGCAACTAAAAGTTGAACTTACCGAACGTCAGGAACAAAGCGCAAATGGCGGATTTCATTTTGAGTTAATTTTGTAAATGTACGGTGTATTCACAATGCTTTGGAAGAACTTCGGCGCGGTATATATAGGAAAAAAATAATCGGAGACTTGATTAAGAATCAATATCGAGCTAATTGTACATTTAAATCGGGCGGAAAATTCTAATCCGAGTTATTCTAATTCTATTACTAATTGATTTTATAATTTGTTTGTTATAAAAATATCTCGTTCGATAAGGCCGGTTACCTTCTACAAAGTGATAGTGTGTATTACGTACATATTGTGTATATAATTATAATATAATTATACCCTTTTTGGAAGTATTTTGTTATAATAAATTAAAAAAATGTCATAATAAGTGCGTAAAAAATAAATAAAATTAATTTTTATACGTTTTTAATAGTCTCGCTCATTGTAATAAGGTCTTTACAACGCAAATTTTTCAATAATATGAAAAAATTATTAACTATTAACTATTTCATCCCTTTTACATAATATTTTCCGGAGGAAAATTCCAACAATTTATGTATATGCAAATTTGGAATACATTGTTCATTGTACAAACGAATTGTTTTTCCAAGCGAAATAATATTAAAGCTTAAATTCAACTTCCTGTTTGCCCACGCAAATAGATAACCCGATAATTGAGTTTTCTAATTATCCAAATATTCCCTAAATATAATCAGTCGAAGGAGCGCTATCGTTCATTATGATAATTTAATGTATCAGCATTTGAAAATAATAAATTTTAATCGGATTGCGTCGATCCCTCTGGTCGAATCTTTAGTATAAAAGGTGAGCACTACTTCGAATTTGTATACACTATCCAGTGAATTATCAATCTATTAATCACAATGAAAGTCGCAGTTTTCGCTTTAGTCTTTGCTTTCGGTAAGATAACATTTATTTACTTCTCCTGTATCTTCTTCTTCTATCTATTTGATTTTTATTATGCTGTTACCTAGTGCATTATGCATTTTTCTAATGCATTATTTTATTTATCAATTTCCACAGCAGTTGCCACCTGCTATGCTGCAACCGCACAAGTTGAAACCAGATTATTAGGATGCACTTGCCCCAACTTGTTAACCGGTGTCGCCGGTAAGTACTGAATTATTTTATTATTTATTTCATTTTAATCAATTATTAAAAAAAGTTTATTGTTAGGGGCCAAGTCCCTGAACGCATCCACCAAAAATTTAACTATACAAACTTTACTAGTTCCAGAACTGATGAAATTTGTTTCTCCGTAGATTTGATTACCCAGCTCCAAACCACTCTTAGTCCGCTATTGACCAAATTGGGCGGTCTCGGTGCCCTCGTTAACCAACTACTCGAATTGGTCAAGAACCTCGTCATCCAACTCGGCAATGCTTTGGCCAACGGAAATCTCCTCAGCGTCGTCAACAACTTAGTCGGCGGCCTTTTGGGTCAATAATTCCACGAATACACGAATAATATTCAGTTCCACGATTTAAATAAAGATTAATATACGCATTAAATTTGATTTTTTTTAACACAATCTTTACAATTTTAATATACGCTTGTTGTATTGCAAGTCTTAGTGAGTCTAGATCAGGACCGTTGAGGTTGTGGTGATTGAATAGAGGCTGTTTGAATAAGCCTAATGAAGATATAGGATTATTTATTAAAAGGGTAATAACGAATATTTCTGTCAATAGTAAATTTAACTTTTTAATCAGTAAAATTCAGGACGTATTCGTTGAGTGAAAGGATCGTGTTTGGACTGTTAGATCAATGTCTTATAGTTCATTCTGGTGCCAAATTGTTGCAATATGTTCTGCAAATCTTTGGATAAACCGGATGAACTTTCCGTTTTCAAAACCACTCGTAACTTTTGATTTAATCGGACATTTTGTTAATGGTGGATCGGAGGTCAAAGGGTTCAAAGGGCTCAAAAGCGGTGTTAAAGAGGTTTGGACTTGCTTAATAATACCGGAAAATCGTGACACCGTCCTGCAGAGTGTCCGGGTAGGTTAAATTTAGAGCTCCGGCTGCAGCGACTGAAATTTGATAAATTACAAATCTAATTGTTGGTAGTGTAATCTAACTAAAACCTCTCGGTAACAACTCCAGTTAACTTTTATTCGCTTGTTTGATACTGATCTGACATTTAATTGTGTTTAGTTTGCAAATGGAATCGAACAGACGGTGAAGTTCCACGCTGTTCGAGTTAATCACGAAATAATTGGAAGTTCTTTGTATTTTTTTTATTGTTAAAGGGTTAGATGTAAGTAGCCTAAGGCTAAATCTCAATAATAGCTAAATAATTATTCATTATACTCTATTTCCAAAATAGTAGGCACTAAATTCTTGGAAATATTGTAGCTTTCCTTATTTATTACATAATCCTTGCTCTTCTAATTATTAGTCTCCTGCTGATTTTTCCGTCAAACACACTTGTAGCCTACGATATTTTCCGTACGCCACTGGTAGAGACCCATTATCACCATCATTTCTGAGAATTTAGTGCCTACTATTTTGGAAATGGACTATAGGTACCTTCATCTGTTACGATTTACTTTAAGTAAAACCATTATTAAGAAAAATGTAATAATCAGTTAATAACCTACTGGTTATGCCGTAGTGTAGAATAGGATAAAAACCAGGACTATTAAAAAGTAAATGTGTATTCAAATAAAATTTATTGTCATTAATAAAGGTGGTCGGTATTAAATTCGGTTAAGTTATCCAACTAATCAAGGCGCTTGGACGGTGATTCCGGGAAGGGTGATTCCGGGGACGGTGACTCCGGGAAGGGTGGTTTGGGGCACGTTGACGCTGACGGTTCCGGTGGCGGCTCCGCTACCAAGAAGTGTCTGCAGGGTGGTACCGAGCTGTTGCAACACGTTCTGCAAGTCGCCGGTCAGACCGTTTCCTAAATTGGTCAAGAGGTTCTTCACCAAGTCCAGCACTTGGTTGAGGACGGGTCCCAAGTTGAGGGGAAGGCTGCTCAAGAGCGGAGCCAACGATTGTTGCAGTTGACTGACTAAGTCTGTGTAATCGGGTTAATTGTATTAATAAGGGTGTTTTTTTTTTGTGGTGTTAAAAATATTACCAATGACAGCGTCCAGAGAGTCCGGGCAGCTGGGGCATGTTACGTCAAAAGCCGTGGAGCTGGCTACAGCTGGAAGAAATATATTTCATAAGCATTGAAACTTTCTTAAATCCACCATAATTTACTCATAATGTAATTATCAACCAACTGGTTAATTACTGGTATTTCCAAACCAATTTGGACACTCTTGGAGATACTCAAACGAGTCTTATTTACTTTGTAATAACCCTACACCGGGTTATTTTTCTTATACATAACCAGTACGTATAAATATTTCGATAAAACCTACCCTTAGTAATCTTTCATTGATTCGTTATTTCACAATTTAATTGATAGCATGTAAGCAACAGAAAATTAATTTAGGTACATGTGGTTTGGAGTTTCATTCAATGAAATTAAAATCGAATTCTGGATGACGACGCCAGGAAATTACTTGTTAGTTATTTTCAATTAAAAAAAAATACATACCGAACGTAAGGAATAGAGCACAAACTGCGAATTTCATTTTTGTATTTATTGTAGGTCGATATCACAATGATTTCGATAGGATTCAAAACGCTCTATTTATTTGAAAAAATTGCGTCAGTTTTCAATCAATATCTATAATGCGATTCAATTTATTTTCCGTATCGCATTCAAATTGACCAATATTAGCATTGTTTTTTTAATTTATTTATTAGCTCGATATCTTCGATGGTATTAGGCGTCTTATTAAAAATAATATATGCTTAATTGTATTACTGCATTCTATTAAATAATTACTTCTAAAAGCGAAATAAACAATTAAAAAAAACTCTTGCTATTAATAAATGTAGTAAGAAAATACGAATATTTAAAAATCTCTTTACTTTTCTAATATCAATTTATTATTAATAGAGGAAAATTTCTGATTGTAAAGATGTATCTAATAAATATAAACATAACGAAAACGTTACGTAATTTGGATAATTTCATTTAAAAATATTTTAAAATATTGTTAATTATAACAAACCAGCCGGTAGGTGCTGATAATTTTATCTATCGAAAATCCATTTGAAAATATAATTTTCGCACCGCATCAATAATCTCAAGGGTAGATTACGAATATAAAAGCTCCAATATTACTGGCAAAAGCATACATTGAGACGATCAATTTCAAACAACAAACGCCAAAATGAAATCAGCCGTATTCGCCTTATTCTTCTTCGTCGGTAAGGAAAATTTTTATTAATAAGAAAAAATACGAAAGTATTTTTTTCTTATAATTGTATATTCTCGAAAATTCCGCTTTACCGGTGTTTTTAAAGCAGTTTATTTGTTGTGTGTTTAGCAATTGCGTCCGCCATGGCAGGCACTGCCCAGGTTCCAACCAGATTATTAGGATGCACTTGCCCCAATTTATTAACCGGTGTTTCCGGTAAGTACTAAAATATTTGATTCTATTCAATTATCAAAAACAAAATATTAGTTATAGTTTATAATTAAGGGCTAAGCCCCTGAACGCATCCGCCAAAAATTTAACTATACAAACTTGTAAACTATTAATTACTAATTCTAGAATTGATGAAATTTGTTTCTCCGTAGATTTGATTACCCAGCTTCAAACTACTCTTAGTCCGCTATTGACCAAATTGGGCGGTCTCGGTGCCCTCGTTAACCAACTTCTCGAATTGGTCAAGAACCTAGTCATCCAACTTGGCAACGCTTTGGCCAACGGAAATCTCCTCAACGTCGTCAACAACTTAGTCAGCAGCCTTTTGGGACAACAATAATTATTTATAAATTAAAAATTTAAATAAAATTTAATACATATGCAATTGATTCGTTTCTTTGGATTGGATCTTTTTGGAAGAAGTAATATAGTGTATTTATTTTGAAGTGGTTCGGAATGCTGTCGTTTGTCATGACACTTTTGTCATTTTTGGAACTGTCAAACAAGAATTTTAGTATACTGGGTGATTCTATTTGACTGATGAATTAATTTGTAAACGTCACTTTCGAAATTGTCGAACAGAAACTTTAGAATACTAGAGGGGTTTCCTTCTGTTAGTTATAAAAGTTTGTAAAGCCACCATGGAAGTTTTTTTGGGGAATTCCCGAGGACTGTCGATTTTGATTTCAAGGGAGAATTTATTTGATCTGAAATTCATGGATGTATTTCATGATATTTCAATGCTCTATTCGAACCTGCTAACATTTTTGGTCTGTGTTATACAATTAATTTAAAACACCAGTTGGGAGTGTCGGTGAAATAAATCGAAGAAAAAAAGTTTTCGAACATGTTCAAATTCAAGTTCTTTGTTCAACATGTTTGCGAACATTTCCTGATCATTTCCGGGATTTTATCTCCAGATGCTTGCACAGACAACTCTGTATAATTTGCCATATATTGCCATAAAAAATAAATTTGGTTTTTCTGTTATGTTATAGTAAAAAAATAGTACCTGTTGATATAAATTTAAAATCTCTCATAAATATCAATTTCTAATAGATATCAAATATGTAATAGGAAATGAAAATTTCAATTACAACTGTATTAACTTCATAAATTTAGAGTAGGTAAATGAAATTATTACAATATACTTATGTAATAATGGTAGGTAAATTTATTGTAAATTTTCAATTTGTTCAAAGACCTAATCATTAGCAGGCCTTTTAATTGCCCTATGACTTTGAGAAAAGCTATAAAATTGTCAATTTGCCTAAAAATTGGCTGTTACACCAGAAACTCCTTGGTCTAATGATCCTAATTTTTTCGTAACAAGTAACTGTAAAATATACTGCTCCACGAATGTTAAGGAAGTTTACAAATATTGAGATTAATTTAAAAGTTGCAGGTTTTTTGATCGCCAAATTTAGTATGAGTTGTAGAGGTAGGGACAAAAAATCCACTCAGATATGAGAGAAAACATTTAATTTTGCATATTTGAAAATTTGGTGATCAAAAAGTCTGTAACTTTTAAAATAATCGCAAAATTTGCGAACTTCCTTAAATTTTGTGGAGCAGTTTATATTTTCTATAATATTACCTATAACTCATTTTATTCTTCAAATCAATTTCAACTTGATATTGAAGTTAAATTTCGCGTTTTTCTAATTCCTTTCTGATGCCATTGTCTCGCTTCAAACGCCATTATAAAATAGCTAGCGATTTTTTCGTTATAGTTACACTAACAATAAAACAAATAAATATAGTACACAAACATTTAATACATATGCGTTTTCATAAGATTTTTCAAACATCGATAACAAGCATTTAATATAAAAAAATTTACAACGATCCGAGGAGCGTGTTGATGGTGACACCCAATTGTTGCAGAACACTGTCCAAACCACCAGACAAATTGTTTCCTGCAGTAGACAGGAGGTTGATGAGCAAATCGAGGAGACCTTTAAGGACGTATCCCAAGTTCAGGGGAAGGCTGTCCAAAACGGGCAACAGAGAGTTCTCCAGGTTACGGAGCAAATCTACAAAAAAAAAGAAACAACACACCATGAGTTAAAGCAACTTTTGCGAGTTAATAACATATTTACCAGTGACAGCGTTCAACGAGTCGGGGCAGTTGGTGCATACGGCGCCTGTGGAAAATAATAATTAAAGTCAGTTTTTAAGTCAAAAAATAATTGTGACGGTTCCAGTACCTCCGGTGGTTCCGGTGGTTCCTCCGGTGGTTCCTCCGGTGGTTCCTCCGGTGGTTCCTCCGGTGGTACCTCCGATGGTTCCTGTTCCTCCAATGGTTCCGGTTCCTCCGGTGGTACCTCCGATGGTTCCAGTTCCTCCGATGGTTCCGGTTCCTCCAATGGTTCCGGTTCCTCCGGTGGTTCCTCCGGTGGTACCTCCGATGGTGCCGGTTCCGCCGATGGTTCCGGTTCCTCCGGTGGTTCCGGTTCCTCCAGTAGATCCTCCAAGAAGTCCACCGCTAAGGATTTGGCTGATCATATTTTGGAGTTTCGCGACCAAGTCGGGTAAGGAAGTGTTACCTTCCAGAAGGCTGAAGAAGGAAACGATCAAATCGAGAATGTTGTTTAGGGCAGGTCCGAAGAGGGGAATTTGGCTCAAGATGGGTGCCAGACTTGTCTGTACATTTCTAATGATGCCTGCAAAGACGAGAAGATGAGCGAGTTGGTTCTATAATTGAGGAGAAAAAAAATCGTTATATTTCTTACTGGAAATCGAACCCAAAGAGGCCGGGCAGCTGGTGCATGTCGGTACAGTTGCTGAAATTGTTAATGCCGACGAACTGGCAAGAGCTAAAATTAACAAAAAAAATATCACCGATTAATAATATTATATTAATTATAGTTAGTGTACTTACCTAAAGCAATGAATAGGGCACAAACGGCGAACTTCATCTTGATATCAGTGATATTACTGTGAATAATGTTTTCCAGTATATTCGACCCGGTATTTATACGGAAAAATTGTGCGAAGTTAATTATTCCGTAACGTATTTAAGAGATAAATATGGATGTGTGCAAATATATTAGTTTCATCTAGTTAAATTTGATTTTTTTAGTATAAACTAACTCTATAATATATTTATGATATACATACACGTGTTGATAAGGAATTGATTGATAATAAAACGGCTAATTGTGATATTGTTTCCGAGGACCCCCGAAAACTTACGCAATTACCGGCCATTTGTTAGGCAAATTGAATTTTTTATAGCTTTTCTCAAAGTTACAAGCCAATTAAAAAGCTTACTAATGATTATGACTTTGAATATTAGCGGTGAAAATTTTTCAATAAATTTACCTACCATTATTATTAGGTATTGTAATTTTATTTATCTACGTCATTTGAAAATATAATTCATTAACCATCAGTGCCTCCTACGTGCGATAGTTTACTATAAAAGCACAACTTTTTCTTGCATTAGTATTCAGTACAACATTTTCGTACCAGGAAAAAACCAAGTAATCCACTAATAACCAAAATGAAGGGAGCCGTATTCGCTTTACTTTTCGTTACCGGTAAGAACTTTACATTTAATTAAATACTTTTAAACTTTTTTTTTATTATTTATAAACTTTTACTGGGTCTTAGGCTTACATGTAAGCTAACCATTAGATTCAATAAATTCAAACTAGATTTGGGAGCTTTCATTAGCTCTAATCTGTAAATATAATAACTAATATAAAGACTTTTTATTAAGGTATAAATTCTCAATTCGATATTAAGAAATTTTCTGTTTGTATCTGTAGTAATTGCCACCAGCTTGGCTCAACTAAGTGTTACCAATACAGGATGCACTTGCCCCAATATCCTAACCGGCGCTATCAGTAAGTAAACAAACAATTAATAAAATTTTACAATTCCGTTTAGGTTAAAACAAATATTTCATTCTACTGTTAATTCGCAGATTTCCTCAACCAAATCCAGACGAGTCTGTCTCCCTTGTTGACCCAATTGGGAGGTTTGGGTGCCATCATTAACGGTTTCATCAATTTCTTCAAGGGCCTTCTCACCAACCTCGGTAACGCTTTGTCCGGCGGAAACATCTTAGCCGGAGCGCAAAACTTCATCAACTGCCTTTTCGGCATTCATTAAATAAGTACATTATGTATTCGTACACAATTAATTCATAATACCAAATAAAATTTAATACATGCAGCACTATTGGTTGTTCTTTACATTCCTATTAAATACTTTAAATGTGATTTGTACAAGTGCAGAATTGTTTGAAATATTGACAATTCTATGAGTAGAACAAAGAAGGGTTATTAAAATAACAGTGGTTAGAGTGAGAAAGGATGGACTAAATGCTGGAAGTTGTCTTTGTTGCACCCATAGCCTATATTGCAAACAATTTGGATCTATCCTGTAGATATACTTTTTAGATGGTTGAAACTCGTTGTTTGTACCTATAGGAAAAATACCAAAAAAATAATATTACAACATTGGAAAATTGAGGGGTTAAGAAAATTTGAAATAACTATATGCTATAAAAAATAAATAATATGTAAAAATATAAATACAATTTAAATCAGTTCATTTTATTATGCTGTTGGTAAATTAAAATATATATTTTGCGTCATTTTCCAGGGTTTTTGTTCCGGTATTTGATCATTTATAATATATACATTTGTTCATAAGCCAGTGAAATGTTTAAGGGATTTATTTTGAATTCCAAATGAGCCGTCTAATGGAGGAAATTAAAATTGTTTTTTGTGCGTAATAAATTATCTAATACATATTATACATACGTTTATTTAAAAAAGTGTCGATAAGAAAGTGGTGAAATTATAATTAATTAGAGATTTAAGTGATTTAACATTTAAATTTTTGTTATTGTTTAATGAACTCTTATATCAAGTATGAAAATTTGATTTATTTTTTTTGTATACATGAGAAGGTAAATTTGAATCAAAATTTAGAGAGTAAGATGACAAAGAATAAAAATTGTTTAAAAGGACATAATGAATAAATCAATTTTTTTTACACAGGGTGTTCCTAAACATCGTGTACATCCGAAAGGGGGTGATTCCTTGGCTTATTTTATGACCTTAAGTTCATATACACGTTGGTCCCCAAACGCTTCATTACCGATCTACAGGGTGTTAAAATTTCAAGATTTTTTTGTTTCTTTTTTAGAGCTCCTGCAGTTTTTGAGATATTTAGCTCAAATTAGGGGTAGGATATAGAGTATAGAGTATAATTTGAGTAGGAGGGGGCCACTTTCAACATTTATTATAATGTAATTTAATAATTATTATTTGGGGTTTTTGTTTTGTAAAATAAATCATTTGTACAGAAAATCATTTTTCTAAACAGTTTCTAAACAAAAGAGACAATTAATTTTGTAATTTAGAATCTACCAGCGGCGCACAGCAAAAAAGTTCGGGTGAAAAAAAGGGTACATGACCCCTGAAAAAATTTCACCCTGTAGAATTCAACAACCATCTGATATACCCAATAATGTGTGCTCTATAAAACAATCTAGATTCAAAATTTGAGCTAAATATCTCATAAAGTGCAGGAGCTACAAAGAAAAAACAAAAAAAAAAATGAAATTTTAACACCCTGTAGATCGATAACGAAGCGTTTGCGGACTATGTTTAGGAACACCCTGTCTAACATAATCGCAGCATAAAAATATCTACAACTTTAGGTAATAAGTTTTCTTGATATTATAACTACAATAACAGGTTTATTGAGCTTATTCATCATAATGAGCCATCCTGTATATAAATTTTAACAAACCAGAGCAGCGCAAAATGGATTAAAAACTGCGAATAAGCAGCCAATCTTTTCAGAGAATTAATCTATTAGGTAATTAGAATTTTACAACCAATTAATAATTAAATTAGCGTGAGAGAATGTGAAAATTGAGTAAATGTTTTTCTTCAAAATAATCTTATCTGTATTTAACTTGGCAGATACAGTCCAAACAAATCTACCAACTGTAGGCATTAAAAAAATTAAAGTAATCGATATTAATAAAACAAATCATTAACGTAAACAAATATTTTTATTGCACCCATACGTTTTCACTGCGATCGAACGAATGTTAGTTAGGTATTACAGAACAATATAATTATTTATCTAAAGTCCACCGCCCAGGAGAGTCTGCAAAGTGCCTCCCAACTGTTGGAGAACACCGCTCAAGTCTCCACTTAGGCCGTTGCCTGAAGTAGAGAGAAGGTTAATCAGTAAATCTAGGAGTCCTTTAAGGATGTATCCCAAATTGAGGGGAAGTTTGTCCAAAATTGGCAACAGAGAGTTCTCAAGATTACGGAGCAAATCTACAAAAAAAAACAACCAATCATGAGTTAAATTCGTTAAATTAAAGGTATTAACAAGTTTACCAGTAACAGCAGCTAAAGAGTCCGGGCAGCTGGTACAAGCGGGAAGAGTACCTGAGGAAATAAAATATTACATCCAGTTATTGGCAGGCTTGAGTATTCTAAATACCGGTAGTTGTGCCGGTGGTACCGCCGATTGGAATCCCGCCGATTTGAATCCCGCCGGTGGTTCCGATGGTTCCGGTGGTTCCGGTGGTTCCGGTGGTACCGGGGGTTCCGATGGTTCCGGTTCCACCGATTTGAATACCTCCGGTTCCGGTGGTTCCGGTAGTTCCGGTAGTACCGCCGATTTGAATGCCACCGCTTCCGGTGAGACTGCCGCCGAGGAAGATCCTGCTGATTATATTTTGAAGGTCCACCAACGCTTGGGGAATGGAGACCTTTCCTTCTACGACGCTGAAGAACTCGATGATCAGGCTCAGAACGCCGTTAATGAAGTTTCCAAAGCCGAAGGGGATTTGGCTAAGGAATGGGGATAGCGCCGCTTGCGCGTTTCTGACCAGATCTGCAATGGCGACGGGTTAATAGAAGTTTTTTGGAAAATCGGGGTTTTACCGGAGATTGAGCCCAATGTGGCTGGGCAGTTGGTGCATGTTGCCGTTGTAGTTGTCGTTAATGTTGGTAAACTTGGAAATGTTGGAAATGGTGAAAATGACGGTAATGTTAAGGCTGCCAAAGAACTGGCTACAGCTGTGGATTAAAAACATGATGTATCGTAAAAATTTATTTCATTCCAATATTCATCTAGAAACTTACCGAAAGTTAGAAATATGGTGCAAACGGCGAATTTCATTTTAAGGTGGCTTTACTAATAACAATAATTTGGTGATTTCTTTTCTGGTATTTATACCGCGATAGATATAACACGTAAAAATTAGGTAGTTAAATTTAAGGGATTAATTATGCATTCCTTAATTATAAATGAGGCAATTTAGTTCAAATTGATTCTTGTTGGTGTAATTATCTAACAAATTTATTTATGAATACGTCCACGTGTTGATAAGGATTATGAAAAAAACAAAATTTTCATTACTTTCGGATTAAATTAGGCCTTTAAAATGGGGTAAATTTACAAACAGGGACTTAATGCCTCGAATAATCCAGGCAGTTAATTAAAATCCGGCCCTTTTCATTCGATTTTCTGGAAGCTGAAATAGAAGAGAAATAATCCAAGAACCGATTCTACTACACATGATAAAGATATTTTTAAAGGTTTTAATTACTGTTGAAATAATCGCATTGTATCCAAAAATTGTAGATGAAAACTTATTTTTTATGCCTTTACCAATGTGAAAAATTCAAAAAAAAATAAATTTCAATGTTATATTATCCAGCGTTCCTTGAAACTACAATAGATAATCCACAAAAGTACCTACTAATAATAATTTTATTTAAAATTATGATTTTTGGTGAGGTAAATTCGCAATTAGCTATTTATTGTAATTTTATTTATCTACGTTATTTGAAAATATAATTTCTCTACCTGTATCTATATTTCCGTCAGAGGAGTTTTGCTATAAAAGTTGATACCTCTTTGCCACAACTATCCAGTACTATTTACTACAATAGACCAACCAATCCAACCAAAAATCCAAAATGAAGGGAGCCGTATTCGCTTTATGCTTTGTCGTTGGTAAGAAATTCATTAAATAATTATTACTACCTACTCTTAATAACTTATAAGATTTTACTTTTTACTTATTTATTTATTTATCACCTATTATTTGATTTGATTTTATTTTTATAACGCAAGTACCTAGTGTATTATGCATTTTTCTAACGCGTATTAAAATGCATTATTTATCAATTTCCACAGCAATTGCCTCCTGCTATGCTGGAACCGCACAAGTTGAAACCAGATTGTTAGGATGCACCTGCCCTAACTTGTTGACCGGCGTCGCCAGTAAGTACCAGCCATTCTCTCCACCTCTACAAGCATTAGCAGTACTAATATATCGTCACTTGCAGATTTGATCACCCAACTTCAAGCCACTCTTGGTCCGCTATTGACCCAATTGGGCGGTCTAGGATCCTTCGTTAACCAAATTCTCGAATTGGTCAAGAACCTCGTCATCCAACTTGGCAACGCTTTGGCCAACGGCGGTCTCCTTGGAGGACTCAACAACTTAGTCAGCGGCCTTTTGGGCCAATTAGGTATAAATATATCACAATAGGTATAACTTCACACACCGACTTGATAATTCGCAATTTACGCAATTTACAATAAAAATTTAACCAATTAACTTTAGTGTTTCTTTAGTCGCGAATTTAGCAACACCGTTCTAGCTCATAGGAAGAAAACCAAACAATCCTTTAGCATTTAAAACCTATATATTAACGTTGTACTTATTATACATTTATGAGCCTAAAACTAAATACCTAATGGGGAGGTTCCGCTTCCCAGGGCTTGGCTCAAAGTGTCCCCGAGTCTCTTCAACACGTCCTCCAATCCTCCGGATAAGCCGTTCGTTAGAGCGCCCAGTAGATTGACGATTAGATTGAGTAGCTCGTTAACAATGCGGCCGAGGCCGAGGGGAAGCTTGTCCAAAATCGGCTGGAGCGTTTCTTGGAGTTTGCGCACTAGATCTGCGAACAATCATTGAGTCAGTTTTGGGTTTTATGTTTATGTGGAAAATTTTACCCAAAACTGAGGCTACTGAATCGGGGCAGTTGGTACACGTCGCTGCCCAAGTACCGGCTACAGCTGGAAATTAACGCGTAATTACACCGAAAAATTAATCAGAAATAACGAAAATACTCACCGAAAATGAGGAATAAAACGCAAACGGAGAATTTCATTTCGATTCGTTTCGAGTTAATTTGTATATAAAGCGGAGAGCTTTGCGTAATTGTGCTTTCGACGAGCTTTCTCGCCGGTATTTATATGGTAAAAATTGTTAACAATAATTTGATTAGTGAAGCGCCGTTGAACTAATTTTACATTCAAATAGACAAATCTAATTAGCGTCGATTATTCAATTTATTAATTTATTTATTTAGGTAAGTACGCCGTTCGGGCGGTATATATCGATAAGAAATGAATATTAATACGATATAATTGAATTATCTAATTATTTGTAATTGGGTTAAATAAATTTCTCATAAATCTTTTATTGTTAAATGATATAATAAATAAAATAAGAAATGCTTTTACTACAATTTTTCTATAATATATCAATCGTTCTCTATAATATTGACAAATAAAGCCATTCTTTGAACATAATACATATAAAATACCTATTTCCTACGTAAAATATAATGGTCCTAATGTAAGAAATAAGAACATACATATTTAGAATTCAGAGTCTCGAGGAAAGTACCTACATCAAAAAGGAAGAAAACTTTTAAAATTCCGCCTGCAGTTCTTTTCACTGAAAATAAATGATTCAACTGGAATACACCGAAAACTGACGTTTTAGTATAGCAAGTTCGCGATATTTCTGCAAATTTTAATTAAATACAAGCGATTCAATAACAAATAATAAGGGCGCATTTATAAGTTTTAATCAGCGCATTAATTAAAACGCGGAGTTACGAAATTTAGGTCGAAGGTATTAGTATTCTACCAAAAATTTCTGATTCTAATTAAAAATGGAAATTAAGGATTAAAAATCGGTTCGAATAAATACACACACCCGCTTTGATTTATCTTTGCGTGTAATTAAAATTTCGACGGATTGTCTTATCTGTTTGATTTGAATATTTTATTTTCGTACGGATTGATTTTGAGTATAAAAGCTCGTTACCCCTATTTGGCGTTAGTTCAGAAGGAAAAAACCAGAAATTATCGATTATAAACCAAAATGAAGGGAGCAGTACTCGTTTTATTTTTCGCTATTGGTAAGAAAATTTGTTCTTATTATCGACTATAAAACTTTTTTGGGGGATGATGTAAAATTCACAAAATAAATTTGTGTTTTGTCGAATACTAATGCATTTTCTGTTAAAAATTCAGTGTAAACTTCACTTGATTTAGGCGATTTTAAATAAAAATAAATTTCTGTGGGTTTCACCGAAATCGTTTGTGTACAGCGATCGCCACCTGTTGGGCAACAGTCGATCTACAACAACCCAAATTTGGATTCGGAGGATTCGGTGGACTCGGATGCACTTGCCCCAATTTATTAACCGGCGTTGCTAGTAAGTAAATTTATTAAATTCATTAACTTGCATCTTTCATTTGAATTTATTCGTTTTTAGACTTGATAACTCAACTGCAAACAGCCTTGGCTCCTTTGTTGACCTCCCTCGGAGGTCTAGGAAGCGCTATTAATCAACTTTTGGAGTTCCTCAAGACTTTAGTTAATAATATAGGTGGCGCTTTGTCCAACGGCGGTCTCTTGGGCGGTGTTAATAATCTGGTTACTGGTCTTCTGCAAGGTATTGTCAAGACATAATGTGTTTTGTATTAGTTTAATTGTTAGTTGTTTTAAATAAAATATATAAATTACACAAAAATTGTTGTTTTCTATGCAAAACTATTCACGCATCTCCATAAAAAGATGTCTAATGGTGTAAGATCAGGTGATCTTACTAGCTATTCTATCAATCTTCTATATATTTTACGTTGATTTTTGCTTTAAACTTGAAAAAATTTTTGGATAGAGAATGAAGAAACCTTTCAAACAATATATCACAAGCCCGTACTTTCCCTTTAAAAAAATAGAAATTTAGACATTTGCATTTATCCCACTTCTGATTTTAAAAATGGAATAATATGCATTTTATTCGATCGCAATAAATTACAATTTCGAAGATGATTGTAAATTGGTATTAAGGTAGGAGAAAGCTGCTGATGAAGTTGCCGAATTCGGCTACCATGGAGAATTCCTCGCCGCCGGTTTCGCGGGCTTCCTTGATGTCCAAATACAATCCGTACAAGCCGTAGATGATTTTTTGAAGAAGAAGAGGAAGCATGTCGAAAATATCGCGCAGGATCTTTTCCGTTACTTCGTCCGGACCTAAAATAAAATTATAGATTAAATTGAATGAAATCGTATATAATTTCGTTGGACTTACTCGAGATATTTGGTTCATTTTTAGGGGCTTCTTCGGCGCTGCACGAGAAAATAACTGCAAAATAAGTTAATTAGAAAGTAAAAAACTACACCGACATTTCTCAAATTCAACTTCTACCAATTACCGGCTCCTTCTTTTATCTATTTTCCTCGAACTTCTGTACAATGGAGTGAAAAATTCTTTTATTTTTCATATTCATTCAATATTTAAACTAGGTTAAAGATACGGGAATAAATTCTTACCAACAGCGAGGACCGCAAAAAATATAACAAACTTCATGTTGACTTATTACAGTTATTATACATTAATGAATGTTACTTTTATATATTGCATCGACAATTGGTTTATTTATTTGAATATTATCGCTATTTTCGAGCTTAACATCCAAATTAGCTGATAAATGTAACATAATTAGCAATAATTTACTTTTGTTTCACACGGTATTCAACAGCAAATTCATTTGCCATTAACATTTTCCACACCTATAAATTGTTATTTCGCGTATTTTAGTTAAATGTAATGTTTCCTAAACCTAATTAATATGCACTTTGAATTTCATATTTATGAATATACGAATATACTTGGTTAACTAGCATATTTCACGCAAATGTACTATCTATTCAGATTCGTTATCGAAAATTTGAAAACCAAATTACCATGTACCAAAAAGGTGTTCTATAAATATATTTAACCGAATTGCGATCGCAAGTTTAGTACAAAAATTTTCAATCATGCACGCGACAGTGTTCCTATTAATTCTAGCAGCCGGTAAGATCAATTTAATTGAATAAAAATAAATGAAAAATGTAAATTTTTCGGAATATTTCAGCCGCTGTATGCTGCACAGCAACAGAGCAGGGCAGCTGCCCTTTCAAGGAGAACAAACCCAAGGATATTAAAAACCAGGAAGCTCCAAGCGGCAGTTGCGACGGCAACTCGAAGCCTGCATCTTCGAATAAACCGAGTAAATATATCCAGGATTTTTATTGATATACACGAGTAGAACGTTTAACTTTTCAGGTATCGCGCAAAAGTTCAAAAACTACTTGAAGCCGCTGTTGGATTTCCTACCGGCGATGATTGCCAATATCATATCGTACGCAATTGATATCTTGGCAAAAATTAGAGAAGTGGCTCTACTTTATACAACGTTTTTAACTCCATCGAAACCGGTTTCGAAGCTCTTCGATCAATACGTTAATGAGTTAGTAGGAAAAGGGCCGTCCTGTTGAAATTGTTTAGGTTTTCCATGTCCAGATGTGCGCCTAAATTACTGCATGTTTTCATGAAAATGGTTTGTGTTTGTCTTGAATAAATGTTTTTTTTTATATTCATTTTTATTAAACTATCAAATACATAGATAAATAATTGTGTAATTTAAAAATCTTGTGTATTATTTTTCCTTGTATTTACTCTCCTGTTCCTTCAAAACATTTCTGATACTCCATTCGCAAAATAATCGAAATTATTACCGGTCTGGTGTATTTCATTTGAACTATAATGTATACAAAATGTAGTTTATATGAAAATACATAGCTCGAAATAAAAAAAATGCAATTTATGCGAGGTATTTATTCCGGGTATGTGAAGCCCACATACTACAAAAATTGCATTTTTCGTTCGGAAACTAATTACTTCAATTCCTAATAAAGGACGAAAATTAATAACGGAATCAGCGCCTGCGATTTTTTAAATTTTTTTTCCTTTTTTTTCAGTTTTCAGTCAAGTTTCCGTTCGCAATACAAAATTCATTATATTTAGGGAAATTACTACAAGAAAGCTTGTATACAGCACGCGCTATTAAACTGAAAAACATATTTTTCAACAAAAATCAGGAATTGGGGAATCCCGTCTTATTAATACCTAACTATATAACAAAAATAACAAATTAATATTTTAATGATATTATAAAAAATTCACCTTAAAAATATTTATTGAAACAACGTAACCAATTTGTATTTTCATTACATTTTCATTATTAATAAGCGCCTTTCAGTTTTCATTGTTTGGTTCTAAATATTGCTCTATTCTCTAAAGTATTCTAGTGGAAAAGTGGGTTTCCATGTAAAACACGAGTTTTCAATTGGTGCTGGCAAGAACAATTTAAATTTTAGACATATATCAGAGTAGCATAGAAATGCATTATTCAACGAGTTTATGAAACTCAATAGGTAATCACTTCATCATCACAATTTTATTAAATCTTCTACAGCAATTTTTTTTGTAGAATAAAACTTTTGATTGATGAATGGCAATTAATTAGAGGCACCTAATTTACCTAATTACTTGTCGAACAACTTGTCCAATATTCAATCCATTTCTTAACGAGTCCCTAATTAAAACACGGGGAATTATTACACTTACAAAGTAACTAACAAAGTTAATTATACAAGTAGATATTTATCAGTTTACAAATTCAACTAAAACCCGTTGAAATACCAAATAGTAGCACGCAATTTATTTGTAAACCATACACTATATTTAAATCATTTAAATTACCCGAGGCTATTGCAAACGCATTCAAGCAGTTCAATAGTTGAAGTGCAACAAGAGGATATAAATTATGAATAAACCGTCCGGTGTATAAAATTAAATATATGTATATTGCACGTTTAACCGGCAAATACGGCTTAATTCGATTGATTTTCAGAACATCAACGGTTATATAATCGGATGGAGAAGAAAACTTCATTAGCACTCTCGTCGCGATTGTTATCCAGAACAATCAAACATTTGCGCAGTGGAAAAACTCGCATTTACCGCGCAATTAGTCAGTCAGCGTAAATCTAGGGGATTTTTCGATAACATTGATAATGGCTTTGTGCAATAGTGGAATATCTAGTAAACATCCACTAACACATCCGCGAAGCTGTTTTTTAAAACGCCTCCGGGGCCAGATGGAAGCGCGATAAATAAAGCGATGCAGGAAACATTTTCGCGCCATTTAACTGCATATCATTCGCTTGGGAAGTATTCGCCAACCTTCACCTTGACACGTGAGGAAGAATAGGGCCGTTATTATCAAATCGCCTCGCAGGCGAACGTTCTCCTGTGGCTTCGTCGATGATTTGTACGTGCTTGCTTTCGACTCGTTGTCGAACAGAAAAAAGTTCGAATTGTGTAGTAAAGGTACCGAGGTTTATTCATCAGCTGAGTCACGTTTCCCGACACGCATTCTGCCGGTAGGAGGAATTTTATTGCTGCTCTATTTCGTATCTACTGGCCGCGTTGCATCCGACAAATGTGCCTAATGAGAATCGGAGATATTCGGTCGAGCATCGAATTCGAATCAATTATAGTCGGTGCAAAACAAATATCAATGCACGTCAATACTGTCGTCGTACTTGACAAGCATTGTGACCAACTTTTGAAAATAAATACACGAAATAGTTTAATATCTGCAGAACTTAATTTAATATTAACAAGGGATGATAGAAAATGTTAAAAAGAATTACATCGTTCAAAATAATATATTGTCAAAATTCAACGTTTGTATAAAAAATTATTATTTTATAGTTGGTAGGCACTGACTGTCAAGTTACATAGTTGCCGTTGTCACCCGATCGGTACTTTTAATTTTCAATTCTTCTTCTTTTTTTGTAGTTTACTAGCCTCAACTACTAAAGGCTATTCAGTCGAATAATTACCCGTGTTGTAACAAATACTCACTTGGAGGACTTGTCACGTGGTAATTCATAAATTACAAACTAAATTGATCTGCAACCGTCATTTAAATACAACCATTTTCTGGTGAAATAATATTTAATCATCCGCAATTAATTTGCGATAAGCGCCGGTTTAAATGTTACATCCACATTCCATAACTAAACCAATTTAATTACATGCATATTATCATACGTTTATGCATTCAACACACACAAAAAGCCATATTTAGTTTGGAACTCTACGTTAAACCTCAAAGTTCACTAATTATTCATTATTCATTATGCTTTTGTTGTAAAGACACATGTGCTTCACATCCTAATTAATAATATACGTCACAACGTACGAGTATTACATTTAAAAAAAATCCCCAACAAACTTCTCATTGAATTATTTTTGTGTTCCTTGTTTCAGAAACAATGAGCGCAAACGACACCACAGAGACATCTACAATCGAAGGTGAGAAACGTTTTTAGCACATAATATTGGCAGCACTGATTATTTTTTATATACGTCTAATGACATTTACGGCCAACTATTCAAAAGAAGCGTTGTTAGTACCAACCACGGTCTTACATACAGGTCTGGAAACTCTGCCCAAACTGATAACTGATACTAGCGCCCTCTGTCGAGTCACATCATCCCCTCTACTGGAGTTTCCTGACCTGTTATAAACAACCGCGGTTGATATCGCGTTGCAACAAAAGAATGCACACGATAATAAAAAAAACCGCGTCACGTTGACATCCTCGAAATCTTCCGTCCGGCTAAATCAGCCCCGTTCGTCGTTCATTTTGTGTCCGTCCAAAATTCGAAGTACCTACCCCCCGTTAGAAGAATGTCCAGCAATTCGATTCGAGATCTCGCCAAATCGGTCATCATGTTACTTCGCAAGGTCCGGAACCCCCACGGGATGACGTTGAACAACATCCATCAGTACATACGCGCCGCATATCCTCACAAGTCCCCCAATTTGGTAACGTTGACCAACGTGTTGGAGAAAATATCGGCCGTGGGAGCGGTTGAGAAGAAATACAACAGGTATATTGTACACCTTGCTCCATTTCCGATTGCAAAGAAAGGTTATTAAAATGACAGTTGTCAGAGTGAAAAGTTGTAATGACACAATGTCACTTTTTCTTTTTCCTTTGTAAATGTCTAATGGAAGTTTTCTTTATCGCACCCATGGCATATATAGCCTATATTGCAATCAAAAATGGAGTAACCTGTATATTCGGAGTGTTAAAAAGCAAATGGCGGACCTCGTGTTGGCAACACTTCTAAGTAGCGACTTGGACATTGTTTCATTATTGTTTTTTAGGTATGTTTTAGGTAATATGATAAAGAAAAGCGTAACAGCTAAAGAAATTTCCCATGGTAAAGTGAAGAGAGCGATTCGCCAAGTCAAAGGAAGAGGAAGTAGAAGACGCCGGAGCAGGAGTAGGAGCAGAAGAAGAAAACCGAGAAGATCGAGATCGAGAAGGCGTTAGAAAATAGATACTTTTGTAAATAGTTTCCATTAGTGCCGTATTTTTTTAATAAAGTATTATGTCCTTGCATTGTATTTTTCTGTGATTCACTAACTTATAAAATCACTGCTGCCAATATTTCTGATGCCATGTTCTCTAAAGTACTATTTTTAGATACATTAAAACAACAGCAATCACAAGTTGTATTATATTATCTCAAATCCCATATAGTTAATTAAACTTGGCAAAAGTTTCACAAGAGTTTCGCTTCTATAATATTCTCTCAAACATTTCAATTGCAGGATGGTGCCCGCGCAATTGCGACAAGTACCTGTGCTGGCCCAGCACCCCGCCTGGTACCAATCACACGCAGCTCTGTCCCGCTGGAGAGGGCATCGTCAAAGGAGGTACCGAAACCGAATCCCTTCGAATCATCGTAGTAGGTACTCATCGAATCATTGTTGCAGGTACTGCTTACAGATATTGCTCGGACGGTGGTACGTGGGAGACGAGGAACATGTCGAATTCCACGTACACCCACTACGAAAATTGCCTGCTGCCGCAGTTGCAGGAATTGCTGCAAATGTGCGACGAATTCGGCGAAACCACTTGCATAGAGGTGGGTTTTTTTTGGTTGTCTTCGAACGGTCAATCAGCCACTCAGAAGATAGAGAAGCGAAACAAACTGTCGTTTCTGAGATTCACTGAGAAAACTGGTATTTAAAATTTAAAGTGGTATTTAAAACGGTACCATTTAAAACCCCGTCGTTTCGCTTCTCTATTATATTCTCTGATTCAATTTTGCAACTATTCTGGTGTTTTATAGGTAGGGAGGATAACCAGGACCATCGAAATGATCGGTTTATCCCTCTCCTTAGTGTCCCTTATAATATCACTCTACATATTTTTCTCGTACAGGTAAGTGGAACTTACCATAAATATATGTATAACTAAAATTACTTTCTGCACACACCATATCAAAACGAAATTATTGCTCTGTTTGTCTTGGCGTTTTAGAGTTTTGAAGAATAATAGAACGAAAATACACAGGAATTTATTTATAGCGACGCTATTGCACGATATATTCAGGTTAGTGAAGTACATCGATCAGGAATTGGAGCCCGGAAAGAAGTTTCTAAACACGGTGAGCGGTTTCGGAAAATTCCACGACGCCCGATTAATAATTTGATAGTTATTCCAGGGGTACTTGCTGCAAATCAACATCGCTCTGTTGGAATACGCCAGGACGGCCTTGTTTTTGTGGATGTTCATCGAAGGCCTCTATTTACACAATATGATCACGGTGACCGTTTTCCAAGAGTATAATTACATCAAAATATATTGCTACGTGGGCTGGATACTACCCGGGGTGATGTCAGCCGTTTGGCTCATTACAATGCTAGTCGAAGACATGTAAGTGATATCCAAACTCTAATTAGTTTTGCCAACAAAACATTTTTTTCTTCATTCGAACTATCGACTGGTGCAAAAAACCTAATTATCTAAAATGGTTATAATTACATACCGTTCTTTTCAAGAGCACAAAAAACCAGAAAGGGAATACAAAAACCTCGGAAACAATGGCATTGTTTCCATCACGCAGCAGGCAAATTCTCCAACGCTTTTGCATAAAATCTTCATCAAGCCTTATTGAACCTAAAAAACCAACAGCGCGAAATTTGTCGTGCGAGACGAGCACCTAACTTTATCCACGACCGTTCGGCGTGTAATTCACTCCAACAGAGAATCGCTTAATAACCGAACTTACCTCTACCTGTACAGTCGACTAAGTTATTTAATTACGACGCCGAAAGTCGTCGAAACACTCGTCGAGTTTTCGACTTCTTCCTAACCCCGCGTTTTATTAAATAACTTTCGATGGCCTTTGTTCCAGGACATGGGAATATTATTACTTTTTGAACTACTACTGGATACTCGAAGGGCCCCGTGCAGCCGTCATTATCGTGAGTTGCATTCGTGCAGTCGAAATACAATTACTACCGTCCTTTCGTGTTGCAGATTAACCTCATGTTTCTGCTCAACATCATCAGGGTTTTGGTGGTGAAGTTGCGGGAGAGTCGCACCAGCGAAATCGAGCAAGTAAGGTGAGTATAACGTACCAATGTGTTTACAATTTATAATACAGTGGGAGTTGGTAACGATGAAAGTGCCTCGTACTGTTCGGTTTTTCAGGAAGGCGGTGCGCGCCGCGATTTTCCTGTTGCCGCTAATGGGAATATCACACATTCTGTTTTTCCATTACAAATTCAACGAAGCCTGGAAGTTCGCCGCCTGGATGTTCCTGTCCTATTTCTTGGGGACGTTTCAAGGATTTTTTGTAGCCGTATTGTACTGCTTCCTCAACGGAGAAGTAAGTTTCATTTTCTTATATATAGGGTGTTGATTAATTGCTTGTCGATACTTCAGGATGTGGATATTTGGGTGATACAGGGATTACATTATTCATAAGAGAATTGAATTTAATCTGGTACTTGCATCTAATCAAATAATCTGATACTCTCCACCCTGTATTTTTCAATAATCTACTAGTCTCCGAATATTGCTACTATTTTTTGGTACACCCTGTATGTAGTTAAGAAGCACCGATGCGCTTTTATTAAAACCTTCGCCTCCAAATTTCTAACAAACAGGTGAACGAAGAATAAAGAAAAAACCCAATAGCGCGTTGGAATTTTTTCTAATGGAAATTTTCAGAGCTTGCTCGATTTGTTCGACATTCCGAAATTTGACGCACGTCAAATCCCGCGGGTTTGTACAATTGCGTTTTGAAATGCACACTAATAACGTAACACGTCTGTTCCTGTCAGTTGTTGAAAGAACATTTATTAGGTAAAATATATTGCGAGGCAGGATAGCAAGGGATTTAGGTATTGTCCTTGAACGAAAATATATGCTAATGACGCATTTTCGAACTTTTCTGCACCGCTCTCGCGGCGAAATAATAGGAAATAACGATTGTGCGAAGGTAGATATGGGGGTGGAACATCGTCTGCATCGGACGTTATTATATTGCGCCGTTAGAAAATTTAATTTAATTTAATTTACCACGAACGCGTATAATTTCCTTGTCGTTGTATTATTTTCAGGTGCAAACAGCAATCAAAAACAGCTTCTATCTCAGAATGTCGCTGAGAAACAACGACTACGCGCCCTGCAGGAATTTCGCTCTGATTTCTTTGGGTCCCGAACACGGAGCTATACAAAAGTAAGTACAGACCGACGGGAATAGCGAAAGACGCACGCAAGATGCGCAATCGTAGTAGGTACAATCTCTTTCATCTATTTTTTTTTTGTTTTTAAAACTTATTTGTGTCCTGTACGTAGCGGGGAAACGGCCAAATGGATACTGTGCTGTAAATACAAGCGATCTTCGGTAGAGGAAACTGAGATCAAGTGAGTGATATTTTCATTTATATCGTCTGTAAGTGAAAGAATTATTTAGTAGACGGGAATATTGTAATTGAAGCAGAATCTTTGAATATTGGATTTTTTTTATTGCGTAGCTTACGGAGTTTGAACAGGAGAAGGGACACATCGACGATTATTACCGAATTGACCCTTTTAGGAACTAATCCTGTAAAAAGGTTGGTTTACTTAAATAATTATTGGTATCTAGGATTTTTATTTCACCAGCAAATAAATATACACTGTGATAATGCGGAATGTTCAGGAGAAACCTCTGGAAAATCCCACACTAAAACAGTCAATGTCAATGTCAAAAAAATTGTCATTGACAGGAAATACTGTGAATTAATTAAAGGTTATTTTTTTCAGTTCTTCCAGGGACAATTGGATGTCCAAAAACACCGTAGAAGAAACTGACATGTCGCTCATTCAAGCCCCTCTGAACGAAAAAGAACCCTCTTAAAAAAACTACTAATGGACCTATTGCCATATCATCGTAAAATTCTAAAACCGATCAAATTGGATTGGGAATTTTTAAAATTGATTAACGAGTATTTAATGTTTTGATACTAATGATAATATTATATATTTGTACGAGAATTTCCCGCACTTCTCTTTGTGATAATGCGCTAGTAAAGCAGCTTGGCACTTTGGATAACGGAACAAATTAGATATTTATATCGTGACATTTCTAAGAATTATGCTAAATATTGTTATTTATTGGCTTTATATTACAACGTATCTATTCGATGTATGTTATTATTAATTATTTTTCAATAGATATATGAAGATACTTAAATAGTTTATTTGTATTGCTTTATAAGCATTTAGAAGTCTTGTAAGTATTGTACCTTTGTGATGTTTATTTTTTAATAAAAATACTAAAAATGATTTTAAGTTACTTTATCACCAAGCAGGAATAATAATGTAGTTATATGTACCTATTGAGTGATTCATAAAAGAAAGAAGACACAAAAATGTATTGTTTTTATGACAAATTGTCAATGTTCAGTTATAAAATACAAATAGATGTCACTGTTTATGCGCTTCAATTTAAAACGTATAATGTGAGTATTAATGTAGTGTAAAAAATTCAATTAGTATTATGCATTATAACGAAATCGTTTGATTACAACCATCCAATCGCGAAGTATCATGTTGGCTGAGAACTAATTTTTAGGGCTCAAAAAGTCGACTCGAGATTTTTCGAATTTTTGGAATGTCCGGTGGATTTCGTTCACCGGACGATTTAAATTAAACTAAATAAAACACCCTGTATTTAACTAATACAAAAAAATCCCATCGGAGTAACTATGGATTATTATAAAAACGGGATCTTTAAGCACACTTACCTGGTAATTATTTGAGACAAAATCAACAGGAGTAAAGATTAAAGGAAAGCAAAAATTATGTTTTAATTACATTTATCTATTCCTCAGTTTAATACAATCTGGTTGTTGGTAAAAAGTATGTTAAAATCATAAGATAAAAAGCTGGGATTTACATCTACTATGTATATCTTTCCACCGATTTTAACTAAATTTCAATTAAAATTTTCTAAGTTGACCTCCACCATTTTTTCACCAAAACTAAATTTTCCATTTCCAACATTTTATAAACAACGATAAGCGAATTATACACCGAAAATAAATACTAACACGTTCGAAATCAAAACAAATTATACAGGCGTAATTAAAACACAACGAAATCAATTGCATCTATATAATTTATTTTGATCAGTTTACATCGATTAAAATTTAGTAGATATTAACATAGGTACATACATTTTTTTGAGGAATTTTCTCGTTTCATATTTGTTTTTACACAGCAAATAGATAGATTGATAGTCTATATTAAAAGCATCTTCGAGATGACTTTGCTCATTAACTACTAGATAACTATTAGGTATTATTAGAAGGAATAATTGATAAGGATATTTAAATATAATAATTGATCAACATAATATATTATCACAAATATAGGGAGGAATTAGAGATTAATATACCCGTTTTTTCAAACTAAAAAGCATCTACTATCTTGAAACTAGCAGGCTATTTTTTATATTTGACAGTTAATACTTTCTTATCACTGTAACAAGTGTCAGCTATCATCATGGCCTAAAATCTATGCAGTTAATGCAGTGCATCATACTAAATTAGGTGATATTGTGAATATATTTTATACTCCTATTGATAATTAGATATATTTAATAATATGGTGTTTATTTGTACAATTTACAAAGTTAATTATAGTGCTTAATTAAAATCAAATTGACGTTTCAAACAGTCTACATGTTCTTGGTCTACGTTTGTGAAAACTTTAAAAATGTCCAGCCTTCTTTTGCAAATGCGATATTAATATAAATTCGTACAAAATAGACCGCAAAACATCTCAAAAATGCTTTTCTCAATAAATACCTTCATCCTTTTATATGTATAATATTTTTATTCTAATAGATATCTTTATATAAATAAATAAATTCAATCTCTTCATCCGTATCACTTTCTATAATAGAACACAATTCAACTGACGATAGAATTTCGAATATAGCAATACAAAAAATAACTTAGTAAGTATAATACTCCATTACTGATATTACCACCACCGATTTCATCTACTTCTTCTCTTCATCTTCATTCGTCTTGGTCGCCGGCGTCTGAGCCGGCGTCGTATCGTCCTGGAACAGAGGATTCTTCACCTCCATTTCCCCCGTCTATAACACAGAACAACTTTCATTAGACAAGTGACAAGTGACAAGTGACAAGAGACACATCATCTTAGTAAAGTACTTACAGGAGCAAGTCCAGGACATTCGTACACAGTGTAATCTCCTTCTTCGTTTTCTTCATCGCTTTCCGCATCTGAAACGGACCCGTGTCCTTCGCCCGGAGGAGCCCTGGAAGAAGAAATATATTAAGGGCGCTTAAAGGGCGTTAGATTACGTTTTTTACTCACCTTTCCATGGCTATGACCTGTTGCTTCTGGTGCTGATAGTGGTACATTTGAGCCGATTGCGCCAGTCGACGGTCTCCCGTGGGAGAAACGTCCTTGTTTGGTCCTGTGACGCCGTAAGTGGGGTAATCCCCGTCCGACGGGTTCTTTACGTGCTTCTGTAAACTGCAAAAACGATTATAAATAGACCCTTTTCGTCGGGTAAAAATCGCGGTTTAAATTGCGCCGGAGAGCGATCGGGCCGAGTTCGACTCTGTCGCCCTACTACAAATAAACTTTAATCGATGGAATATGTAATTCGCGGGCCACTGATAGCAGGAAAATAAATACTGGCACCAGTGAGTCGAAAACAGTGTAAACCAGACGATCGTTTCGCCGGGATGTGCGACAAAAAGCAACAATTTAACAGAGACGGTAAGATTTTCGGCATTTGTGCAAATTTTATTCGTGACGTTTCGCTTGACTTTGAAAATTCAAAGGTTAATAAACTATCAGATAAAGCGGATATGGAATGGAGTTATCCGATGTCGTCTAACAGGTCCGGCTTTGGAATTTCTATTATACCAAATTTGAACGATATGAAAAAAAATGTAGATTTTTCAATACAAGTAATGGTATACTTAGGTACATTTTAATCAAATTTTAATTTGTGGAGAAAATATCTAATCTATTATACTGATACTTACAAGCATTATTAATAAAAAAAAACACTTCATTAAAGTTTTCGTGATAAAAATCAAAGTGTTTGTTACATAATTACATAATATGATAACAAATTTAATCAATATTCAAACAATCCATAACTCCCTTTTAACGTTCACCCCACTCAAATCCTTCAACGAAATTTAATCCCCAGAGCACCAGCATCTCAGATACAACCCATTGAGAGACGAATGGATTCTGGTGTCCCCGCACAGGAGCCTGCGCCCCTGGAGCGGCCAGGTCGAACCCGCCCCCACCGAAGACGTGCCCAAATTCGACCCTAACAACCCCCTGTGCCCCGGCGTCACCCGACCCAACGGCATGGTAAATCCCGATTACGAATCCACCTACGTCTTCACCAACGATTTCCCCGCGCTACTCGAGGAAGGCCCATCGCCGGAGCCTTCGGACGACCCTCTGTTTCAAATGCAAGCCGCCAAGGGCACGTGCAGGGTCATTTGCTACCATCCCCATTCGAACGTCTACTACACCAACCTCACCGACCAGCAGGTGGTCACCATCATCGACGAGTGGATCAACCAGCTGAAGGAGCTCGGCCAGAAATACAGATGGGTGCAGATATTCGAGAACCGAGGTATAATTATATCATTATACTTCATCCATCCAACCAATGGAGTAACCAAAACAAGGTTAGACGCTGGATCAGCGCGTGATCATTGGCCAGCGTAAGGAGGCTTTTTTTATTTTGCCCAATAGAAGCAAATGTGCATGGTGATCAGGCGTCTAACCTTGTTTTGGTTACTCCGTTGGTTGGATGGATGAAGTGTAGGTTACAGGAGGAATTTATTTTTTTGTATTTCAACAGGTCAAATGATGGGTTGCTCTAATCCCCATCCGCACTGTCAAATTTGGGCGTCGACGTTCCTGCCCAACGAGGCCAAAATCAAAGATGCCAACCTGAGGCGATTCTACGAAAAGTACAATAAACCGTTACTCATCGATTACGTCGAAAAAGAACTAGTTAAGAAGGAGAGAATCGTTTACGAGAACGAGTACTGGGTGGTGGTGGTTCCCTACTGGGCGGTGTGGCCCTTCGAAACGATGGTACTACCGAAAAAACAGATAGAACGATTCACCGACATGTGTTGCATAGGAAAGAAAACTCTAGCGACGACTTTGAAAGTTCTAGTAGCAAAATACGATAATATTTTCAAATGCAAGTTCCCGTACTCCATGGGCTGGCACGGCGCACCTACAGGCGAAGACCTCTGCACGCCCCAACCCCATTGGACCTTCCACGGGATATTCCTACCGCCTCTACTACGCTCCGCGACTGTCAAAAAATTCATGGTGGGCTACGAGCTGCTGGCGCAGTCCCAGCGGGATCTCACCCCCGAGAAGGCCGCCGACATACTGCGAAGCCAGCCGAACGAGCGGTTCGAGTAGAAATATATACTGTGTGAACTAAGAATTAAAAAATTATCGAGTAATTACTCTCTATCATTTCGCACTTACTTGTACCAACCGATTCCCACCGCTATCAAACCGACGGTGGCGGCGGCGCTGATGCCGGCCACAATGGCGATTATGTAGACGCCCGCCGTGTCTCCTTCGGCTAGACCGGGCTGGACGGGCACCACTTGGATGCCCCCGTCTCTCGAGGATTGCTCTTGGTAGAGCTTCTCGCCCAGGGATTGCTGCGGATCGCTGCGCGAGTTCACGAACAGCGGTTCCGTCTCCAAGTCCACGGTGCCGTACAACTTGGGGGTTGTTGTTAGAACCGGCGGGTTATCTGGAAGGTTTATTGTAGATTTTTTTTGTAGTGAAATAGAGGAGATTGTACCTGTTGTGGTGGTGGATGTTTCGGTTTTCCTGTAAAACCGCGGATCGGATGGTTTGTAAGCGAATTCCGATGGATCCGCGGCGACTTTGATGTCTTGGAAGCGAGTTGTAGTGAATTGGGGAGAGTTGTCGTCTTCATTTGAGTGAAGTTGATGTTTCATAGGCGTAGGAGGATCGTTAATTGTCCTTCCTCCCGAACCGTAATCACCTCCTGCCGTGGAATCATCGAAAATACTATCGATTCCTTCAACATCATCATCCTCATCGCCTTTAAAAACAACATATAACATCTAATTAAAATCGATAATAGCTACTAGTATTTACTTAATTCGTCGTCCGGGGGGTACATTCGAGCCTCATCGATCCTCGGTACGTTCAATTGGATCCTCGGCTGCCTGAGCTTGTCCAAATAGTACCGCAAAGCGGGCGAAGGCTCCTCGCGCTGGCGGCTCTTGTGCAATTGATTCAATTCCCAATCGATCACTTGCTTGTACTGTTGCAGTTTATCTAGACACACGAGAGATTGCCAAAACGTGTTTGATAATTTTGATGACAAATTACGCACTTTGTATGGTACTGAACCTGGGGCGAGTACCCCGAATTCGATCGTCCTCGTAGCCTTCTGGTGGGGCGTTCTCGTAGGGGTAGCGGATTTTCGTGTAGTAATCGGGTCGTTCGTAGTCCGATAAACCCGGTACATTTCTCGGTTTGTCGAAATCGAAGTTAAGCCCTAATAATAAATCGATTAATATACAGGGTATGGTTAGAAATAACGAGGTAAATTGAGGGTGTTTCAAAAGAAGAATGGTTGTTTACAGTGAGTATTGAAATATTTGCATTTTTTTTATATACTGTAAGTAAAGCTGAATAAGAAATATGTAATAGAAACGGAATAAATTAAAAAACTGATAAGGACTAAAATGGAGTATACCTAATTACGTGAGTAATAATAAAACGCAATATTTTTATGTTTTTACACCGCTATTTGTACTAAATTCACCGCAATATCCTGGTATTAATGAGAAAATTGTTTTGTTATGTTGTTGAATTATTCATTATCATTAAGGAATATAATATCTATAGTATATTAAATCTATTAATAATTCATTTTTAATATTTAATAAAGCTTGATGCAGCATCTATCCTGAGCAAGTTTGAAGAGTGTACTCAGAATACTGAACAATAATTTACAAAACATATTGTACCCAAACATGTCAACATTGTTTTCAACATGATACTCAAGTTTAAGAAGTAGCTACAATGAGTCGAAGTGAAGCAACTCTCGCGATGCAGTTTAATAAAGCGTTAAAGAAAAGTCGCCAGAAAAATTTTCGGCGGGCTTTTCCCCGCGAAAATCCCACTCCACTTGGATCGCGAAAAGCGAACGGCCCTTACCGGAATAAACGTCCAAATCGTTGCAGGCACACAAACTGCACGTGGCCACGATAACGGCGCTCGCGATGGCGAATTTCATGGCGGAAACGCGAAAGTCCCGGCGGCGCTTTTCCCCATATGTTTTCACGCCGCTGCCATATTGCTCCGATCGATCAATAGCGATGGCGGCGCGGCATTGGCCGGACGGGCGTCGACGTCACTCGGGGATCGCTGGAGCTTTTCCGGCTCCGTTCCCGTCGAGGAAAATTCATTGACTGAACGGTCTCGATTCTCGATTCTCGGCGTTGGTTCGCTCGGAAAACGCCGCTACTCTTCAGCTCGCACGGCTATCCAAACGGACACAATTTCACTAGTTTAAACCAACTGTATTCTTGACGAATTAGTTTATACTCTATTTCCAAAATAGTAGGCACTAAATTCTCGGAAATATTGTCGCTTTTCTTATTTATTACATAATCCTTGCTCTTCTAATTATTAGTCTCCTGCTGATTTTCCCGTCAAACACACTTGTAGCCTACGATATTTTCCTTACGCCACTGGGAGATACCCATTATCAATCATTTCTGAGAATTTAGTGCCTACTATTTTGGAATTAGTGTTATAGTACAAACATTTACATTCGAAAAATCGTGTAGAATTTCGCGTAGTAATTTTCTTGTAGTTTATAATTCTCGATATCGCGCGTAATAATCGGTCCTGCTTTGTTGTGAATTAGGCGCACAGTGCGCTAGCTCATGCGCCTATTTTCCACACAGCAGTTTTTTTTATCAGGAGCCCGTTTGATAAGAGTTTCCGCTCGAAATTTCCAGACTTACCTATTACAGTTGGAATTATTTTCGTGGTATTATATCTCTAGTGTTTTAATGCGGCGATTATTCAATTGCTCGAAACTAAATTTTACAATCCGTATCTGCTGTGGTGCTGTTAAGTGCTTGTAAATGCTTTAGAATTTTCGCTATGAGTTTGTTTTTATTGAAAATATCATTGTTAGCTGCACAAAATACAAGAATTCAATTTAGCTAGCTACTTGCTTAAACAAACAAAGGCCAATTTACGCAAACGTGGAAGAAAGAAGAACTATCTAAAAATCCCCAATACTTTCCTCAAGCGTAAACTCGTTTAATCCAAACAGATACATTTTATTTTGTAGATGAACATTTGTTTCGATTATAATAAACGACTAGATACATCAGAATAAACAGAAAACAGATGCTAACAAACCACTCGTCCACCCACATACCCGAAATTGAATTATTGATTCGTTAATTAAAGCTTGAATTTGCGCTGCTTGCCAATAGATTAGAAGTCATAAAACTTTTATAACATTTGATTATAACGGAAATTAATTAAAAAACTTAATGGTCACATCGTTAGTTCTGCCAAAATCGCCAATAACTTAGAAAATAAGCACATTGTGACAACACCGCAAGTTTCTAACAAAGCCTACTTAAGCGAATGCTTATTAACGAATTTCATGCACTTTATTGTTCTTTTTTCTCTTCAAGTGTCGAATATCTTTCATCTTTCTATTCTTGCGCTTCTTGCAACGATATATTATAATTTCCATCGCCAAAATCAGGAAACCCAGAACATATCCCAAGATCAAGAAAGCGAAAGCCCCTTCTAAATGGTAGAAAGTGAGCGGCTCGTCGGCCATGTCGATGCTGTTATCCAGGCTCTCCATCTTCTCGATCACCCGCCAGTATTTGCTCCTGATCTTCAACTGGATGCCGCCGTAGAGCATGTGTTGGATGATCTTGTTGATCTTCCCCAGCAACGGGTGGGACCTCCTCATGATCAACCCCACTCCGTTCACGCTGACGGGTTTCTTACTTTTCACGAATATCATCGATTTACCGTCCTCGGTTCTGGTGATGTTATCCAAAGCATCCACATATTTAGCGTATAATAGAGTGGAGATGGTCCAGTAGCGCCTCGTGTGAGCGACCCGCCTCAACCAGTACTCCAAGGTGTCGTTTTCCCCGTAACTAACCTGATAGTGGTCGTAGACGAATCGCGATGTCTCCGTTTCGGAGTCGTTGTAAAAGGACTTGTACTTGCTGTAACCGCCCACCTCGTAAACGGGGTTTCCGAAGGGGTCTATCAACTCGTGTAGACCGCTGGCCTGGTGCTCGGTCATCGGGTTCTTCATGTAGAACAACAAGGAGCTGGTGTACACCGAGTTGAGGATGATGCTCGCCACGCACAGGCCCAGGAAGAAGACGTTGTGAAGGTCGTTTCTAGGTAGATGCGAGACGGGTTGGTAGATTAAGATTTGGGTGGCTGTTAGTAAAGAATTACGAGGTGTTCCACCTTGTAGTTTGATGACTAGGTAAAATACGAACGCGAATAAGAGCACCATGCCCAAGCAAAGGGCCCAGACCTGCGGGGAGAACAAAGCGAAGAGTATCCTCCATTTGGGGATGTCCAGAGCTTTGGGTATCACCCACACGAGGGAGGCGTAGTGGTAACTCTGGCTGTAGGAGAATTCCTTGGAGTCCATCAACCCCACGACGATGTGGCCCACGCCTACGCTCGTTTTCTCGGCGACGTCCTTCACGAGGCCCGTCCAGGTGCCGTTTATTTTGCCTCCCCAGTTAGGAAGCGCGCTTTTGGGGTAGAACTCCACGTCGAACGTCACTTTCAGGTAGGAGCCGATGAGTTGGAGTACATCGATTTCGAAACCCTCCGTTTTCGAGAGGACGAACGGGACGAATTCTTTCGCTACCACTTTTACTATGCAGTTTTCCCTCACACGGACATCGTTGTAGTTCTTGGATGGTTTCAGCATCGTACCTAAAATGATCTTAACAATTCAGATTTCTTCTACTAAAATATCTTATCATTACTAGTACCATTAACGCATGTATCCACTACGGTAACTTTAGGATAAGTGCCGCATATTTTCCTCTTCTTCTTCTTACCATAATCGTAAACGAATTGGTACAATTCAAACGCATCGTCCAAATTTACCAGCACCGCAGCGTAGGGAAGGTAATTAATCTTCGTTACTCGCAAAATACCACCAGCTGTAATCGCATTTCCACCGGAGTTGCCCTCCACGTACACCAGGAAAAACGCCGTGGGGTTGAAAGAATCAGCTCTGCGCACCATAGCTAAAGCATCGGTGAAATTCCGATAATCGTCCAGAAAGAAGATGTAAAACTTCGCGTTGTACCGCGTCTGGCGCGTCTTCGAGTACCGGACATCCTCCATATTGAACATAGCGAACGTGATGAAAGGCAATCTCGCGGATATCCTCGCTATCAGCCGGTTTTCCAAGCAGGACTCCACGTTGCTGGTCAGAACCGGCACCAACGTGGTGCGGTTCGTGTCGTCCAACCCCATGGGCACCACCAGGTGGTCCACCAGGATGTTTTCCAGGCACGATATCGCGGCGTTTTGGTAGGACAAACCCTTGCAGAGGCGCTCGCAATTCGCGGAAATCGCGAAGAGAAAATGCAGCGGGAGAATTAGTTTCATCGCGGGTAACTGAGTGGAGTTAAAGTGTGTAATCACTGCTACACGCGAATCCGATGTGAAACATGGATAAGAGGGTTTAATGGGGTTGGGGATGATAAGAGAACACAGGAATCCTTTTAGGGTTTTTTTTATATATGCGAGTGTTTACAGGGTGTTATTAACAAGTAAATAAAAAAGAGGATTTTGTAAGAGGCTAGTTATGGGTGTTTGAAATGGAATAAATATAATTCATCATAATTTATTTATATATAAAAATCTATATAGACAATAACAATAATTAACATTAAATAAATATTTACTGATGGTCGATTTCTTAAAACTAAAAACAGTCTACAAATATGATTGATTAATCAATCTAATAAATATGTATTTTTATAACGGCAGTTTTACCCTAATTGTTTAAATTTTTGAACAAATTATTGCAGTAAAAATGCTTACAAGAAACTTCATTTCACTCGACCAAACTCCTGTTTTTCATGGGCCTCTCCCTTTCAAGGGCCCGTTCGTCCTTAATCCATATCATCGGTGGATTCCGCTTCGGTCAAAAACCTCGTCATCGACACCAATTTCCTGTGCACGTTCTTCTTCTTTCTCCTGTTCACGACCCCGTCGGGCTCGTCCATCATTCTCACTATCAACATCTGATCCGACGTATCCAGCGGAGCCACCGAAATGTCCCTGACCGCTCGGAATTTACCGCAATTGTTCAAATGCTCGTTCTCCAATCGGAAATAATTCCACACGAAACGCCTACGAAATATTATTAGAGTGTTTGTTTGTCTGTTTTGAAACATGATTTACCTAAATACTTCGAGAGGCGCTAGAAATGTGACCATTGAATGTTCTAAAGCGAACCCCATCTCCGTCATGGATATCAAAAACGCCCATCCGAATCTCAATATAAAATCCTCGATTATCGCGAAATAATAAAACCACTGAAAAACATTTCAAATGTATTATCGAGACGAACGATTTTTCTCTTTACCACAAACAACACTTGCAATATGTATGCTAATAGAGTCGCAAAGAAACTCATTTACCGTGGAAGAGTAGACGATCTCCTCTCGCAGGAATTTGTTATCTCCCGCTTTGGCGTCGAAGAGGCCCCAATCGAGTTTTATGTCCCATGTGTACGCGTAGCAGGAGCTTATCACCGACGAGCCGATCCACAAATAGAAAAACGGATTTTCGCCCGGCAGGAAGTGTTCTTGAACAAACATAATTCCATAAAAAAATGAAATTTTAGTGTACAAATGTAACGTATGTATCCCAAAAAACTTTAACCAATTTAGTCTCTTAGTTATAATGGCCTTGGTTATAATGGTTTTCAGCGCCTCTGTTTAACTTTAGAGTGACTTGCGTCTTTAACTTGACATATTTACATTGTTGTTATGGAGTAACTAGGGAGATTATTCCAAATTGACAGTTTTGATAGATTTACATTGTTGTTATGGGGTAACTAGGAGTAACTTACCATCGTAGGCTTTGTTCAAAAACGAAAATATAACGACGAAAAATGACGTTCCATATTTCACAGCATTAGCGATATGAGGGAATTTCTCTCTAGTATCCCTGTATCTTCTCAAACATTGAGCGAATCGAAACCACGGCGGCAGGCAGGCCACAATTGCTCTTAGAACAAGGAAATTCCCCACGCAATAATCAGCATCTACACACACACAAACACAACTAATACATGACCATTTCTCAAATAAAATAAACTACTACTAACCATCCCCAACCGACCAGTTGGTATTAGTGGAGTAGAAACACACGAAATACTGCATATCGGTAAACAGCGTGACCAAACTATTGAGCTGATCGGCCACCCAGAAATCCGCGAAGGAAACGTACACGAACGGCGCCATAAACACCTTACCCTGTATACAAACACAATAAAATCGCGAACCCAGCATATGCGCAAGTACTCACGATGACTCTCAACGCCCAAAACCTGGCCTCGTGCCGGAAAGTCTTGGTGGGATTCAGGACGAACACGAACATAACGACCAGAAGCACCAGGGGATTCACGTAGGCGGGCACGCCCAATTGGTCGCTGTAGAAGAACGTCAGCACGCTGATGGACCACAGGACGCCGAATACGGCGGCCATTTCGATGATGTGCTGCTCGGAGAGGTGATTTCTCGGATCCATTTCGAAGATCAGCACGTGATTCACCCCCGACGATCTCCAGCCGTATATATTTATGCCCCACAGAAAGAGGAACTCCACTATAAGTAACGGTCCTCTGTACAATCTCACCATGATTATCCAGTCGTCGCGTTCGAGGTGGAAAAACCCTGCAAACAACAGGAATTTCGTGATTTTCCGAAACACAACCACCTATACGGGACACCCTGTACGCCTTTTAGTATATATATTCACCTGTAAGCATCACCGATATAAGCAGGACAATAAACGCTCCGGAAAATAGACCTACTTTAAATGTCGTCCAGGGGCTCTGGTGCTCGCCGAGCGGCGGCACCCGCAGGCGTTTCATCGCCCTCTGCCGATCGCCGCCCTCCAATTCCTGCGTGAAGGCGGTCTCGGTCTCGTGGATGAGCCGGTCGATGTCCTTGTTCAGGTAGAAGAAGGACCCTTCGACTTGTTCGACGCGCCAGCGGGCGCCCAAATCCATGCTGAGCAACTGGGAATCGACCGATACTTGTGAAGGAGTTTTTATTCGATATCGTCTAGATTATCCCGGGGAAACCTTCTCACCTTATCGTGTTTCTTCAGTATCTTCCTGAAGCCGGTGAAATTTAGATTTTGGTAGTTTTGGAGCAGGATTAAACTGAGATAAAACTCGCTGAAGGCCAGTTTGATCTCCTGGAGTTTCCTGGCGGGGACGTTCTTCTTGCGCAACAAGTGCCTCCTGGTGGAGTTGCTCTTCTGGAAGGAGAACTCCTGCGTTTCGCTGAGTTCGCTCTTCAGGTTCGCGTATCGCCTGGTGGCCTCGGCGAGTTTCTCTGCGACAAATTTGTATAGGGTGAGTTGTAAAGAAAATAATAAATGGTGTATGAGTATCTACCCGAATAGAATGTGTTGATTTTTGTGAGCTCTTTGTCGCAGAAGGAGAAGAATTTTTCGTCGAATTTCGCGAAATATCTCGACAGAATTTCGGGCTCCACGACCTCCGCCGAGGGGGCCTGTTCCACAGCGGCGTACAGCATGGATTTCATTTCCTACAATAAAATATAAAACTAGTTCTAGTAGCATTATTAAAAAACATATGTAGAGTCAAATGGATCTAAAATCGACAAGTATACCTCGTAATTTATGTACTGTTTCCTCCATTCCGGAGTTATGTGAGCGGATAAATGTTCAGCGAACTTCATTCCGATGCTATTTTAATTTATCTTTCGTGCGATTTAATTAAAATACCCCTTCATTATTGCTGCTATATGTGACGAGCTTTCAAATCGACGTGCATCGCGACGTCTCGACGTCATCGACGTCGTCTCTCTCGACAAGAAGCAGTGTTGCCAACTCGAACTTTTCATTTTACGTAGTATGAAAGTTATTGGGCTGTTATTACACAAATTGTTGATAATATTTTGAACTGGTTGTTATTTTCTTTGAATATTTGTTGTATATACCCAAATTGTTGTGTTTTTTCGTTTTTTATAACTAATTTGAGTCACTATTTGACTTATGTAATAAAAGGCTTGACTTCTATTTTTTTTTTGTAACTGAAATTGACAGTTCTAAAAAAAGTAAAAATAAGGTTATGTTCGCGTAATCTATATTCTTAAAATACTCAACAAATCGACCATTCTAATCGAATACATGTTTAAATTAGCGAAAACGAGCACATTTCTAAAGTAGCTTCGTGCTAATGTCGCCCAAAAAACGATCAGAACGTTTCTATCGTTACTATTTGGCTTATATTATAAGAGGCTTGACATCTAAATTTTATTCATAACTGACATTGACAGTTCTAAAAAAAGTAGAAATGAGGTTATGTTCGCATAACCTATATTCTTAAAATACACAACAAATCGACCATTCTAATCGAAAACATGTTTAAATTAGCGAAAACTAGCATATTTCTAACGAAACTCCGCGCTAATGTCGCCCAAAAAACGATCAGAACGTTTCTATCGCAAGCGTACTATTGCCAAGAAGTGTGGGATCGCCGATTGAATTCCTCGATATTTCGCCAAATAAACCTCGAAGAGTTTTTCTACGAGATGGACCAGAGGCACAACAAAACGAGAGAATTAAGCGCAGTCGATGTGGATATATTCGCGAACGCGGTCACCGACGATAAGTACATAGACGAATTGCTGGATATCGTACACAAGCTAAGACTATCGGCCGACAGTTGCAACGCTTTGAATTCCACCGGACACGCCGTAATCAGAACTCTAATGAAACACACCACTCTCGAGAATCTAACGAACATCCTAGACGACAGGCTGAACTACGGAGTGTTCTTGGACTACTACACGGCGAATCTGTTGCTCGACACTTGCTGGAAGAAGAAGGATTTCACGTCGGGAGCGCGGATCGCCGGCCAGCTGATGCTCCAAGAGGAATTCGACCACCCCGTCAGCTACAATTTGGGCCTGTTGCATTGCTACAAGTATTTATTGAAGCCCGAAGGTTGGCCGGTGTACCCCACGCCCGAGGAACCCGAAGACGAGGTTAAAGTGAGAGTACGATTCGTTCGAAACCCCTACGATGATCAGCATTTCGATTTGAGGGATCCTAATAAGATTGTGGGCAAAACTCTGGCCATGTTTACTAATAATAAAGACGATCCGTTGAGTAAATCCTTCAATATACTCGGCAATACACTGTTCGATAAACTGGATAAAGTCGAATCGAGCGTTGAAGACTGCAAAAATAAAAACGTAAAACTTCACAAAGAAATCTTAGATTTAGTACCGAACGAAAGCGAAGCTAAAAAAATTCTTACAACAGCCGATATCGAACAATCAACGAACATAGAAGATGTATTAGAAAAAAATTGCAAAGATGCTGTTAATGCCACTTCGGAAAGGGACATAGCGGATCAATGCAAGCTGTTCGTCCAGTGGGAAGAGGACCGGCACGAGGCGTTGGAAGTTCAGAAGAAGAGACTGGATAAAATCAGGAGGCTCAAAGAGATCGAAGCCATACGGGAGAGTCTCAAAGAAAAGGAAACCCGATTGTGGTACTTCGATAACGAAGAGAACATCAAATTGGCACTCGAAGAGCACGAATTGTCCGTTCCACAAGAAGATTCGTCTGCGAAAGTCGACGCCGAGGACGTTTATGTACCACCTGAAGTGCACAAAAAACAAAAATACTAACTGTTGTTTTTTTTTTAATATTGTAATGATATTTTACAATTGGTTTTGTAAATTTTATGTATTATAGTGTATGGATTACTTTAATCCTCAATAACTAAAATTCCTTCCTCATCAATCGGTTTGTAGTGAGTCTTGATATAAATATTATCTAATTAAGCAAAATATACTTTGAAAGCAGTAGTAAAGACATTGGTAAAGTTGTATTTAAGGGAACATGTTCAGCCAATTTTTGATGGCTTGAACGTAGGTTTTCCTAGCCAGTATGATATAATTATTATCGGACACGTCCCAGTTCCTCATCTCGGCGTGATGGGGCCCATCGGCGACGTCGAGCGTCCAAATCGTCGAAGACACGTTCCCGTTAATACCGTAACACCCGTACGCGTCCATGTCCCCTCTGCCGAAGACGATGTTGGAATAATACTTCAAATTCCTGCCGCCGTAGAACAGCGTGATCCAATCCTCGTTCGGATTGGAAATGCCGAACCGGTTCTTGCACTCCATCGAGAAGTTCTTGTAGTTCCACGGCTTGTTGATGAACATGTCCGAATCGATGGAGCACTTGGGCATCACCAGCTCGGTGCATTGCTGGTAGTTGAACACGTAGTCGGACAATTCCTCGAACTCGTTGCACGCCGCCTTGCCCGAGTAGTTCGTGTACACCTGCAGGGCCTGCCCGAAGAACTCGATCAGGCCCCTGGTGTCGTTGAAGAACGACGTCGTCAGCTTGTCGCAGAACACCTTCAAAGGAAAGGCCGGCAACGATCTGAAATACTCCGTGGGATAATGGTAATTGCTCAGCGATAACCTTATGTAGATGTTGCTCAACCATTCCAGCAACCTTTCCACGTCGTCTGTGGAAGACAACCGCCTGCATAGCTTCCAAGTCGACGATATGAAATCCAAACCTACGATCGCAATGTTAGTCGAGAAATCGTATTGTATGCAACGGTAATAATTACCTAATTTACTTCTGGCCAAATTGATCACCACGTCCCATCCGAGCTTGATGGTTTTCACGCACTGCTCGCTGCCGAACTTCTCGTACGACTTGGTCACCACGTCGTAGAAGCACTCGCAGTTCTGCACCGACGATCCGAACGCCATCGGCGCCGACGACGCCACCGCCCCCAGGAACATGTACGGGAACTTCATGCGCAACCACGCCGCCAGCGCGCCGCTGTAGCCGCTCCCGAACGCCACGATCGGCGGCGTCTCCGTCGCGAAGGCGTTGTCGTACGTCGACTTCTTCAGCAAGTTCACCACCAGCATGACGTCGGCCAGCACCTCCCTCGTCGTCAGGTACCTACGAAATATGATTTAATACGGTGCAGTTGTGCGTGTAGAACTCACTTCAAGTTATCCAAGCTGAAGGACTCGTTGGTGAAGGGCAGCGATTGGCCGTAGTAGCGGTGCTCGATGAAGACGATCATGGCGTTGAATGTTTTGGAGATGTCGAAGATGAAGCCGGAGTTTTGGGCGTAGACGCTGATGTCGCCCTTGCCGCCGACGTAGACGAAGATGGGGCCGGTGCGTTCGAAGTTCTTGGCGTTGACCAAGTAGCGCAGCTTGAAGGTCTTCATCTGCGAGAGCCACTCGAAGTGGGTGACGGGGACCTCGGCGTACCTGGTGGAAAATCGTGCGGTTTTTATTGTGGAAAAAACGGTCACCTGGATCGAGTACCTTGTTTCTAAGGAGTAGCGTTGATCCGAATTGGCTTTGCTCCACAACATGGAGGAACAGATGAAACTGAAGTAGAAGAGTAGCCGCGCCATAATTCGACTCTTCTGATTGGATTGATCGGTTATTATAGCGCTTTTATAGCATTCGTGCTCCCTCTACAGCGCCGCGCGTCGCTGATTAAATGGCATTTTTTAGATAAACTGTTCTTATTCACCGGCGGGATTTTTTTCGCATATTCTCAATCATTGCAATTCTATTTCATTTATTCCAGCTGATAAAACGCATGTATAAGAAAATGCCGGCACCTTATTAATTATAATTAACGCAATATACAATATTAAGATATTTGCACGAAACAAAAAAAAACAATTTAATTTATTATATTTATCAAGAGCTGAACTATGCGATGATATTAAAAGTGATGTGGCCTTTTATCGCGTACGATCGTTCAGCAACGCTTAATTGATGAATCCAAAGAATTTCCGCTATAAAAATAAAAGATTAACTAGCGCAAAAATTCTCATCTATTAACAACAATACAATAAAAATTCGTTACACACAATTCGTATCCTAAAAAGCCGATAAATTACTATTAAAATTACAAAATCACTTTACAGAAATTCCCCTATCGACCGGACCCTTTCAGCCAACTCCTGACGGCCTCCACGTACATGTTCCTAGCGTTGACGATGTAATTGTTGTCCGAAACGTCGGGCGACCGCATCTCGACGTGATGGGGCCCGTCCAGAATCTCGAACGAGCGAATCGACGCGGAGGCGTTGCTGCTGAAGCTGTAGCAACTGTACGGATCCATCTCGCCGTTGACGAAGAGGACGTTCGAGCTGTGCTCCAGGTTCTCGCCGTACTCGCGCACCACCCGATCCCTCGTCGCGTCGCCGATGCCGAAGCGCTCGCCGCATTCCGCCGAGAACGTCCTGTAGCTCCAGTCCCTGTTGATGAACATGTCCGATTCCACCGAGCAGACGGGCATCACCAGCTCGGCGCACCGCTGGAACTTGAACGCGTACTCGGCGGCCGTCTCGAATTCGTTGCACACCACCTTCCTGGTGTAGTTGGTGTAAATCTGCAACGCCTCGCCGAAGTACTCGATCAGGCCTTTGGTGTCGTTGGCGAAGGACGTGGTCAGTTTGTTGCAGAAGAGTTTCACAGGATACGCTGGTAAAGGAACGAAGAAGTCCGTGGGGTAATGGTAGTTATTCACTGACAAATCCACGTAGACTTTGGTCAACCAGTCTAGTAACAAATTTATATCTTTGATGGACTTCAAATCTCTACACAGCTTCCATGTAGTAGAAAGAAAATCCAAACCTAAAATATTAACTGTTACCTTCGATACTTCGATTTATAGGGCGTCACATTGAAAAGAGAATACAGATTTTTAGAAAGTTGATTATTGGAAAACCTTCCATCAGACGACCAATGTTCCAGATTTAATTCTTAAAGATCGGGTAGCTGGGCATGAACATAAACATCTCTGTTTCAATGTGACGTCTAGTAGGTACTTAATGGTGTACCTAATTTGGTTTTGGACAAATTAATGACGACGTCCCAGCCGAGTTTGATGGTTCTAACGCACTGCTCGCCGCCGTAGCGCCTGAACCCCTCGGTGATCTTCTCGTAGAAGCAATCGCAGCTCTTCACCATCGTGGAGAAGGCCATGGGGGCGGATGAGGCAATCGCCCCGGTTATCAAAAAGGGGTACTTCACGCGCAACCAGGCGGCAAGTGTACCTCCGTAGCCGCCGCCGAACGCCACCACCTGCCTCTGCTCGCCCGTCGAAGACTTCCTCAAGTGGTTGATCACCAGCACGATGTCCGCCAGGACTTCTCTCGTCGAGAGGAACCTGGTGCGGAAATAATGTTAAATTCTACACCACTTTTGGTCTGTGGATATACCTCATGTTCTTCTTGGAGAGGGAGTCCGATTCGAAGGGAAACGAGCGGCCGTAGTACCGGTGCTCGATGAACACCACCGATGCTTTGAACGCCTTGGCGATTTCGAAGACGTAGCCGCTGTTGCGGGAGTAGACGGTGATGTCGCCCGAGCCGCCGATGTAGGCGAAAATGGGGCCGGAGTCGTCGATGCCCCTGGAGCCTACCATGTACCTCAATTTGAAGGTGTCGGTTTGGTAGCGCCAGTCGAAGTGAGTGACCGGTACGTCGATGTATCTTGGTGTGCGTGGATGGTTTTTAGTAAGAATGAATGGTATTAGATTGATGTAAAGATTACCTGGTTTCTAAAGCGTAGAATCGTTCTGATAGTACTAAGTTTATGGTGCAACAAACGACGCTCAATGGATAAAAACGCAGTAACATCGTTGATATTTGATCGACACTTTTGATACAAATACGACCGTGTTGTGGTGTATACGCTTTTTATACTTTTTGCTGAACTTCCTTATATTCATTTACCTGAATTTTCCTCATTTCCAAATCAACTCTCTTTTGGAATTGATTGAATTCTAGATGCTTGAATGCCGATTCACAGATATTTTCACACCAGTTTTGTCGCATTCTTCCGAATAACTACATAACGTATCTGATACCACGAAAAAATATATATCCTCGTTAGTAAAGGCAAATAAATGTTTTAATATTGTTTTTGAAAGATTTTTTTTTCATTCTTCTTTTTCTTCGACGTGTTTGTAGATCTAGGACCTGTCCTTTGGTATCAATTCTCTTGGGATATAGACTTCTAAGTTTTTAAAGGTCTTTTTAAAGGTTTAATAAATTATTTTGCCTGTATAATGTATATTATATTGGCTCATGAATTAGCACTGTTGATATATTTGTCAAATTTTATTATTTCCACATTAATTCCCCCCTCACATTATGTACATTCATAAAGTTATAGATAAAGAAGGTGAAGATGAAGACGAGGATGCGTATGAAGATGAGTGTGAGGATAAGTTTAAAGGTGAAGATGAAGGTGAGCATAAAGTTATAGATAAAGAAATTATCGTACTAATCTTCTTACCATCAATCAGTTATTATAAATCTACCTGTTTAATCAAAAATATTTTTCACGAGTTGATGGTAAATTAATAACCCAAATCCGTTTAGCAACGTTTCATCATTCAAAAATCCCTTTAGAAATGTTTTATTAATCAAAAATCAAACGAAAATCTTTATATTAACAATAGTACGATGAACAAAAGAGGAACATCATCAATCAACGAATTCAATTCAATTTAAGCCAGGTATTGATGGCCTGGACGTGGTGCCTTCTGGCCGTCAAAATGTAGTTGTTATCCGAGACGTCCGGGTTCCTCAGGTCGACGTGATGCGACCCATCGGCGATGTCGAAGGTCCAAACGGTCGACGAGGCGTTGTTGCGCATCCCGTAGCACGTGTACGGGTCCATTTCGCCGTGGCTGAAGACGATGTTCGAGGCGTACTTCATGTTCCTGCCGCCGTACGCCAGCGTGATCCAATCGGCCTTCACGCCGCTGATGCCGTACTTGGCGTGACACTCCAGCGCGAAGTTTTCGTACACCCACGGCTTGTTGATGAACATGTCCGTGTCGATCGAGCACTTGGGCATCACCAGCTCGGTGCACTCCTGGTACTTCAGCAGATAATCCGTCGGTTCCTCGAGGCTGTTGCACACCGATTTGCCCGAATAGTTGGTGTACACCTGCAACGCCTGCCCGAAGTACTCCACCAGGCCTTTGGTGTCGTTGAAGAACGACGAGGTCAGCTTGTCGCAGAAGACTTTCAACGGGTACGCCGGCAACGGCATGAAGAAATCGCTGGGGTAGTGGTAGTTGTTCAACGCCAGTTTCACGTAGATGTTGTTCAACCAGTTCAGCAACTTTTCCACGTCCTCGGCGCTCGACATTCGCTTGCACAGTTTCCAAGTCGACGATATGAAATCTAAACCTGCAAATCAACATCCATAAATACCATACACTCCTTTCATAATACCTCGACGGTTAGTACCTAATTTGCTCCTCGATAAATTCACGATGATCTCCCATCCCAGCTTAACGGTCTTGACGCACTGCTCCTGCCCGTACTTCTCGAACGTCCTGGTGACGACGTCGTTGAAACACTCGCAGTTGGTCACCGACGATGAGTAGATCATTGGCGCTGAGGAGGCGATCGCGCCCAGCACCAGAAACGGGTACTTCATGCGCAACCAGGCCGCCAGCGATCCGCTGTAGCCGCCGCCGAACGCTATCACTGGATGTCTGTCGAACGACACCAAATTCTCCAGGGCTTCTCTCTTCACCACGTCGATGGTCTGCACGAAATCGGCCAGTACTTCTGTAGTTGTCAGGTATCTGTAGGGCGTTCGTAACAGAGTACATGAGTTATTTTAAAGTACTTATTGCTTCAGACATTACTATTACATTACCACACATTACATGTTCTTAGGTCTGTGTTTGAGGGTAGGTTTGAAGTAAGTTTAAGGGTGAAGATAAGGATGAGTGTCAAGATGAAGATGAGGATAAGTTTGAGGATGATGATGTGAATGAATACAAAAGGATAGTTATAAGATGTGATGATAAAAGAGTTAACCTGAGATTGTCGATGACTAATGACTCGTTGCCGAAAGGTAGGGATTCCCCGTAGTAGCGGTGCTCGATGAAGGCGATTAGGGCGCCGAATTTGGCGGCAATTTCAAAGAGGAATCCGGTGTTTTGAGAGTAGACGTTGATGTCGCCCCTGCCGCCCAGGTATACGAATATCGGGCCGCCTCTGACGTGGTACTTGTTGTTCACCAGGTACCGCAATTTGAACGTTTCCATTTGCTTCTGCCATTCGTAATGCGTTACCGGCATGTCGGTGTAACTGATGGATTTAAAGAGGGGTTTATTGAAGGGTTGAATAGCTACTATCTAGGAGATTGTTTGTTCACTTACCGGGTTTCTAAGGAGTAGCGTTGCTGGGAATCGGCCACGTTAAAATATACAGCGAAAAACAGGGCGCTAAGATGAAATAGCGATTGTCCCATGATTGAGTTCGTGTGAATAAACATTCGCAGGCCCCCCGGGCGTCTTTTATAACTTATTTCTAATCGATGCGTATGCGTCGGTCGTTAGTAATAGTCGGATAATCTGAATTAATAACGAGTTAATAATAAATTCCTGAATTATCTTCATGGTGTTAATTTGTCCCGTTAAGTATTTAAATTGTTCTGAAAACATTCCGGGGCCTGACCATAAAAAATATTGCAAAATCACAATTCTTGAAATAAATTGGATGTTTCGCCGGCATCATCATTTCGTTTATTTTTTAAATGCTAATCAATAGAAAAAAAATAGATTAAAAGAAAAATAGATAATTTGATAATATTGTTTTTTCTGTGCTATTTTAATCATGGGCGTTCGCAGTCGAGGGTATTCAGTTCAACGAGAGGTGTTAAATAATAGAAAGTACGTCGATTTAATAAACTTTATTAGCTAAATGCAACATAATACTTGGTTATAAAAAAATGTTCATTATAAAAATAGATACATGTTATTATATCACATTTTTTTCTTTAATTTCATTTATCCTAATTGTAATTAACTATCAAAAATAAACCAGTATCAAGACGGTGCATAATAAAGTATAATGATAAATTAATGCTATAAAAAATGTTTTGCTTAAATAATAAATTGTAATAAAATGTGATGAGTATATTGAGGAAACTGTTGAAGATTTGTTAACTTATATTTAGAAAATCGGCGTATTTTTGTCATGCATTATAAAAAAACCACTAAAACGTGTTTATTATTATTGTCGTGATTGAAATATTACTGGTATAAAATACTACATATTTAGTAAGGTACTTCACTCGAATTGTTACATCAGCCTCACTACTGACCAGATTCGAGTCCGGTGGATTTTCGGAGGTACATCAATTCCCGTGAATCGCCCCGCATTATTTATTCTAATATTAAATATCAAATAAATAAATTTGTAATTATGACACAGCAAATGTTAATTTAAAAATTTTCCTAAACAATCGTATAAAAAATATAAACACTAAAAGTATACCCAAAGGCAGTAACTGTAGTCAGTGACGTCACCGAGTTTGGCGAATCACAATGCTCTGTTTTACGTCGATTTTATTAACAACCAATAAGAGCCCTCGCTGAGTAACGACGTCATTGACAAGAATTTCAACAGTTCGGTGTATAGATAGGTAATTTTTCGCGTATAGCCTATACATACAGGTATTATAGGTACATATTTATCTTAAATTATACATAATATAAACGTTAAATATCATTTTAACCGATTTCGTTTCGTTTTCACAACCAACAGATTTCAAAAAGCACAGCACAATTAAATCGCGTCAATTCCCGCAGACCAAATAGAAATCGCTCGGGCCATCAGCGCCGCTCGCGGAGTCCCGAAGAATCACGCGGCGACCTTCTCCTTCTGCTCCTGCTCGAACTTCTCCTGCCGAGGGCGCTCGGACTCCGGTCGGTGATCGTCGGCCGAGCAGAACTCCTCCGGCTCGTCGATTTTGAACGATCCCGTCCACTCGCTCTCGGGATCCGAGAATATCGGCTCCCTGTCCAGGATCTCGTCGATGTCGTATTGCGAAGCGCCTGCGAACAAGTACCATTCGAATTGATGTGGATAAACGTTAACAAACGATTTAATAACAATTTATATAATTTAATTATTAATAAATATTTCTTCCTTTCTCTCTTATTATTGCGCGTAAAACCCTAAACGTCAAAGCTGTCACTCTCTAGTGACTTCAGTTGTGCCAACTGTAAATATGGATTGAGTATGAATGCGCTAAAATACGGTTCAAAGTGTAGGCTTTTACGCGGGACAACTTGCATGCTATAAATTCGATAGAAAAAAAATAATAATAACTTGCCGTCGGCGCTATTGGAATCTTGTCCGTTCCAATCGGCGTCGATTTCATCCTGCCAATTGTCGTCGAATTCCAGATTTCGATTGGCCAATTTCTCGTGGGAAGTTTGCACTATCGGCGAATCACTGTTCGACACGTCGAATATTTCCGTCACTTTCACCTGCAATTTAACAACAAAATACTGATCACGGCCTTATATTTCTGAGGTCTGGAAAGAGCCTATGATTTTGCATTAGAGAATGTGCCCCGTTAAATGAAGACTTTTTCGATCGTTTATCTCAGCCAATCAGAGTCGGGCTACACATAAATCGCGGTTGTGAGATGACAGTTCAAGCTGTCAAAAGTGCCAAAATTTCAAAAATTATTTTTTTTACATTTCGAGGAGAAATAACCGAATATACGTGAGTTAAGAACAAAATCATAGCTGATTTAAGTATATTTTTATATTTTGTTTCTATTTTTCTAATTCTCTATAATAATTTTATGTTCGTAAGCAAAAAAAACCGTGATCCTTATGATCCTTTACAACATCGCCTCCTAGCGGCCGTTTTGGGAATCCTGTTTTATCTTCAAATAACGGGACACTTTTTCGACCTATGATTCCAGACCTTAGAAATATAGGGCCGTGATAAAAACACATATTTAAACGTTCCCGATAAGTGACGCCGGTTCGAATTAAATTTACATCGAGGTCAGTGGAATGGTCCGATTTAAAATCGAAAAAAAATCGTTTCGAATTAATTACCGTTTTTGTTTTCGCTCGATTATCTCCGAAATATTTGTACGTTTATCGGGGATTATTATTTCATCGGGACCGTCGGATATATTTTCGATTTTCGAGTTTATCTGCCCGTCGGTATTTGGGTCATCGCGATTAAATCACAATTAAAACGTTGCGATAGAGTTTGACCTTTCCGCAAACTCCGTCCCGACGAAAACAACACGACGTCACCGCTGACGTCAATAGGATAATCTACTAAATCGACCCAACGAGGTTCCGACTCTACTCTTTACCTCTCTACCCCTCTACTCTACCCTGCATTGAAACACCTTTTAAAACAACACCATGATGTCTCACGTGTAAATCCTCTTCGTGTCGAACTTAACCCTTAGAGAGTCAGTAAAGATATGTAAAGTAGTACAGACTGGAGAGGTACAAAGTAGAAAGGCTCAGAGATCGAGAGTAAAGAGTAAAAAGTAGAGAGTAGAGAGGTACAGAGTAGAGAGTAGAGAGGTACAGAGTAGAGAGAAGATATAGAGAATAAAGAGTAAAGATAGTAGAGAATTGAAAGGTACAGATCAAGGAGGTAGAGTGCAGAGATGTACAGAACAGAAGGGTTCAGAGATAGAGAGTAAAGAGTAGAATGTAGATAGTAGATACTCGAGAATAGAGAGTAGAGTGATAAAGAGGTAGAGTGTAGAGTGTAAATGGTAGAGTAATAATGGAAATTCCAGGGTAGGAAGAAAAATTCAGGAGCACCCAAACTATTGTAAACAACCCGCCCGCTGCATTACCTTGTTGTTTTCGTCCAAATAATAGTAGGCCATGATGGTGTCGTGTTGCGACGTGACTTGCAGTATGTGATCGAACGTGTCGTTGTCCAATGTATCTGTCCTGTTGACGGTGAAGCTGGGTTTTCTTTGTAGGATCTCCTTGGTTTTGAAGCGGCGCACGGGGCTTTGGGTTAGCGGTAAATCGCTGGAAATATAAAATAAAAAAATTGAATTTTTTAGTTGATTAACTGGTGCGTTATCGAGAGTGAAAGATTGGGGTTGATGAGGCGCTCACCTGTCTTCTAATTTCAACGTAAAGTTCAAGTTCATCTTGTTTTCGCTCTTCAAATCTTGGCAGGATTCCACATCGTATTTATCTATAGAAACAAAATAGAATTTAAAATAGCGTGTAACGCAACAAGCTTTTGTAATGATAGCTATTATTTAACCCTAATTGCATGAATTTGATGATGTTATTATTTCCACTAACTTTTACCGTATTCCGTGATGGCTAATTGGCAGGTGATTTTGGCGCTGAGCTGTTGTCTCTTCCTATTTATTTTGTTAAGTAGATAAGAGAGTTTGTCCATGAAAACTTTGCTCAGTTCCCAAACTCCGTTGCCCATTTGCGGAGCCGCTACCATAAATCTGCAAATAGTAAGAAAAACCTATTGATTCGGCAACGCTGTAACGAACCCGATTTGTTTCGATTTTGTTTTGTCATTTTATTCGTCATTTTAGGAGTATTTTTTATCAATTTGGCACGAGTTAAGAAGTTTTCCAAATTTTCCGATGCAAAAAAAAGTAAATAAAATAATTAATTCTATTCAAATGATATCTACAATAGTATGGCGTGTTATTATTTTTTTTAATGAGGAAATTATCAAACTCACGTTTTTATCGTTTTTATTTAATAATTTCTGCAACATTTTCTACGTGGGTACGATTGCAATCACGTAACGAAAACACAATTGCGTGTGTGCTCAATTATCGCGAATCGAAATTGAAAAAAAGAAATACATTCGTGAACGTAAATTAATCGTACGTAGAACCGTCGATAATGATTTTTTGAACTAACGTTTCCAAATATTTGTAACAATTCGCGTTTATCTCGCGGTTTGTTTGTTTTTCCTTCCTGCTATCGCTCGCATTCGTCCGAGTTTGTTGTATTTTAGGAGTGAAAAAAATATATTGTTGTTAATGAAGCGTTCTCACGAAAAGTTTCCTACCCGTTTTGCAATCCTATTATTATGATTATTTGTTTGATTAGGTGTTATGCGTATTATGCGTATAAATCTGGGGAATTTCTGGCAACACTGGAAAATATACTAAAAAATTACTATAATAGTCGGTAATGATGTTTGGAGGTATTTAGGATTGTTGTTTAATACAAAATACTTTTATTTTACCATGTTTTTACATAAAATGTAAATAAATAAATATATAATTATTCAAAATAATATGTTTTTTAATGAACAACTAGAATTTTTTACCATATTAACGACAGCTTTATAAAATTGTTTTTCGTTTCAAATCCACAATTACATTACAAGTAATAATGCGGGAGTAATTTAGTAACATTTTGGGTATTTTTAGGACAGAAAAGGTTGCGAGAAAAACGGAATTATTCGCAAACAACACGTGCCGGCGCGTTCGCGATAAACCGTGAAATGTGTATGTAGTGTATATGGATTAGATAAAACTGAATACGTCATTTGCGCATCGTCAATCACCCGATACGAATCGACCATTGAAAACTTACAACTAAAATACAGGGTATCATTTTTGTTATATTTTTTCCCGTCGAAACGATAACACTAACAAATGTTTTTTAGTACCTACTCGTGCGCGCGATAACAGCGTTATTTGCGTTATTATCTTCACCTACTGCGAAGAAATCCGTGACACGTTACGTAAATTTTATACCCAAAAGCGTATTGTACACAACATTCGACGAACGATTTATGTTTTATTATGTAAATGAATTATAATTAATCACCTTCGTGTACACAAATGTCGACTGCACGAGAAATACGGCGGGATTAAAACGGCATTACCCCGCAATCCTAACTCATACGATTTGCTTTCGTAAATCTCGCCTATGAAATTCACGAAATCGTACCTCGCCGAGTCCCTGTAAACGATTAAACTACCCCTGTTCGTAGAATACGTCCGAAATCTGAAAGAATCATCAACAACTCCGATTTTTTTTTTCAAGCAGACACACGGAACCCCTTCGATGCAAACAACACAAAAGCACTTACTTGGTGAACGTGGCGTACATCACATCAGCCGGCAAAGTGTACGGCAACGTAAGCACAGACAACAATTTCATCCCCCTGTGTTTGAACAACCAGTGCAACAGCCCGTGGTTCGCCTTATCTATGGCCTCCTGGAACTTGCTCAGCACCGACTCCGGCACGTTCGACACCAACGCCTCCTGCAACAACCCCTTCATCTCAGCACAAAACCGCCTCGAACAACCCGACTGCGAGCTTACCTGCCTGTGAAGCTTGCACTCCTTGCACTGCGGATCGTACTCCAGGTCCTCGTCGAGGGTCTCCGAAACGACGAAGGTCGATTGCACGGCCAAGCACCGCGTGCAGTTGATCAGATTGTTCCTGTGCAGGAACCTCAGGGCGTCGTCGAAGCCCTGCTTGCACATGTTCGACAGCACCTCCGGCCTGGGCGGGAACAGTATCCTCACGATCCTGTACATGTTGTGCTTCGACAGCTCGATGCTCGTGTTCGCTATGTTTATCTGATAAAATCCTCGTATAATTAGCTTCCAAGATTTATTTGAAGCAGCGTACTTACGTGGAATAATTGAGAGCTATCGTCTCTTGGACAAATGTCGCTTTCGCCGCAAAACGGGCTGACTGTGATGGTGTTTTCGTCCAGCGTCGGTAAATTATCGCTGTATCCGCCGTCCATGTAGCGGACGCCTTTGAATTTCGGCGGTATCAAACCGGAGAAAATCGGTATGAAAGCGGACGCCAGAAGGGCCTGGATGAGCTCTTCTCTCGAATCGAACTGCGACATCTGCAATTCCACGCAAATTATAACTCTTTCAACCGAAGACTCTGATGGCAAGAGGCCGATGTGGAGGAAGAAGAAGAAGATGCGAACTTACCACGACGTTTTTGCCGTCGTGCATCCGGGTGAGAGAGACGTGTAGCTTTCCGGTGCACCGGACGTGCGCGTCCTCGGGCAGGAACTTCTCGAGGTTCTCCAGGAGCAGCCGGTGGATGTTGAAGGAGGGCGAGAAGGCGCCGAGGGAGCGGCTGCGGGCTTCCGTGCATACGCGCAGCACGTCGCTGGTCATGTCGCCTGCAAGGAAATTTGCAATCTTGTAGCGTTAAAAAAATGTAATCTACCGGTTTATAGGCGATCGACTTTCCGTGTCGAATTTCGAGATTGTTAAATGTGGGTCAGTTTCACTCCCGTAATAAAAATCGATCTGCTCGTGGATTAATCGATTTTACTTCAGACACTTTCGCTAAATGCCCGCATAAGGATTAATTGCACTACTTTTCATTATAAATCGGCAAATCCTGCCGATTACTGGTTAGTATGTAGAGACACAACTAATTAAACTACCGGTGTAGTAATCTTAGCCAGAGCATACGTTGAAAAAATATTGACAGATAGAAATGTCAATGTTATAAAAATTCTAATGGATTAAAGATTAAAGTTTTTAAAAAGCTGATTTATTATTTAATCTAGAGGTAAATCATAAGTATTAGATTACAGTTTCTATTTAATTACTGCGTATTAAAAATGTAATACCAAAAGAGAAATTCGTTTGAATTGCATAATACACCTATACATTGAAATGGTGGTATTTTTCGTTCGAAAAATCACTTAAAATTTTCGTTGCATAACTCGGAGCATAAATTTCAACTTTTTACTCATCGACATTAAAATTAATAATTATTGTGCAATTTCAAATCGTCCGCTTCGGTACATAAAAGTCTCTCTTTATTTGACGATGTTTATTTATAGAAACTTTGCATTATCTCGATAAACTCGCATTATATAAAGGCAAAACAAATTCCTAGGGGACCGATTGACCACACGCGTTTATTCAATTTAAATCAAATTTATCGGGTAATTAATTTGTTAAATCTAGTAACTTTTGTACAATGCATCGATTTTGACATTTTATAAGTAAGTGTCAAAAGGACATATGAAAATAACGAAGGAAAAATCAAGGTTGTATCAATTTAACAAATTATTTTTTAATAAAAAATAAACTTTGTAATTATCCAGTCTATTGCATAGATTTCAGACATTGGACTTTTACCTTCCTTTGTTCAGGTCATTTTTTTAATTGATTGGATACAGGATAAATTTTATTGTAGGTGCTAAAAATAATTACTTAGCAACAAAGTACTATGACAAATTCAATAGATAATCAAGTGATAAATAATAAAATTTTAAGATAAGAGATTTAACTGGCCCCTAATTAATAGCGATTATTTGATACATTGTTTATTATCTACCGACTAAATCAATGAGATAATAAACATCTCCGTCACCCTGTAAAATGCAGTAAAAGTAAACTAGTTGAGACTTGTTTTATTTTTACTCTGGTGACCTCTCTTTGCATTTTTCGATGTCCTCATTCATCTGTGGATCAAACCCAGAACAACCACTTTGTGAAAGTTAAATATTTAACAAGTTAGATAAACAGAAATTCGTAGATAATACATTGTTTTTCGATTCGGTATCGACGGAAAATATTTTTCGGATGAGGCACCTAATACACACACATCTCTTTGTTTTAGTTGAAATAGAGTAAATCAATATTAGAAAAACGAATTGATAAATGAGTCATTATAAAAAAATATTCAAATTTGTGTTTGTTTTAATTGATATTGGTAAAGTTTAATGGGTAATAGTTAATTTCTCCAATTCGATGAAGATAAATCAATTCGATGCAGTTATTTATAAAAATATGATGGAAAAATTAGATAATCTATGTATACATATTTTTACGGATAATTAGAATAATTATAGTCGATTCATGTAAAAAACACATTTATTATAATTGACCTCTAATTACCTGTCTATTAATTTTTAATGATAAAACTATTAATTATTTCCGACTATTTTTTAGTAATATCACTTTTTATCAGTTCGATTAATTCAACAACTATAAAGTAATTTACTCATTAATACGTAAGTATTCAAAATATGTTAATACAAATCGATAAAATTCAAAAAAGCCATTATTAGTTTTTGAACCATATAAGGAAGTTTTTACATCGATGCCAGATTTTCGAAAATCTTCGATTCAATGAAATCGCCTCGTCATATTTAGGTATGTACGTGGAAATTCTCATCAACGGAAATGTGTAAAAAATATAAACAAATAATAAACAAACAGGTAGGTAAACGTATAATGTTTGTTTCGATTCCTTTTAATCATTCATCAATTAGAATGCTTCGGAAATAAATAATAGAGTCGTAAAAAAAAGGATTTAATAGAAAGTATGTAGATGATATTAAAAAAACCTACTGTACTAGATGTATCATCGTGTTTTGAAAACTAACAAAGCACGAACAACAGTAAACTTTAATAATATTATCGCAACCAACAATAGTCGATAATAAATCGAGCCGACGAGTTAGTTGGATAATTCGATCAGCTGATTCCAATAATATTTTCGTTTCGGAACTTGTTATCGTTCCATTAATAACAATCCCAACTAAATTCGCTCTATTAACCAGAGCCTTCAACAGGCTTCGCAAAGCTCTTTCCAAGCGCAAATTTCACCAGTCTCGACTTTCTAAAATCGGGCGCGCGAGTGCTACAGCGAAAGTCCGGCGAATTTTCCGGCCACTTACCAATGGGCAGATCGCAGATGAGGCAACAGGCGGCGATGGCGCCGGCGGACGCCCCCGATATTTTGTCCAGCAACAAATGGGGCGCGTATTTTCGAAAACAGCACGCCACACCGACGTGGTAGATGCCCAAGAAGCCGCAGCCGGCGAACGACAGATTCATTATAACTCCGAAAAATTCGCGACGAATAGAAAAATAATAACGCAACTCGATTCACGCAACTAATAGGTTCGTAATATGCGCGCTCGTTAGGTGCTTGACGATGTAATGTGTTTCGTACGATCGTCTCGATATAACTGAGTCGAGTGCGAGGAGCGGTTTATTATTTAAACGCAAAACTGGCCGGATTTTTGCGGCGTTGCCGCGGTACCGGTCGAAAAGTCCCGTTAATTTCGTTAGACGCGGTCCGTGTTTCATTGATAAGAACGGCGCTCGGTGCGGAAATTTCCGTCCAATAATACACATTTCGATGGGAATTTTTTTTTCTACCAGCGATAGTTTTAGTGTAGGTACTCCAAATCGGCCGAGTACCTACGTGTAGAAGAATATAGGTCACACGTTGACCTGATTTTACCTCAATAGATTTTTAGATAGGAGAATAATCTGTGTGTGGAATAAAACGGGCTCCAAAATGCCACAAAGAAATGACAATAAACAAAAGAAAATTACTTCGAAATTCATCATACTGCATTTTTTTAAAGAATAGGCGGATGCAATACTTTTAATGGCTATTTGATGTTACCTTTAAGTGCCTCTAAATAACCAAAACGTATCATCTTTTGTGCAATCATTTTTTAATATTAAAATTAAAAATAAGCTACAAAAAATATCCCATATCTCGTTAGAATCAACGTAAACAAAATTACAGCTGTTCGTAGATAAGATAAAAACCAACGAGTTATTTGGTGGAAGGTCATTAAAAAGCAGGTAGAAGCGTAGAAGGTATGGGCAGCCACACCACCTTTTTCGACCAATGCCGTTCGAGAGGAAATCGACGAACACTCGGTGTATTTATTTGGCTAAATTGCCTTGCGCTTCCTCGTTTTCATTTGGAGGACGCATTGTTCGTGGTAAATGCGGAATAGTTTCGTTTCGGGTACGCAGGCGACGTTGTCAAGTCTGCCTGGAGGTTTCGAGTTTAAGGGAAAATCCGCGTTTCTTTCGGATGTCGATTGTAATGAGTTTATTTTGGAAAATTGTTAATTTATCTTAAGTTTAGACTGCTCAATTATTAGTGGGAGTAATAAATATAAATTTTGATTAATAATTTGTGAAATTGTTCGTTTTTTCCATTTATTATCAATAAATTATTTATTTTTAGCGCATTCCTGACATATGTATTACCTCTCATTAACGATCAATAATTTTATCTAATATATTGCTACAAAATCGCAATTTTTTTCTAAAATTAAGCACGCTAATTAACAGAAACCAATTAATTGGTCAAATTAAAGGGGATATCTGCAAATTATTTAGCAACGCAAACTATCACAACAAAAACAAGAATTCTCTTCAAGTCGGTATATACAGGATGTCTATTCAATAGACCCTCATGTTGAATCAGAAACAAAAATTTTCCACACACAATAATGTCACCAAAGGAAAATATTCTGTACAAATTTTCATGAGAGTTAAGCCATTCTGGTCCAATATCAAAAAAATCCCTTTTGGATTATTAACTTTGAAAACACCATATTTGCAAGATGATTTAATCATTATCGACTCAGAAGTCTGCAGTAAAACCTTTTTTGCGACACCCCGTACATCTAATATAAATAATCTCTTCAAATTCACCTCAAACAACGTCAACCTAATAATGACTAACCTCTAAATTCGCCATTAAACTGTCACTTTCGACCAAATCCTTTTTTTTCAATCGCGAGAAAATTCCTATACAACATGGAAGAAACCAGCCCGGAAGCCCTGCAGGACCTCGCCCACCTCATCAGGATCCACAGCATCGAGTCGACGTCGGCCTCGAAATCCGGCCACCCGACGACCTGTTCGTCCTGCTGCGAAATCCTCAGCGTGCTCTTCTTCCGCGTGATGCGCTACAACAAAAACTGCCCCAAGGACCCGTCCAACGACCGCTTCGTCCTGTCCAAGGGCCACGCGGCGCCCGCCCTCTACGCCTGCTGGGTCGAACTGGGCGTCATCACCAAGGAGGAACTGCTGAAATTAAGGCATATAGACAGCGACCTGGAGGGCCACCCGACGCCCAGGCTCAAATTCATCGACGTCGGAACGGGCTCGTTGGGCCAAGGACTGGCCATCGCCTGCGGCATGGCCCACGTCGGTAAATACGTGGATCGCGCTAAATTCAGAGTGTACTGCGTGCTGGGAGACGGCGAATGCGCCGAAGGATCCGTCTGGGAGTCTGTCGCCTTCGCCGTGCAATACAACTTAAACAATCTCTGTGTAGTAATCGACGTGAATAGGTTGGGACAAACGGGCGAGACGATGTACGGGCATTGCTTGTACCAATACGAGAAACGCTTGGAGTCCTACGGGTTCAATTGCCTCTGCGTCGACGGTCACGACATCTGCGAGTTGATCGAAGCTTTCCAATGCGCCGAACAGACCAAAGACAGGCCCACCTGCATCATCGCAAAAACGTTCAAAGTGCGTTTAACGTTTAACCAGGTTTCATTAGTAGTAGAATCGATTTCGTTTGCAGGGCAAATACTTCGAAGGGATCGAAAACAAGCCGGGCTGGCACGGCAAACCGCTCGGAGACAAAACCAAGGAGATCGTCGCGTCGATCAAGTGCCGCATCAAAGCCTGCGGCAAGCCGGAATTCAACGTGCCGAAACCCTGCTCGACGGTGTGTCCGGTGGATCTCTGCAACATCAAACTCTGCCCGCCGCCCGATTACAAAAAAGGCGAAATGGTCGCCACCAGAACGGCTTACGGTACCGAACAAATATCCTCCTGCCATTTCTCCTTTAAGCGATCCATCTGGTTTTCAGGCACCGCCTTGGCCAAGCTAGGCAAATCGAACAACCGAGTCGTAGCCTTCGACGCGGACGTCAGCAACTCCACCTTCTCGGAGTACATCAAGAAAGACCTGCCCGACAATTTCGTCGAATGCTACATAGCCGAGCAAAACATGGTCGGCGTAGCCGTCGGAGCGGCCTGCAGAAACCGCGTCTGCGCCTTCGCCTCCACCTTCGCCGCCTTCCTCACCAGGGCCTTCGATCAAGTAAGAACCCAACCAAGCCGTCTCATCCTACACGGAACCTCGCGAACATTCCATACGATCTTTAAGTCTGTCGTTGTCTCTGGACCATCAGAGTTTGAGCGAGAGCGCGTCCCTACATTCTCTTCCATTTATTCAACATCTACAGATCCGCATGGCGGCGATATCGAAATCGAACATCAACCTGTGCGGCTCCCATTGCGGCATCTCCATCGGCCACGACGGGCCCAGCCAGATGGGGCTCGAGGACATCGCCATGTTCAGGACGATACCGGATTGCACGGTGTTCTATCCCAGCGACGCCGTCTCCGCCGAGAGGGCCGTGCAATTGGCGGCCAACACCAAAGGCGTCTGCTACATCAGGACCACCAGGTCGCCGACGGCGGTCATACATTGCAACACGATGGAGTTTCAGGTGAGTCGATCGATTTGTCCGGAGGCTCGGAATAAACTCGCTTGAGCAGGTGGGTAGGGCGGTGATTGTCCAGAAGTCCCCGTGCGACGTGGCTTTGGTCATCGCGGCGGGTATCACGATGGAGGAAACGATGGAGGCCAATAAGAAGCTGTGCTGCGACGGTATACGTACGAGAATCATGGATCTGTTTACCATCAAACCGATCGATAAGGAAGCCATCGTTTGCAACGCCAAAGAAGTAAGCGACTCGTTGGCGTAGAACGTCGATTATAAATGTTGGGTTGTTTCAGTGCGGTTGTAAGATATTGGTGATCGAAGATCATTACCCGGAAGGCGGGATGGGCGAGGCCGTGCTGGCCGCCGTGGCGGATCAGAAGGGTATTATTGTTAAAATCGCCGCCGTGGAAGGTCTGCCGAAATCGGGCGAAACGAAGGCTTTGCTCAAACGCTTCCGCATCGACTCGACCAGCATCTACGATCACGTAACAAAGCTTGTAAAAGGTTGTTGAGTAATTTAAATTAAATGACAAATGTACCGTTATGCTTGCTGTAATTGCACATTTAAAAAAAATAAAACCCTATTAAGTATCGTATCACCGTACAGTTACTTTTTCCTCCTTAACAATCGCATGAATCCTTCGCATTTTTAGGAGTTCTAACCTTAACGGTACCGTCGCTCATTCCGAAATAAGCCACGACCGCCATGTCGACGAACAATCCGGTTTCGAACAAACCGGGGATCTTCAACAGCTCCATGTTCACCTCTTCCCAATTGCTTTCGGGATTGAAATCCTTCCAATCTAATATGAAATTCCCTCCGTCCGTTATCACCGGCCCCGCTTTCATCTTGCCTATTCTAAGCTCCGCTTCGCCGCCCATGGTTTTTTCTATCTTCGTCTTCACCGTGTAATACGCCATCGGATCAACTTCTAACGGTATACCTGTCAAACAAATATCTTTCGTTATTATTAGGAACACATTTCTACAAGGTGGCTTGTACAAGAACTGACACAGGCCAATTTAATGCACCTCTAATAAAGCTCATTATTGTATCAAATTTAATACATGATACCCTATTCTACACTATACCCTACGAACCTTTCTTCCACTGTTGTCCCAATTTAACGGAATCCTTGGTATAATCGGCGATTATAACTAATTTCTTCGAGTTGTAAGCCACGATTTTTTCTTGTAGAAAGCAGGCGCCGCCGCCCTTGATGCAGGTGAGATTCTCGTCGACTTCGTCGGCTCCGTCGATGGTCACATCGATTTCAGGGTTGATTTCCAGATTGGTAAGAGGCAGTTGGCTTTGGATGATGAGCTGGCGGGCTTGAAAGGAGGTCGGGATGCATTTGATGTTTAAATGCTCGTTCCTGACGCGCTCCATCATCCTTTCGACTGAAAATGGAATGCGGTAAGATTTCGGTTGTTCGGCGAGTGTTGGTGAATTTATAAAAATGGAGCATTATTTAGGAATCGTTTAGGATTATAAATTCACCTTGGAAAGGTTGAATTACCAGCCAATACTGCCGTGGAGCCGCTTCCTACTCCTACAATAAGGTTGTCCTGTACGTGGTCATCGACGGCTTTGTATGCAGCCAATTTCTTCGCTTCTTGCAAGCCAGCCATTATAGACCTGCACGTAACACCAAACTGTCTGTATAAATGCACCAAATTATTGACCATTAACTAGAATAATCGGCGAACTTTTAAACCAGTAAATTGCTCAAGCCGGCCGAAGGAGATAAGGTTATCTTTTCGAAATCATAATAAAAACGTTCACGGTTGCCAACTGCTTGAAAATCATCTCGAAAAAGTACTAGAATTTGATGAAGTTCCGTGCAATTTGTGACAGGTATATCGTACTAGATCGGACCGACCGGCAACACTGGATAAAAAAGTGATACTTCATGTTTACGACTTTAAATGAATTGACAAAACAATACGATTTACTACTTGCTTACTATGCAATAATCGTTTCCGCTCTAAAAATACGTCGCACAAAAGAAATTTAATATAAATTATTTCCTAGATGTATGCAACACATTTTACATCTATCCAATTTTGACATGAAACAATAAGCAAATTAGTTTCCAAGAGCACCATTTGACAATTGACAGGTACATGTCATATTCAAAAAATATGGTAAGTATCAAACACAAAATATAAAATTGAAGCATTAATTCCCCTTTAATAATTTCCCCTTTAGCAAACGTCCAAGAAGAAGTCAGGACCGAGATTTCTACTCTCGCCCCAGCAGAAAAAAGACCTCAAGGAAGCTTTCGATCTATTCGATCTGGAAGGTGTTGGAAAAATCAACGCTAAAGATCTAAAAGTAGCCATCAGAGCGTTGGGATTCGAGCCCGGCAAGGAGGAAATACGGAAAATGGTAACAGAAATCGATAAAACCGGGTAAGTAATACTGGGGATCAATTTCCATTTTGTTCACTCACTCTCACTGAGTGACGTCTTTGAAAGGTCCTTGAATGAAGGACTTGATGAAGGACTCGTCCTTCTCAATGGATGCCTAATTACGTCTCCAGGAGCCATAACAGGGACTCCAAAAGATCAAATAGCACAGCCCCATGCAAAGGGGACTTCCCTTTAAACTTCACTATATTTCCCTGCTTCCTTACCACCATATACCAATCGTTGTATTCCTATTCTTCCATAAACGCAATGCTGCCATTTGCTTAGGTCCGAGAAAATCTCATTCGACGATTTCCTGCACTTGTTGGCCCTGAAGATGTCCGAAAAGGACTCGAAGGAAGACGTAATAAAGGCCTTCCGGCTGTTCGCCGACGATCCGGACGGCAAGATATCCTTCTGGAATTTAAAGAAGATATCCGAGGAGCTGGGCGAGGACATGACCGACGAACAAATCCAAGAGATGATCGAAGAAGCCGATAAGGATAGGGACGGCGAGGTCAGCCAGGACGAGTTCATGAGGATGATGACCAGATCGAATTCGGTGTAATTTTTGCCTGTATATGTATCGATAAATGACGCGGAAACGCCGACGAAGAGAAAGTTCCAGTAAATTCGTGTAATTTAGTCGGTTACAGTCGAATACCTGTAATAACATAACGATAATATCAATAATTTACGAGAAATTGCCGGTATTTTTTTGTGTAAAAATTCGTTTGCGGTTATGCAGCCGGAATTTCTGCACCGATTCCGTGATGCACGCTCAAACATACGAATAATTTACAATTTTGTACCACCCATGATATTTATAAAACTAGAAATGGTGGCGTTTCACACCGACATTCTCTATATTAAAATCCATCATAGCGGTACTAACTAATTTTAAAGGTTGCATTCCGACGCACTTTTCGTCCGAAACGATTTGGGTTAATAACGAAACGGTGCCTCTCTCGTACTTTCGTTCGCACCAGTAGGTTGCTTCCAAAACGTTTTCTACATCTACTATACCGTTAAACGTTACCACTACCGAGCTCGCTGGCGAGGCTCTCCGCTTATACACCAAGCAGAGAACCCGGCCCATTGTAATGGTAATAAGTAACTCGTAATCTCTCCGGCTCGACGACTCCGGGGAAATTTTCAGTTAGTCGAAGAGATGTAGCATAACGATCGAGATCGCAAGATGGATCGTTTTCGTTTTTATTAAATGGTAGTGTATAGTTGGTTTACGTTTATGTTGGGAATTGGTAGCTTCAAATAGCGCGATACAATCCGAATTGGTATTGGATCAATTGGTAGTTGTGGTGCAGCTCCAGTTTGGTGGTTTTCGAATCGGCTAGTTACCGAACGGAGATGCATAGAAGTGGAATATATCCGTCGAGTCGAGCCGAGAACTAGAACCAAATCAGGTCTACCCGTGTAACGCGACCTGCGTGCGAGAGCGGCGATTGGCCGCCGCGGTCACGTGCCAGCGACTACACGTTACACGTCCGCTATTCTACCACGGCAACTTGTTCGTCGGTGTTGTGCTTTTTTTTTGTTATTGTCACGGCATCTTGGTCTTCGGTTCGTTGTGTTTGTGTATGTGTGTGTGTGTACGAGCGCGCGCGTGTTGCCATAGCGAGCCGACCTCGACGCGTACGATACAAATAAATAGAGAGCACGGGGGCCCGGATGCACCGGAGCGCCGGAGAAGGAACGACCAACGGCGACGGGGCTGAAGGTGGCGGAATCGGAGTCGGTTTTCGGTGTCGGATAGTGGCGAATGGTGCGTGTGGTGTGCAAGATGGAAGAGATCGCGTTCAGCGATTGGCCGGGGCAACCTGTGGATTTGAATTCGGGGAACAACCCGTGGTTGCCGGCGTACGGGTTCGCGGCGCCCTCGGTGTTGCTGGAGCGCGACGATTTCAACGGGAATCCAGGTGGGTGAAAGTTTCTCTTTCGTTCTCGACGCGGTGGCTTTTTTTTTCTCTTCTCTCTAGTTCTGCTGGTGGAATCGTGACGGCTGATGCGAGAGAACCGCGATTTGTCTTTCGCAAGGAATCGTTTACGTAAGACGAGGAAAACGTAGAAAAAACTAACTTTATTTGTCGCCTTTCTATTCGAACAAACAATCGCTATTAATCGGGTAGTTTAATCCAATTAAATTTATAATACCTTATTAATTAGATAAACCAATATTAAGCGATAAGTAAAACGCTTTGTACGCATTTGTATACGTGTACACAATATTTAATTATCACACTATATTGAGATAATATAAAAAAACCAATTAAATTTTTATAAAATAACTGTTATAAAACAATTTTAAATGCACACTAATTTATTTTCGAATGAAACATGCATTTGAGACGATCGATTGAAAAATTAACACTTTGAAAAAAATAAACTCTATCGTAAAATATTTTTATTATTTCAATCGTTAAGAATTCCGCTATCTTATCTGAGCGAATCGAATGGCGCATTTGTTAGAAATTATGCGATTAATTAAAATGGTTCGGATGAAAACTCGAAAACTACAATTGAATCGCTTAGTAGAGTTAATCTTCGTATACAGAGAGAGCCAAATAATCGCAGAAATTTAATGCGCCTCTAATAGGAGAGAAAGTAATAATTGTAATAACATTTTTCTATTTCATCCAATAATAGAATTTTCACGGGTTTTAGTAATATTAAAAACTTTCAATTCCAAACCTATTGAGCACATTTACGCTTTTATTATTCTACGGTATTTAAGAATGAACTGTACAAAACAACAAATCAAAAATAATTGTTTATGTGAATTAAAAGCGGCTGAATATACATGAATACAAGAAGTTATGCTACGAGTTATGCATACAAAAATGTTCCGACTCTTTTTTCCCATACTTGTCCAGAATATCAAAAGGAAAACAAATGGGCGATTGTCAGTCAAATTAGATAATTAATCACATTTTTTTACACGTTTGTTTCTAATGCAGGTGATGTAAGCATAATGAATACAAATGATTCACCGGTTTCCTGAAACTGTGTATTGGAAACATGCAAGATGGAATTCTTTGGAATCCATTAACGACCTAGCGTTAGTATTTAAGTTAATCGGTAAATGATGGATATTTACTTACACCCGCAGACAAAATAAACACTTAAAAATAGGTAAAGTTCGAAATTACCTAGCCTCAGCTATCGAAACTATCCGGGGATTTACATGTAATTAAAAGGTTAACAACTTCTGTTTTTTTTAATCACCGGCCTTTTACTTTTAAGTTCCTTAAGTACCTAAACTCATTTTATATTTAGCGACAGAAACGTCTAATTAAGCAATCAAACGCTAAACGAGTCCTTGCCGTGCAAACAACAATATGTTTTATACACAATCATTTTAATTAAAATCATTATTCAACATAAACAACAAAAGAAACGATTTTCTTTTTTTTCTAACGCAAAATATTCCCCGTCGAAATCTTTCCCACGTAATTAATTCCAAGTTAATTAGACATGAAAAAAGGCCGAGATTCGTTCAGATTTCACCGGCTCGGATTGAGAAACAAAATGCATCGCGAAATTGTTAAATAAATTATTCGAAGCGAGCGATATTCGAGCCGGACAAAAGATAGAGGAGTTTCAAAATTAGTTGTTAGTTTAGGTGAGAATAAGGTGTATATAAAAATAATAAGACTTGAACGTTGCGCTTATTGTGTTAGTTTCGTATCGAATATAGTTCATAATAAGCGCTTTACCACAATAATTCCCAATAGGAAAGTCAAGGCAGTCTAGTCGTGACGGTAATAATTCGTTAACAGATAACAATGAGACATTCACTTGGAATAACTCGCCTCGTTCAGTTCGTATTTCTCGGGCGAACTTTCGAAACATCCGCGTATAATACACATTTCAAAACGGAAACGAATCGAATCCTCTATTCGATTTACACACTTGCGAAGGAACATCGATTGCCCAACTCTCTAAAACCATAGCAGGAGCAAATAAATACATTCAATGCACTTATTTATTTTGCAACTAATACACCAATGGTGGAATTCATATAGGTGTTGCATCCCGCGGACAATCCGCATAAATTGCAGAGAGAAATCGATCGGTTAGTTAGCAGGATTCGCGCTGACAATAAGAACGTAAATTGTATGCAATCAGACGAGGATTCGCGTAGGCATTCCGCGTTGAAAATTACTCACATTTATATTTTATTCGCGGAATAAATCGAAAGCCAAGCCCCCGGTACCCGGTGCGCTCTTTCGCAACTTAACGATTCCACATTCTCGACAAATGAACGTTGAACTCGCCCGCTTCCATTGCTCCTTACGCACCTACAGGGCGTCCCCGTAAAACGTGTAACTCTTCCAGGTTGTCCCTGTATAAGCGTTTCTGTTTCCAGATGCTGATTACTTCCTCCACGGTGGCTTCAATCACTACGCCTATTTGGAGACGATATTGGAGGAGACGTCCGATGACCTGCGATCGGAGAGCGACGCCGATTCGAGGGCGTCCCCCGCAGGGTGGCTGGCGACCGACTCGGAAACGGGCTCCGTCATTTGCATCGATCCACCCGGTATGCCATTTTTTTTTAAATAATCTCGAGTTAGAATCCTAAAGAAACGATATATATTTTGTTAAATTCGAGCATTCTTATGGGTGTATTAGTTCCAGTTAATCATCTCTGGGTGTCCCAATGTTACGCCTCGAATTTGGGACACCATGTATGTAAATATTTTATAACGTAACATCGTCTCTTTGGTATTATAACTTGATGAATTTTCCTACATTAATATTTCATCTACTCCATTATATCGATTCATACCAATATCCCCAATTATTGCGCCATAACAGGGTAAATCAAAAATACCTATACATATTTTTATTACGATGAAAAGTGCAAATTTTTTAATTGAACATTTTTTTAATCTACCGATAGCATAAAATCGTTTTGCATTGTTTGTTGGGCCTCGTAAATGTACGTTATTTCCCATTGTTCGTTTGTACGGTTACAGGGTGGCCCGCGACAAATATATTCGTGTGTTTCGAATAAATTTTACTAATAAAACGATAACCCGCAGGAGAAGATTTATAACGTAAGTGCGAAATTGTATAAATATTTATCGATTTTGAGTTTTTTTTTTATTTTTCATCACCTGTATCGGCACGGATTTTATTTGTGTATTTATGATTTATGCCGCACGAATCGTCGGGACCCCACTTACAGCTAATTAAGTACAATTTGGCAATCGTGCAAGCTATTTTTTCTTTCCAAGTTGTAGCTCTTCTCTATAGGTATTTGATCGAATTTAGTCGAGTCGAGGCACGTTTGGGCAACGCTTATTTCTAGCAATTTTATTATTTTTTTGTTCGTTCAATTACACACATTTTTATATCGATTTGGAATAAGTTTCATTTCAACTAACTATGCCAAATTAAATATTTGGTAAGTAAATTTATCAAGCAAACACGAATGCTTCCAAAACTTTACACACTTTACACTTATTTTTTCCGTCAATCAAGCTTTGATCTCATCTTTTTAGCACGATTTTGTGTGGAATAGTCATCAAAACTGTCAATCAAGCTTTAACTGGCCACATTATACATATTAAAATATATGTTTATACACATTTTAACTATAACCTGGTATCATCAAATCCATAGCTCCTTAAATAAGGCATCAAAAGACCCATATTGGAATAGTGTTATATCTTTGATGAACCATTTAGTCCAATTTATCAAACTTTGTTGATCACCTACAAATACTACGAACACCTTAACTTATAGTTAAAATGTGCAAAACAAATAGAAACATCCTCTATAAATTTTTTGACGAAAAAACGTTCGTTTTTGCAGACGATGCGGATGGCGATTCGGACAGAGAGCTGGCCTGTCCGGCGAAGCGCAGGAAACAGGAGTTGTACCTGTGCCTGCCGGCCGTCGACGACGACCTGAGCTCTTTGAGCCGCTCCAGCAGCCTGTTGCAATTCGAAACGCTCGAAAAACAGTGCCAGGAGGCGTGCTCGACGTCGCCCGGCGTCTACTCGCAATTCTCCTTCGACTTGGAATCGAGAAAGCCGCCCGAAGAGGACGAATCGGACTATTACAAAACGATCAAAATCGACGTGCCGACGGTGAGAAAGCGCCGCAGCGACGACAGCCTGTCGTTGAACAGATCCTCCGGATCGGATACCAGCGAGAGCGACGTCATCGATATATCCAGATCCTTCGATAATCTCAAACCGTGGAGGAGTTTCGATAGTTTGCAAGTGAACAAAAACGGCGGCAAAGAGAATAAGACTTCGGCGGAGAATTTGAGCGAGGACAGCGGCTACGGCGAGCACTCGATCAAATTGTATACCAACGGATACAGGTCGAAAGATGAGCACAGGTCGTTTAATATGAAATGCCATCCGGAAAAGAGGAATTCTTACGTTGGATTTCCCGCTTACGACGGTGATATACTCCAAGAGGTAAGCTTTCAATCGAAAACTACAGCTTGTCGACGAGTCTCTTCTTCTTCTACTCTTTTCCTCTGCGTTTTTAGTGTAGCAGTATGGTGTCAAGATTTGATTTGATCTTCTAATTTCTCTTTAGCCCTCTATCGTAGACTCTTTTTGGTTTCTCTTGGTCTCCAACTCTTATTATTTCGTACACCCAATCATCACCACTTGATCATTTGTAACTCCGTCTCTCTGATAGTAATCGGTTTGTATTGATTTCTTTGCAGCACTTCAACGGCAACTTCGGCGTGAGCTACCACGATCTGACCGTCCTCAAGGACCGCGATACGGACGTGTTGAATACGGCCCGATTGATCGAGTCGCTGGCGAAGGGCAAAAAACGTCAGGCGAACGACGTCTCCGTCGCGTTAAATATAGAGCCGCACGGGAATGCGGCTAATTTCGAATCTAATTTTAAATCGTCGTCGACCAGCGAACCGAATTTGCCTGAAGTCGATCGTCAGTCGCGCCCGTCCACGGCCAGCATTTGCGTCTGCAGCGTGCCGAAGGACCTGAATCTCGTCGGCGGTTTCGATTTCGATTTCGACACGAAACCGCCCTCATCGGTGGCGGCGAAGGACTGGAACCTGGCCGATTTTCGACCGGGCGAGTGCAACGACGCCCCGGTCGCGGCCAAAATGGGCGATTTCAAGCGCGAAAGCAGCTACGCCGAGGCCATGGCGAACAGCAATTACAAGCGCGAAGGCAGCTACACCGAAGCGATGACCAATCGAGTGGACCTCAGCGACGACGAGCACAGTTTGTACAACAGAAACAAACCGAAACTACCGAAATCTACGATAGTCGAATTCGACAAGCAAGTACTCAAAGCCATATCGGAGCAAAGCATACAAAGCCTCATCAACAGCAATCAAAACCTGCAAGATATTTACATCGAACAACGTACCCCAATCGTATCGACGCCTAAACGTAACGTCGTAAGTACACCTAACTTATCGATCGAACGAGACGACGAGCAACCCCTACAAAACCCCAGAAAGAGCAGCGCAACGTTAAAATCGAGCCCCAGCAGCAGCAGCAGCAACAGCGCGGAGAAGCTACCGTCGTTGGGCAGCTTCAGCGGCTCGCTGAACTCCAAAGGCGTCCACTTCTCGCCGGTGGTGTCCGAGGTGAATTGGCGCGACGACAGCGTCTCCACGGTGACGCCCGACAGGGAGTCGAGCTGCAGCTTGGGCGACGGTTCGACGCCGGAGCGGCCGTCGCTCCGGCGACGCGTCGTCAAATCGAAGTCGGCGAGGCTGTCGTGCTCGCAGCCGGAGCTGTCCGACGGGGAGACCTCCAAGCGGGAGTTCCTGCGGTCGCTGAGGAGCCTGCGGGAGGATCTGAGCAAGAGCCAGCCGGAGGTCGCCAGGTTCAGGCGGAGAGGTAAGCGATTCCCCGATTCGGGTGGTTTGGCGGAGACGCCCGATGGACGTGTGAAGAAAGTGTGCTAATTTTTTTTGGTGCGAATTTTGAGGTTTTGATTAAATTTTATCGACGAAATAAGTATCATTCGCTAGTTTAATGGCATTAAATTTCGCGTAATGGCAATAATTTTATCATCGAAAATTGCCTGGTTAATATTAAGTGTGTATACGCGATAACTGTAATTCAATATGTGAAATTACGCCGGGCCTTCGGCGACAGGAAAAAAATAACGCACTTTATACGGAGTCGCTTTAATAGTATCGACGAACACCCGTTATTAAATTTCACAAAAAAAAACCGGTAATAAATAATAATACGGTCGGTGCTCTACTAGGCCTTCTTACCCAATACATCAAACGGTGACACACTGATATACCGGGTGGCCCAATTAAATTCCCATTCTATTGTTAACCCCACGCGAAAAATATCGGCATTTCATTACAAAACCACCGTCTTATTAAGAAGATTTATATCGAATCATAAATAATATATGTATGTGATTTAAAAGTATGTGTTAGAAATTTACAACTAACTTTAAAATATGATCAGTATACGAATTACCTCGGTTTAATAGGTCACACCGCACTCTGTATAATAAGTAGATACATCTGTTATAACTGGCGTCTCTTTCTGTAAGTACAGTTAAAATGTATTTCGAATCGATTATTTATTAGTTAGAAATTTCTCATCTGTTTTATTATTACCGACAGAATGCAGAGGAGAAATTCGTAATTTAGGTTTACACCCAGGATCGGTTATACACGCGGTAAATAACGCGTTTAATTGCAGTTTCGTGATTACCTGGCAAAAGAACAATGAAACGATATTCGCGCGTTTACCAATGAATGGTTCCCATCTGGAAGAATAGACGTGAAAAAAAACTGTTTATGAAAACTGTATTAACGAACGCGAAATTCGTACGAGGTTTTTCCTCGCGAAAAATAAACTTTTCGCGTAGGCGTTTTAGAGGAAACGATGTCTGTGAGATTCGTAGACGGGACGAAACGTTTTTATTTTCGTTTTGGCTTAAAATTAGATCGCGAAAACGTTCATTGAAATCCGTTTCAAATGCAATGTATGTAGGTGAACAAAAAATTCCTAACAATAGGCTGTATTTATAAAAAGAATAACAACCTTTTGCTTCAAAAAATGAAGGAATTGCTTCAAGGAATATGCGTAAAAAGTAGAGAAGGAAGAATGGTTTGGCTTCGAGGACACTGCTATTGCTTTAAAGCAAAATGTTTTATTGTTTTTAAAATCTTTGTAAGGTTTTTAGAACTTTTTTCTCTTATTTTTGGCCTCTACCTTTCACTTCAAAGTACATGCTTCATTTTTATAAATATGGACTATTGTTTCTAATATCCTCTCTGAGATAATCATCTAGTTTCAAAGTGGCAATAGAATAGAGAAATTGCATAATTTATATCTTGATTGTTCCTACTTCTTTAGTAAAAACTAAAAAGATTAAAGAAGTGGTAATTATTAAGGGATGATTAGATGAACATAAAGAAATTAATTAATCACTTTAAAGATAAAATAGGTCTGTAATGAAGAATTCACAACAGTATACTTCTCCACAAAAGTTAAGGAAGTTCACAAATATTGAGATTAATTTAAAAGTTGCAGGTTTTTTGATCGCCAAATTTGGTATGAGTTGTAGAGATAGGGACAAAAAATCCACTCGGATATATGAGAAAAAACATTTAATTTCGCATATTTGAAAATTTTACGATCAAAAAGTCTGTAACTTTTAAAATAATCGCAAAATTTGCCAACTTCCTTGACTTTTGTGAAGCAGTTTTTTCCCAATACTGTGCGTATTTAACTGGACAGTTTTACCAACAAACGTACATTGTTTTTATAGAGTTACAATGGACATTGTTTAGGTTAAAGAGAATCTTTAAGCGATTGATTAACTTTGAAAATGAGGGTTGAATACAGATAGAGTAGGGAAGTTATATCTTTATTCCCTGGTACTCCTACCTCTGTAGTCAAAGAACTAAACAATTTATCTAGTGATGATTAGATGAGAACTAAACTAAATAGCATTTAAAGATGAATTAAATCGAATCGTTTAATAGTGACGAAACAGGTTTTGTAATAATCAATCCCACTCCATCTTAACACAACATTTACCAAACTAATCACTGTTGCATATCCTATCTCTCGCTTAGATCGAATTCCGATCGAATCGAGCGACACAAAACCCATCCTTCGTATACACACAACAACATTCAGTATACCGCCGCATTTGCGGCTCTTTAACTCCGACCCGAAGAAGTCCGCTCGTCTTTCGTCTCTCATCCGCCGAATCGTTGCACATTGCAGGTAGCCAGCTGGTGAAGAAGGACAAGGACGGCTCGGTGATCAAAGCGTACGTCGATCGCGACGGCATCCAGTACAAGCACACGCACTTGGACGCCGGCTACGGCGAGGCGGCGGCGCCCCCCGCGCTCGCCGGCGCCCCCACGGGCGATCGCAGCGCCCCGGACGGGCGCTCGCCCGTCCCTCGGACTCGACAGCCAGTCGGTGCGATGGAAGTAGGCGATGCGCACGGCGACGTCGCGCGCGTCGCGCTCAAAGACGCGAAGCGATCGAAGGCCACGGGGAAGCTGGGCGGGTTCTTCTCCAGGCTGGCCGGCTTCAGGTTCAGCTTGAGGAAGGGCGCCGACGAGGCCAAGGGGAAGACCAGGAAGAAGGGCGGCGGCGGTGGCGGCGGCGTCGCGACGGTCGTCGGGAACGCGCCAGGTGAGTTGGGGGTTTGTTTTGTTTTGGTGCGTGGGAGGTTTGTTTATGTCGATCTTGTGTTGTGTTTTTTTTTGGAGCGCGAAGGAATTTAATCGGGAGTTGGTTTGTTTTGTTTTCGATTTGATTGGGAGCGTAAAAAGCGGTCGAACGAATTCTGGTTATTTTTGTAATCATTTTGAATCTCAAAATACTCGGAAAATACTCGCTAGGAGTGTCGAAACAAATTTACTTAGACCACTTAAATTTTATTAGCTGCAAGAAAATCAATTCCAAATATAATATCAATAAAAAACAATTCTAAAATCATCTTAAGACGGATTATAAAATTAACAACTCCCCTTCTTATGAACAAATATCACAAATTCCACAATAATTTCTTATTTAATTTAACAAAATAAAAAACGCATCTCGATATCATAATCTAAGCTACAAAAAAAAGGCAGATTATAAAATCGACAACACTGTTTCTAATCCTCATCTTAGTAGACGGGCATTCCTCGATAAGAACCGCTTTTTCGTTGCAAGCTGCATACAAGAATTCCAACCCCTACCGATTCCTCAAAACGCTATTGTAACGAACACGAAGGTATTTTGCAGTTATAGCGAAAGAATCGAACGGAAACGGTCGGTTTCGGCGTTAAAAAAATCGAACGATTTCGATTCGCAGTTTCTGGCAGGCGACGTGTTGAACGGACGAATTTCGATTGATTGTTTTTATCGTGTTGACGGTGCATTTTTTTCGGTAGATAAAATTGCCGGGAAGAAATTAGTACATCCGTTTTTTCGCTGAGCGTTCGGTCTGTGATCAAGGTTGTGGCGCCGGGAAGAATAGAATAGAAAAAAATTAGTAGTTGATATAATAAGATGAGTCATTGTTTGTTGACTTTACAAAATTGTATGTGAAACGCATAACAATAAAATTACAGTCCGTAAGTAAATACATTAGTCGATATTGAAACATCAAAAGGATAGTTATGCTAGAAAAAACGCGAGTGAATTTCTGCTAAAACTATGTATAGTATCTAATCAGTTTTGTTTTCAAACTATTTATGCCGTACAAACAACGTAAATATTTTCTTTCTTATTCAATCATCGTTTATAATTGCTAATTCTCAATCATTAACAGATTTATTAATAATATTGACTAACGTTTAACGAGCAAATACACGATATTACGTAATCTCGGTTCATTGAAAGTTGTCGTTCTTTAATTTGCTTCATCGGGAAAATAGGCCTTTAGGAAACCTATGAAAAACTAGGCGACCTTTTAGAAGCCTGCTAAACAGCGAAAATTATACTTTTACTTCGCTTTTCTTTGATTTTTAACGCCTATAAAATTTGCATCGCTTCCAGTAAGTACGATTAAAAGCGGCTATAAATAGGCTACTTACATTATATTTTTGAATTGTTATTTGTGCAACACTATCCTTTATGTTTTATTTTAAACGGTTCCTATTTATGTTAATGCGGAAATATCATTAAAATTATTAATATATTTAATGCACAATACAGGAGAGTTGAGAAAATTGTCGGGAACAGTACACATTTGCATTGTTAACCATTTACTAAATATTTTAATATATTTTAATTAAATAAAATAAAAACAAAATGCTTGTTAAATTACTCACACTCGCAAACCGGTGCATACATTATTTGTAGTAAATTATTAACGTATTGAATTATAATTAACTTGTTTCAACGGCTATGTAATAGATAAAATAGTGGATTTAATAAGCGCTATAGCGAACATCAGAGAAAACGCTTTTCCATCTAAGGGACATCGAGAGAAATATAATTCAAAAACGCTTTACATACATTAAACTAGTTCGACGATAAAATATTCAAGTAGGTAGAGTCGTTGTCGCCACAAAAACCTACATAGGATAAGTTGAAAGACCTACAAAATTAATTCCAGCACTCTACAGTAGAAGAAAATAGAAAAAAAACCGTAAAATATATAGGGTGATATGAATGATATAATATAACAAAAATTGTCCTGTAGGTTATCGATTATCGAATCGGAATTGTTTTACGAAGTAAGCAGTCCATTTACATAAGTGCCTGTTCATATCAATTTCACTATTGAATTAATCATGTCTAATTTAGTATGCTCAATTCAGAGTTATAAACTTAAGCATTGATTTATGTGTTACATGTAAATAAATTGTTTTGCGACAGAGCTCGAAATTAAGACACCTATTATCAAAATTTTATTCGTCCATTTCACGCATCCTTTATTCCAAAAATTTCCAGAAATTTGCTTGTTACATGCATCGGCTTGTTCAAGGGGGGTGGTTCGACCACTTAGAGTTGAGAGGTTATAAGGCTATTTAGCAGAAATTAGGATTAAAATTTCAATTCCCTGGGTATTATAATAAATTTGATAGGTATCCAAAAAGCATTGTATACATATAGTTTCAGGCGCCACGATGGCACCCCATCAACAACGCCTCGCCACCAAATCGGACTACATCTACATCCCCCTGAAGGGCCCGACCGGCGCCAATCCGACATCGCATTCGAACGCGACGCGGCCCAACCACCAGGACCCCGCCGTCCGTCCTCCGCCGTCGGCGGCGACGGCGTCGCTGGCGTCGAAGCCGCCCCTGCCGAAGCAGCCGCCGCGCGTCGTCCACGCCAGCGTGAAACCGTCGGCGCACGCCGCCCCCGGCGACAGCCGGCAACACCGTCGACGGACTATCGATTCGACCGCCGGCGGGCCGCTGTCCATGGAGCCCATGGGGCTGATCGAGACCGATTTGGACACGGAGGTTACCGTCATCACGAGCGGCGCCAATGCGAAGACCAGGAGCCTGCTCGACCTGGGGCCGCAACCCCGCAGGCTGACGCTCGCCGTCGACCGAGAGGGCGACGACCAGCACCGGACCAGGCCGCACAAGTCCATGGAGTTTCTGCTCGACAAACAGAACCTCAAGGTGGTCGAGGTGAGTCGATTGTTTTTATTTCCCATATTTTTCATTTTGGTGGTTTAATATGGATTTGGGCACCAACTTCAATTGGGGATGCAAAAACTAGAAGTGGTATTTATATAACGAATTGGTGGATAAAAAAAAACTAATTACGGCCACTCAATAGGAAATTAATTTTTTTTCATAAACCGTCAGGTGCGCTTTTTATTCATTCCGAAATCGTTAATTGTACGTGCATTCTTTAGTTGTTTTTTTTTTTTGGAAAGGATCGCTACTTGCTTAATTCCAACGAAGAAAAAAAGGTCATTAAAAACCGTAAAGATAAGCGTTTGTATTTTCTATAAATAGTTTTTTTCCATTTACTTTCTACATAATAAACGTCGACCTAAATAAAAATTTGACCCCAAACCGATGACCTCGCTCAATAATTTATTGATACAATTCCGTTTGATCTGTATATTATTATACAATAAAGTAATAAACGATTTTTCCCCCACAAGCAATCAATATATTATAGTAAAACCTAATTTCCACTGAGAATATCGCAGGAAATTGTAAACTTTTTGCCACCAATTAATTAGGTCTTGATGTTAATGGATTCTTCTCGCGGCACTTTTACTGTTTTAAATAGATTTCTAGATAATAGGCCGTATTTACAAAAAAGCACAACCTTTTACTTAAAAAAAATGAAGGAATTGCTTCAAGGTAAATGCGTAAGAAGAAGAGAGGGAAGAGAGGTTTTGCTTCGAAGACTCTGCTGTCGCTTTAAAGCAAAATGTTTTATGGTTTTAAAATCTTTGTATAAAGTTTTAGAACTTTTTTCGCTTATTTTTGGCGTCTACCTTTCACTTCAAAGTAAATGCTTCATTTTTATAAATATGGACCATTATTACTTGTTGCATTGTAGATACCTACTACTCACGCTTAATATTATCCAATCATTCCATTATTATCGTTGAACTCCAATTCGGCATAACCACAATCAATTATACCCGTACGTTTATACCGCATACGAATTAGCGTCAAGTCGTGTAGTTATCGGCGCGGCCTTGACCACGTCTCGCAACAGCCAACATTTACGTGTACCTACACCTAATTATACACAACAACCCCCGGCGGTGGCCGTTTAAAGGGCGGCATCGGCAACGCCGCGCTCGGCGGCCTTTGCCTGTGCGAAAAGGGCGCATCGCGTCAGAGGGAGGGGGCGGTAGAACGGTTGAAGTTTGAAGTGTACACGTATTCGGATGGTGATGCGACGGGGCGCAAGGTCGTACATCGAGAAATATCGCGAAAGAAACGATCCCTCGTCAGTTCGCGCTACCCATTTTTGATCTACCATGTAGTTTCGGGGGTGTATCTGGAAGGTGGAAAAGGGCGTTGCGTTCGCGTCAGATGTTCTTCTACAGCATCCTCGTGGATGAGGACGACGATGACGTAAGAGGTTTTAGGTTTATAGGGGGAATTTAGGTTAGGTGTAACGTCATGGTAGTGCGGCATTTTCGATTCCGGGTGGTTTTTTTTTTTGTAGGTCAGATTTGTCGATCGGTGGTGTAGGGGAATGTTGAATTGTGCATGATTTTTACTTAGTGGATTTGGTCACGTATTGATGTTAGAGGCTAGAATTCCCAACGGGTCTTGGAGTAGTTGTAAATTGCGTGTTTTATTACAAATCTACAGCAAAAATATATTGATTACTGGGATCTTCGAATTATAAATTGCACTGGTAAATTTACCTTTACCGTACCAGTAAAGCGTAATTTTTGTATACAAGTCCAATCGATAACTTTTACATAATATAAAGCTACACACACGTGGGCTTTTTTTGTCATGTTAATTTTAGAATCGGTATACGCGGAACTGGCTACGTGCGTTAGTTTTATTTGTCCCGTATTTTTACGACTTTCGGTAGTTTTTGAAACATGTTTACCGCGTCGGCCTTATACCGAAAAGTGCGTAACGAACAATGCGTGCGTAATAAAACTACTTCCCGGAACGTACAAGACCTTATTGTTTACGAAAATTATTAAAATAACTGTTGCCTTTTCACGGGCCCGAAAAAAAAACGCATTGTTCGGAACGAATCACAAGCATTTTGTATATACTTTTTTTTAACTTACACTCCAACATCCTACCGGACATACAATGCTCGTGATAAATCGCGAATGAGTCGAGCAGTGTATTGTTTACTTGCAGTCCATTCAAGCTAGGTTATTCGTAGATTTCTTGGGGGTTATTTTCACGCCAATTGACCTTGGTACCATTTTTTCTTCCTCGGCTGTGTTTCCTTCGGCGAAGGCGAATAAACTTGCAATGGGGCGTCCGTTAAGCGCGCAAACAATGAATAGAAAACAGCCGCGTCGACTAAAAGGTCAACAGCCGCTTTGCATTAAAGCCGAGATGGTGTAAAGGCGAGAGGGCTCGTTTTTTTTCCAAAAAAAAAAGATCTTCCGACAACTGTTCGAAATCAGTCACTTAATTGACGTGGAAACAGATGTCACCGAGGAAATCGGTGTTGCCTAGTCGCGCAGGAATTTGTAGAAACTTGGAAATTTATATTTACACACAATTCGCTCGCGGCTATCCATAAAGGGATATACGGAATTAAAATACTTATTGTATTCGTGGGAACGGCAATTATTCTCCTTTCAAGTACGCGAGCTTTACTTGCGTTCGAATAAATATTCATACGAACGATAGTCGTGAGAAAAATATTTTTTTTTACTACGTATTTTACCTATTTCGTTAAATCGAATTCTCTTTATCGCATCAACGCAATTGTCAAATAGAAAGCTCCGGTATTATCGCCATCGAGATCCGTTGGAACTCGCGTATAATACACAAAGGCGGTCTCGAAAGTATATGGCCTTAGGACTTTTATTACCATTCATTAGTAATAGGTCAGTGGATTAAAACTTCGTCGTTGATTAGCGTGATGTTAGTGAACGCAACCGGCATGACATCACGTCGTAAAAATTCCCTTTTATTGGAACTTTTTTTCCAATGCAAGGCTATCGCAACTTCGATTATAGGAAGATTTAATAAAGAATACTAATACGTGTTCGGATGATTGTATGGTAAGAGGCCAATCAACAAAAGAGTCGGGCAAAAACTGATAGGTTTTGTTTTACTAATTATTCAGTTTCATAAATGAACGTCTGTAATTGGAAAAAAACAGGTGTCATGCAATAAATAATGCCGCACTTAGCAATCAAATAATCATCTCGTCCAATTTACGTTAACGCTTAAATGTCCCCTATCCGCATTAATTGTCTTTAATTTTTGTAGTATTACGTATAAGTAATGGGGAGAGCGAGGCATCGGCGATACGGGAAACATTTCGTATATAGGTAAGGGTGTGTGAAATAATTGCTAACAAAATCAACGCCGATTTCGATACGATTTACTTGTTTTATTTTATTTTTTTGTTACTTTAACCTATTCATTGTTTTTTTTTGCGAAACACCCTGTACAAGTACTCGCCTAATTACATAAAATTATTACCATAATCAACATTCTGTTTTTGGCATATTTTTTATCGTACGTCTAGCGAGAATCAATTTCGTTTTTATCGTATCTGTTTTGTGCGTCCGTTTCGTTTTATTCATGTAATTAAACAATAAATATTAAAAGCAAATTCTCGTTTCGATTATGTCTTTATTTTTCCGCGTTTAATGGACGAGCCTCGGCGAAGGTTCCACGTCGAAAACGATTAATTTTCCTTTTAATTAGCGCGGCGCAAACATTGCAATCGCTTTTAAACACGCCGATAATAAGTAACGACGATCGTTCACAAAAATTTACAAGTATACTTACAGCTAGTACGAGCTGGTTTTAGGTTTAAAAATAAACGTTTTGCGGAATTTATGAGTTTAAACGATTCGATTCCTATGAAATTACAGATCTCCTAGATTGGAGTCTTGTAGATTTTTTGTCTCAAAATTTTCTCCCTACTTTTAGCTCGACAATCTTTCCATTTTTTTCACAACATGTACTGCTATTATCGGATTCACACCTACCGTATTGTCATCCAGCGCTTTCCTTTCCTTACCATTTGCACAATACATTGTGTATACCTACAAAACTAGCGATTCCCCGTAACTTATCTATTATTTATATCGAATGCATAAACAACAACCGTTAGACTCGTATAGCAAGGTGTTTGTACTTTCACTTTTTGTCCGTGTTGCGATATCTCCGGCGTCCTGCGAGCCCGGCAGGAAACACGTGGGCAGGAAAACGAATAGAAAATTCCCGTTCGCGAACTTATAAGAAAAAAAAAGTCCCGGCAAATTCCTCGAAGAATCTGTGTAGTATCCGCATCTGGTAGTGCGTAATTTTTTTTATTAGTACGCTCTAATGACGCTGAACAGACGACGGTGTTGTTTCGAAGCGATTACATGCAGAGTACTTACTCGAAATCTCGAAAACTCCTCGTTACTGCGGTCGTTTATTCGACAGTAATTTCCTCGATTCCGGTCCGAGTTTGTTGTACAGGGCCTTTGATTGTAACAAATATTTTTCTGCGGTGATGAAGCACCCTGTATAGTTCCCCTAGATATAATTTTCGACTGCTTCCTGCTCTTTTATATTATTAGAGGTGTCTCTAGCAACTCTTTATGCATACCAGTTGGAATGGTGGACTGTCGTCGGAAATAGAATCACGTACTAATACGGTGTGTTGTCGATTGAAAAATTAATTTGACGAGTCGAAAAGCAATTTATATAAATAGATGTAAGAAGGTGTATAATATTATCATTGGTTTCGTTCGATTAATTAGTCGAAAATGGAAATAGGAAACGGTCCTACAATTTATCCGTCATTTTTATCGAAATACCTAATTAAACACGCTAACTGGATACGACAATCGGAAATTTGGAAATCTAATTAGTATTTAATTAAACGGACGATAAAATTAAAAACTAGCGCACACGGACGTACCAAAGAAATTTTATTATTTCCCCAAAAACGGTCCGATAGAAATTGGCCTCGAAATTGAGTGCATTTCGTAATTAGATAAATATTAATCTCGTAAAAACAATTATTTTAAGATACCTACATTTGCCTAATTGTTCATAACCAACTGTTCATCGTAAATTTTTCTTGTTATTATGCCGCTCCTGATAATTCGTACAAAACGATTAGCTAAATAGGCATATTTCCGAAGGGGAATATTTCTAATCTCTACCTTAAAATACCCCCTTGTAAGCACGTCTATGGTTGATAATACGCATCGAAGGTCGTTATTTAGACTCTCGAGACACTATATTATGTATACTCGACGTTATCAAAATTCGCGTTTAGATCAACTGCAAGTATCGCCGGGTGGAGGTTGGACGGTTTTCCGATTTTTACGATTCCAAATTAACGCGTAAACTATTTGAAAAAAAATTGCGTACATCGTTTTCGAATTCGCGATTAGATATTTTTACATAATTCCAGTATTTTAATTTAATGTGTAATTCGATAAACATGCGAGTTTGTGATTTCGTACGTGCGATTTGATTCGATTGTGCACAGAAGATGTCGAATTGTTCTAGTGTAAGATATTTTACATTGGGTAATTAATTATCTATAAAGTTAATTGTTGATAGATTTTGGGTGTAGAGTAATAGTTAAAAAATCGTGTATATATAGGTATCTTATCACATGAGGCAATCGAGATGTTTTTTTATACATACAATCCGTTTATCTTGACAGTTTTATAATCTCTTCAACGATATATCTATAAGTTAATAGAGAATTCGTTAAGGATATAATTAAAATTAATATACACTGGGCTTCATTCCAGATCGCAACATAGGTTATATAGGTGGGATAAAGACAACTTCCATTAGATACTTATAAAAGAAAAAGAAAGAGTGACATTTGTGTCATTGCAACTTATCACTATGACAACTGTTATTTTATTATTCTTTTTTTGTTCTACTCATAGAAACGACCATGTTGCGGTCTGAATTAAAGCAATCGGTATAGCAAATATTAAAAAGAGTAAAGCAATATTTTTTGTTTATAATTTCAGCCACCTGAAAATGAACTACAAAAAGGGGAGAGAGTAATGTCTGAGCATCAATTGAGAGTGCAGAGATCCCTACAAAAATTGACGTTACCCGATTGGTACAAGCAATCGCCGGTGGCGCGCGAGGGCTTCCTCCTCAAGAAGCACTCGCCGCGAGAGTCGCGATGGAACGGCACCGGCGGCGGCGGCGGCGGCGGCGGTAGCAAGACGACGTCGTTGAGCAGCCTCGGCTCGACCGCCGCCTTCTCGCCGGCGATCAGCCCGACGCCGCTCAGCCAGCCGTTCGTCCGATGGTCGACGTCCAAGCTCAATTCGACGGCGTCGTCGCCGTGCGCCTCGACGCGCAGCAGCTTCAACGCCCCGCGCCAAGCGAACGGCGGCGTCTCGCCGTCGGCGTCGGTGCGGTCGAGCTTCAGCTACCGGCAACCGTACTTGGGCTGGCGGTCGCAGGAGCGGCTCAGCAGGCCGCGCACGCCCGCCGAACGGCTGGCCAGCTCGCTGTTGGCGGCGCGGCCGCCGCCGCCGCCTCAAGAGAGTCCCGAGATACAGACGAGCATCAAGGAGGTGACGTCGGCCATCGTGCACTACGTGAGCGGGCTGCGGCCGCAGGAGGACCAGGACGGGACGGGGCGAAGGTCGAGCTCGGCCAGTCCGAGGGGTAGCCAGAAATTGTGTTGGTTGGAGAGCTCGTTCGTGGGAACGAGGCCGTTGGATTCGCCGCAGACGCCGGTCACGTTGACCGAAAGCCAAAGTCATACGCCCGCGCCCGTCGCCTCGTCTACCAAACTTAGGCTAGATTTGCAAACGCATAACGGTAAGTCGGTGGTTGCGAATTCCTAATGATTTTTTTTAAACGTTATTAGGGCGCGCTGAATCAGAGAATATATATAATAGAGAAGCAAAACAACATTAGGGTTTCAAAGTGGTATGGTTTTTGAAAGAGCATGCGCGAAATAAGTGGTTTTTCATTCATAATTCACGTTGATTGTCAATGTTGTTTGTAGTCAGTGAGCTGACATTAGTTACTTTCCTCTACATTCTATACATGAATTAACAAAATATCGAGCAATTTTTTCATAAAATGGACTAGATCGAGCAATGGACTATTCATAAAATTCGAAATAGTTCGCTCAGTGTACAAAAATACCAATTTTCTAAGTGTATTCTGTTGTCAAAAATTTGTCCAATCGCAATCACGACACAGTTTGTTTCGCTTCTCTTTTATTGTATATTCTCTGGCTGAATGTCGGAATTGATGTCAAAGTATGTATGTGACATATACTAATTTTTAAGAATTTTTTCTTTCAATTTAGGGCAATTAATTATCTCGACAATTTTATCGACGGCTATCATTATTCTTCTAGTCATTCGATCGAAAGTACAAAATACTTTTACTGGATATTCGCTATATCCAATTAAACTTCTCTAATACTTTGGCATTAATTTTTACATTTACCTATAGAAATACTCTTGAGATTTTATGTTAGATATGTTGTATAAGTACATATATTTTTATATCAAATGGACTACGTTTTCTACGTTTGGGAAAAAATGATGAATTGTCGGAAAGATTGTTTTAATTTGACTCCGCAAAATATTAGTAGCCATTTATAAGCCAACTACTAATTTAATTTTCGTAGTACTCTCGTATCCACCTGCATTTTTATTTTATTTTTATTCCATACAGAGTATATTATTAGCCAAAAATTACCCATCACTTGCCATACGAATTCACAAAATTCTCACATTATAATTTTTTCATAATATTATACTCGGTATTTAATTTACTTTCACTTCGTATACTACGGATTAATCGAATGCTGTATTCTATGGTGCTACAATTTAATGTGTGTTCAACATAACAAATTATTGTTTTCTATTCGTTAAGCTTCATAGCGGGCTTTTTATTGTATTTGAAACACTTAACACGATTTCGAATTCATTCGACTCTGTTTTTTGTTAGTATCGGTGCAGTATAGGTAATGTGTTCTTATTTTTGCATAATTGTTGAATGCTTATGTCACCACACGTTTTGCGGTTAATGGTAAATTGTGATGGTTTTGATAAAAGGTACATTTGCTGAATGGATTCTCTTTTTTTTGTAGGATGAAAATTTAAATAACGAATTGTGTATAATAAAGTGATTCTGAACAAGAATAATTAATTTAACTGCTTCGTAGTTAAATACATAGTAATTGAATATGTGTATAGTAAATTCTTAAAAAAAAATATTTAACGCCCTTAGTCCTTAAGGAAATTTATAATATATAATTTATAACCAGAGTGCAATTTTTTTGTACTATTGTTGTTTTCCAGTGTTTATATTTTATTTTCTTTTTATTTTATTTTATTTTATGTGTTTCGTATCATTATATTAGATGCATGTCTGTAAAAATCACATAAATAGATCATCAATAAATTGTTTTATTTTCTCAATATATTTTTTTTTTCGTTTTTATGTTTACGCACTTTTATTTTCAGTCTAAATCAGATTAGGTCAAAAAGTGCCATTTACTAAAAGAGTTAATTTGGTTTAGACACCATTTATGATTTTTTTTGCCGACATTATGAAACGGATTGTGGGGGATTTTGTCGTCATTTAGAGGTAAATAATTTTATTTTATTTTAGTACGCTTCTCGCTTTTTAATTTTAGTTTAGTTTTGTATGATAATTAACTGATTAACAATCAATTATAAACCCAAAATTAGATACATATGTTCTAATCTAATTTAACGCTAATTTTTTTAACCTTTATCGAAATAATCATAATAACAACACACTACAAGTAATTCTTCTAACATGATCTTTCATAATCCACCATTACTTCGTCAAATTAACCCAAAAAATGTTCTATAACCGGCTACATATTCCGCAGATCTATCTCTATTAGCGGCCACCACGACGGCGCAAAAACCATCGCCCGGTTCGACCACGCTGGAGGACGTCTTGGACTCCCTGCTGGGCCTCCCGTCGACCGGCCGAGCTCCCAGTCCCAGTCTCCAAGGTAGGAGACATGTGTAAGTTTCGTTTTCAGGTATCTACACTTTCGAATTCGCACTATCTCCAGCACCTAAAATTATTCCGAATGAGACGGTACCACAGCACTATGTTCATTCCGAAGAACCGAGCGGGGTATCCTAATATAGTGCTGTGAGTTGGTATCAAAAGTGCTCGCGTAATTTCGATATTACTTACGAACGAGTGCGAGAGAAGATGAACTAAAGTTTCAAACTAATCCTCTTATAGTAAATTTCTTAATACTTTTAGAACCCTTCTAATTGCACCTACATATAATTGAATCGATAAATAAACGGTGCCTAACGAAGGTATCTATGTAGATAACATTGGGTGGTTTTTCAGAGACGGTATCAGCTAATACCAGCCCGTGCCATAAGGTCGAACATCCCTCGGAGCAGTTCCGGCGTCGGTCCGAAGGCAGCGAACCAGCGTCGAATTCGAACTCGAACTCCAGACGGGCGTCGTTGGCGTCGTCGCCGGTGCTCCGCTGTCGCTACGCCCGCTGCGCCCGGACGGTCCCGGCCTCCTCCACCGAGGCGACAGCCTTCAAGAACTGCCACAACTGCTCGTACGCGTACTGCTCGCGCGCCTGCAGGCGCGCCCACTGGGAGAAGCACCGCAAGACCTGCCTCTTCTCGCGGATCGGCGCCCTCTGCCGGCAGGTGATCGCCGCCTCCAAGGAGCAGCGCGACGCGCTGTCGCACCTCAGCAAGATGGCCCGCCGCGGCTACCTCTCGCACGGCATCGGCGCCGTCAAGTGCTTCTTCCCGACGCCGGAGGCGGCCGAAGGGTTCCTCGGCGACGGCCTGCCCGGCCTCGGCGAGCTGACGTACGTCCGCTGGCAGGACCTCCTGCCGTCGGAGATGGGGCCGCAGCTCTACGCCGAGTTAGTGAAAATGTGCAAGACCTACAATCCCGACACCAGGCTGGTGTTGTACGTGTCGATTTGCGTCGTCAGCGAATCGCCGGCGTCCGGTTCGGTGAAATGGGAACGGCAGCTTGTGTCTAGATGCGCTAAAATGAGACTGAGCAAGGACGTGCACGTGCCGGCGGCGGACGCCGCCGAGGGCGCCGAGACGCTCGTGTTGACGTCGCCGCCGGTCGCCGAGACGGCCGATCCGGCGACGGTGAAGGCGATCAGGGAGGCGACCATAGCGAATTTGCAGGTGCACTTGAAGCGCCGCGGGGTGCAGCTCAAGAAACAACAGCCCGATATATACAAACGGTTGTTGGATTATTGCGAGGACGTTAGTAAGAAATTCACGCCGATTACTATGTACCCGAAAGACAGCGTTTCGGGTAAGAATTTGATGTGCATCATCATGGTCGAATCGAACGAAGAGAGCGTTAAAGAGGTGGAAAACGCCGGCGTTAGGGTCAAAACTATCGACTTGTTGAACGACTGAAATTTTCACGATTCGATCCTCTTAAAACTAATTCCATCGTCTCTGTTTAAATTCCTGATAATTCACACGGTTAACTATCAGAAACTTAACGAAAGTTGGTAGAACCAGTTCTTAGAGCATATAATCGTAACAATCACGACTGTTTCAGTAGGTTATTTACAAATAAAATTTGCTTTTAATTATTAAATCGTCTAGGCCCTTAAAGGGTGAAGCTTTGCCAGCTCGAATTTAGATAAATACCTAACTCAACCCACCAGAAGGGTTGATGAAAATATGTAAAAATTTTACAATTCCTCTCTCCAAAAATAACCTGAATTAAAATCTATTGGGGAGATTATCTACTAGTCCTACATTGATAATAAATTTAAAAAAATAACAGTAGTAAAATTAATGAAATACAGGGTCTTGAATTTTTTTAGTTCAACCATTTGTAAAGCACTCGTAACTTACATATCCCAAAAAATGGACGATAGGATTAGCTGCCAAAGTAGAAATAATAAATATTTAATAACGATGTAATTACTATGTAATTATAGGAGGAATTTTTATATTTTCTATTACAAATAAGCAGTAGATGATAATATAACGAGATAACACCAAAAGTTACTAGGTAACAAAAAACGTTGTAGAAAATGACGTGCTATGGTAAATCGTTCAGTTTCAAATTAGCGCAATTTATTTAAAATAAGCCGCCGTTCTTAATTTATACGAATCGAACAAATTAATTTTGTACCTACAACAAATCGCAGAACCGAACAAATATGTTTTAGTTAGGATGTTATTTAATTTGCCCCATTTTTCACGATGTGCTTCGACTGAAATTGGGGGCCTGATTTTTTTATATACTTATTATAATACTTATATACATTTTAAAAACTAAGTACATAGTATATGTTGATACTGTTGATACCCTTTTCCTGTGATTCTAGCTTGTTACTCTTATAAATTTTAATAATTCATAGATTATTGATGTTATATTTTATACAGAATGTCGCAAAATTTAGGTGGAATCGTGTCGGTAATTATATATTTTGTCTGAGAAGTTTGCTATGTGTAAATGTACCTACCGGTTTTTTTATTATTATTTGTAAATATGTATTGCTCATTTTGAGAATCCCGACTGATTTCGCGTGTATAGCTTATTTTCGTGGGAATTAAAGCGTTAAATGGTGGCTCTTTTACTAAATAAGGTGCTCAATCATATGTATAATAAATCGGTTACATTGGATATATATACCAAAAGAAATCAAATAAACAGGCTGTATTTAATTGAATTAATTCAAATTCTTCTTTGTTATGATTTTGATTAATTTTTTATATAATGCAAATGTATGTTTGCAGTATAAAATTTGTTTTTTTAGGTAAATGTATAATTAGAAATAAATAAATAAATAAATAACCAATGTACCTATATCGTGACGCGACAAAATGCTGGAGATTATGTATAATGTTCAACATTACACAAACAATTTTTAAAAGTACTCATTTAAATAAATCAATACTACTTCTAAAATCCTATTAATTAATAATAAAAAAATACTCTGAATAATAGTTGAATTATTATAAAAATCGACCGGCATTGCGACGTGGATTTAACTATTTTATATTCACTGTTGACATTTTATTCTATATGTACATTATAAAGAAAAACTAATAAATTCAAAAATTTGTACAGGATGCAATAAGGTTTATCTGTATTATGTTAAAATTTTTTGCTATTAAAATTTTTGAAAGTTAACAAATCGTATTATTCTTATCTATCACCTAAAAAAAAAACAAATTTTTAAAAACTTGCCAAAAAAATGTCAAAAAAGGTAACACATTACAGGTTTCTGTAATAATTACGAATGACAGTTAATGTTAAAGATTTCTGTAACAGTTGCGAATGACAGTTGCTAGATGACAGGAAAGTAGACCATTTTAGTTCGCAGTAAACTAGTTTGGGGGTGTTGCAGTCGATTTCATTTCACAAAAATAAAAAATATCAGCATCTTGGGTAACAAGGTCATCAACATTAGTTTCGATGAGAACGAAAAGTTTTTAACAACTAAATAATCGACTTGTAGATAAAATGTAAACCGTAGTGTCATTAACAGATCGGCGTTAAATTACGAGGGGTAAGTAATTGGGAAAGTGTACTTCTTTGTGGTGTACAATGGATTCCTTGTTAATGATAACGATTTTTCCTTTTTAAACGTTAGCAAATTCCGAAACCTATTGAATTGGTGCACAATTCATAAATTATAGGATAGTCACGTAATAGTTTATTTACATTCAGGAAAAATCGGATTGTTACCGGGAATAAATTCGTATTTTTTCGATATTGTTTACTTCTCGTTTCACGTACACATAGAAAATAACCAGTGCCGATTTACCAATGTTATCATTCAACACAATTTGTTATTTTCAGGCAAAAGTAATGACTGAATCCCCAAAAATGCTACTACCTACTTAAAATCCAAAAACCGAGCATTTTTATCAGTCTTAGTTATTCCCATAAAATGTAAGAAAAAAAGTGCATAATGTCAGAGATAAACTGCATAAACGAACAACCACCTTCTAAAAGCGGTTGTTCCTCCTTGTTGTTAAGTGACATTGATTTAAAAACTAACGGTGACATGTGTAATCTAATACCGAACAATAACATTCGCGAAGACATCGTCTCATCGAACAGTGCTAACGTAGACGCTGAATGCGACACGCAAACCACCACCGAGTCCAGCGACAAGAGCCCCGACATGGACGAGCACAAAGAAGAAACCGAAGAAGACAGCATCGATGGGTAAGCCACAAAATATTCACTGCAAACACCTCTATTAATCGCTCAAATACGCAGGAAACACAGAGTAGACGATGACGACGAAGAAGAAGAAGAAGAGGAAGAAGACCCGTACAACATCAACAATGACAAATCCTTCGATGACGATGTCAATTACGAACCGAAAGAGCACCGCAACGGCGTCGCCAAAAAAATCAACAAAAAGAAGAAACTGACCAGCGGCCCGGGCAGGGGGAGGCCGCGCAAAGGCCACATCGCCATGTACCAGAGCCAGATCAGCGGCGACAAGAACACCATCAAAATACGGATAAAACGAAGCAATTTTTGTACGCAGGTACAACGATTCACTCACTTATTAACGCTTAATCTTTTAACCGAATTTGTTTGTTAGATGCCTCCGAGTAAAAAGAAATCGGGAAGGCGGAAAAAGCACAAGGCAGCTTCGGATACGGACGCTTCAGACTACGAACAGAAACCGAAACGTTCCAAAGTTTATACCACGGAGAACGACGTGTCCAGTACGCAGGAGCAGGAGCCACTCGAGCAGAGCGTTTGGGGCGATCCGGAAAAGTTCCCCGTCGAGTTGCTCGGGAAGATCTTCGATCACGTCGTTGCTCAAGACGGTTGTCTACCGTCATTAGTGAGGTAATATACTTTGAACTGGTGAATAATTAGTCGAATGGGAGAGTTGATAATTTCTCCGTAGGTTCAGTAAGGTGTGTAGATTGTGGCGAGACGTGGCCGTGCTGCCGAAATTGTGGCACAAGGCCGATTTGAACTACGTGAAGGAGCGGTATAGGACTGATTTGCGTTTGCATTGGCTCATATTGAATCGGCTCGTCGAATGCCAGGATCTTAATATGGGTAAAACTAGAAAGTTTTTATTTTTTTATAATCACCAAACGAGAGTCTACATTTAACTCGCTTTATTCAATCCCTTGACACTTTTAAAGGGAAAAGAAAGCCAAAATTTGACATTGCGACTTTTCACTCTGACATTTTAATAATCTTTCTTTGTTAAGGAAAAATATATTTTAGCGAATACTTTTAATACTAACCTTTTGTCATTTTATTATTGTTGATGTCTCATTATCACTATCAATCTTTATCGATAACACTTTTTTTTCAATTAAGTAGAATTTTCACAATAATTTTCTTGTTATACAATTCTATCAAAAATTAAATGTCACCTGTCAAAGTCACGACGGACTTGATTTTTTGGAAACCAAGGTGGTTAAACGTTGAGAGGTTGTATCATCCTATCATTTCACAACCCGTACTAATTACGTACGTTGCTTTAATTGAAAATTATTTCAGGCGAATGGAAAATTAGGGACATACAGGATTTCTTAGAAGCGCTTTGCGAGCATTGTACAAAATTAAAAGGTCTTAATTTAAGCGGCTGGAAAGGCATTTCTCCCGATCATTTGAAATACCTTTCTTCGAATTGCAAGACATTAGAACGGCTAGATTTGTCTTCGATTAACGTAAGTAAAATATTTCTACGACAAATTGTGAATAATGAACGTATTTTTTTTAGTTCACGTCACCAATTAATGCACAACCTTTAGTAAACCTAAGTCAAACGATGGGATCCCGCCTGACGCACTTAATACTAGCTCACAATAAAATCGCGAATTTTACGCACATCATGGCGGCCCTTTCGGTAAGTAATCCACCCCGATTCAAATAAAAAAAAATTGACAGATCGATTCTTCCAGACGAATTGCCCGAACCTGCACCTGCTGGACATATCGAACATCAGAACGTTCGCCCACAACATGTCCCAATTGCACATCGAGAAACTGCAAATGGGCTGTCCCGATTTGAGGGTGTTGCGCATCACCAACAGCCAAATTTGGCTGGCCGCCGCCAATCTGTCCGATCAAATGGGCTCGACGGGTTTTCGCAAGCTGGAGGAACTCTCCCTGGCCGGTCTGGAGGACGATCAAACCACGACGTCGCGATCGGTCGACGACGATTGCATCGAGCGGATGCTCAAATCGAGCACCAAGCTCCGTTTGCTCGACGTGCGAGGTTGCAGCAAACTCACCGATTCCGGTTTGGTGCGCGTGCCCGCTTGGGATTTGGAGCACCTCTTCTTGAGCGGTAAGCTCGAATCGTTATTTTCTGTTTGCTGGCTTTTACAAGCGCTTCATCTTGTTTCAGCTTGCTACATAACGCGATTGCAGAATTCCGGTTTGGAATTGATCATGCAGAAGTGGTCGCACAGTTTGATCGAGGTGGATTTGGCGTGGAGCACGGCGACGAAGCCGCTCGACGCCGCCGTTTTGGCGTTGGCCGAGAAAGGCGCCGAATCTAAATTGAGGTAAATAAACGACGCGATGATTGTAGTCGGTGTAAAGGAAATATCGGTTTATTCGTTCGTAGGACTTTGAATCTTTGCGGTTCTTCGGTGAGCTTGGAGCCGGTGAAGATGGTCTTGGAGAAGTGTCCGAGATTGCACTCGATCAATTTGCAATCTTGCCGGGCGCTGCCGCGCGGTATTAAGAGATTGTATACCGGCAGCCAGGTCGATGAGTTGAGGAAGAGTTTGCAGGTAAATATTCAACTAAAATAGTAAAATTCATCTCGTTATTTTGGTTGTTTTTTAAATTTCCAGGACAGGCCAAAGATAGAAGCGAGTGAATCGGAAAACGACCAGTCACCGGCACAGACGACAGTGTCTCCGAGGAATGAATAACATTGTTGAACAATGTTTGGCTTTATTATTACTATTATTATTTTTATTTTTTTATTTTATTTTCCTCTCTTATACTTGGATGATTAGAGTTGAGCAAAAGTGGATCATGTTATTGTTTTGTCAATTCGAAAACGAAAGAGCTACGCAAGTATATTGTATCAATTACTTTTCCTATTATGTATAATCGTAATTTTACATATTATATTTGTTAATTTTTATGGAATGATTTTATAAAAATGTTAATATTGTGGAAAAAATGTGTCTCAATTATTGTTAATATTTTGTATACAAAGGTAGTTTTTTTCTGTGTGCGACCTAGATAAATTACACAGTTAAAGACGGTCTTAATGAGATTTTAGATTGATTATTTTAATCGGTATTAATTTTGGAAAAATTATTTTTTTCGGATGATTTTTTATAAAAGAATTTTTATTTAGGCAATAAATACGTAACGACCAGTTTTGCTTCAGCTATATTTTCGTCACTAAACTTGTTGTTTTCAAAATTTGTATTTATTGTAATTTAGGCTTTATTTAATTTTATAAATTTTATATTGATATTAAATTTATTACAATTAAGGTAGTTTAATAATATAAGAGAAAGTAAATATAAATATATATATTTGTTACATTTTCTTCATTTGTAATTTAGGAGATATTAAAATTGTACAGTACCTGTCTTTTCAGAAGAGAAATATGGTTAACACCAAAATATATTTAAAAAAATTGCATTATTAAAAATATTCATCATTGAGATGGAGCTAAACTAAAATATATTTTTTTAATAAATTTAACACTCAAATTTCGATCGCTAGAAAAACCCTAATGTACTCTATTAAAAAAAACTCGCTTGTTCTCACATAGTGAATATTTTTAATGTTCGAATAACTACGACATCAATGTCTCGTTCAAGTGTACATTATTTAGATTTATATTCCAGGTAACTTGGTCGCATTTTTGCCTGTTTAGTGCAAAATTCGCAACCCGATCAAAATTACTTTTATTATTAAGACGATTGATATACAGGGTGAGTTGACAAAGCGGAAATCTTAGTGCCATCAATTTTTTTTCAAAATAACTCAACAACTGTAAGATGTGTGAATTTATTGAATCAAAAATTGTGTAATTTCACGAGTTATTTACAAGAGAAGAATTATTTAGGGGTTGTCGCGCTGTTAATTCAACTTGTAGGTAGTAAATAACAAAATCAAAATAAAAAATTTCGTTTTATCGATACTCAAATTTGCGAGCAAGTTCCCATGCGGTCAAATCGAAATTTGATAAGAAAAATCGACGTTTCATCAATTTATTCTGTTGTATTTAATAAAGACTTGTGTTAACCCATGAATATTAGAATTCTGTAGGTTGTATCTGAATGTGTAGAAAACTCCTTCGTTGCATTAACACTTATATCAAATCATATTTGTTTACTATTTTATATCTTTAATTTTTTTTTACTTTTGTGCACTTTATAAAATAACTTGTATTAAAAAAACGTTTATATTATTTATGTAAATATAAAATTAAGTTGAACAGTTGCGGAGCTTTTAAATTAAACACTACCCCACTTTGAACAAATCATAGATAATCAAGTGTTGGTTATTACTTACTGGTTACAACTTTAGGGCCTGTAACTTCTCAGAAATTCAATTGAGTTAAACAGCAAATTTTGGGCTTCCCTACTCGCTCCTACTCTGTGCCCGTTCTTATAAAATTCCAATATTTCAAATGTTCAAACAATCAAATGAAAACGATTTAAATCTTACTCATAGCACACTTCTCCTTGGACTTCCCCGAGGCCTTTTCCACCGCTTTGACTTTGGAATCGTACACCTGCATCTTGAACAGTATGTTATCCCGGCTCTTCTTGTTGACGGCCTCGATCTTCAAGCAATTGTTGACCAATTTCTGCGACCACAGCTTCCACTTCTCCGCTTCGCGCGCGTTTTTAACGCACAATTCCTCCACTAATTTGTTGAATCTCTCCTCTTTGGCCTTGGCCGCGGCCAAGAGGCTTTGGGAACCGTTCAGGCGCCTCAGCAACTCGGCCCTTTCGCTCTCGAATCCTTCGATTTTCCGCTGGCACTCGCTCAGGATGAGGGCGAGGTGTTTCCGGAACTTGACTTCCTGGTTTTTGAGTTTCTCCAAGTGCGCTTTGGACTGGGATTTGGTTGAGTTCGAGGCGGTTTGGTATTTTTCTTCGATCTCGTTCAGTTTGCTGAAGTATTCTTGTTGGATTTCTTCTCTTAGATTTAGTTCGATTGTCATCAAGTTTGCTTCGTTGTTGTTTTCAACTTGTTGCATTTGTGCTCTAATATTATCGGTTTGGGTGGATTCGTCGATTTTTTTATTAATTAATTTAATTTCGTCGGTTAAACTCGATATTTTATTTTGTAGAGTTGCAATTAATTCATCTTTTCGATGCAATTCTGTTGTTAGTTGATCGAATTGTTTTGCACTGTTGTCATATTCCTCATTAGCTGCTTTCAATTTTAATTCTATGCTACATTTATCTCTTTCGGCTTCATTCTTTAATTCTAATATCTGCTTCATGCTTTCTTCAAGCTCTTTTATCTTATTTTCAGACATCCGTAGGGCTTGTACGCATTTCAAATACTCCTGTTTCAGAGATTCGTCTTCCGTTTTTATATTGCGTTGAGATTTCTCTTGGAGAATACGATTTAATTGTTCGATTTCGTTCGATGAAACAATCAAATCGTTTTTCAGCTTTTTGATTTCGTTTTCAAAGTTGTTCCTCTCCTTCTCAGATACAGTCTTCAGGGCTTCCAGTTGGTGCTTATTGTCCTCATCTTGCCGGATGAGCTGCAGCTTCAGTTCTTCGGAAATCTGCAGCTGTTCTTCGAGTTCCTGTATGCGTAGCCCTGCCCTATGGAGCTCTTCGGTCATTTTCTCCAATTGGGGAATGCTGTATTTGGCGGAGAACGTTTGAATGTCGTTTCTGGTTTGGGATAAAGTTTCCTCTAATTTCGTGAGGAGGTCTTTGTTCGTGCTGTTCAACTGCAGGATTTGCTGGTTTTTATCTTCGATGGTTTGCTTGTAGTTCCGCAGATCATTCTGCATGAGGATCAGATTTTTGGAGTGATCGGCATTGTCGCATTGCTGGAATTCCTTTCGGTAAGAGTCGGTTTTCAGTTTCCTGTATTCCATCAGCTCCTTGAGATTCTCCTCGTAGTTATTTAGTTTTGCATTGAGAGTGTTTATTTGTACCGATTTGTCTAGTAGCATTTTCTTCAGTTTCTCCACGCTGCTTACTAGAGTGTTGAAGTCTGTGGAGCTCCTTTTGATCGGGGAATTGCTGTAAATATTGTTTACTCTGTCTTGTAAATGTTTGTTTTCGTTGGAGAGTGTTTCTACAACTTCGATGAGGGTCTCGCATTGGTTTTGGGCGTCTTCGAAGTTTTTGGTTAAGGCTTTTATTATGGTCGAGTTTTCTTCGTTGACTTCGATGAATTTGCTTAATTCTTGCTTTAGATTAATGTTTTCTTTTTCGATGTGTTTCGCTTGGATTATTTTTTCTTCCAGCAAGGTTTCTAATTTGGTTATTTGTTCTTTGTGTGCCGCTTTTAATTCTTCGGAATTGTGGTGTTTGTTAATATTAGAGAAAGGATTCTTATCACCTTGTAGTTCTCTGTGCATGCCATCAATAGTAGATTTGTAAGTTGATATTTCTATTTGTAGATTCTCCCTTTCTCTTTTGAAATCATTGATTTGTTGTTCTTTGTTTTCAAGTAATGATGTCAATTCGTTAACTTTCTGTATTTTTTCGCCTAATAATTCTTCGCTGTTTTTGTAGGATAGTTTCAATTGTTCAAACTCGGCTTCTGTTAGAGTTAGTTTCTTTTTTACTACGTCTACTTGGTGTTGAAGTTTTTCAGTAACTTTCTTATGTTCTTCTCGTAGAGCTGCCAGTTCTCTACCTCGTACTTCAAATAAAACTTTTAATTGTTCGTGCTCGTTCTCAGCCTTTAGGAACTTATCCTGAGCGTCGTCGGATATGGCAGATATTAGCGAAGAGTTTACTGTACTTTCGTCGAACTTGAAATCGTCTAGTTTAGTGATGAGTAAATTTTGCAGCTCCTCTTTCCTGCGTATCTGGTCTTCCAAATCTTCCTCCTCCTCCTCATTTCTCGAATTGGATATGCTTATGTTGGCTCCTTGGAAAATACTACCGCCGGCTGCATCCATTTAATATTTATTACGTATTTCTTTACTATAAATTGTATGAAACAATTTTGTTTTGTTTTCCGTTAGGTTTAGTTTGAAGTTTAATTTTGACGTAACGTATAAAAAAAGAAGAAATGATTCTACTTACCAACACAGTCAGAGGCGAGCCGATTGTTTTAAGATTTAGACAGGACAGGACTTGCTCAAATACACTATAATTAAAATGGTTTTTTTTAATTATCATAGGAAAAATTCATCAAATTAAATACGTGGATATATTTGAACTAGAAAAAAAGGAAATATATTCTTGAAATTCATTAATTAATTCAAATAAAAGATATAATTATTCCATTTAGTTACAATAATTTAGTAGTCTCTAAAACTCCAATAACAAGCAAATATATTCTACATATAGGTTACAACCTAGCAGCAAGCAATTAGTAAAAACAGTGTACAGCCATTGTTTTATAATTCAGAAATTTTTTACATTAAGACATCCCGTTTAACAGGTCGCTAATATACGATTCAGGATTAGGTATAACATCTAGTAAACCTGCAACAAATAACGACATAAGTTTCGGGATATTTTTTCGAATATATCTCCCACATTACCTGCCACATCACAAAATTCAGTAAAGTAAGTACAGGGTAAAAATTCCTCCGTATAAGCGGCCAGTAGTTTTTCCGAAGACTTTAATAGAGTCTCATCGTTGTGGCGAATGTAATCCGCCAAATTAGTAGACCACTGTTCGTCAGAGCCCCCGACATTCTATTAAAAAAATACACATTAAAACATCCATCATTCGAAGCGATTAATCACATTTACCTTGAATAAATAGTTGTAGATTCCGTCTATTAATGCAAAGAAAAGCAAGTGAGGCTTGTACACCGCGTAATCCTTCACCTCTTTATCTGATATGCTTTTCACGGGGCCTGATGGGTGACAATGTCGCATATGCGAAAGTATCAAAATTCTACGGAGGTGAGAAAGTTTATGCGCCTGCCACTGCTGGTAAGAATGAAGTAAAACCGATATAGTCAGCCAATACAGAGGACCTTCCGCTTCGTAAGCAGACTCCAACCATTTCTCCAGGTTCGAATTCTCCAAATACGCCTTCAAACTCGACTCTTCGCGTTTATTTACCCTCGTGCTAAAACGAAAAGCAATGAAAATTATGCTAAAAATCGTTAAAATTAGCGTGTTCGCTTACGTATTTATCACATATAAAGCTACATGGATGAGGTAAGGTATAAGGTGCATGTTACTTTGGGCCCCACCGCCGCCTGTATCTTCGTGGAAGGACTTTTCGTGGGCGAATTTCAACAATAAAATCTTCAAATCGTGTATCGTAGAACTGTGACCGATATCTCTGTGATTAGTGCTATCCTGAGGATACAAAAACAGTTCGTTAATATAATAACTCGATTATTACAAGTTTTAATCGTTAATTTACCTGTAAATATGTGTTATGACGTGCCAAACAACTAGCGAACGCCGATTCCGGCACTTGCGGGCCCCACAAAGGCAACAGACCGTTACATTTGGTGTTCGCATTTTGCAGCGCCGCCGATTCCCATTCATCACGCGCCCTGGCCAACCTAATAATAATAAATTCATCATACAAATCCATTCCTTTAATTCATTTCGTAACACCTACCTGACAGCGCTCATGTGACAATCGATGTGCACGATATTGAAGTGACTGACGGTCGTGTAGCCGACGGTCTTCCTCGGTTTCACTTCGAACTCTTCGACGTTGCATCTCTTCGTAAACGTATACAATCCTAATACTTTCGTCGGTTGATATTTGTAACCCTCCCGGCAAATGCAACACACCAATCCCGACTCCTCGCCCAGCTCTTCGATCTGGTGCAGGATATTCGATTTCGCCGTAACTTGACCTAAAAATTTACGAAAAAAACATTATTAAATAGTTACAATAGTTCCCTTCAGGTTACAGCAAGGTACAGGCGCTGTGTAATGGGCCTGGCGGTATTCCAAGATGGAAGGTAATCTAGCCAATACTATGCTTCAACCGCCTGTTTATTATTACCTCAGGGTTTTAACCCCAGATTCCTAATTATTACAGGGTGAATGGGCCCAGAGGCTCCATCTAACCGGCTCCACCGAACCTTAACCAACTACTCTACCCACTTTGCTACTCTTTAGTAACATTTTTACGTGTTCTAAACGTTCTAATCTACTCTAGAACAGCACCGTTTACCTTTGTCGTTGGTTCTCATTCCCAATTGGCCGAGTTGTTTCTCTCTCATGGCCATGGCGAGGCGTTTTTTCTCGGAACGGGTAAAGTCCCGAACGGCGTCGATTTGCTTGGCGACCTCGGGATTAGTGCAAAGGGCCTCGAGCAAATTCTCCGCCAGCGAACCGACGTGTTCGTCGGACGAAACTTGCTCTAAACGGTGGATGATCGGTATGGTTTCGGCGGAGGCTATAGCCAACTAAAACGCAGGTAACCAATTAGAAATTTCGCAATTACAACGAGCTTGTAGTTTATACGTACTTGGGTTTTCTCGTGGCTGTGCGCCAATCCCGTGAGAAAGCGTAGAATGTACTTCAGGGCCGGCTTCGAAATGAAATCCTTCAATTCGTCGCTGTCGACGCGCAGTAGAGTGGGTTTGACGCAGGGCGCGTGGACTTTGATGTACTCCAGCGCGTTTTTCACTACGTCTAAACTGATAATGTAGTCTTTCAAAGTGTTACCGATCGAGTTCTTTTCGATGCCGTTCGTCAGTACGCAGAACATTTCCAATTTCTGTTGATCGTCCGGAGTGTGTTCCCAATCGTATTTGACGAAATCCAAAACGGGATTGAAGTGATCCAGTAATATTTTCATTTTTTCTTTGTTGTCGTACACCAACGCGGCCAATACTCGCGTTAAATGGACTAGTACGGAATTGGTTTTTACCACAGGTTGATTGGTACAAGATAGCAGGGATTTGACGTAGTCGGCGCTACCTAAAGTCTTGGAGAATTCCTTGAACTTCTCCTCGGATTCGCCGGTCGCTTTCGATAGAATGGTTTCCATAATCTGCGATACAAAATGCACCGAATTACATTTCTAATAAACTAATAGATAAATTAACACGTACGTCTAAAAGTTGTTCGGTTACACCGTTCTGACTAGAATCTTGATCACTGTCGAGGCATAGTTGGAGTGTACGTAAGAACACTTCCATCGATTTGATTTCGGGTTGAATCAACACTTCCTGGCAACGGTTCACTTTCACGCATAATCTGAATAATTTCAACAACACTTGAAGGAGCGGCTTGGCTCTAGACACGCTCTGTATCGCTCCCAATCGAATTACCATTACCTAAAAAAATGCATTCGGAATTTATAATCGAGTTATGGACTCGATTGATATGAAAGTACCTGAAGACCACCGCATTCGGCCAAGACGTTGGCCATTTTATACACCTCTTCGTTGTCGATGTCGCTTTGCGATTTATTACTTAGATTTTCAATGAATTCCTCCGTAGCGTCTCCGAGTAATCCTCTCATTCTGTACACTATCCTCATCGGTTCGTGATCGCCGCCTTCGGCTAACCAAATCTTTAAAACAAATTTAAATAAAGACTTGTACGATTCATTATAAACTACAAATACCTTTTTATATACATCCTTAACTTGTAAATCTAAACTCATAATCTTATTATTAACTAACAGTTCCATGCCGTTGTCGTCTTCCAATAGAGCGACTAATTCGCAATCCTGGCAAATTTTGTTCTTCACGTCTCTCATTAGAGGACCCAATCCGGCTTCCAAGCTGCAATAGGGATTGCCCAACATGCGGCCCTGTAAATACAACGAATAAACAAGGCTCGGAACGTAATTTAATCTATCAAAATTCACCTGTAGAAAGTCTTCCTGTTGCGGATCTTTATCGAGCGTGAGGAAAAACTCCCCGACGTCGTTCTCTTCGGGATAGATGATCGAGCACAAACGCTCGAATATAAACACGGGCGTCAGTATATCTTGAAGGCTGTAACGTTCCACCGTCTTTATGCACACCGACATGAAAGCTTTGGTTTCCTCTTCGGTACCCGTCGTCATCTCCTCCAACAATTCCAACAACTTCTCCTGCGTATCGTCGATCAATCTGGTCCGTTGGACGACCAATCGCCTCAACGACAGGTACCCGTTCAACACGGCCCCCACCAATCTGCCCTTGTAGTGCCTCCGGATGGTGGCGTCGTCCAAAAACGACGCCAACAACTCCGTGATCTGGTTCAAAGCGTACCCCTGGGCCAGATCGGACGTCAGAGTGGTCTGTTCCAATCGATGCAACTGCTCGATTTCGACGGTGATCAAATGCGCCAACACCAACAGCACCCCGTTGACGGTCAGGTACTGCTTCCAGGGCGTCTCCTGTATGAGGTTCTGGTAGAGGGCCAGGAATTCGGCGGCGCTCTCGCCGGCCGCGCTCAATTCAACCAGGAATTGCGTCAGCAAATCCAAGATGTCGCGTTTGCGCTCGAACGAGCTGCACATGGTTTCCAAAATGCCGCAGGCCACCTGCCGGGCCAATCGGGAACTCGAATTGAAGATGACCGCTTTCAACCAAGACGTGTCGTTGAGGTTGAGCTTGTCGCGCGCGTAGAGTTTCTTCGCGTGTAATTTCCATTTGCGCGCGTACTTTTCTTGTACGTAGTACCTTCGAATCTGTAAGAAAAGTCGTTTTTAAATGTATACGAAGTGAAAGAAAAGTAGTAAATTTGGGGAGCTTTTTTTTATATTATACCTCGTCTTTGCTGGGTTTCGATGTCGATGGACATTCAGAAGTGTTAGGGAAACGGGTTTTCCAACCGTTGAACGTGTGATCGGGATCTTTTTCCAAAAATTTCCTTACATCAACAGTCGTGCCCGCCAAAGGAACGTTATTAATACTATACGCGTTCGATTTATCCTGAAAAAAATATATCACTCGTTAATCAAAAGAAATATAACAACAATCGTTACCGACCTTAGTTTTCTTGTTATTATCAGGTGGTTTCATTAAACTTTGCAGGATCTTCAAGCACGGTAATATAACCGACTCCATGACCAAAGGACTCTTCGAGCCCTCGCACGCTTTCAAAAACAATCCCATCATGCAGCGCAACTTCAACTCCCAACAATCGTCCTCCTTCTGCACCATCGCCGACAGCAAGGCGATCTCGTGCCGGACGCCGGTGCCCAAATCGGCGGCGCTGATGTGGCCGCTCAAGCTCAAACTGATCCTCTCCATCAGCAGATTACAAAGCTCATCGGTGGCCTCGCGGTTGTCCTTGGTGAGGACGCACAGCAACTGCCTGACCTCCTCCTGATTGTGCACGGTGCCGTTGCGCAGGTTGTTCCAAACGAGCTCCTGGATGAGCCCTTTGGCGCAGAGCACCTGTCTCGTCGTCGAATTGTGCGCGAGCGCCCGAAGTAGCGTCAAGCAGTGTTCCGTGGCGGCGGTCGAACAACCGTAGCAGCGGTTGTTGAAGCACGACGAGGCGATGAGCGAATCGTTGAGGACGGGCGTCGATTTCGGCAGCTCCATATCCCTGTCGAACGGATCGCTGATACAATTTATTTATTATAGGAAGCGGGGCGGATTGTTTACCTGTGTTTTCTGTCGTAAGCGACCAGCTCCTTCCTCGATACTAATACTTTTTGAATGATCTTACTGAGTTCTTCGAACGACGTTTTACATTCGTTACAGTACTGTTGCGCCAGCATTTGTATGGTTTTGTTAACTTTGAGCTGAGAACCGCCGGTAGCGGCGGAAGCCGCCGTGTTCGAAGTCGAATTCGACGAAGATGAATCGTCAGACTTTCTATCCGACCTGAAATTTACACCGATTAAACATCCACGACGAGTACAAATCGCTTAAAAACACCAACCTATGCTCGGTGATCTTCAACACCAACGATTCCAACGTCGGTTTGTTCGCTATCAGCTGTTTGTAGACCCTGTCGGCCTTCTCCAACAGCGAATTGATGCTCGATACGGTCTTCTTCCTGTCCTCGTCGTTTTCTATCGGCTCGACGGCGCAACAGGGCTTGGCCAACAGACTGAAATCGAATTTGGCGTACTTGCAAAAGCCGCACGCGTGACATAGGAACGGATCTTTCTCGTCGTAATTAATGGCGCGGCATTTGTGGCATTGGAACACGTTTTCACCGCAGTTCGCGCAAACTCCCGGATTCGCGGGCACCGAAGCGCTGCATCTATAAACCAAATAGAATTAGAATCGATGTATTAAGCGGTAGTTTCGGTGAGTTACCTCGGACATTGTAGAGTTTCGGAGGAAGCTTGGATGTTTTCGTAAAAATCGGCATATTCGACCATCAAATTGCAAGCGACAATCGGTAGGGGAAATTCGATTTTGACTTCGGTTTGGCCGCTTTGTAAGGTCACTTTTTTAGCTTTGTGCCACAGAGCGGGCTTGTTTTTCAATTCGACAACGGCCTGTACGGATCTGTTGTTGTAGTAAATGTTCACCGTTCGAACCATTTTCGTCCGCTTCAAGTCGGCTATTCGTATGGTTATCTTGCTGATAGTGTGACTGGATAGCAGTTTAACTATCTGCGTCGTGGTGGTAAACTTGGAATCGATTTTGATGGAACTCAATTTTATCATGGTAAAAGGTACCTCGGGATTGTTGCAAACCAAGCAAGGCTCCGATTCCAAATAATAGCCGTCTAAATCTACAAACTGGCCCATGTGCGCGTACAAATTGGCGTTCGGATGATGCGCCAGCATCTCGTTCTGAGCTTTCAGGACGCTCAAAGCTCGTTCCACATACTCCGGAATCGAAACAGCCCCTTCGGGTTTCTCCGTGTACTTGAGAGAAAAGTAACCCAGCAAATCGACGAATTGCGCCGCTTTGCGTCCGTAAGCTGGCAATAGAGGCCACAATTGCCACAACAGCTCCAAAATGGACTCCTGATCCTTCGATTTCGAGTTCTTGTAAATAGCCTGAACGAGCGCGTGCGCTTGCCAACGCACCGACGTTATATTAGTCTCCAACATAAACGTCTTCACGAATCTAGCGAACACTTCTCGAGATATCTGCTTGGTGATCTGTTCTACTAATATTACGGAATTGGACTCCTCGAAGGCGGCTTCGACGCACGAATCGTCGGATTTTTCGCGGTCCTTTCGCGACGACGTCGCTTTGCTCGTCTCCGCTTTCTTCGTAGAGGATACATTGATGACCAAAGCGCTCTGCAAGAGCTGCAAGACCGTAGGCGCTACGCCGTCGTCTAGCAGGAAACTGACGCGCATCAAAAACTGAATGACATCGTCCTCTTTGATGCAGAACCGTTGCCAGTTGCCGGTGCGACTTTGGGCGATCTACAAAATACATCAATCGTAACATCACCTAAATCATACGAGCTAATTCGTTACCTCGACGCAATATTTGAGATGCTCGATGAGCTCGACGAGGGCGTCGTACGGTAGACTCAGAGCGTGTTGAACGTCCATGGCCGGTTGGTAACCGGCTCTATTGCAACATTCTCTCACTTTCTTCATGTGGTTGCGCAGCCCGTGCAAATCTCTAAGTTGCCTGTACGTTTCTTTGTTGCCGCAAATGAACATCAATAATTTTCTTACTTGACGTCTCACGAATGGAGTTTGCGGGGTCATCATGTAGTCGCAAAGGTGATTGTACCTAATAAAAAACGTTTTTTTATAGATTTTTAGTTGGAATATGTAAGTACAATTTACCAAGAGACGTCGAAAGCTAGACTAATTGGTTCCGTTACTTCGGAATGCCTGTGCACTTGGTAGGGTAATCTCAGTGTGATTTCGGTGAGTAGTTGAGGGTAGGTTTGGAAAACGTCGCGATTGTCTTTGACGAATTGCTTCTGGAAGAAAGGCGTCATATCAGGCGGCGGATGCGGCAAGCGTTCCTTCAATAGGTGACCAGAGGCCGTATTGGAATCTTCTTCTTCGTTTGAAGTCCTCCAATAAGATAACAGCGCTTGCAGAAGCTTGTTGCAGTAATTGATTATATCGGCTTTGTGCAGGGCCGTAGCCGTCGTACGCGAGACGTAAGTGGAATTCTCCGAAGCGGTAGTTTTACCGGAATTCGGCCACGATATTTTAACCCTTTGCATAAATACGCCTAAACAAAATAACACATTAGGTAATTCAAACAGTTTTACGAACAGTCGAATTGGACTTACTGAGCAAACGAAGCAGTATCAATTGCACCTCCCTCTGTTTAGTTCTAGTGCAAATATCCGAAAAATTATCGTTATTCAGCTGCAATTCGGATATGATGGCGGCCAACAGCGACACCAAACAGGCGCGATCGCGTTCGCAATGACCGTCAATGTCGGTGGTGAGTTGGAGCACCACTTGCAGGAACGGAATGGCCCGAACGCCATCGACGGACTTCAATTTCGGCAAGTACTCGATCAATTTCTCCAACAGCTGCAATCTCAGCACGTGCAATCTACCGCTATTTTCCGTTTCGATTTCGACATCGTCGTGCGGAGCATCGGTCTCCGTTAAGCCGGCGGTATTAGCGATGGAACTCGTATCGGATCTCGACACCAAGTTTATCGCTTCTTGAATGTTGTCTCCGTACGCCGAAGACCTGAATACAACAATTACAAGTTAATACGCCAACGATCAGTCGCTAAACTAAACACTGACCTTCCCGAGACGTTATGCTCGCCCGTGATACTTTCCACGCCGCTACCGCCGCTCTCGGAACCGGCCTGCTCGGCCGGTGAAGTTCTCAAAGTGGATCCATCCGTGGCCGCCGTAGAGCCTTCGTCGTCCGAACCGGCCGCAGAAGCTGTGGTATCGCTGAAATTCGCGGCTTCTTGAGCCTGAGCCGACTGTCCGACTTGATGGCCGAGAACGACTTCGTTGCCCAGCTGCAAGCCTTGTAGAGTTTGGTTTTGCTCGCCGCCGATGTCGTGTTCCTTAAAAAAGAAAACAAATCATTGTAGCGCGCATAGTGTGGGATATTCGAAGTAGTTCATATGACCACCCCAAATATGTAATTTTTATTTGTCCAATGTTGTTCATTTTGGTTCATTCAGTTCGTTGGATTTTTTTCCAATAACCTATGTATGTTACGTCGCTGATTTTTATTTTTGTAAATTTATTCGTTCCGTTGTTTGTTTCGCTGAAAGAAAAAAGGCCATGTCTGTCAATTCGGAATCGATGACATGAAGGACGATATAACCTCACTTTTTGACATACGCATTTTTAAACAAAAAAATCTTCCTACTTCTTTTTTCCAATAATCCAATAACTTTAGAGGTGCTCAAGATAAATACCAAGATAAACGCAAAATTGTTACGTCCCTATTGAACAATCCAACATTACAACGACGGCCTTTACTAATTCAGCAATTCAACCCGTACGTACTTGCAAACTCAACGCGATGGCCAACTCGACCATAGCCTCGTCGTCGGCGTCCAAAAGCTGCGGAAACCCGACGCCGCCGCCGAGCAGCGCCTCCAGCGGATTCACGTCGAGATTGTTCTGCTGCTGGCCGTTCTGCTCCAACAACCCGATCGATTCGACGGCGTCGACGTCGAACCGGTTCGCCTCCTCTCTGCTAGTTTGTTGCGCCGCGACCGGCGGCGGTTTCGCCGCCTCGCCGTCCGAGCTCTTGGCCGGCGGCGGCGGCGACGCGCATCGCGGCGGGCTCGGTATCAGCACCTTGCGACGCTTCGTCTTCGGCTTCAGGACGATGCCGAGCGCTTGGTTGACGCTGAACGCGATCTGCGGATCGTCGCACAACAACAGCCGGAGGTAGACGCCGATGGTGACGTCGCCGTAGGCGTCGCACGCGTTGAAGGCGTGCACGATCTCGACGAGCGCGTGGACGATGCGCTCGGTGTGCTTGAGACCTTTCGATACGACCAGAGACAGCGACGGTATGTCGGGATTCAACGAATGAAGCAACCAGAGGACTTCCATTAGCTGGATAAGGAGGTGTTGGCTTTTCGGTTTTTTCTCCGGTTTTTTATCTAATAACACAATCGAAATTAGCGCGTACTCGATATGCACCTAAAACGAATCAGTACCTGGATTAAATATACTCTCTAAAGGATCGTCCAAGACGACGTCTTGTATCGAAGTGTGGCTGTCGGCGAACTTGACGAGATTCTGCGGACGCGACACGGCTATGCCTCGTACGAGCAACACCAATCTGTAATAACTCTCGGCGTCTAAATCTTTAACGTCGGAATTCGTCATTTCCGTTAGCGTTTGCAACACGTGCTGCAATATCGCCTGGTCCTTGTAATTGTGGTACTGCTGCTTGGTCGAGTACAGCGAAGACAATAGAGCTTTCGAATGGATTTGAATGGACGGTTGTGTGGGTAGCGTTAGAAGTTGCGTGGCGACTTGTAACGTAGACGTTTTGAAATTCGCTATTTTATCGTCGGCCGTGTGAAGAGAGAACGTACCGTCGAGCGATTCCAAAATGCTGACGACGAGCCTACAAAAAAATGATTGAATTAAAAGTTCTTTAGGGAGCTTCTTACAAGTACATACTTTTCGAGCTTGGTCAGCTGCGGTTTGCTGCCGGAGCAATGCTCGTTCTCCGAGCTGGCGACGATTTGTTGGTTATTGCTGTTACCACCCGCTGGTACGTTCTCTTCGTTCTCCTCGGGCCAACCGAACGCGTCTTTGGTTTTCCCGTACACCTTGATGCTATCCACCATTGTGACGTTTTCGGCGTCTTGCGATGGTCCGAAGAGGATGCTCAGTTTCTTGTCGGCTTGGAGGGTTTCCTCACGCGAAAACGGTATGTCGTACCATCGGCTGCGCGTCGCCGCGAACGGTATGATCCGCTCGAATATTCGAATGTAAGAAGGACACCTCTGGACGTCCTGGCTGCCAATCAGCACCCTCAGACCCACCATTACCATGTTGGAGTCGTTGTTGTTGATGTCGATGGTGAAACCTAAGGGTTTGTTGCATGCCACGTACAAGCCGGTGGTGTTCAGGCGGTGCTTCAATTGAGCCTGATTGTAGATTTGGAGTAGATCGTTGCCGCCGATCTCCAAGTCGCTCATGGCGGTGCAATGTTCGAAGAAATCCACGGGGAAGTTCAACGAATTCGTCGTTTTGCCCGATTTGATGGCTTTCTTTTTCTTGGGTTTCACCGTGGCGTTGACTATAGTCGCTTGGATGTTCGGAGACATCCAAAATCCTGCAAATTACACACGATAACACATTTCGAACGTTCAAAAATTATCTACAATTACCCGTTTGTTGCATATTAGCCATATACATTTTCAAACTCCCGTCTTCGCAGAGCAATATCAACGTCGTTCTCAAATCGTTTCCGGAATTGTGCCTGATCGCTACCATATCCATTATTTTCGATTTAGCCGGCACCACTCGAATTTCCTGTATCATAACGGTGTCCGGTCTGAGCATCAAAATGACGGGATTGTTGTTCGATTGCATGGCGCAGCAAATCAAACCGGGATGATTCGGAATCTCCGTCCACTGGCAGAGCGGTTGGGCGGCGGGATTCTTCGGGCCGTTACTCTTCGACGTGCTGTTGTTCGACTGCGGAAGATTGATCGGAAACGCGGCGGGTAGACTGTTGCTGTTCGGCGTTATCGGCGATATGAAACTCTTCCCTTGAGCGTAGCTGTAGAACAGAAGCCCCAGCGTGTGCGAGTAGTAAATCGACACGCCGCCTCCTGCTACTTGACCGTTAACGTCCTGCAATCGTGAACGAGCTAGTAAAAAAATACCAAGCGTGAAGAATATTACTTACGGCCGCTTCCAAGTGGAACACCTCCAACGTATTAGTCACGTAAAACGATCCGTATTTGGTAGAAGAATCTTCGTTTAAAATTTCCGTGTAGATGTGGCCGGGCGACGACATGAGTAGTATGTGGTAGGTGCCCTCTTCGTACATGAAAGTGCAATCGCGTATCTTACCGCTGGGCACCAAAAAGAAATATTCGGGACTGACGGCGTCCGCGCTCAAATCGTAGATTTTGACGAAATCCGCCGTGACGAGGGCCAGCTTCGTTTGCGAGCCCGGCAACCAGATCGATTTTATGATGAAATTGCCGGTTTCCAATTGAGGATGGAGCACCAGGTGATCCGACACCGAGCCGCTCGATGTAAATGTTAATACATGGCAATCTTTAAGACCGCAAACTGCCAGAAAGTCTTCGTTACACAAATTACTGGATAGAGATAGTACGGTAAACGGTATAGGTGCAGTAGATAGTCTGGTCAACGTTAGTTTTCTCGTCGACGAATCGGCTTGTTTTAACAACGCCGATAATTGCAGGACGGTTATTTTTCCTTTCTCGTGTGATACAGCCAGATGTTGCCTTCTGCCTTGCGTAGAAGTCATACAGCACATCGCTATCCTTCGAATTATATGCGCAGATAGAAGCTGTCGAATCGTTTGGCCTTGTTCGCCCGCGTAATTCATGCGAACGTTCTCGAAAGCGCCCTCTTGCGAGCCCAGCGTGGGCACCATCAATTGATCGGTATTCACGTATTTCTTCTCGTTCGAATACAACTGATCGAGCGCCTTGACGCCTCGATTGTGACATCCCACCAACGAGTTCTTGCGACAATGATCTTCGACGGCGGGTATCAACGAGCACAAGAAATCCAACAGAGAACGCGTTATTAAACTCGCTCCCAAGTAGTATACTATAAATTCCTTGGCGCCGTCGAGATGCTTCACTGTGTTGATCGATTTCCTTTCTTTATAAACAGTCTGAAACAACAATTAGAAATTAAAAAAAAAGCGTATTGTTATAAATAAATGGTACCTTATCAGTAGGTACAGGACTCGAGGTTCTCCTCCTCAACGAGCTAGTCAATATATGCTCCGAACTACCGACCGCCCCGGACGCCGCGTTACCCTCGCAGATTTGCGGACTCCTCTTCACCAGCGCCTGGCACGTGCCGTCCTCTTTGGCGCCGCAATCGCAGAAGAAATTCCCGTATTTGGCGTAGCTCAAATCGTGCCCCTTGTGACAGACGCGCGCGCATATCGAGCACACGCCGACGCCGTCGAGCATCTTGCACGTGTGACAATGGTACCAGTGCTGGTTCATAAACTCCTTTTGCGTCACGGTGAACGTGCACAGCTTGTTGCACAGCGAATCCTCGTCGCTGTCCTCGCCGCTGTCGTCGTCGTCGCCGAAGTCCGGCCACTCCGAGTCCAAGTCCAACGGGGTTTCGTGCTCCCACGGCGGGCTGAGGGGCCGCGCGACCGCCGGCGATCGTTGCGCTGTGATCGACGACACGACGTCGCTGACGTATTCGAGGATGCAGGAGGCCGCCTCGATCATGGCGCTGCTCTTCGAACCGTCCGAATCGTTCGTGAGTTTATCGGCGACGTCTTTTTCTGTAGTGTATTGGTTGCAAATTTCTATCCAACCCGCCGTCGCCGGGAACAGGAAGCTGTGGCCTAAAAATTAAATTTAAGTTGTATATTATTTCGGTTTATATAAGCTCAAAAATGTTTCACCTTTGCCCGATCCGGCGTTCGCCAACATGATCATATCTACCATGAGATCGGTGAATCCGGCTCCTTCGAAAGCGGGCGAAAGCAAATACTTAGCTAATTGAATAAGAGCTTTCAATATAGTTATAGACACTTCTTCGGACACGCTGCTGTTTTGTTTCACGATAAAGCTAGTTATAGCCTGTAGTAATTGACTGTTTTCTTGCACTAGAGACTTTTGATCGGCGCTGGAAGGCGACGATAAATCCTTGTTATCGAAGGCCGTGATGGTGTATTTGCCGTTGCTCGACGTGGCCGGGCTGTCGTCCTTGTTGAGCGTCGCCGACGAGACCAGCGGCTCGACGCCGCCGGTGCCGATGATGATCTGGCGCAGCCACGTTTGGAGTTTCTCGTTGTCGACGTCGGCCAGTTTGCTCATGCTGGAACAGAGGTAGTTCAGGCTCGGATCGGTGGAGCTCTTTTCAGCAGCTTGGAAGAGTTTGTTGAAGAAACGCAACACCCTCGTGCCGTACTGTTGCGACGTCTGCGGACTCGACACGGACATGAGGACTTTCACCAGGTCCTTCTCGCCGGTGAAGAATATTTCCAAGGCCTGTCGACCCGAGGATTTCTCGATGATTTTTTCGTAGAACTTCAGGCAATGGTGCAAGACGTTTTCGTCGATGTTCGAACTGTAATGCTCCGAATTTCCCGACGTGTAGTTGGTGATTAATTTGTATGTATGTTCCAATACTCTCAGGTAAACGCGTTTCTGATGTTCGTCGGTTTCCGTATCGCCAATCATCTTATCCAATGTTTTCGTTACCGAATCGTATAAATATTCAGTTCGTAAATCTAACGTAATCGATACCAACAGTTCGATCGCTTTGTTTTTAGTATCGGTGTTTTCCGTTTTCGGCGCGTGATCACAGATAAATTTCACCAGGCATTGCAAAAGTCGCCTCAGTGATAAATTTATGCTGTAAGGACTGCTTAGAGAAAGCGTCGCGACGTGTGCGTCCACCACCTTCAAAATGGCGCTCTCCGATGGAATAATGTCGTTCTGACAGGACGCGATGAAGGAATCGTCCAGAATCGATTTGTACGATTGCAATTGATTGGCGCTGACGCACGACGGCAGTAGAGACGTCAATTCGGACGAAAGGGAACTCGTCAGGGTGTTTTTGGTGGAGGAAATCGCCAAGACGTCCTGCAAACCTTCGAAATTTTGCAACGAAAATTTATTGGACGAGGCATTCTGATCGGCGATGGTGTGCAACAAAGACCATCTGGTGCAATGTAAAATCGCCTGGGTGAGTCTCAGGACGTGCGGTAAGAGGTCTTGAACATAGGTCCCGTTCGAAAGCGTGATGGAACTGGATTCGGAAGAACCCTCCGGCTCTTCCAGACCCACTTGGACTTTGGTCATTAGAGCGTCCAAAAGGAAAAGATGCCACAATGGCGGTAAATCCTCTTTCTTTACTAAATCTAAAGATAAAAAAAAGTAATGTCAACCTCTATTCTATATACTATAAGAAATAATTACCTTTTTTCACGTCTGGAGTTAGGGATATAATGCAGTTTTTAGCATTAGTAATGTCGTACTTGATATTATTCACAGCTTCCGATACTTCCTTCAACAATTTATCAGTATGCTGAGTGTACATTCCTTGTTTCGTGAGACAATCTTTCAACCATCTATTGAAATTCTTGTGCGAGGCTCTAGGTCCCCAAATCAACGAATGCAGTAAAAGGGGCCCTGCTGTGAGGTTTTCGCCTGTTGTAAGCCGTTCCATGTAAGACATCGAAGGCGGAAGTAACTGCAACAATCTAAACGAAAAATTATTTAATACATAAATATTTAGTTTATGCGAATATTGACTTACTTCCAACAAATGGTGAAGCAATATTGCGTGGCGCACAGTCCCAAGAAACTCATTTTGAACGCGTTCGCTCCGGATGTAATGTGAGTGACGTTTAAAATTTCGATCAGAGCGTCCAATAACAGCGGATATCTGAGTTTATCGGGCGTTCCTAAGATGAAATTGCACGCTAGACCGTCCAATTTGGGAGCGTCCTGGTTGTTTACGTCTAAATTCGTTAGAATGTAAAAGCGAGGTTTCATAGCCAGCTCGTCGACGGCGGATATTTTACGGTAATTATCCTCGATGTCCTGCCAGGCCGTGTACATTCTCGTCAAGCTGTCGTCTTTTTCGCTTTCCGAGTTCAAATTTGTTAGATAAAACAAGTTCCATTGGATCTAAAATATATGTGAAAACGTTATTATATTTTAGGGTTTATCAATTTTGTAATCTAACCTGTTCTAATAGAGAAGTGGGTGGATCGTACAAATGCTTCATGATGTAATCAAAAAGCAACAACAATCTTGACAAGTGCAATAATTGTGAATCTTTTAAAGGACCTCTAGCAATCTCGGAGCATCTCAATACACCTCCAGCCATAAGCAACACGACAGATTTTTTCTGCATTAAATTAAGGGAATGGAACAGATACAACAAAACCTGCGCGTGTTCAACGTTCAAATCTAAAAAAAAAAACAACAAACATAAATCGTTGTTAATCAGTAACAAAACGTAATAAATACCTTCATTTTCCGATTCAATAACAGAGTGCGCATTATTGAGTACATTCTCAATCAAAGTATTGACCAATCGGTGCCAAATACTTATGACAGAAGCTTCTTTTTCGTTTTGAGGTCTCAGCAACAACACCTGCGCCAAAATGGCTAGTGTTCTCGGATAAACCTGCAAGGGCCACGCGTGGGGCACGTCCGTATTCCACGGCGAAACCCCCAAATGGTTCAACAGACACGCTTGCAAGTTACTCAAGTTGTTGTTTGTGACTAAATTGTGAGCGAATCGAGTCAGAGCACCCGAGAATTCGCAGTAAAGTTGGGCCAAAGCTTGACCGAAATACACCGAAATGGTACCTAAAAAATCAATTGTAATTGAAAATTGCGGTAGAATTAATTGAAAAAAACTTACAGATTTCCGTTCGAGCAGTTTCCCTATCCAGATCTCTAATAATAGCCGCCAAGATGATCATTTGTTGTTCGGTCAAACCGTTCTTGACGTATCTCGAGATGAATGTACTTTTAGTACATAAAAAATGTTTATTCATGAAAGCGAAAACGCTGGTAGATAGCGCGATGAAACCATGCGCTTCGCCTTTTTCCGGAACGACAATTCTAGTACGATCGTGCCCGTCCGATTTCGCTTCCACGTTTTCCGACGACGACGGCGATTTGGTTTCGACGATTTCAGGCGGAGCCAACGTTTCTTCGAACCACTGGCCCAATATCGGCTCGCTATCTTCATCTACACAAACGAAATTCGTATAAGAAACCCATTAAATTGGAGTTTACGTGTCAACTTACCATCATCCGTAGAACTGTCATCGGAACACATGATCATATCTTCGTAGTAAGTGGTGGAATCTGATTGACTGAACGTATCACCTTCAGGCGGATGCAGTCTCTTCAAAGTACACGCTTTTCTATAGCTTACGATTGCTAAATAAAACAACAAATGATTTAAAGGCGCCGCGTTCAGTATCCTCGATACTCTCTGCAGAGCCGTGAACTGTCCCATGATCGCCAACGGAGCGGGTTCGACCTACAAACAATCAAAAATAAACATCAAATATATATGAAAAACAGGCTTATATTACCTGCACGATGCTACTAGCGCCGCTGCAAACTTCCAAATACAAATCATCGAACAATTCCGACAGCAAATGCAGAGCCCTCGACGCCAAGGCGACGGAAAGGACGCCGAAAGATTGCTGGAATTTCTGCAAACCGGATCGAGCCGAATTGCCCTCGCGAGATTTACACGGACTCCTGCCTTTCTCGTCGCGCTCCCGAAGGTGAGGAGTCTTCTCCGTCGTGGTGGTGGTCAAATGCGTTTGGAGACCGGAAACCAACACCCAAGCGCCGGCCAGCAGATAGTTCTGATACACCTAATCCACCACAACAACTCGTTAATATACCAAAACTGTAACTAATTACGATATTACTTACATGTCCACCGGCTCTCGTAGACGTTTTAATCACGTTTCCAATGAAGTTGTACATGTTTAGGGCTTCTTCGACGAGGGATACAGCGTTGGAATCCAGATCGTCCTCCTTCAAGCCGGCTTGCGATTGCTGGTTGGAGCATTTCGGCGAGACTACGGCGCTCATCGATAGCACGGCGGCCGCGGCCGCTTGGCTCAGAGCGCAATGCAACACCGCCATGGCAAGGCTGCACAGTTTGTCCAGTTTACTCGACGTTAAAGGCTCCAAAACCGGTAGATTGATGGCCGACATCGCCAGCATGATCTCCGATAGTGTCGAGGATAAGCTGGGCAACAAACGGTCGTGTTAGTTACTACGGTTGTACTACGAGGGAGTAAACTTACTGGTTTCGAAGGGCGGTGGCTTCGGCGTGGTTAGAAGGCAAGCAGAACGGTTTGCCGGCTAGCGCTTCTTCTACTTTGGATTTGGCTCGTTTTATGGATGGTAAACTAAGGCACAAGTCCACCAGCGTGTCGCCGGCCCTCAGGGCTTGCAAACTCTCTTGATTCGACTTTAAAAATAACCTCTGCAAATCCACGTTAGAAATTAACCCACTCAATTGTGATGAATAATTTAAACGACTTACGTTAATTTCAGATGAAGGATCTCTACCGGGTGTTAAGTCGGGTACAGCAGACGAACCGCTGGCTCCCACATCCGATGTGGCTGTTCGGCCATCGCGTAAAGGCAATGTTAATTGTTCGTAGATGCTGACGGATAAATCCGAACGATTCTTAGGGGACTCTTGCTTGTTACTAACATCTTTGTCGTTACCTAAATCATGCATTCGTTGTTATCGAGATTATTATCGAATTGTTATTGTTACCTGGAGGCGCCGGGTTTTGCTGGGGTAAATTCTCCCCCTTCATGCTGTCGACGAGGACAGTGACCTCTGACGTGGAGAGCAATCCGGTGCCTATGCACAACACTCGGATAGCATTTATGTAGCGTTCGATTTGAGCACTGTTCAAATTTGGTTCACTAGAAGTCGAGTTTAGGGCACTTAACAAATATTTTAATAACACTCTACATGCGGCATTTACAGTCTCTAGCTGGCTTGCAGATACTGTACATGAAAAAAATATATAATACGTTAAAAATTTTGAAATTTGTAATCATAATACCGTGATTAATCACGCGAATAGTAGTTGTAGTTGTAAATAAATTATCGAACGTGGAATTTTTTTGCTTTGAGTAAGTGTTCTTATTTTAGATTGAATCGAAAGTGGTACGATAGGCAGATTTGCAATATTTTTATAGATCAACATCGAAGACAAAGCCCCTTCACATTTAAGCAACTAAAATTAGCCGCTAAGGTCAATGGATTTTTTATTCTACCTTAATACATTGGGCCATTTGATCAATTTAACATTTACGGTTTCCCTGTTTAAACTGTAAAAGGATTAAGGTCGGGATAAAGGAATGACTAATGGCATTAATTTGACTTTTGGTAATTTAACCTAATTTTCTTCGAATAGGTACATTCAATATATCAAAAATAACGTCCAAGAGGAATACTAATTCGATTTGTACATACTAAACTAAGGTCCATTCCGGTGACTGGAATATATTATTAATTAGAGCAATATAGTTACAACTTTATAGTAAAACACATTTAGATACATAAAAAATAACTACTTACATCCACTTGTGCTACTGCTAATGTAATCAGCAGCTAAAACAGCAAAAGAATTGAAGAAATTTTTATTACTATCCTTATGGCGTAAAATCTCAGATTCGCTAAAAAACGAAAACAAAAAATGGGATAAACAAAAAAATGACTGGTAAAAAATCTGTCAGTATTTTTAGCTTAGCTCGATGGGAAACCATCGTCTGATGGTGAAACATTGCGCTTTGCTTACCTTTTAACAATAGCCGAACATAATTCTATCACTTCAGCTGGGTTGGAATTCTCGTAATTTTTCGATAAAAACGGTTTCAAGACACACGTCCAATCTACTCCGCCACTGCTCGCTGCCATTGTAATCTGCCATGCCATTTGCGGGATACGGGAACGAACGATGACAAGTAGGACAAGCCGAATTTTCTAGTTACTTTTTGATTTTTTAACTGTCACAAAAAAACAACTAACCGGATGCGTTCGTTTGAACCAATCCATTTATAAACTATTTAAATAGGATTTATCGGAAAGTTAACCAACCAATTTCAAAAGCAATCCAATTTTACACGCATTTTATTCTACTTAAACTCTTTCTTTATATTGTTCGAATTTTAATTTAATTATTCACTCGCTTTACTAAACATAATTACTCCGAACACTACAAACGAACGTGACGTTATAATTTTCTACTTCTTTTTTATCAATCTGTCAATGTCACTGTCATTTTTTATATGTAAGTCACGTGATAGGAGGATAAGAAGGCGGAGCGGATAAGAGATCCGATAAAAATGTAATTAACTTATGAAGTGAAGTGCCACTAATGAATAAAAAAAAACCCAAGCAATCGGAGAGTCGAGCAGATTATACATCGAGACCCAGACACGTCGCGAAACGATGAGATAAGAAGTGTGTTGTTGTTGTTGTTCGTTCAGTATCGTTTTCTGCGCGATCGAATTATGTAGTTAGTTGCCCTAATAAAACCATAGAAACACCAATAAGATTGACCTATCAGGGTGTTAGGATTAATAATTCGATATACCTGCAAACAACACAATGATTCTAATAGCAGTAACGTTGCTGGTGCTGAGCAGCGGAGCCTTCTGCGAGGAGCCCGACGATTTCGTATTGTGCGCTTCCTATTCAGCTGGTTCTATAGCTCATCCCGCCGACGATATCGTCCCTGAAGCAGCACCCACGGAGAAATTCATTAAATGCAAAGAATATTGTTACACCGTTTGGCTGGAAGATTCCAATGACAATACCTTCGAAGTCCTCGGGCAAGGTATGTTTGTTTCATTGAATTTCGATTGTTTGCTGAGTAATAACGAAGTAGTTTTTTAATGGTTCTTTACGAAAGGATTCAGTTGAAATCCATTTAGTTTCGACTATCTTAAGTAGCACTTTAACACGCAATTAATCTTCTTAAATTACTTCACTCTAAAAGTGGTATGGTTTTCGATGAATAAATATTCATTAAGAACCACTTGAATTTTTTTTGCCAGGCGCCTGTTTGTGAATTATTCATGAGAACAAGAAATTGCTCGATGTACTAGATTGCTGCTTAATTATAACGTGTTTTTGTTTTTAGGTTGTTGGCAAGCTTCGGGAAAGCCGCCGGAATGCGAACGATCTCTATGCACCTACGACAAAGAGCCCCACAAGTCCTTAAACAGCACGAAATTTTGCTGTTGCAACAAAGACAAGTGCAACCTAAATTACACCGATAACTACGTCCCAACGGAAGCCCCGCCGACGGAAATTACACCGAAAGACGAGTCCCTCAGCCCGCTCACTTACCTTTGCCTAGGCTTCACTTTCCTAGCCCTCACCGTGGTCATCGTGATATTATCTTACATCTTCTGGAAGATGAAGGAGACGAACAAAAGCGACGTCGAAAACTGCCAGCAACCGTTACCACCTCCCACCGAATACAGCTTGGATAACTTGCGAATAATGAATTTAATCGGTTAGTTTAACTGCACTCGTATTCTCTTACAATCGTTTTATTAATTGATCCTTGCAGGTCAAGGCAAGTACGGTACGGTCTATCGAGGTACCATAGACGATACCCTCGACGTGGCCGTCAAAGTATTCCCCGCCCATCATCGCAACTACTTCCTCAACGAGCACGAGATGTTCAAGATATGCGGCGACAACGCCGGCGTGTTGAAGTGCTTCGGCGGCGGCGAGTACGCGATGGAGTACGTCCTGCTGTTGTCGCTCGAACAGGAATCCCTGCAGGACTATTTGAAACGCAACACGATCGATTTGGCTACGTTGGGTAAGATGAGCTTGAGCGTAGCCAAAGGCTTGGCGCACCTGCATTTGGACGTCGGCAAGCCTTGCATAGCCCATCGGGACGTCAACAGCAGGAATATATTGGTTCGAGGCGATTTGTCCTGTTGCATTAGCGATTTGGGTTTGGCTGTCGTGCCGAAACGGACCGAGAATAAGGCGCTCAGCGAAGCAGGTAGGCTCGTCTAGTTTAAAAACTTCAGAAATCGTTGTATAATATAAATTTGTGCGTTAGGTACGCTCAGGTACATGGCGCCCGAGGTGCTGGAAGGAGCGGTGAATCTTCGCGATTGCGAAAGCGCCTTGAAACAAATCGACGTCTACGCTCTAGGACTCGTTCTTTGGGAATTGGGATGTAGATGTACTGATATGCAAAATGCCGAACCCCATCCTTATTTACCACCCTTCGCTAAGGTATAAATGCTCGCGTATAACTCGATTTTTCACTACAAATATTGTGAATTTAGGAAGCAGGAGATCACCCTACATTAGAACAAATGCAGGCGTTAGTTAGCAGGAAAAAAGCCCGTCCGTTGTGGCCCGTTTCCTGGAAGGACACGGCATCGGCCAGGCTGCTTTGCGACACAGCCGAAGACTGCTGGGATCAAGTAAAATATCCCACCAATTAATCGTACGAAATAAACTAATCGACGCGAATTTTAGGACGCCGAAGCCCGCCTGACGGCGTTGTGCATAGCCGAACGCCTTATAGAATTGCCTACGTTGAAAGGCCGCTGCCTCTTACCGCACCATCCGCCGGCCAGTCCGACGCCGCTCATCAACAACAATCATTTGCACGGCAACCAATTCGACGCTTCGATCAATACGATCGAAACGCTTCTATCGCCGTCCGAAGAGAACTGCAAGAATTCGAATCGACTCGTCGATTGCGTGACGCCCTTGCAACCCTACCAAGGAAGGAACCCTTGTTTAGAACGAAACTTGTTATCCAGTAAGAATGAAGGAAATATACTAAATTAGTGTAATATTTTACGGTGAATAATTGCAGGTTCGAGCGATAGCTTGCTCATCGACAAATCCTCGAAGCACTGCACCGGCTCCGAATCGCAGAACCTCATCCCGAACGAGTTCCTCGACTTCCAGATCAATCACCGGGCGACGCCGATACCGTACCTGCAAAACGCCGTCTACGGCATGCCGAAGCGCCAGAACGACGCCTACAAGACGCCGACGAAGTCGCGCTTCAAATGGCACGGCCTGCGGAATTTCCTCAACATGAAAATGGGCTCGGGCCATTCGGGCGGTCGCAAGGACACGCAGGTGAAGCTCGACGGCAAAGTGGTGAACGGTTCGGGCGTCACCACGTCGCTGTTGGGCTACGCCGACGAGGCCGCGAGGCCGTCGAGTTTGCGCCTGCGGCCGATCGAGTGCTCGACGGCGAACACGAATTGCGGCGTGTCGCAGTTGCTCAAAAGGGAGAACAACCTGTCGAGGCAGCGGTCTTTGGATCATTTCAACGAGGTGGGTTTTTGCGCTATTTAACTATTTTAATCATCTACTTATTTATTGGTAATTTAAGGTGTTCTCTTCGACTGGGGATTTGTCGAGATTGAAGGATCCTTCGCAGAGGGTGAAAACGCCCGGTGATGTGCCGCCTTCGGTGCGTCGGACGCGGGGTAAAGCGGCGGCGGATTCGGCGCGGTTTTCTCTGTACGATGATAGGATGATGGGGCAGGCTCAGTGGGGCAGCGCGCCCGATTTGGAATCGCAGAAGCCGCCGGACGCGGCGCAAACGAGCGAAGGGCAGGATAAAGATAGCGTTAGTAGTTTCTAGTAATCGGAATATTTATATTACGAATTTGAAGTATTTCTGTTCGAATTCGAAATTATTATTATACGCATAATGTAAGTTATATGAAGTAAGTTTTGTTTGGCAAAAGCGTTTGAACGGTTGTGAGTCTTATTGTAAAGATGCTTTTATGTTTATGTACACCCGGTGTTTTGATATTAGGACTCGATAGTCATCTCATCACAATTGATATTTTACTTAATTGAATCAAAAATGTGATTTAGCGACTCGTACAACTTTTATAGAAGGTTTTAAAGCAAGATATAGGAGTTTGTTGAGTAGTCATTATATTGTACAGACTGTTTATTTAATGCAAGTAGGATAAAGTATATTATGAAAAAGCTTAAATTATTGTAACGAGCGAATTATTAACCGAATATTGAATAAGCGAAATTTTATGGTGTCGCTAGAAAAATCTCATTCATAATTTAATTATTAAATTTATTAATATTACTGTTTAAAACATTACGTTAAATTTAATCTAAACTGACAATGTACTATTATTTTTTTAATTAGGATTTTCTTTTGGCTGTGCAATGTTTGCAATTTTTCATTCCTGGAATTTTATGTACAATAAAGAAATGTATATAAACCTGAAGAGTTTTTATTATAAAAAATAATTTTATTACATACTATTCACAGATTACCTATCCTAGGATTAGTGGTCTATGATACTATTCCTGCTCATTGTCTAGGATTCGGAATTTCGGCAGTTAACTATTCTGTATGCTCCGAGGTAAAAGGCCTCAAACAGATTATTTGCGAAAAAAGAAGAAGAATTTAAACAAAAATTCAAACAATTTTCGGATGTAAACATTTTAGTTGATTAATTTATTGCCCCGAAATACAATTTTAAAACGTAAGTTGTCCTTTATACGCTTGTACTACTTAAATAGCATTAATTCGGAATGCAATAATTTTGACGTTAAACTTTTAAGGTTATAATAATTAATAGCTGCTCCCAAAATGCAAACAATTTACGATGCCAAAATATCCGATTACAAAACGATTTCAATACTAGGCCACTGTTTCGATAACAAAGCAATGGTCCATTTAGCCAAGCATTTACCAACAGCAGAATTGGTGGCGATCAAGAAATTCAACTTGGACAAAATCAGAGAGGACATTGAATTAGTCGAAGTATCTCCCCATTTTATTTCACTCAAACGCGTAGTTAATACTGTTAATTACAGAGCGAAATCATTTTAACGAGACAACTGAGCCATCCCAACATCATACCTTACATTACGAGTTTCGTAGCAGGCCCCGAGGTATGCGTCGTAAGCCCCCTCATGGCGTACGGATCGTGCAGAGACTTATTAACAAGGCATTTTAGCGAAGGTTCTTCATTCCCGCCATTTTATTTAAATAAATTCCAATTAGTTCTGTTGCAGGTTTACTAGAACCGGCCATCATATTGATATTAAAAGACGTTCTGTCAGCGCTAATATACATACACAAAAAAGGCTACATTCACAGGTAAATAAGGAAACTAATATAATTCCAACAGCGTTCGAACGTTCATTTTCGCTTCCAGAGCGATCAGAGCCAGCCACATTCTCGTATCGGACACCGGCCAAATCTGCCTCACCGGCCTGCGGTACGCTTGTCCCATCATCAAGAACGGAAAATGGCAAAGGGCCATCCACTCGTTTCCCAATTCGACCGAGAAAAACCTGAACTGGCTGAGTCCCGAGCTGCTGCAGCAGAATTTGCAAGGGTACAGCGAGAAGTCCGATATCTACAGCATCGGCATGGTAATTTGCGAACTCGCCAACGGCTCCGAACCGTTCGCCGGCATGGCGAAGACCCTGATGCTGACGGAGAAAGTGCGCGGGTGCACTCCGCAGCTGCTCGACAGGACCACCGTTCCGCGAGAGGAGACCATCGAATGCGGAGGTACAAGTACAAGTTCGTTCGCGAGTGATTTCTTTGCGCGTAAAGATCCGCGTTTCTGGTTGCAGGCGATACGGATATAAGCGCCAACGTCCTCGACAGGAGGTTCGGCCGGGATTTGCACGAGCTGGTGAGCCTCTGTTTCCACTGGGACGTGGATATGAGACCGTCAGCATCCCAGCTATTGAGCCATAGCGTTTTTAAGGCGGTGAAAAAGGCTCCGCCGCTGCCGGAATTGCTCAAACCGGCGTTGCCTTTGAGCGACAGAGTGGGCTACGATACGGAGGAAATGGAGAATTTCGATGCGCTGGCGAAGATGTCCCAGCTGGAGATATTCTCTTGCGAATGGGACTTTTAACGGGATCGATAAAGTGCAATATTGTGCTTCGATAGCTCTAAGAGATAGAAGAGATATTGAACTTTATCGAGCATCGATGTATTACTGTATATATCGTATTTTACGTTATAAAAATGTCAGTATACAAACAAGTAGTTTTTTGAATGTTTGTATTTATGATACATACGTTTTAAAAGAATAGGAAACGAAACTTAACAATTAAAAGTTCTAATAATTTATATTTCACATTCGATATTTACAGGCGCGTCGAATTTGTCCCTAAAATCAGCCAACATTATAACATTACTTTTGAGCGAAGCTTCGGCTTCCTGTCTGATCTTCAACGTTTTCTCGTTGAGGTCGAACGTTTCATCGTAATCCTGAAAAGCCTGATTGTACTGGTAGTACATATTCCTGAGGTTAATCCAAACATCGGGATCTTCGTTGCCGAATTGTTTACAAGCTAAAAGCATAGGATATTCCATGTGCTCGACGTTTATTATCACCTCGTTCGTTTCCAGTTTGTACATTTTCGTGTGCAATTCCTTGCAATACGGTTCCCTATTCGCCAACTCTTTGTAAACCTCTCTCGCTATGTTAACGTCTTTGTTCAGCGCCACCCATTCGATATAGTCCGGTTTGATGCAATTGGCTATTTCTTTGGGTTGCGAGATCGCGTCCCTATAAACCCTTTCTATAACGCTGTTCGGAGACGCTACGATGTGGTAGTTCAGAATCATCTGCCACAGCGGACCGGCCTTGTCTTTCAGCTTCTCCAGCCCATTTTTAAACACCTGGTTGATTTCCTCCGAACTGGCGTTTCTCACTACCAAGCATCTCAGCTTCAGTATCCACAAATCGACCGAGTCCGGATTCATCGCCAGGCCGTCTTCGACTATAGAAACTACGAGGCGCTCGTCCGTTTCTAACTTCGCCCAAATTATGTAGTACCTCTCTGCGAGTACCGTTAGATCCTTCGCTTCGTGGAATTTCTTCAACAAGTGGTCTTTTATGTAACTGTTACAGCTATCTTCCTGCCGATGTAGAGCGATGAGATAGTCGAGGTACATCTCCCTCAGAGTATTCTTTCGCCTTTGCTCGATTTCGCTGAGACCTTCTTCGAACTTTTTGATGCACTTCTCTAGCCGGAAATGCAGCGACGTGGGGGGCTCTTGGTAAGGGTAATGGCGCCCCTTCCACTCGCGATCGGCCAGTATACCCCAGACTTTCTCCTCGTTTCGATACTGGGTGGTTAGGGTTTTGATTATTTTTTCTTGTATGGGCCTCGCGAAGCAGTGCTGGTCCAGTATGTTGACCACCTCCACCAAGCATTGGTAGTTGTTGATGTTTAGGAATAGGGTGTCGACGTAAGTGTCTATTTTACTGTAGCACGTTTGTTCTTGCTGTTCGACCTTCTCGGGATCCACCGGCCAGTCGGCCTTCTCTTTGCACATCAACTCCATTTCGATGATTTGAATGTACAAGTCGCTCGAGCAGGGATGGATCGTCAGCCCCTTGTGGAGGAGGCTGATGGCCTGTTTTACGTCGTGCTTCATGAACCAACTGGCGCCCACCTAAAACAGATTTTGATTATTAAAAAGGCACCGGTGAATGTATATTTTATTTACCGTCCACGTTTCGGGTTTCTTGGCGAAGTTCCTTATCATGTTGTTGATGGCTAATGAAGCGGTGTGGTTGAAGTTTGACTCCTTGCAAAAGTTGAAGTAAGCCAAGCTCAAGTCGAAGTCGTTGGCGAAATTCTGTATGGCGATTTCGTAGATCTGTTTCATGATCCTCAACAGGTGATCTTCTATGTAACCTTTTCTAAATTGTACCTTCAGTTTGGCCCTTCTTAGCTTTATGTTCGTTATGAGATCTTTCAGGAATTTGATGTATTCTTTGTAGTCTTGCCGGGTCTTTACCGGCCCGTTGATTTTAACCTCGTGCGATTTGTAGGCTTTTATCATTGCTCTGGTTTCGGTGGGTGTGTAGATATTTACCCTTTGCATCTCTTGTATTACGTTCACTAACGATTCCAGGTGTTTCTGCACGTGTTCCGCCATAGTCGTCGCGTTACTTTGTTGTTTAAAAAGGTAAATAAAATGTTAAAATGTAGATATTCGTTCAAAATGCACAATTACATTCAATAAACTCGTAATAATAAATTCGCACCATGCTCTGTCAGTGTCATTTGTCATTTATTGACATTGACATGTCAACACTGTCAAATTGAAAGAACAAAGCAAGGATACCAATCTACCAAGGATTGTCCAATCACATAAAATAAATTATCAAGCATCAAATTAATTATTTGATCTCGTTAGAATTAAATTGCTTGGATTTTATAATAGGCATATAAGAATCTTCAAACACTTGCAAGCAAATTAATAGGCCTGGTAAATAGTCAAATGTTATTGATCATTCCTTGGTAAGCCTCTTTAGCCACCTTGATTAGTGATTGTAGAAATTTAAAGGAATAGACTGTCAGAAAAAAAAAGAAGAATCAAAATTAATTTAATTTATAGTTTTTTTCCTAATTGTAGAGAACTCCGAGGATTGAATACCTGCAATAACATCTTTGTAAGCTACAAAATTGTTTAATTTATTAGTAGAATTTGCAAAAATTGATCGAAAGCACGTTTATATCCTGAACTAGTAGGAAAGGGTTCGGCCCTTATTTTGCGCATGTGAAATTATGTCCTTCAGATGAAAGCAATATCGAGTAGTGTATAGAAACAATTTTCGGGCCGTGCCCGTAACAACTTTTGATGCATCTTATGTGGGTATTATTTATTAATTGTGTGTAATTATTGAAAAACGTTTGCTATAATTTAGAAAACGCTTTGATTGCCATTTTAAATGCTTTTGGCATGTATAATATTTGCTTTTAGATCGATAATAGTGGTATCTAAATAAAGATATATGGGCATGCTTCAACTAAAGCTTTGATTATATAATTAGTAATTAGTTTAAAAAAATGTTCCTGCGTGGATTTATTAATTAATCAGGTTTTTTTTCGTCTGTTTTTATGAGGCCTTGATCCCTACAGCTTTTCAGACACCTGCTTGTAGGGAATCACATGAGAACTTTATTTATATATTATTATTTGGAATGTACTTGGTGTGTATAGTCACACAAACCTTAAAAAATGTGCAGTAATTTCATAATTGGATAAGTAACAGGCGATGGAATATTTTTTTTATTGACCTTCAGAAGCGTTTATATTTTTTAACATAATGGTTCCAGTTTGTTTTTTATACCGTGGAATATGAATGTTTTATAAACTATTGTGTTAGATATAATAGAGAGATTTAATTTGCACTTGATTAATTATTTATCGATTCAAAATGTTGTTTTTGTATCTGCTTATAAAAAACACACTAAGCGCATTTTTATTTTCTTCCACAAAAATTTTATTTTTTCAGGATGTTTTTGTTTATATACAAATCTATTTAAGTTCCCCTTAGTAAAATGTCCTGGAAAGTTACTTATTTCATTTATTAAGGAAATAATACACGGGAGATAAAATAATTATGAAATATAGAGTAAAGTGTACCTAATTTACTATCAATTATCATTCAAAGTCGTTTTAAAAGTAGAATAATAACCAGAGCCCATTTACGGAGATACACGGATTTCGAGTGCTAATTGTTGGACACATTTTTCTGTTCATAATGCAATTATTCCTATCAGCAATTAACGAAACAAGGACACATTATGTACGTATCAAATACATATGTTCATATGTATATATAAATAAAAATCAACCACAGGCAGGAAACGTGCAAACTCTTTGCTTACCTTCACACATCTTTAATTACGAGAAAATCTAACAATAGAATTTAGTGTAAAGACCTAGTTAGATCTAAAACTATGCTGTTATTTAACAACAACTTGACACGTGTGCACTTGTAATTGAAATTGATCTTGTTGTTGATATTATCACAAGTATTATTATGTCCTCAACATTGCTAAATGCGCCTTAAAAATCCCAATTACCAGATAAATGCGATATATTTTGTATACTCAACATAATTTTATGTACCTATAAAAGGTCGATGGGTAAATATTTGTATTGTGATATTATGGCACTCGTATTATATCTTATTGATGAATTTAGATGTTTAAGAATATTCTTATTTCGAGAATAAAATGCAATAAGTGTTTCTAATGCGTTTGGGTTTACAAATATTTGGGGCCTAAGTAGATAACGATATCAATTAACTAATAATTAAGTTCAATAGATTAATCAATCTTCGGGAATTCATATAAAGAGATCGATGTGGTGTGAAAATAAAATAAGTTAGTTATTGTTTCTGCTCTCGAGTCGAAAATTTATGGTGAAAAAGTGGAAGATGAGCAAGTACGTTATAAAAAAACTTATATAATTTTTTAAATTAAAGGAGGGAGTAATTAAAAAAACAAATATATATCTGTAATATCTATAATTAGCACCTTTTGAGTTTATTTTTTAACCTATTATCGATTGTTGTGAAAAGCTGATAAAAGATTAATTGAAAGAAAAAATATTTACCTTTGTTTTCTTTATAAGAGCGTTTTCGAGGTAAATAAACTAAATTTCCCGTTTCCTCCTTCATTTCTTATTTCATATCTTAATGAATTATTCAAGTGTTAATGGAAAACAATTTATTTCAATAATCAATTGAATTGTAGAATTAATAGTAATTGGAATTCCATTTAGTTTAGGTGCATGTAATCGTAAATAAAATATAATTAGCCGAGTCGTTTTTTATCGGTAGAAAAAAAATCCTTAGAATTATTCGAGAACATTGTATAATTCTTAATTTTAGAATGTATCCGGCACTCTTTGCGTGATCCATAAATTTCCTCTCAACAACGTATAAATAAATCTGTGTTATTTCCAGTTTTACTTATTTCTTTATACATACTAATTAAGCTTTGGCTCATTAAATATGTATAAAGTTATGGTGCAAATTGCAATAATTATAACGCACCAATTCTCCTATTATAATAGATATAAAATATATTAGTATATTTTATTAGAAAAAGCTAGATTTAATAAAACTTAATATTGCTCTCGAACAATTGTGCTCAAGTTCAAGTTTTTAATATCACGCGCTTTAATTAAATATCAAAACACTTAAAAATATATTAAAGTATATCTTGATGAAGTGGTGATGTTACTTTACTGATCAATAATATACGGGGTGTTCTCGAAAATAACATCTAGCCACAGCGAATTGTTAATATTTTTTATGTCGAAAATAAACAATTTTTATTAGCCTGTTTTCGGGGAATTTTGTATTAGATTGTTATATTAGGTGAAAAACAACTAAATAAATTTGTTATGGAACGAAAATAGAAAAATTCAATCTATTGTTGGATTAAACGAAACAACAATGAACGTTTTAAGTAATTACAGAAACAAAATGATGAATTACATTTTTCATTCTAAAAAGAATTTAAACCTATACGCACAAAGTATGCACTTTAGTCACTTCTTCTTTGACTGTCTAAAGTCTAGACTAGAATTGCAATTCAATGAATAAGAAACATATAAATTACTAATACAAAACAAAACAAAGAAACTATATATAAAATTTGTATCAAATTATCCTCGATTTTCGCTTTGTTTAAAAGGAGCAATGCGGTATTTGCTTTGTTAAAGCACCAAAACAGTTATCAATTTCTCTTTATTACTCTCTAAAGTTTTCTGTTTACCACTCATATTACACATGAAAAGTGAAACCGGCTACAAAACGAAGCAACTTGTGTACATATTATGTACCTTTACACACTCGCACGCATATCGGGATCACGATCACGACGCTACCGCGTGTGCACCGGATCCTTGTGATTCATGTAAACAAGCGTTCCAGTAAATACGAGCACAACGGCGGCAATCCGTTAGTATTTCTTCTACCTTTGTGTCGAATGGAACAAAAAAAATTTTTTGCATTTTCTAATTTACTCGTTTGTTGTTTTATTATACTATTGCCAGTATGTTGAGTGAAAATTGCGTCACCAATTATCACGGAAGGTAATTAAATAGATGCGATTGATTTACTACTATTTTGTTCTCTTCTGGTTTATATACAGTGTGTATCTGGACGAAGAAAAATTATTCTTTATAAGGAATTAGTTTGTAGTACTAATAAGCTGGAATCTGATGTACAGGGTGTTAATAAATTAGTGAGAAGGATCGTTATTTATTGTTTTATATCGTATTTTTAAGCAAACTTATTTTTCGACGAGCTGTAGTTTGTTAAAGAATAATTTATCTTCAAAAAATAAAGTAACAATTTTTTTCCTCTCATCAACTCCAACTAGGGACACATTGTATATACAATTTTTGAACAGAAACTTCATTCGAATCTTGCATTGAAAAGCCACAAAGTAATTACAGAATTCAAATGAGGATAAAATAAGTTTCTTAAATTTTTTATTGTATATTAATCGGTAATATTCTTATAATCAGTCTTTATTTTTTATTCATCCAGGACTTCTATAAAGTAGGCATACAGTTATATAAATAAAAAAGCAAGTTAACGCAAGTTAATATAAGTTATAGCAAAGAATAATTTATTTTGGTAACACGCTATATAGAATTTTTGAACAGAAACTTCATTCGAATCTTGCATTTAAAAGCCACAAATTAATTTCAGAATTCAAATAAAGATATAAAAAAAGTCCTAGACTTTTACAAAATAGGGATACAGTCAGTAGTAGTTAACTAAATTAGATACTTGCACAAGTTACTAAATCAAGTTGTCCACACCATACAAGTAACTAAATTTAGTTACTTGATTTATGCCCGGTTTCTCGACTCTGCGATAACTAAAAGTTAACCTTTCAATAAGTTAACTTTTCAATAAACTTTATAAAGTTTATCTATAGTTAGTTTAACTATAGTTAACCTTGGGAATCGAGTTTGTCGACTCGAAATCCAAGTTTAAGTATGCAACAACTATAACGTTAAACCCCCCAGTTCAGTTAAGTTCTCAATAGTAAGCGATAGTTAAACGCCAAAAGTCGAGAAACCGGGCATTAGTAACTTACTTTAGCTACTTGTATCTGCGCCTTAGGTTAAGTACATCAACTTTGTATTGTTGTAGCAGTGAAGCCAAAATGAACAAGCTCTGCAGACAAGTATCGATCGAATCCCCGGGCCCGGTGATGAAGGACTGCGTCTTCAGCTTCGAGGTGCCGGTGCCGGAGGTGCCGCCGAACGGCGCCCGCATCCGCGTCGTCTGCGCCGGCGCCTGCTACCGCATGCGCAACCGCTCGGCGTCGACGTCGAGCGTCTCCTCCGTATCGAGCGTCCACTCCGTCGAGGACGTCGGCTACTGCCCGGCCCATTACGGCCACAAGGACGGCGCCCTCTTTCCCGGCTACGAGGTGGCCGGCGTCGTCGACGCCCTCGGCGACCGCGCCGCCGGCGGCGAGTTCGGCGTCGGGACGCGCGTCGTCATCTACCCGTACAACGGCATACCGCACGGCTACGCCGAGTTCATCGTCGTGCCGGACCTCGCCGACCTGGTGGCCGTGCCCGAAGGGTTGCCCATGGGGGTGGCGGCCATGCTGCCCAGCGGGGCGCTGCTGGCCAAGAGCACCGTCATCAAAGCGCAGGAGCGCATCGTGGAGTTGCTGAAGAACAGGCCGGTCGAGCACCCGGTGAGGATCCTCATCGTGGGTACCGGCGGTTTGGCCTTGTGGGCTCTGAGGATCGCCGAGCACCATTTCAGGACGCCCGAGTGCGAGAACCGCGTCAAGATCACGGTGGCTACTTTGAAAGACGAAGGATTGAAAAGGGCTGCTGAGGAATTAAAATTGTAAGTAGAAATACACTTAAATTATTTATTTATTTGACTTCATTTTTCTACATTCTCAGCGTCAATATAGTACAATGGAACGAAGACCTCTATGAATCACAACTAATAGAAAGAACCAAAGACGCTTGTAATGGATTAGTAGACATTGTAATCGATTTCGGCATCACTTCCAGATCACTCAACAGATCGCTCAAATGCCTTAACTCGGTAAGTACCCCACATTTTCCAAACCCAAAGACTTTACACTCCACCATTCCTCTTAATCTTACTTGTCCAAAATTGCTCAAATTCCGACCAAATAAGAGTGTATGCGTGTTTCCAGGGCGGCGTGGTGCTGATAAGGGACGAAGTGGCGAGCAAGTTGGTGCCGAGGTTCTCGGCTCTGGCGAAGGAGAAGCACCAGGAAATCGAGGCGGTGGCGCCGGGCTCGATCGAGGAGCTGAAGGAGCTGGTGGATTGCGTGGCGAAGGGGGAGATCAAGCCGCCGCCTTACACGGAATTCTCCGCCGACGAGGCGTCGACGGTCATGCAGAAACTGGGCCAGTCCGAGATCAACGGAAGAGCCATATTGCGTTTTCACGATACTCAATAGATTTTCGTATTGTTAGGAAGTTGTTTAGGTGATATTTTTTTGTACTTTTTTTTTCTATGATTGTTCGTTGTTTATTTAAAGAGTATTATTTAGGATTAAAGTACCTAAGCGTGCGTGGATGAAGTCGATGCATTAATGACAAATGTGATGTTTAGACCTTTGTGTATATATTCTGAATGTATTAATTCGTTTTCTATATGTAAATATACAAACTATACATACAATAAAATCGTTTTTGGATGTTGCGTTAGATTTTTCTGTTGGAGCGGGACTGGGCCATGCCCAAAATCAAGTTTAGAGCGGCCAAATTGTCGATGTAATAGTCGGGTTTGGCGTCTTGGCCTCGAGTCCACCTCACCACGTCATCCTTCTTGGCGCTGCCGCTCAACACCAGCAACTTCTTGTAACCCCCCACGCCCGCGAATTTCATGTCCTCTTCTATTCTACGAATACAAAAAGAGATAATTTGGAAATGATCCCTAACCTTTTAGAACAGTCTAGAGTCATATGTTAACGATCCAGAACCTTTTAGATGGCTCCACGATTAACTAGACAAGTCCACGATCATTTGGTAACGATTCATAACCTTTTGGAGCGATACGGGATATACTAGGGAAGTTCAGAACAATTCAGAACTGTCTAGAATCATCTAGAAACGATTCAGAACCTTCTACATGGGCCCACGATAAACCAAGAAAATTCAGAACTATTTAAAACTTACGAATCCCCTATGAACAGCACTCTGCTAGGATTAGAAATGGAGTAGTTCTCAACTATAAACCTGTTATAGTCTGGTGATGGTTTCGCCATTTGTCGTGGTGTTCTCTCGCTGAGTTCGCTAAGAAGTTTCACGAAATAATGGTTACCTGCAAACAAAAGTAAAGATAAATAAATAATAGACCAGGATTTAACGATATTTGTGCACCTATTAACGGTCCATTTCGTGGAAAGGGCAAGGTTTTGTCTGCCGTGCCGATGATAAACAAGCAATCGGGCCTCTTCAAATAAGTCAAACATTTTTGCAATTTCATCAGGGTGATATTGATCTCGTAATCCACAATCACAGCGCCCACCTCCTCGTCGTCCGTTAGGGCTCCCATCAGCGCCGGAAGGGTCTCGTCTAGCGGAACCGCCTGCGCTTGTGGTGGCCCCAAAATACAAACAAAAACCGGGGAATTAATCGAGTGAAATCTCTTCTTAAGTGCGAATACTCACCGAGGTTTCTGCTAAATCGAATCCCGCTTGTTTCAGCTCATATTTCAACCCCTTTCCGCCGATGACGAAGAGCTTTTTGCTGAATTTCAGCGATTTTAAGTAATTTATGTAGGCTCTGGATGGTGTGACTACGTCGGGTTTGTCTCCGGGAAATTCGAACCTTTGCAGAAGCCGGTGGATCTCGTCGATTTGGACGGTGGTGTTGTTGGTCACGTAGGTGATTCGTTTGCCTAGGTTCTTCAATCTCGTCAGGCATTCCGGGGCGTCGGGGAAGGCCTTGAAAGCCGTCCATATCACACCTAAATTAGGATTGTTTTAGGTTTATTTTTTACTAATAATCTCACCCACCGTCCATATCGGAAAGTACATGGTCGAATGACTCGATGAATCTAGTTTGCTCTTCTCTGGACGCGCTAGCTAGATTTTTTATTTCACCGATTTCGCACATTTTTTTATCGGGATTTATTCAGTTCATTAAATTGAAATAAATTTTTTATTGTGTACTGTTTTATTTAAGCGTTTTATTTTATCTAGGTATACTTATCAGGATTGGCTTAAATCAACAAACAAGAATTATGTGGGATTTTAATAAAATAAATAAATATATTAATTCTTTGTGGTTTTTTTTTGTGTTACTGTTTAATTGAGATTATATCTTGTAAATATGATGTTCAAATGTAACATAAACGGTTATTGTTATTTTCTCGTGTTTTTTTTACGATTTAGTGAGGCGATAAAAATCCTAACGCCGGTCCTGACGATTTGATTTCTCAATACACGTACAAGAGATAAGTACAAACAATTTAACGTTTTGCAAACATGGAAATGCGGTGAAGTCGCCGCAAAAATGGAAGTAGATTAGATTGCACGTCGACTTCCGCGCTTATCTTTTGGAAAATATTTTGAAAAAATTTAAAAAGGGCAATTACGTTTATAATAGTGATGTAAGAATTGTCGTTCATCTGCCTCCGTGGCGCAATTGGCTAGCGCGTTCGGCTGTTAACCGAAAGGTTGGTGGTTCGAGCCCACCCGGGGGCGTTTATTTTTTGAAAAAAATATATTTATTTCAAAGTTAATTTGTTTTTTTATATCTGTATAAATTTTATTGATATTTGTCTCGCACAAAATTCGTGCTCTCCAAAACATGATTTAAAAATGTAAAGTCTCAAATAAATTATTAAGAATTATTCCTTCAAAGTTCATCTTCCTGCTACTTCGACTTTGTCCCTTATTGAATCTACACGCGTACCAACACATCTACATTATCCGGAACTTTTGTTATGCTAAACGCCGGTCCGCTTTTCACAACAAAAACCTTTGGCACAGGAAACATTTTTGAAATTTTCTATCTACCCATCTAATTAACATTTACGCCACTTCCCAACTCGACAGGTTAGGCATTAAAATATTTAATGACCCTAAAAAAACCTACTAAAAAAACCAAGAATAGTTGTACACAACAATTCCCATAATTAAGGATATTTTTTATATTCTCTAATATATTACTCACTTGAAATTATTATAGATAAAGTGCGAGTTCATATATTTACCCAATGAAATAATCTTATCGCTTTAGTAATAATATAGTCAGCTTGGCACATTCAACCTACAATTTTCTACTAATCCTGACCAGACCAATCCTGAGTTCGGAATTCCTAATTGTTCGTCAAACGACATTTAAATAAATAAAACGGTCAAGTTCGCTGCATTCAGTTCACAGTTTTCCTCCACAACATGCACGTGAAAAATCTAGCCGGCGCGTCCACAGCAGACCAAACCGAGTTTTTCAACAGTTTCGACAGAGTTCTATCGGACATCGACGGTAAGAATCACTTTACTCATTCTAAATCCATCGCAAAATTCACCTGGTGACGAGCTCCGCTCTTCCAGGAGTCCTATGGGTGGGCTTCGTGCCGATAGAGGACGCCCAGAGCTGCTTGGAGAATCTGAAGAAAGCGGGGAAACCCGTGCAGTTGGTAACAAACTACGCCTTCACTCCGGCCGTCACGACGCACGAAAGACTGATAGAGAACCAATTCGACTTCGAATTGGAGGATATCGCGAATCCCCAGATGGCCACCGTCGATTACCTGAGAGAGGCGAATTTCCAAGGCAAAATATACGCAGTCGCGTCGAGTTTCTACAAGAACGAGCTCAGAAGAGAGGGATTCGAAGTGGTGGAGGACCCGGTGAGTAGAAGGAAATTCCTAACAGAAAAAATAGCTGCTGGTGTTTTAGCCTCAATTGATAGACGAGAGTCTGGGCGTCTTGGTGCAGAATATCCAAGATGACGAGGATGTGCGGGCGGTTGTGTGCGATTTTGACGTAAACACGACGTTTCTGAAGATCCAGAAGGCCATCACCTACCTCAAAAGACCCGATTGCTTGTTTATAACCGGCGGAGCAGACAAATTTCTGCCCGTAGGTAAAATTGGACCGTTGTTAGGTAACTCTTTATTTCAATTATTAGGTTGAACTGGTGCAAATGGTTGGTTTTACAGGAAACTACTTCACTTACCAAGGCATGACAGAGGCGACTGGTAAAAAGCCACTTTCCTTGGCGAAGCCTTCCAAGGGGTACATGAGATTCGTGACAAAGAAATTCAAAGTCCAGGACCCCTCGAGGGTGCTGTTTATAGGAGACATGTAAGTATTCGAGATATAAACGATTTGTTGATGGAATGAACACATTTCTCTTCAGATTAGTTTCAATTGTGGTAGTTAAAGCAAGATTTCCTCTTTGACATGCATACAAGTATTCTCCTTGTAAGTGTATGAATCTTTTATGTTATCTTTCACAAACTTTTAGTATTGATGCATTGAGTTTTTTTTTAGGATAAACGAAGATATGGGTTTCGCGGCTGCGGCGGGTTTCAAGAAATTGCTGGTGCTCAGCGGGAACAGCAGCCTGGAGGATTTGAAGAATTGGAACCATCCCGAAGAGTACAAACCCGATTATTACGTAGAAAGTCTCACGGAATTGAACAAAATCATCAAAACCAACCATAAATTATAGACGAAATTTTTGCCGGCCAAGGTCGATTCATTCGAAATAAACCTAACGAGCATATTGGGCGTTTTAATAGGCTTTACAGGCATGTGTATAAGATGAACAAAAAGTTGTTTTTAACGGGTTTTTTTGTTAACTTGCCTAATTTACCTTTGACCTGTTTTGTTTAATCTAACCAGATAAGGAGCGCATTTTACTAATATTAACCAGTGTCGTAGAATGGAATATTTCTGCTATACTAGTTTTTCTACGTAAGCATTATCCTTTAAACAATTTTCTGCATCTTCATTACTTTCGCCAATCCTCACTAGATGGCTCCACCATCTCAAAATCAATCACCAGGCCGCAAATCCGGTGGATACAACGGATGCTTCGTCCAATCCTCACACTATCTTTCTAACCGGCAGGATTTCCTTCAAATTCGCAGAAAATGGAGAATTTTCCGGCGACACCTGCTGGAAAACCGACCGGTTTGTGCTCGTATCAAAGACCAACAAACCCATTAAAGCGTGCCATGTCAGTTGATCGAATCAAAACCAAAAAAATAATGATACAAAGCATGAAACGTTTCGGTTTTTTCACTTCAAGGTTCGATGCGTGTACGATCGGTCGGTTTGCGACGTTGCCGCTGTGAAAACTCCTGGAAATCTCGACAGTATATCTCGACCTACATCACGTGCGCCGTGGCGGAGAGATGATCGATTTCGCCTCCTCTTGATTCTCCGATTGATAATAGGTACTAATCAAATAAGTAAGTAGTTTTGTTTGAATATTATTGGTTTACGTTGTGCTGTAATTAACCGGGCAATTAAATATCGCCATGTTTAATTGTACTTACGTTTGTTATCGTCGGTTATTCAGTTCAATAGGTATAGAAGAGAAAGTTAATGATGTTGATAATAATAATTGTGAATTATTCCTTTTGCTGTAGTTAGGTTTGAAATAATTGCAATTACCTGTGGGTTAATTAAGGTATTCGTTTCATTCGTTGTGTAAATAATCCGAAACCAGTTGGTTTTAGTAGAGTAGATAATATGTTATCGGCGTCTAAAATTAGCATCACAGTTGTTTTATTGAACAAATTTAAGCCGTTCGGTGAGTAAGAACGTTACATTATTCCAAATTAACATCCAATTCAAGCAATTAATCTCTTCTCCATAAGCTGAACGATGATTTACTGGTCTAATTTTCGTGTTTACCTAGCGCAAACAAGTCTAGAGATAACCTTTGAAAATATATAAAAAAAATTACAAACTGCTTCGAACCAGCCAGACTTTTTATTTAACCTTCAACTGATCCTCGGTAATTGATCCACCCATAATTAATCCACCCATCATTCTTTCCCAATAACCAATTATACATCCACATAGTAATTCAACCGCCCAAACCACCAAATAATTCATCATCTATGGATGGTTTAAAGGCTTTCAACGGCTTGTTGCAGCATCAGGATGACCGTGAATCAGATAGCAGCCGGTACGACGGTGTGCGCAGGCGTGGCCGTCCTGGCCTACTTCGGCATGCAGATCTACCAGAAGAAGAAGCGCGACATAATGCCCTGGAAGTGGGAGGAGATCGGCACGTTGGGCCAGATGTTCTTCTACCCGCTGAAGAGCGGCCACCGGATCGAGCTAGAGCGCGCCGATTGCACGGTCTTCGGCCTGCGGCAGACCGACGGCGATCAGAAAATCCTGCGGCTGATGGACAGGTGCTTGGTGGTCTACTCCGACAAGGACTACGAATTCAGGACGGCCAGGACCTATCCGCAATTGCTCTCCATCGACGTGGCGGTGCACGATGAGAAGCACGTGGCTGTAGATGCGCCTACTATGAGGACGTTGTACGTCAAAATACCTAACAGCGAAACGAGCGAAGAGTTTAAAGTCAAGTAAGTCTTCTGATTTTGTTGCGTTTTACCAGACTCTTCCAGTAAATTGCATTTTAGATTGCACAAAGGCGAGCAAGTGCACGCGATGGATTGCGGCGACGAGGCAGCTTTGTGGTTCTCCAGGTACATCCTTGAAAAGGACTCTGGGCTACGATTGGCCTACCACGATGCAAACCCCAAGCACAGACGGGACGTCTCAAGCGTGAAAAACACCTTACTGGATTACTACAAAAACTACACCAAATTCTCAACCGTAAAAACCACCCGCGACCTATACAAATCTACAATACTTATATACAATAATTCCAGGGATTATACTCGGATCAAGTGAGCCTGAACGTCATCAACCAGGCGTCGGTGAAGGACCTGCAGCAAAGGATCAGCACCAACTCTATAACAGTCAATAACTTCAGACCTAACCTGGTGATCGACGGGCCCGGATTGAAACCCTACGACGAAGACGACTGGGAATGGGTGAAAATCGGCGACGTGGTCTTGAGGACGGTGAAGGACTGCACCAGGTGCATGATGACCACCATCGATCCCACGACGACCTCCAGGAACCTCAACAGGGAGCCGCTGAAGACCTTGGAATCGTAGGTGTTGTTGTCGAGATCGAAGGACTGTTGTTAATAGAGGTGTTTTTAGGTATCGTATCAGCAACGGACCGGATCCACTGCCCGTGATGGGCCTCCAAATGGAGGTGAGAAGAATCGGACAGCTGAACGTCGGCGAGAAGGTCTTCGTCGCTAGGAAACAGTGATTGTAAATACGCTCAAATAGTTTACTCATGAAATGATGTAATTGTTGTAAATATTGTAAAATACTGTTAAAAAATAAAGTACCAGATTATAACTTTTAATCGTCGTGATATATTTAAGAAGAGCCGGTTCTGAAACTTAATCAATTATCTTATCATAGAACGTTCCCCTATGTCAAAGTCCAATGCACTGATTTAATTTATTTTGATACACCCAGGGTATGGGAACTCGTGGCTACTGGCTCCACCTGTTTCGAGCGTCCATGAAACACCACTGCGCATGTTTTGCTATAGATGGCAGTGTATGAAAATGGCCTAGTAAAGTCCCCGTCAAGTTAGTATGTTATCTATGTAAAGTCCATAGGTCCTATTGGTCCGTTCCGCCCTTTAAGGCCGGATTCGCGTTTTTATCTGTATAAAACACCTGTATGAAACAGACTTAACGACTTCCTTCTTATTTTCTGTCGTTTTTGAGTTTTTGGTTATTTTATGCCATTTATGGTTTAACTTCGGACATTTGTGTCTTTATTGTATTTTTACGTGCGTGTTGTGAGTTTAATAATGCTATCGAAATTCGTTACAGTTAGTTATCCTTATTATTGTTTATTAATAGGTACCGTTCTAATAGGTACTAATGAATTATTTAAAAGGGCCCATGACGAGTATCAAAGAAGAATACCTAAATTAAAAAAAATATACCTTGTGAATTAGACCATTGTAGAATATACCTATTTAGCTATAGAAGGTTGTTATTTCTTTTATTTTTTCTACTTCAAATCTACAATTTCCTAATAAATTTAGAGGAATTCTTTTTAATTGACCTACTCATTTTACACTAACTACATTTATAAAGTAAAATGTTTATTTCAGTTAAAAAGGTTTCCCTCTAAATTTATTATGAAATTCTTATTTAAAATGTAATAATTGTGTACACAAGATTTTTAAATTTTGGCGCCAATTGCAGAACACTGTAAGTATAATTAGTATTCTGCATTTAATGTATAGACGCGCGTCACAGGTGTCGTTAGTAAAAAAATTGAGTTTCCCATCTATAGTGTAGGTTATCTGTGGATACACCCATAACAACTTGAGTAAGTCACAGCTCTTTACAACAACATGAACGTTTTAAGCGCAGCATTTTTCGCAACATTGTGCCTTTTCCTGCGAGTCGAATGCTTCAGTAAGTCAATACACTTTTAATCACTCAAATCTAAGCAATTTCATTAGAATTCGAGCAGACTTTGGGCCACATCAAACCCAAAACCAGCCCCTCCGTCCAAACAAACTCAGTACAACAGCTAGTAGAAAGAATCTTACCCGAACATGCTTCCAAGTTCTCCATCAACGTGGACCCGGCGTTCCTGGTACGCGGAAAAGAAGCCTTCAAAGTAAGTACTCGCGCGATTCGCATACAATCGATATTCCTGCTTGAATACACCGCAGGTGTACAAAAACGGAAATAGCACCGTGAACATCGTGGGAACCACCGGCGTAGCGTCAGCCACAGGCTTCCACTACTACCTAAAGTACTTCTGTAACGCCCACATTTCCTGGGAGGCTTCTCAATTGAATCTACCGGAGGAACTTCCCGACGTCGACGTAACTATAGATATGAACGATAGGTAAGTTAATCATTCTACTGTTAAAACTATCTAATAGGTGCTGTGCAGATTTAGGTACTACCAGAACACTTGCACGACCAGCTACAGCTTCGTTTGGTGGGACTGGCCCCAATGGGAGAAGCACATCGATTGGATGGCGATGAATTCGTTCAATTTCGTGCTGGCTTTCAACGGGCAAGAGGCCATTTGGGAGAGGGTGTACAGGAAATTGAATTTTACGCAGCAGGAGATCGACGAGCATTTTACGGGACCGGCGTTCCTGTCTTGGTGAGGATTTCCTGCGGTAATATTGTTGGTGTTGGTGAAATGTGGTGGTGATCACAGATAACCTACACTATAGATGGGAAACTCAATTTTTTTACTAACGACACCTGTGACGCGCGTCTATACATTAAATGCAGAATACTAATTATACTTACAGTGTTCTGCAATTGGCGCCAAAATTTAAAAATCTTGTGTACACAATTATTACATTTTAAATAAGAATTTCATAATAAATTTAGAGGGAAACCTTTTTAACTGAAATAAACATTTTACTTTATAAATGTAGTTAGTGTAAAATGAGTAGGTCAATTAAAAAGAATTCCTCTAAATTTATTAGGAAATTGTAGATTTGAAGTAGAAAAAATAAAAGAAATAACAACCTTCTATAGCTAAATAGGTATATTCTACAATGGTCTAATTCACAAGGTATATTTTTTTTAATTTAGGTATTCTTCTTTGATACTCGTCATGGGCCCTTTTAAATAATTCATTAGTACCTATTAGAACGGTACCTATTAATAAACAATAATAAGGATAACTAACTGTAACGAATTTCGATAGCATTATTCAACTCACAACACGCACGTAAAAATACAATAAAGACAAAAATGTCCGAAGTTAAACCATAAATGGCATAAAATAACCAAAAACTCAAAAACGACAGAAAATAAGAAGGAAGTCGTTAAGTCTGTTTCATACGGGTGTTTTATACAGATAAAAACGCGAATCCGGCCTTAAAGGGCGGAACGGACCAATAGGACCTATGGACTTTACATAGATAACATACTAACTTGACGGGACTTTACTAGGCCATTTTCATACACTGCCATCTATAGCAAAACATGCGCAGTGGTGTTTCATGGACGCTCGAAACAGGTGGAGCCAGTAGCCACGAGTTCCCATACCCTGGTGGTGATTTCAGGTTGCGAATGGGAAATATGAGAGGCTGGGGCGGGCCGCTATCCAGCGCCTGGCACGAGAGATCGATCCGTTTGCAGAAGAAGATATTAGAGCGGATGAGAAGTTTGGGAATCGTCCCGATTTTGCCGGCGTTCGCGGGACATTTGCCTAGGGCTATCACGAGGATATTCCCGGATGTAAACGTGACCAAAATGGAGAATTGGAACCGCTTCAACGACACCTATTGTTGCCCGTACTTCCTCGATCCCACCGATCCTTTGTTCAAAGTGGTGGGTAAAATGTTTCTGGAAGAGGTAACTGTATTAAAACGATTTGGAATCGGGTAATCCATTGTTAGGTTTCCAGCAAATCAAGGAATTCGGAACGGACCACGCGTACAATTGCGATAGCTTCAACGAAATGGATCCCGCCACCGCTGATTTGACCTATCTATCCGACGTGGGGAAAAGCATCTTCTCCGCGATGACCGAGGCGGATCCCCAGGCGGTTTGGTACGTCCTAAGAATAGACGATTTCGTAGACTCTCGGGTGTATTTTTAGGGTCATGCAGGGCTGGTTGTTCGTCCATTCGTTTTTCTTTTGGACGCCGAGCAGGGTGGAAGCTCTGCTGACTTCAGTGCCCGCAGTGAGTAAAGTTTTCTATTATCCGTTTTTCGCAGGGTTTTGCAAGGCTGGTTGTTCTACAACAGCGGTTTCTGGAGCGATCTGGCCAGAGCCAAGGCTTTTATCACCAGCGTACCAACTGTAAGTAACTAGATAAGTAGTATTTTAATCTCGTAACCGCTCGGTTACTACTTCGAGTATCTTCCCTGCAGGGCAAGATGATTATTCTGGATTTGCAATCGGAGGAGTTTCCGCAATTCGCGAGGCTCCACCAGTACTTCGGGCAGCCGTACATTTGGTGCATGCTGCACGATTTCGGCGGTACTTTGGGCATGTTCGGTTCGGCTAGTATCGTGAACGAGGTGAATTCGATGCGTTAGTGGCGATTATTTTTATAATCGTGTCGATTCCAGAACGTAATCAAAGCGAGAAACGAAGTTAACAGTACGATGATCGGTACTGGTCTGACTCCCGAAGGTATCAACCAGAATTACGTGATGTACGATCTAATGGCGGAGTCCGCGTGGAGGAAGGAGCCTTCTGATTTGGGCGCGTGGTTTAGGAATTACTCTATAAGGAGATACGGTAGAGTTAACGAGGATGTGATAAACGCTTGGCAGATTCTGAAGGTAAAAGCATCGTGTAGAAGATAGCAATGTAGCTAATTTGTGCGGGTGTTTTAGGATTCCGTTTACAATTTTAGAGGATTGAATCTGATGAGAGGGAAATACGCCATCACCTGGACGCCTAGTTTGAGACTAAACATTTGGGTGAGCCTTTGAAAGTTCTAGTGAAGTATAAACTAATTAGTTTTGTTGTAGACTTGGTACAATTACAGCGACTTGTTCGATGTTTGGGATGTATTCGTGAACAATTCGCGATATTTCAAAGACAGTCCGGCTTTCTTGCACGATTTGGTGGATATCACCAGACAGGTCCTTCAAATAAACGGGGACGTTTACTACAAGAAACTCTTGGAAGCCTTCAGGAAAAAGGACTACGAACGCTTCTAGTACGTTAACGAAGCGTAATTATCAGAAAAATAGTGGTTATTAATTATTTTTTTAGCGTTTCCTCGCGCATTTTCGCGTCGATTTTCGACGACTTGGAATCGATATTGGCCACCAACGAAGCATTCTTATTAGGTCGCTGGATCGAATCGGCGAAAAATTGCGCCAACAACTCGAAGGTACTCGATCAATCCGATTAATTCGCTTTACAAACACAACGTGTTACAGGAGAAGGACCTCTTCGAGTACAACGCCAGGAACCAGATCACCCTTTGGGGACCCCAAGGCGAAATTATCAATTACGCCAACAAACAATGGTCTGGTAAGAGGAGTTTTAACTGAATGTAGAAGAATTGTTTAAGTTTTTGAATTTTGTAGGTGTCGTTTCGAAGTATTTTAAACCTCGTTGGGATCTCTTTATATCGTCTATGAACGAGAGTCTGGTTAAAAACCAACCTTTCAACGAAGGGAAAGTGAGGGCAGCAGTTTTCAAACAAGCCGAAGAACCTTTTACGTTCGACAGAAGCGCTTTTCCCACAGAACCTACCGGTAAGTAACCCTTCTAAATAGAAGTCCTGGCCTCGCGAGTAGATGTTATGCAGCAAATAAAAGCTGGCCTGGATGTTTCCACATAAAAAATCTAGGCGATTAATTCAATATCGTGCGCTAGCACTATCCTCATTAGACATCCATTAGGGTTTGTTTGACATTCACGATGCACACCCTGTTCGTTGATTAGATTATATTCAACCGACCTAATTCGGTGGATAATTAGTCGGTCGAGCCCCGCGGGAATTGGGAATTACACACATAAAATAATGTCGCATCGCGTGCTCGGTTTTCCCCGAATTATACCTACCTACGGTTCGATTGGAATAGCGACGGAGACATCTTCAGCTATTCTCGTCGATCTGTAGGTAGGTACACTGGAAAAATTGCAATTCACAATTTTTTTTTCAATGTAAGTATTTACCTTGTTGTTATTTTTGTAGGTGATGCTGTGGAAGTGGCCCAGGCGATTCACGAAAAATGGAAATTTTTGTTAAGAAACCAGAATGAATTTGACGGTAGGTTGATTAATAGGCAACCCATGTTATCGTTTATTTAAATAAATAATACTAAATTAAATGTTATTTACAAATAACTCATATAATACGCAAATCCCTGGCAACACCCATACATCATCGTTCCAATTACAGCACGCGAAACGGAGTGGAATTTTCACAAGGAAAAAGGAGTGTTTTGTAAATTGCCCGGTTAATGGGATAATCGCGCTTGCGCTTTGCCCGCCTGCAAAGCCTTTTTTCTAGGACGAACCATTTCGAAATTACAGCAAAATCGCCCGTAGTGGGCGATAAAAACGAAAACGCCATGCGAACGAATAAGGAAGTTAATAATAAAATTTCCAGGCGAAATTACAACGCGCGGCAATTTGATTTATTAGCGCATTGTAAATTTATTTTTAGACCCGCATGTCTCCGTATATGATTGGCAACGTTTCAATCGAGTTTGGAAATTTGTTCACTAATGTATATTCATCACTATATCTTGTTCACTAATGTATATTCATCACTATGTATTGTTCACTAACGTATATTCACAGTCTCGATACATAAATATATTGGATTTTAAAAGAACCAACAGGTATGAATAGCACATTGGTCGAGATTGATTGAAATTCCGAGCGATATTAACGATCGAATATCGACTTATAAGGATGCTTAAAAGAATCGAAGAGATCTCCGGCGAGTACCATTGTGCGGAAAAAGTACCAGTCACTGTTAATATCGAGCCGGCATACCGAGAGATATAAATTTTTCATGGGCTCGTTGCCGCCCGGTTTTTCAATCGAACGATTCGAGCATCAATGGGACATCGAGAGAAACGATCGACGATTAGCATTAATAATTCGTTTTTACCTTGCGAGGTTCTTTAACGCGTCCACCGCCGGTGTAGTTTGTGAATGATTTCATATAACGAGGCGAAATGCGTTTTGAGAAGGAGCGATTAGAGAAAATCGAGAGAGGATAAATGCATGCACCTTTGGGTATAGGTAAGAGGTGAAGGTATATAGACTCGGGGATTCTCATTGTATGCACCTTACCTTGACCAACGGGCCGGCGAGCATCCGATTCAGTCAATGGAAAAGTGCCAGTTGCACCACGATAGTTCTCTGTATTTTTTTTGGTATCTAATTTAAAACAACCTTTCAAAACACCCTTTATATATTTGTAGATTGTGGAACGCCCTTTCTGGTAAACAATTTTATTACATCACTCATTATCTCGGGTTTATATAGGGCTATAAAGTTTCCACCAATTTCACAAGCTTTTCATACACTTCGTGTATTTTTACGAGCGCATTCGCATTTCCACCTTTGGCATTTGGCGGTTTCTACAATTAGGGGAATATTTTTTTTATGAGAATGTAGTAGAAGTAATAGTGCAACCGGCGCGAAAATCCGCTATCGGGGGGACTACCATTGTATGTTATACCATCGCGTTTTTAACCCACTAGTTGCTCGCAAGACTCCGTCGTAGAAGCCGCATTTTCGGTAGAGTTTTTCGTCGGTTGGTCTTTTGTTGTTGGCCTTTTATTTGGTTGTTTACTGGTTTAAATAGTAGAATTTGGTGTTTGGTGGTTAGTGAAGTGTAGCGCGGTTTTTGGTTGAGGAGTAATTTAGGATAATCTACTTGGATGCGCTTCTAAATAAACAGGTAAATTTATTGAAGGATTTCATTTATTTAGAGGAGACTGTTGTTAACAATTTTCGAACCAATAGGTATCAAAAATTGTGAGATATTTGCAATTTTTGTGACCGGGGAATCGATTTTTGTTGTCGCGTTAACTATCCCAAAAATAAACGCATTTCGGATAAAATCGGGTCGAATTTGTCGCCGCGATTTTCGCAATAAAAATGTCACGGTCGATTCTAAATTTTCTTTTTCCATTTGGACAAACGCCCAAACCATCGCCTTCTAATTGGAGCCGAAAATAATTCCTCCTTCGAATTCGATGTCGATAAATTGATTTTGCCAATTTCAAAATCGATAACGATTCTACTTTTTTTTCATCCTTGTTCTGCACGTTGTAGTTTGTATCGATCTATTCCTTATTAAAAGGATTGTTATAGTAAGCTGTGATATGTCAATTTAATTATTTGACACGAAACTTCAAGTGATGGTTTAATAAAATGTGAATATTTTATGAAAAGAATGCATTTAGAATACACAAAATAATTTCGATAAATCGATTCCAATTATCCTTATTTTGCTCATAGAATTTAAATTCATTTATTCCTTATTAACAGGATTGCGATAGTACGCTGTGAGATGTCATTGAAATGTCAAATATCAAACTGAGAATATTTTAAAAAGAAAATGTATTTAGAATGTATACAATTTAATGCGTTATATTGGTTTAATGAGATCAAATCGATGAAAGTAAGTGGAAAAAAGATTATTTTACGCGCGTTTACTCGACACACATGTGCGAATGCAAATTTATGCAGATTCCGAGATCTTATATGGGATATGTAATTTAAACTCAATACTCGACATTATGTGCATTATAAATAAACATCTACAAAACTTTATTCCAAACAACTAGGTCGGCAATTTTGACGCGTTATTTCGCTAGAATTTACGATTTTAACGCGAAATAAACCTCTTTTTACTAAAATATTTTAAACTACTTCCATTTTGTTGACACTAAGTCAAAGTGAACTAGACAGAACCAATTAAAAAAGATAAGGTGATTAGTTTAAATTATCGGTCTTAAATTGCAGATAACGAGAAAAAATATAAAATTTAAGTACCCAATTAACGAGAAGAACGTCTTCCTCCATTTAATTATCCATTAGTTACATTAATTGGTCAGTTGGATGATATGAGTGTTAAATTAACCCTCTCTTTAAGTGCAACATTTCATTATTTATTAACACACCGTAATATATGGGTAAGTGCAAATATGTTTCGAATTCTATGAGTTGAACAAAGAAAGATTATAAATTTAACAATAGTTAAAGTGAGAAAGTTGCAATTCCACGATATATTGTGACTCTTTCTTTTTTCTTTTTTGAGACTAATGGAAGTTGTCTTTGTTACACATATTGTTAATAAACCTTTACTATTATAAAACTGGAACCACCCGGTATATACAGAAAAACTAATCAAATCTAATTTATCTGATATTCTATTAAAAAATGGAGGCTTTTAACCGATATCTTCCATTTGGAACAGTTAAAGGAAGTATCATTCAAATATTCCTATTCCTATCTACTAAAAATAAATGTCACATACTGGAAACCCTATCTACACGTAATTCCTCGCCGGCTTTTTTTTTGAAGCCCATTTCGATATCACTAACGAGTTAAATATAGCCCATTCTATTTATTAGATTTAAGCTCGAAGATGGAGGAAGCTCTAGCACTTGAAAATAATAATAAAAAAAACATGCCGGAAACTGATTCAACTGTCGCGTATACGCAAGTATTCCCAGGACCGGACTCGCTTTTGTTTTCGTTCGAGTGAAAAAAATTGATTTGAAAGTCGAATTTAATCGTGACTCCCACACTGCTGGAATCGTTTTATTCGAAACCGGGACCTTTACTCGTCGGTTACTCGGTATTGTGTAATTTGTTTATTAATAGCGTCTCGCCTAATTGAGATTCGTGACATTTGACTCTTGTTAAGCTTTATTTTTAGCCGTTTCATCGGCTGTTTTTTCCGAATTAAACACTCCAATCTCACCGGATGGTTGGGAAAATACCGAGGCGCTAGAATTCATAGCGGTCATTTTATAGCAACATTTACCGCGTAATTATCACTTAAGCGAAGCGAAACGGTCTATTTTATAACACTCGTATCGATCGAATTACCAACAATTAACTACCGTTAATCAATAGAAGGATTACGAAACGTAATAAACACCATAACCTTCATATACGCCTGATTTATGCCCACTTGATAAGTCCTAATTGAAACACTACATTAACCCGATTTAGGTCCACTTTACCTACAGAATTGAACGAATCTAATGCACGTTCGGTGCACCTTTAATCCGAATAGACCAGTTAATTAGAGTTCTTGTAACAAAGGTACAATTCTTAGGATTGTTTTGGTCGATTGGATCCCTTCCAATCGTGAATTTGGATTTATTCTCGTGTGGAAGAACTACACGATGAAGAATGAGAATATAATTGTTGGGTGCCCGGAGTACGTGGGAGGTGAAAGGAGGCCGGAGATTAAAAATGCCGACGTGAAATAGATATTTAATATGTTTGCAGGAAAAAAATGAAATCGTTCTAGCTAGGTAGAACACCCATTATAATTATTGCGTCTCGGGGAAAAAAAGCGGTCTGAAGTGGTGCTTCTGCTGCGATTGCGGCATCCTCCATGAAAAATACATGAGATTAACCAGATCGTTACGGCGAGAATTTAAAATAAAAAACCCATCCACGATAAGTGCCCGACATTGCTAATTATTCGGCTATAATAAAAATAAACACGTACGATTCTCCTGCTGAGGAAAAATTAACAACAGGATGTTGCTGCCTATATCGGATTTAATGCATGAATTAGTGAATTTTTAGTTGGCCGTGGATGTCGGGAATGATTTTGTGGACGCGCTGTATATTTCTGAATTCTGCAAATACGTCTAAAAATAAAACAAAAAAGGGGATTGTTGGAGAAAGGGGGTCACAGAATCAATAAAATACTCTTTCAACAATGTGTTTACTTTGCAACTGTATTACATCGCAAATGGTCGGTTTCCCCTGCGAATTATCGATTGCAATGCGCAAGCGCAAGTGTTGTTGGGTCACACTGTATGATGGTGTATCTATCTCGATCCTTTATTATCGATATAAGCGGCGGGGTGTACTAGAAAAGGAACGAGAATTCCGGGTGAGCGATAAGTCCACCGACCATTATACCTACAAGTCTTATGTCATTATTGTCAAATGTTCGAAGAATGGATGTATTCTTGCAATCTATATCCGAATACACGTGGGTAAATGGCGTCAAATTTCATTAACCTTTAATTCCCAATCGACCGCACCTTCTTTTCCCTTCGAATTCCCAATGATAGATTAACTAACCTACGGTTATATATCTATCGGGGTGATCTCTCCCTTTTCGCGTTCTGCGACAAACAATGACCCCGACGGTTCTAAGAGGGTGAGTCGTTTCTTATTTACCACCCCGAAACGCCGCCCTTCGTTACTCGACGTTTATATGTGGATAAATCACGCGAACTTCCCGAGTTCAATCATTTTATACCGGGCGATTGTTTTATATGTCATATGTCGAACGTCAAACTGTCAGTTTGTGTTATTAAAATCGCGGTGATTGGTAACCGTGTAAGGAAGAGACCAAAAACGTTTTAATTGGTATTATGTGTATAACGAAACGTGCAGTATATGTTAATTCGATAATTTCTATATTTGGTCGATTACCTCATGCAAAAGAAGGTTAATAAAATTGTCGCGATATATTTAGTTAAACTCGTTTTATAAGAGAAAAACCGGTTTTTTATACAGGGTGTTCCAAATATTCGTATAATTTAACGATTGTTTGTGGCTGTGGAAGTTTTACCGGCGTTCGACCGGATTCGCTTTTACCGTTTACCGGAATTACGGTAGAATGTTCTCTTATGTAGGTATATGCGCTCGTAATTAAGCTAACACTAGTTTTTTTAATGCATAAAAAATAATCAAGATTAATTCAACTAAAGTTACTATTTGGAAAAAAAATTAGGCATGCCTTGGACAAATTCCATGAGTTGAACAAAGAAAGAAAGAATATTAAGATAACAGTGGTTAGAGCGAGAAAGTTGCAATTCCATAATATCACACTTGTCAAGTGTCTAATATCAGTTGTCTTTGTTGCACTTACAAAGCCTATATTGCAAACTGATGCATCAAATGTTTCTTCGAAAATTAATAGGTAAGCAATATCTTAATTATTATTATATTAAAACAATTAGTCACAAATATTTACTTTCGCAATTCGCTATCACTTTAGTTATTTTAGGAGATGATGATCCAAGATGACCAATAATAATTACTAATTATATGCGCGAATAATTAATTAGATTACAACACATGTGTTTTTAAACCGCCAGTTTAAACTATAACTTATTGCTTTATACTCACATCTACATGTAAGAATAATCTTATTGGTAGATCAAGCGTTTCTAATTGATTCATTGTTAAATTAAATCAGTCAATCCGATTACGAATTATATCATCAAATTCGTACTTAACTCGATTTGCGTCCGTTAAATTTATAGTTAAACATTGTGGGAGTTAATTATTCACTTTCTCATGCACAAATATACAGGGTGAATTACTTAATACCTTTGTGTAAATACGATTAAAACGAAACTCCATCGAGCGTTTCGTGTCCATTCTAGGTCAAGTCCAAATAAAACTGCGACTCAAAAATGTATTCTTCGCGCGTAGGAATAAAAATGAGTAGTTTTCGAACCGAGCCGCATAAATTTGGAGGTCGAGTACTCGCACAGATGGGGCTTTAATGGAACGTTACGTAATTATAATAGTACGAGTTTTTTATTCGGGAAAAAAAACTGGTTCATTTCCATTATATTATATTCCATTCCATTATATCGGATGGAAACTCGATCGGAACTCCCATTAGAAATCCGAAAAGCGGCGTTGCCGGTCGAAGATTTCGCAGATTCGGGGATTTCCTTAACGCTGAGATTAGTTCTAAGATATCCCGTAATTTGCTGCCGGAATTTTCGTTAAAAACCGGCGCGAATTATCTAATAAAAAGACTCGTTATTCCCATGTTCTAATTTTCTAAATTCGAAGCGACAACAACCTAACATATGACATCATACGTGTTATTAAAATTCATGAATTTGTCGGGTATTAGGTATCATGGGCGTAGGTATGAGAGTTCAAAAAAACCCTTTAAATATTTCGATATTATATATATTCAAAAATATAACAGCAAATAGTAATATATTTACCAAACTTCAATTAAACCATTATGCAAACACACTTCAAAGTGAATGGATGAAATAAATCAAAAAAACATTTCCGATTCGAAGATATTAATTATTTTTAATATCCCATTCTATTTACACGTCCGACGTATTGAAGTTTCGATTCACGAAAATTATTAAATTCATCGGTACATAAGTTTAATATTTGTATTGCGAGGCATTCCAAATTACCATAAATTTAAATTTCGATTAAAAAAAAAGTCGTTAACTTATCGGTACGTTGCTCTGCGGGTCGCATTATCAACGAATTTAGTACACTTTGCGGCGATAAAACGCTTGTTAAAATCGATTTTTGCATGCAAAACTTGTATGCCATTCAATTATCTACCCATACGCATTTTTCTTATATGGATTTTCCGATACTCAACTCGTAATAAATGAATTATACAATCATTTCTGCGATAATTGCATTTAGCATTCCTGAGTTTATGCAAAATTTAAGGCAAGGACACGACTACAAATTACATCATCGCAATACAAAACCTTCGAGAGTCACATAAATTGCGTTTGTGTGTGTGTATATGCGAGTGTAATTGTCCTTTTAACAATCGTAAGTAGGTCAGTAGGTAACGGGAAATATTCAGTTCGAATGCATTTCGTCCACAAAACACGGCGACATTTCAGAAAATAATAAACAGCTTCTATTTTTAGAACGCTAAAATTACCTACTACCTTTATCGAAGTTTCTACGATAATTCTATAACTTGGCAACGCTGTAATCGAGTAGTATACGTAAATGTTTTTATTTAATTGTTGCAGACGCGCTGGAATCGTAGCGGATGAAGATGGAGCAACTGGATTTTAAAAATTCCCGAAAATAGCGAAAACACATTAAAATGGCCGGTAAAATATTGTCATTTTTCAAATGGAATCCGAAATTGGTTTCGTTGAAATGCATCCTATTTCTAATATACGGGGGTAAGCAGATTTCTTTACTATTAAACTTCTTTTTACTCAAAATTTACTATGAAATTTCCCAGCCATCGGAAGCCTCGTCCCGTTCCTACCTCTTCACATGAACGACGCCGTGGGACTATCCAAAAATCAATCCATTATAATCTCCGTCGTGGCGCCTCTGCTAGCCATGCTCGGTCCGCTAATAGCAGCGCCTCTAGCGGACAGATTAGCAGGCACTTACATACAAAAATCCAAAAACGGCCCTTACCTTAGGGTCATGATAGCCGAGACCATAACATTCGCAGCCGCTTTATATTGGCTGCTCTTCATCATTCCACCAGTGGTAAGTGCATCGTGGGTTATACACCATATTTTTTTCTCTATATATTTTATTATTTGTAGAAAACATCGTACAATATCACGTTCATTTGCGACCAAGACGGAGCCTACGTTCTGCAGGACAAATGCGGGAAGAGTTGCACCGAGTTCGGAGACGAGGTAAGTTACTGGTGCATTTCTAAGTACATAAAGTTAATTGTATGTTTTTTATCAGAAAGGCTCCATCGCGGTGAAGAATTGCGTATACACCTGCAACATCACCTCGAGCTACACCCTCAAAGCGCCCGTCTTCTCCGAGGAGGAGGAGAACCACGAGGCCTCCGACGGCGACAACGAGAGCTTCTACGACGGCGGCGTCGATCTGGAGGCCGAGCTGAGCGTCACCACCATGCAGCCCGACGTCAACGTCACCTACTTCGAGCCGCACCCGCACATGTGCCACACCAACGCCACCGGGTACACCTTGTGCGAGGTCTACACGGAATACTCGCAGCCCATCGGCTTCGACGTCGCCCTCGGACCCGCCGTGCCCTTCGACAGTCCCGAGAATAAGGATGGAAGGATCTGCAAGCACCCAACAAGTGAGTTTCATCACCACACATTTCATGAAATACCCCAAAAGTAGCTTCGTATTCGCTCAGGAATCTCACCAGAAGGTGATAGTAGAATCTGGAACACACTCATTGATGTTTCAAAACTACCTTTCTATTTGCTCATAATCTCGCCAAAAGATGATAGTGGAATCTTCAAGAATCCAACAAGTGAATTATTTCACCATACACCTATGGAAATACCCCAAAAGCAGTTTCATATTCGCTCAGGAATCTCACCAGAAGGTGTTAGTAGAATCTGCAAATACACAACAAGCGAGTTTTATTTTATTTTACACTCAATTATGTTTCAAAACAACCTTCCTCTTTGCTCATAATCTCGCCAAAAGATGATAGTGGAATCTTCAGGTATCCAACAAGTGAATTATTTCACCATACACTTAAGGAAATACCCCAAAATTACCTTCCTTTCTGCTCATAATCTCGCCAGAAGATGATAGTGGAATCTTCAGGTATCCAACAAGTGAATTACTTCACCATACACTTAAGGAAATATCCTAAAATTACCTTCCTATTTGCTCATAATCTCACCAGAAGATTATAGTGGAATCTTCAGGTATCCAACAAATGAATTATTTCACCATACACTTGAGAAAATACCCCAAAATTAACTTCCTATTCGTTCAGGAATCTCACCAGAAGGTTATGGTTGAATCTACAAGCGAGTTCTTTCCCCATACACCAAAACTATCGTCCCATATTACCTCAGAATCTCACCAGAAGATGATAGCAGAATCTTCAAGTATCTCTTCAAGTATCTCTTTAAGTATCACTTCCTACTTGCTCAGGACCTCCCCCGATACTCCTGAATAATCTACAATCTAACTTCTTCTTTGCAGGAGAGCCGTTCCAATGCAGGATACGCGGCGACGTGCGCAGGAACCTCACCAACAACGGCCAGAACAACTGCACGCCCGTGGTGATTTGCGAATTGGACGATCCCTACCACCGGCCGAACAGCCTCTTGAGGCAGTCGCAGTGCGGCAGGCTCAGCTTCTGGCTGTACATATTCATCAGGTCGTTGGCGGACATGTTCCTGGCGGCCACCGTGGTGCTCCTCAGCACCGCCGTGGTGATAGCCACTAGGGAAACCTCCACAGGTGAGCTCTTCTAACGGAAATAAGAGCGCCTAATGGTGATTGATTGATTGATTGTTGTAGGTAGAGGAGATGTCGGTAAGCAATTCGCCGCTGGGGCTCTGGGTTTTGGCATTTTCGCTCCGCTTATGGGGGGAGCGGCCAACGGGGGTTACATGGAATCGTGCATTTGCTTCACGGTTTTGGCCCTGCTGGCCGTTTTGTTGCTGTTGGTCGACGAGTGAGTAGATTCATTGCAAATTGCGGGATTCGAGTTAATTCGCTCGGTTTCAGAACAATACCGTTGACTCCTCCGGAGTGGTGGTGGCACACGAGGTGCGGCCTCCTGGCGCTGCCGATGTCCTCGGTGAGAAAATACGGATGGGAGGTGGCCGGGTTGGGCCTCGTGCTGTTCCTGTTGGGGATATTTTGGAATTCCATCGACGCGTTTCTGCCGTGGTGCGTCCATTTCTACGGTGTTTTACCGATAAATTTATTGATTTATGCGATTCTTTAGGTACGTGGTGATGGCGAAAGACGGCGAACCCTTACTAATCGGCCTGACGTTGACTGTAGGCGCCCTACCGGCTGTGATATTCCTGATATTCGCCGAGGTGATCGTCGATTATTGCGGGCACAACAACATTTTGATATTCTGCTTCGTTAATTACGTCTTCCACCATTTGAGTGAGTCGTTTAATTTCGATTCTATTGGCACTATTTCTCATCTATAAATCTCTCTTGTAGGTTTGATATTCGTGGAGAACGTTTGGTACGTTCTCTTCTGCGAATGGTTGGAAACGTTCACGTTACACGTCATGTACATCACTGCCGTTCTGTACTTGAGACATTTAGTACCGAGGAAATACACCGCGTGCGGACAGGCGCTGCCGGTCATCGCTCATTTTTGCATCGGTAATGCTTAATAACATTCACTAGTTCGAAGTGTATGGCTTAAATTATTTGCTTTATCAACAGGTAGAACGATAGGAGGTTTGTTGGGCGGTTTGGCCTACTCCGAGTTGAATCCGCAGCGAACTTTCGAGACCGCCCAGGAGTATTTCTGCATAGCGGCGGCTTGCGTGGCTGTCGCTTATTTTGTCGTTTATCACTTTTATTTGAAACCCAAATGCGCGCCGCCCATGCACTTACCGCCGGCGCCGGCGCCTGTAGTGGTTCAAAGTAAGTTCCTCTTTATAATGAATTAATCCTCTTCAAAACTATAGAATAGATCCCTCAAGCCTAATGTGGCGATGATGGGAAGTTCAGAATCATTTGGAATTGTCTACAAACTTTTAGAATGATTTGGAACCGTCCAGAACCATTTAGAATCATTCCAGAAGCATTTATAACGCTTCTGGACGATTTAGAACTGTCTAGAATTATTTATAACTGTTCAGAATCGTTTAGGACGCTTCGGGGCGATTCAGAATAGTTTAGAACGATTTAGAAATAGATATTAATAAATTTATTTTTTAGGTATGAATGGTAATGGATCTTACACTCCATTAAGAGTTTACCACAACAGCAAATCCAAAAAGGGGCACTTTAGATATTAATTTATTTTTTATACCCAGTGTTTGCTAACTAATAATAGCTTTATCTATTTTTTTATGTAATTTTGAATCTCGTAAATCGCTCGTGGAAGCTTACACTTAATACTGTAATGAATATAATACAAAAAAAAAATACGAAATATTAGAGATTGTGAGGAATTTGTACGGTTTATTGTGATACTGCCATTACAATTTTTCTAATGTTATAGAAAAGCTTTATCGAATTAAACTTTTGTCGTATCTATAAATGTCCGCTTTATATTTTCTGTTGTAAAATGTTTTTATAAGAGTTTTGTATTTATTTGTTTTTTTTACAATATACGATTGATGAACTACTGTAAAAATTGGGAAATTTTCCTGCAGCGCCACGTGGGAAATTTATCATGTCAGAGCTATCGAATAACAGATGGCTCCCTGGTGTTTAAAATAGTTAAAATCAAAAGAAAAATTCATCGAAAATTACCACAAAAAATCCTGTTGTTAACGAACAAATTAACCAGCGAGTTTAATAAGTATTTTAATTAAAAATTAGTAGATATACATTCATTATAACATTTTCGATAGGATAACTAACAATTTATTCGAAACCAGCAACAATAGTAAACAAGTAAGTGGTATAATATTAATAAAGTTTACAATATAATAAAATGGAATAGAATAGAAACGAGTGATCGATATTTAACGGAAAAAGATATAAATTTAACAACGCATAATAAGCTTCCATAACAATATAAATTCATAATGGTACACCCTGTATATTACTGTATACAAACGGCAACCCGGGGGTCGAAAATTTTAATATAAATACTTTACGAGTAGTAAATAAACTGGGCAATTTCAAACGACTGGTATTTTACCTGTACAACACGAATATTTGTGAAATATGAGACGAACCGAAAAAGCACACAAGGAAAAATACGTTCGTGGACGGTGAACAATTTTCTAGATTTGTTCCCAATGAACTTTTTGATCGAGCTATAAAAAAACTCGCCAATGGAGAGGAGTACGATTTTTTTCTTATTTTTTTTTTATAAAATTACGTATTCTTATGAAGTCATTGGTGAAATTTTTGATTTTTTCCGTTTTCTATTAAGGCCACAATTAATTTTTAAAGTTTGAAATACGTCACAAAATTTTAAATTTAAAAGGGCTATATTTCCGAAAATATTGAATATTTACAACTGAAAACTGCTTTGAGTTCTAAAATCTAGTTCTAAAAACCGTATATCTCACATCGTACTCCTCTCCATTGCTCATTGGGATGGATGGAGAATATCCAAAATTTTCGACTTATTTTTTATCCAGTTTTTCCCGGATACACACAATACACCCTCTCCATTGTTCCTTAGCTACATTACAACATCCAACAACAACAGACGTTCAGGCGAACTTTTCCCATGCATCAGACATTTTCTCCGGCGCGGAGTTAATTACACACGTCAGATATGGCGTCCGTTTAATGGGCCCTCGTTCCTTCTAAATAATAAATTTCTCAAGAGGTCGTTTAATTTTCCCGTCCGAACTTTCGTCCAGCGTTCGGAAAGAAAATTCGCGCCGCATCGGAGTTAATGAAATCGCATCTCGTCGTACACAAACACCATCTCGGGACGGCCGGCGTTGCCCATTAGAGGGAAATTTCACAAGAAATAGGGGGAAAATGGGGGTTTTAGTTCAGTCGAAATTGCTGGCAACACCGGCGGGCAATTTAATTTGTAGATTCAAAACAGTCGATTTTTGATCTTGGGAACAGGGGGTCTTGGTTACCTAATAAACGCGCCACCCTGTATATACGGAAAATTCGCTACACACCAATTGATAGTTCACACCTCTCTTAATCGATTCCCCGTTTTCCTCGGCGCAACCGTACAAATATACACGTATAAAAAAACGACGAAAAATTATCATATTCGCTATCTACTGTTTATCACAATGTGGTGGTCCTGCTCTGCATCTGGATGGCGTCCGGCAACGTTCTGTTCACCACGTCCGGACTGCTCGGCCCGCCGATATCACAATCGAATTTCCACAGTATCTTCTCGGAGACGTTCTGCACCACATCGCAGGCCGCTTGGTTCCTGCTCCGCGCCGACGACGCCCTCCACCTGGCGCCCGCCGGCTCGGGACAGCGCGCGTAACTCAGCGTCGCCGCTCGCTGCTGGGGCCTGCGAAACCGCCCCCCTTTAATCGACTCGATCTACCAGATCGCTCGGTAATTACCTGGAGCACACCGGACCGCCGCAACAGTCGCGGATCGCGTTCGACGGACAGGCGAACGTGGAGTACCCTCCGCCTTGGAGTCGTCGCTAGGTGTCCGCCTCGTAGTTGATCGGCGACCGTTTCACGTCCAACATCGGCAGCATCACGCCCTCCTGTGGTGATCAAACAAGTTAATACAACAGCTGGAAGAGTCGCGATAAAGCTTACTCCGTTGAGATGGGGAAGATCAAGAGCCGCTGGAACGTAGGTGGTGGCCGGGCTGCACCTGGTGCACGATCGCCTCAGCGCCGGCCTCTGTCTCGATCCGTGGCATCTGACGGCGAATCGCAGCTCTTCGGCCATCTCCGAGCACAGCGATTGCCTGTCCGTTTGGGCGTTCTTCTTGCTGTTCCAGCAGAACTCCAATATGGCCACTAATATGGCCAGCGCCAGTCCGCACAGTAACACCACAAACACCCCGCCTATACCAATCATAATTATATCATTTCCTCCGACTTCTAACTGTTTACTCACCGATATTCTCGACGCCTAAAGCGTTAGCTTTGGACTCCTTGCTCTTGTCGTCTCTGGTGCAAACGTCGCCGGTGTTCTTCCACCATTTATCGTATAAGATTTGTATGACGCCCTTCTCCTGTAATTCTAATATGGCCAGCGAGATCTTGTCCCTCCATGGGCTGCCTTTGGGAGTCGCCACGCCGTAGCCTTTGGAGTCCAGGAGGCCGCCGATTTGCGTCAGATTGCAGTCGCGTTGGACTGCGTAGTCCAGCATTGTGGACTCCATGAGGAAGGCGTAATCGCCTTCGAGCACTCTCTAAAATAATACAAATGATTAATGAATGTTTTGTATACGTTTGGAGTACTTACTTTAACACCGTCTTCGTAGGTTTTGACGAATACCGGAGGTTTCCTGTTTTCCATAAAACGCCACATTTTCTGGTAAATGCCTATTTTGGAATCCTGCGATCGAAAAATAAGTGTTATTCCACCATCTTCTGGCTTTATTTCACGGCGAAATAATTCGAGTGGGATTCCGCGTGCGGTAGTAAAAAAGTTTGTTGGTCAATTTTTGAGGATCCGGGGCAATAATGGAGCTTCATTTATCACCGCATATGGTGATAAATAACCCATATCTTTCCGACGAAACTGCGTGGCTTGTGAAATTTTATCCCCCGGACGAAAAAGTTGTGGATATATCCGGAGTTTATTGAACCGATATCGATCAAATGGCTCGTGGCGAGCCGAGCGGATTTAGTTTTGATTGGAAAACCGGAAGAATGTATCATTAAAAACCGTTTCTGCACCTAACAGTCGCGGTAATTAGCACCGGGTTTTTTTATCCTATCGCATTCGAAGAGTCTTTTCTGCGGGAAATTCGTTGATTTACTGGATTTCCCGCTGGCGCTTAAAAAAATATTTGCTGTTCTCGAACCGAAAGGTTCGTGATTTATCGTCGGTTAACCAAGAGTAAAATCGGTAAAGGTTTTGGTCACCGTCCAAATTTTGTTGTTATCCAAGGACGAGTATTTTAATAATTTCCAGAAAAACTGGAAACGTGTAAATTACACATAATAGCGTCGAATCCTGCTGGGAAATTTTCGCGAAGTTGCCAATATCCAGCGATCGTTCGATAATCTTAAATTTTATTATCTGTGCTACTCCTCCTGCAATGGAACCGAATGCGCCAGCGGTGTTGCCGATTTTCCAGCTCCAAAAAATCCCCAATCTAAGCAATTTTGATTGTATTGAAATACCCAATTTATCCACTTAAATTAAAGCTTCTCCTATTGAAAGTTTGGGGTCGTTTCTACAACCTCTTGGTGACGTAAAATTTCCCCAAAACCGCGCAAAATCCACATCGGCAACACCGCCAATCGCCAGTATAACATAGAGGAAAATCGGAAAAGCGAGTTTACCCTGAAGAAGGTCATCGTGCTGCCGCCTTCGAGCGTCCCGTAGGCGATTTCCGTTTGCTCGGCCAGATCCTGGGCGCTTTCAATGGGCGTTATCATGCGTTCCACCGTCAGGAATGCGGCCAAATTCGCCGTGTACGATGATATTATGATCAACGTGAAAAACCACCAGATGCCTCCGACGATGCGTGTCGACGTCGCCTGTACACACACATAAAAAAATTCTCACAACGCGAAACTCATCGCCCATCATTTACGCTTCATTTGGATCCCAGAAGGCCATAAAAACGCCGCAATTTCACCGGATTATTGAAAAATAAAAGTGAATATTACCACGTTTTTTTTTGAATTATTATTAGCTGTACAAAGTGCTGATAATGGGCCGTATTCAGCGCCCCTTTTAAAGAGTCTCCTTAATGTAAACAATGTCCTTAGTTATTCCATAACAACCATGTAAAACTGTCAATTTGAAAGAATCTCCTTAGTTACTCCATAACAACAATGTAAAACTGTCAAAACTGTCAAATGAAAAAAAAAAAATTCCTTAGTTACTTCATAACAACAAAGTATAAATCTGTCAAGTTAAGCACGAGACTTTAACATTAAAAAAAGCGCTGAATAAGGGATGTTCGTATATCTAAATGAAGCGATAAAAGCAAAGTGCAAGATGATACTTTTTCTACCGCCGAATTTGTCAAAAGATCCTCGATAAAATAAGGCGCGTATAATTAATAATAAACGTTTCGCTAAACGCTTCCTCGAGTGCAGATAGAAAATAATCTCGGAAGCTTCCTCTCCGCGACGGGTAAATCCCCGAAATCCGGAAAGAGGTAGCAACGCAAAGGACACATTAAGCGGGATAAATTTCGCTCCCTT